GTACGAGGTTCCTGAATGGTTTGAGAACGACCACAGGGCATCGTGCAAGGAGCGCTCAGCCTCGTCAAGCAGCTGGTTGGTAGCGCCACGGAGAACAACCGTGCATGCTTCACCAGCAGCAACACCAGAAAACTTGATCAGTCTATCTTCTCCAATAATAATCTCCTCGATTAAATCACAGTGTCCAAGACGAACAAGATTGGGATGATCAAAAGTGGATGCTATTTCTCCACCTGTAGTCAAAGAGTTAATCCATTTAAACAATCATAATTAGCACATCAGTCTATTTTAGCAGCACATATCTGATGCAAAAACTAACCTGTAACAAGAGCAAGCCGTTCAATTCCATCAAAATCAGCGTGCTCAATAGCAGCGATTCCACTATCTGCAAACAGTTGTTCAGGCCAATTGTAAATAAGCTGTCTGTTGACAAAGCAGTTGATTCCGTGTGCCTTGATCTTGTCTACTTTGGTCTTCATTTTCTCCTATTGGTGCAAACAAATAAACATTCAACTGAGTCAGCAAAACCATTTGAATAAAATTGTTCTTGATATTCAGTTGATACATCATCAGTTCTACATACACGCTCGGCACGCTCGAGTTCAGCTAGCTTTCCTGTAGCGTCGACGCGAACACGAGCACCAAAGATCTTGATCTTGTCAGTATCCATAGGAGTGTTGGCAATAAGGATCTTGGCATTCTCAATACGCTTGGGCTGGTTAACACCAATCTTTTTGTCCAAAATGAACCCTAAACCATACAAATGAGAATGGGTTCCAAAATTGGAGCAAATCATCAGACAATCATTGTATACCTTCATCAAGGTAAGAATCGGTCAGCTTTCCACCGTGCTTCTTAATAATTTGAATGTGGTCAAGGTTGGTGCTTCCCTATCCAACACAAGTTGAGAGCATTAAAAATAAAATAAAATCAACACTCAATAGACAGTTATTGTAGACAAACTATACAAGAATTCAAAATACATACCTTTAGACGAAGAACTGCATCAACTGCAAGTTTAGCAAAATACTCTTTGTCTTGTGATAAAACCTTGGAACTAAGAGTGGTCTTGGCAATATTGATCAAATCCTCTCGGAAAAGCTGTGCGTCTTTGCTGTGATCAATAGCAGATGCCTCAAGAGCCTTGTGTGCAGTGGCTGATGCAATACGGTATCCATCGATGATAGTTTGAGGATGAATCTTTTGATTGACAAGCTTTTCACCTTCTCGCAAAAGTTCAGCAGCAAGAACACACACAGAAGTGGTTCCATCACCAACTTCGTCATCTTGAACCTTGGAAATGTCTAAATTTCAGGTAATTGCCAACAATAAAAGAAATTGATGATCAGATAGTGGTCAATAAGCAAGATAAATACTCGTGGGATATACGTACTAACAAGAACTTTAGCAGCAGCATTGTCAAGTGCAATTGATTTGAGAATAGTAGCACCATCGTTAGTAACCATGACATCTTTGTGGTTACTAACAGACTGAAGAATCTTGTCCTATGTAAACAGATAAAGCCAAGCATATTATGTCAGTAATCAGAAATTTACAGAGCAGTCAATTAATAGTGAAAATACTAACCATGCCCTTGGGTCCAAGAGTGCTCTTGACGAGATCACCTACAGCAATAGCACCAACAAATGCGGACTAGACATTACAGTTTATCATTTGATAATTTATTTCGTAAAGCAAGTGATCAGAATTGATTCAAATAAATGGTAAAATATAATCAAGACAATGTCAGTTTAATAAATGCCAAAAATCAGTCGAGACAGTCAAGAACACATTTGAATGATTGTGAACGTTTGAAAAAACAAAGTATTTAGCAGCAAAGTCAGTCCAACTTACAAGACGAGCATTTTCTGCCCTTTCTTCAGTAGCATTGTCTTGAAAGATCTGTACGGGAGCGAGACCAGACTAGCGCAGAGCCAGATTCAAAAGTCGAAAATAGTCAGCATGTAGCAGATTGTCCAAGCATGTTATTGATATTACAAACGGTAGCAACAAAAATGATATTAGATATACAGTGCATTGATATATATTTCATAGAAAGAACTCGAATGTATAAGAGAAGGTGACAGAAGGATATGAAATTGTAAGTGTCCGAGCCCAATATTGCCGACTTGTACAAAAACAGACGGCGGAGATGAAGTGGTTTACTGGCAAGCAGACCAAGACACTGCATGGATTCATACATATTTCTGTATTAAATAAACAGGAATCGGGTATACTACATTTGTAGATTGGCACTCATGAGCCTATTAAACTGGAAGCAAGCTGAAGAAGCTGAAGATCAATAGTCTGGTTCTGCAAGGCAGTTGAGTGGATCTTGTACTAATCCACTCTGCCATATATTGTCTCAATACAAGAATAGTAGAAACCACTCAACATAACAGTAGTTCAAATTCACCATTTTAAATCCTTGCACTTGTGAATAGTTGAAGGAAAAGTCGGAAATTAGTCTGCTTTAGTTGTTGAACGAATATTTCATTATCAAAACGATTTCACTTTACAAAATGAAATACTAAAAATAGTCTCGTATTTGGTGCCAATCTTATTGAATATTGTTTTAAAAACTCAGTTTTCTGATCTTGATGCTCACTCTTGTACAAAATACAAATGTTCATATCTGTCAATCCTACATTCTTGTCATCTTTTCAACCTCAAACTCTTCAAAACATTACGTGCTAGCATGGAAACAATTATTGAATTCCTGAGATATGTTGAACTAGATCGCAAACGTATCTGATATTAGAATAGAGTTTCAATAAAACAAATATTCCATTTCCAACAACAATGAATATGTAACGATCGTTTATTCCACGACAGTTATTACAAGATCAATACAGAAAAGTGTTTATTTTACGAGGTGTTCTTTATGTGTCAATGGAATCCGTTTAGTTGTAACATATTGTACTGAATTGGTTCGGATAGTTGTTAGCATTGTAATAGTTGTATTGGACGTGTGGATCGAATGCATAGTGGACCATGCAGTGTAGCTCAATGATCTGCAGTTCATTCCACAAACCATCTGTAATCAAACATGTAATCGAACATGTAATCAAACATGTGGTTGAATATACAAGTCATTTGATACGTTGTCTAGTCATCAAAATCATGTTTTGAAAATGTCAAGCTTGTTCATTGCTACAACTTGTATGGCCGATCAACAGTCATACAGATCTGGGTTATTGACGGCTTCGAGTACATCAAACACATCAATATATGCTATTGATTTGGTAAACCCTGAAGTGCATCGAGTTGATCAACATCATTGATTGCATCACCAGCAACGAAAAGCCAGATATTTCATCTTGACTATCAATCTGTATGGCGTTTCCGCATTTTGGAAAATGCCCATTCAAGTGCAGGCTGAACTGGGTTATTTGATACAGCAATGATCCCATCAAGTAAATACTGCTGATTATTTGCTTCAACATCATCCAGGTTATAGATATAATTGACCATCATGCCAAATGACTGCTTAGTGCCTTTATCTAACAATTACATTCCAATAATCGTAGAAAACAAAGTTAAGCACTGACCAAAACAATAACAGCTTGTCCAATCTCAACAACATACCTGAAGTGTCTGCTCTCCAGTTTAATTGATGAATAGCTGCTCCATTTCGAAGATGAAAGTTTCCAACTGGATCTAGCGCAAACGATCGCTTGCTTTCCAGAATTAAATATTGAGAGCACAACCGTTCAATGATGGGTTGATAGTGACGTGACAAGTCTGGATCATCAAGCCATCGAGTATCCTCAGATATCATCTAAAGCGATTCAAACAGTAATTTAGCATACAATACAAACCAAACTTGATCCAGGTATTTAAACTAGACAATGCACTTTAACATCCAAACTTCCTAGTCCTATACATGACATGCATTAAACTACTGCGTGCCATCACAAATACCATGCACTGTTCAACACATACCACGTTGAGATGATGTAATAGAATAAAATATGGCAACTGTGGGATCCTTGGTGTCGGGATGTGGATCTGTCAGTATATTTTGAATCCGAGTCGATACTTCATTGACAAGTGCTACCTTTTACTCAAGCAATGTGTTGTTGGCTATAGATTAGCCAAGGTGCTGCAAATGAGATTGCAAACTAAAATGATCGGGATACACACCTGCACAAATGTAAGTGGTTCCTGTGGAATACCACGATGGAAGAAGCAGTAGCAAAGACGACCAGGACCAAGTCGCTGTTTAAGACCATCCCACGACCCAATAGCATGCACAGCTTCATAGGAAATGATCTAAACCATTCAATTTAGCAAATAAGCTATTTCATCACATTAATGTAAAGCGTTGCAAAATATCCGCAAGAATCTACCTTTTCAAGTATGCTTGCCGGTGTGTGCCAAGTAATGCGTTCCAAATCAAGGAATCCCATGCCAAACCACTCCTGTAGTCGGTTTTTAAGAGAGTCGCCAAGTGCAGAGTATCGTAAGCAGGTATCAATGCTTCTCGTAGTCTTGCTGATGACCGTAAAACTGTACGATCTGTCATGCACTATAGTTTATATCTCAGCACCAAGTATCATTTTGAGCAATGTAAAATCAACATGTATGATTGCTCTTACTAGCGATTCTTCAAACTGCTGTACAGCAGATGCCGTTTCCTGCAAATCAATACAGAAATCCTTGGCCAGTATATGCAAAAATTTAGATCGTCCAGTCTGCAATACACAATTGGGTCAATCCAATATTCCTAAACGTTCATTTCAAAACCAGTTGTCATTGTAGATTTCAAGACGTACCAGATCTTGATTTTCATAAAACTCGCAGAGTTGACGAGTCAGTAACGATGGCCAGATATCTCCATCCTCTCGTTTTGCCTTGACAACCCCAGCTACTAGTTTTCGAACACCTTTTTCATTGTTTTGAACATTCATCAATTCATCATCATTCGTGCTGGAATGGGGTTCATCTCGATATCCGAGTGTATAATAGTCTAGAAACCAAATTGTGAAATCAACAAGAGCATATTAGATGTCAATGTAAAACAATCCAAATTGTAATGATCCAACTGGCAAGTTTTTGGAAATACAGTGAATCCAGCAAGTTGAATTCCAATAGCAAATCTGAAATCAGTGCATTCAGATATTACAAGTCATCAATAGTACTCACCAGGATAGTTTGAGTTCAACATTACATCGTCCCAATACTTTTCAACAGTAGAGCTGGGTGGAATTGGAACTTTTGTTGATAGTTTACGGACAAAAGTGATGGTGAGGAGGACAGACAAGCTCTCAAGAATCTTGAATGAATTGGGTTGCTCTGAATAGATTGGCAGGCTGGATATAAAGAGTTACGATGATGTATCCAGCTTCTATTGGCAATGATCGCAGCTACAGCACGAGTAGATTGTGTGGTGATGGACTGATATCCCTTGTGGCTAGTTCTTTGTAAACAGCCAATATCACATCTCATCTTGACAAGCAACTCCAAATGTTGATTATACATCAAGGTTAGAATATGCTTGGATCGTATCTATTCAAGACATTCCTCATGAACAAGCCATCAACCCATTTTCAACAACCATTGGATCGATCGACGCGAATTTCGCTCATAGTATGCCATCAAAAACACGATATTCGATGGAAATGCATTTAGTATGTTTGTCAGTATACTTGTTTTTAATCTAAAAATACTGAGAACACTTTTGCTGATGGCCATGTGTAACAGCCATACGATGAATGGCCAAACTCACTGATAACCACTGATTTGGAGTGTTTCCGAAATACAAACCGTTTCAATTGTCGCATACAATTGGTTCAAGAATTAAAAAATTGAATGTGTGTATCAAGATATTACCAACAGATTCATTCAACTCGATGGGATTTAGGATAGTACAGAATTGTATCTGGATAGTTTCATTTTCCGATTATTGATAAATAATTCATTGGTTTGGTATATTGTTCATGACATTTTGAATTGAATATGGAAAACTTACACTACCTTCAAATATGTTTACATATCTGGATAACTGCGATGAGTTGTTTAGCTGAATATACAGAGTTTATTAACGATTTTAATCACAAATATAGTGTTGAAATCTCATTAATATCATTTAGCTTGTGTCTACTATTCAATAAAAGCGTAATTTGTGCTTCAACACACAGGCAAATAGTAAAATAAACCAAATCAGGATTTAAATCTGAATACAGGTCAGCGCCTGTTCATTAAAAGTATCTATTTGACACTCGTCTATGAGTGTGATGGGGTAGGTTTTCGAAGAGCTGATTGTGGGTGTGCTGGCAGTTTAGGCGTACTGGGAACTGGAGTAGAAGTAGCCGATGCAGCAACAATCTTGGTATAGATGGCTTCCACTTTACGACTTGAAATCTCTTTTGGCCAAAAAAAGCTTGCAAACTTCCACAAATGCCGCGATAATTTGCTGCGTTCAGTTTGATGGGGCAAAGACATGGTATGCTTGCTGATATAATCGCCAATAGCTACCAAGTTTTTGCGAATAAGCGCAGCCTTTTCAGCACCGTTGAGAGTAGGTGGCATTTCACGAAGACCTTGAAGATAGCTCTTTAAAGGACGAAGAGTAGATTTGCAAACATTATCGTCCATCGAGTCATAGTCTGACATTTGCTGATCATCATTGATATTTGAAGTAGGTGTGGCAGCACCATTACTTGTAGTCTTGGTTTCCTTTTTAGAACCCTCTCGCTTGAGTACTATTGTATCTGCTAATCGGTGCCGTTTAAGTGAATGCCCTTGTATTTTATTGGGTTGTCGATCTGATTTGGACCCAGTGACCTCTGAAACTGGCTCAGGATCTGACGTATCTTTCAAGAAACGCTTGATACCGTATTTTGATGCACCAAAACTATCTTCGGTAGAGCTCCGTCCACGCTCTTGATCACGTCGTTTTTTTTGTCTTGCCATTTCGTTCTCATGCAAAAGTTTTAAAAGATATTCGGCACGTCGAATGAGATGAAGACCCTTTGGCAGTTTTTTAGCGTCGCTGTTGTCGAGAAAAAATTTGCTGGCAAACGGAAGTTCTGGATCTGCCTGCATTGCAGACCATGCTCCAAATCCATGTTTATAAACACCAACAAGCAGCATGGCATCGTCCTTGACACCCCATGACGTAGCCCAGTTGGAAGTAGACTTTGGAGTCCATGTGATACGAAATTGATTCAAAACCTGCTTTTCAAGTCGCTTTGACAAGCACGTCATATCACTTACGCGCTGAATCAGCTGCCCCGCATTGATCCCTGTTACGCCATTATATGTAGCTGCAATCACTTTGTGTTTAGCTGAATAGTTGTGCTTGGTACCAGAAAGAGCCGATGCAGTTTCCTGAGCAACGCTGGCAAGATTGGCGTCTGCAGTGGAAAGTGATGTAGTAGACATTTCATTAGTCGTATCCTGCTGATTACATGTGTTGGCAGACAGAGTATTGGCTGTTGGTGTTTCGTTTGCAACCTCTGAATTAGCCTCGCTTTTATGCTTTGTAGAAATAGTAAAATCTTTATCCGTTTTAATAGGTGTACCAGTAGTAGAAGTACCAGCGTCGACATTATGAAGTGCATCTAAACAATTTTTAATGATACCACCTACAGCTTCAATCACCACATCTTTGTTTTTGTGTGACACATCGGCCTCCTGAGTAATTAGATCAAGGCGTCGTTCAATATCTCCAAATTTTAATAATCCACGAATAAGACCGCGAATGTCCTTGTCTGAAAGTTCATTTACAGGGGTATCGCTACTGCTAGCCTTTTTGGGTGCATGCTCTCCGGCTCCATTAGCTTTCCGTTTCCGTTTCCGACCAGCAGATTCATATGGATCATCACATGTATATAGTACAGGAACAGCTGTGCGTCGACGCATACCTTCCAATAAATAAATTTCTGGAATCTCATCCACCGATGCAGCTGGCTGCTGTTTACGCTGATCTTCTGGAATGATATCCTCCCAGCTAAGTTGGCTAACCGCAACATCAGCAACATTGAACTGCTCCAAAAACTCTGCAGATCCCAACGCAGTGCCCGACTGTTCTATGCCTTCATGGAATTCTGCTCGAGACAAAACATCATCAAGGTTTAGTTGCTCCAACTTCTCGTTTGAAGCACTGTTGGCGGTACCATCTTGCTTGAATAGGTTTTGTGCGCCAAATTTAAGAATCATTTGCAGCTCTTCATTTGAGATGTTTCCGCTATTGGCACTGCCCGCCGATTTGCTTTTTCCAGAACTCATGATCCCTTCTCCCGATGTATCCATGGTTTTAATGATGGAGTATTCAAGCACCATTTTCCTTTTGGCACGCTCAATAATATCTTCTTCAATGGTATCTTTGGATAGAAATCGATATACGTTGACAGTGTTTTTTTGACCAATTCGATGAGCACGAGCAATGGCTTGCAAGTCATTCTGCGGGTTCCAGTCCGAGTCAAATAAAATAACGGTATCTGCGGTAGCAAGATTCAACCCAAGACCGCCAGCACGAGTCGAAAGCAAAAAAGCAAAATCGGTAGATCCAGCAGCATTAAAATGCTCCATACTGCGCTTGCGAACTTCAGACTGTGTGGTGCCATCAAGTCTCTGGAAAGTGTAACCACGATAGGACAAATAGTCTGACAAGATGTTGAGCATGCGCACCATTTGGGAAAATATCAATACTCGATGCTGTCCCTCGTGAAGACTAGCCAGCAACTTGTCAAGAAGTACCATTTTCCCCGAGTTCATGATGATGCCTTTGAGCTGATCCTCTCGACTCATGTTAGGAGGTTCGGCACCGTCAAAAAGGTATGGATGATTGCTAGCCTTTTTGAGCTCCATAGCAATATTTTGAAGACTGACCTGTTTTCCGCCAGCCGTCCCTCTATTAAGTGTTTCAAAGTTTTTTGTAAATACTGCCTTGTAATATTCAAGCTGAAGTGGAGAAAGCTCAACACGCAAGATACGTTCAGACTTGGACGGCAAAGACTTTTCCACATCCTTTTTAAGACGGCGAAGCATCAGGTCTTTAAGCTTGATTTGAAGTTCTCGGATCTTTTCCTGCTGTTCTTCATCACCTACAGTGATTTCAAAATCTTGAAATTCTTGAAGCTGGTCAGGCATGAGAAACTGGATAAGAGCCAGCAGCTCTTTGACAGTGTTTTGCAAAGGTGTACCAGTAATAAGAAGTCGATTGGCAGTTGAAAAATCTTTAAGTGCCTCGTGAAGTTGCGATTCCGAATTTTTGAGACGGTGAGCTTCGTCAACAGCCAAAAATGCCCATTTGATTTTACCCAAATGTTCCTTGTCTTTTAAAATAAGCTCAAAGGTAGTCAACAGTACATTGAAGCGGATGCGAGGTTCCTTGGTTTTGGATGGGATGAAAAATTCATAGTTGCGAATAGTTTGACGAGAGGCGGTATCTCCATGATAGCAAATTACATTTATGTCAGGTGCCCATTGTTTAAATTCTTTTTGCCAGGCACCAATAGTAGATAGCGGCACGACAACAAGAAAAGGACCATATACATGTTGGGAGTGGAAGAGATAGGATAAAAATGATATTGACTGGATGGTTTTACCAAGACCCATTTCGTCAGCAAGGATGCCGTTTCGGTTACGATGCCACAAGTGAGCCATCCAATTGACACCCAGAAGCTGATAGTCGCGAAGTTCTCCACCAACAAGATAGCTGGGCTGCTTTTGAAAAGGTTTGTAGTCGGTTCGAACACGCTGAAAAGTATCGTTTTTATGTGGAACAGTTGAACTGGAATTTCGTTCCAAAAAAGAGTCAATTTCAGGCTGATCTTCAGGCAATAGCGAGTCTGCTGGTTCCCACGTACATTCTGCATACGATAACCTTCCCCATTTGCACAAGTATTCAGATCCGCTTAATCCAGCTCCCGAGTCAGATTCTCGTATGGCAATTACACGTTCAATAACTTTATAATCTTGAAGCAAGCCACGCTCCAATTCAAGCACAATATCCATTTGCTCAATTTCGTCAGGGCTAGCACCTGGATGATTGCGAAATGCATCTTCATCTTCAGCCTTTCGACGAGCATTCTCTACTTTTCGAAAACCTTTATAGTTTCGCAATTCAGAATACAAGTGCCAGGAGTTGTGGCGATGTGAAAGACCACGCCATTTCACAAGAAATTGTTCTTCTTTAACGCCAGGAGTGTCTATTCGAGTTCATTCAAAGTAGACAAACGGTTAGATATAATCAAGTATTAATACTCAATTAGCCGAGTGCAAAACGTATATCAAAGCAGCAGATTATGATTTATATAAAATATACCTTTTTCTGGTTCTCTAGTTCTGTGATCGACAACGGCCTCGATGATATAACCATCGTCTGTAAACAAATGTTACGATATTGAATACAACGTTTCATGTTGCAGTGTTAGCGAAATGAATGCATTGTAGTGCCAAACTATTTCGAATCTATGCTAATACACTTACCTCCAGCAGCAGCTTCAACAATTTGAAAATCTTGCTTCTTGCGCTTTTTCTTCTTGATTTCGTCTTCAGATGAGGATAAAAACCCAAGGTTTTGACTTTCCATGCGATAGTTCTTGACTTCTCGATTGCGGACCGAAAATCGCAAAGTATCGGTGTCAACTGGTATCAATTCATCATAAGCAGTCTTGCGACTTCTTGACTTGGAGTGTTTTTTGTGGCCACGAGATGATTTCTTACGGGTTTCAAACTCTGAAGATGAAGATGACTCTTCAGTCGATTCGTCAGATTCAACTGGAGTATATAAAATTGTTGTAGTTAAAATCTGGTACAAAAACCATTCTCTCGACAAACTCTAATACAGGTTTGTAAAAAACTAGCCAGCTATGCTTACTTTTGAGAATTGATTTTTGTTTAGCTCTTATTTCACCATGTTTTGGCCTGTGTCTTTTTTTCCGTCCAACTCCAAACGAGTCACTACTGGCTGAATCATCGCTGTTTTCATGAGACTGAAAATCATCATCGACAATCTTGATATGTACAAGGAATATTGGAAATTAAAAAATATTGGATTAGATTGCTGTAGCAAAATATATGAAAAAGGTCCAAATACTTCAACTCAATGACCCTCATGAGATTTGCTAGACATCTACTGCTGACAAATACATCCATCATTGCCACACCTTTGCATGTCGCGGCCGAGCTGAACGACGAAGTCCGTATAGTTCTGGGTTGATGGTGGAAAAGTCGAGGTCAAATTTGTTGACGAGTTTATTATGCTGTCTTTGAATAGCCTCCTCTGTGGATTGGGAATCATGATCGGATTGATGATCAATAAGCGACGAGTGATTGGAATCATGGCCTGGACTAAACACACAATCTCTAGCATCATCTGATGAAAGTGTATTTTTATGAGGTTCACCAGAAAAATCAGAGTCGAATATATCGTCGAAATCATCATCATCGACTATAACGATCCGGTTTGCAGTTTCTGCTATAGAATATTAGATGAAAAGTTAGTCAATGATAGTCAAACCAACATGATATCTAATCGAGATGGCAAAGAATTGAAGAAGTCTATCTGAGTCGAACGAGCACCTCAACACAAATTGGGCTAAAGTATATAGAAAGGGCCGATAATAAAACAAGAGTCTAGCCACCATGGCTGACCACAAGTGGACATGACATTTGGACATGGTTTTTTCAAGGTCCAACACACAAGATTAGTGCATTCTGGAGAAAAAAAAGAATATCACAAGGCTCAATCCTCTGCAGATAGAGCGATGCCTCTGTAGAGTATTTGCAACGCAAGAGGTTATCGCTATGCAAGACTACAGGTTGCAATGAGAAAAAGACTGCAAGTCTTGCATCTGCACAGCTCGGAAGTCAATACTCATTAGCAGCCAGCAGACAACATGCTCAATCCACCCAATCGCAACTCTTGTTGAGATCGATTGGATGATGCAGAGAGTGTCAAGGGTTAGGCTTGTCACTGCAGGTCAATTCACCTTGTGCAGCAGCTGCAGAAGAGGTCAGACTGGCAGTGTCTGGCAAGTGGGTTTGCACTGCATCCATGGTCTGATCACGATGTCCTGAATGGGGAAACCTGTTGCTGATAGCCTCGGTTGCTGAGTGCAGGTCGATGGTAGGGATTATAGAATAGCCTGTAAGTATATATCTGAAATCACTACTACTTTAATAGAAAGTCAGTGTTGACTACAGATGGAATTCTTTTATCAAGTTGGTCGTGAATCAAGTAGAAGACTTTTGATTCCAAGTTTTATTCAATTGCAGTCATATCGAGCCTTGCATGGTGTTGCTGATAATCAGTTACTTCTTACTTACAGTGTTGAGTTTGCTCTGTTTATCTACTGCAGTGTTTAATCTGCACTCTGGCGTGTAATGTATCGAAACAATCACTTTCATGTCACCAACATTAATAATTGAATATCAATCGTTTTAGACTAAATTGATACTAGTTATATTACAGTTTCATATTCCATCTTTCTTACAGTTTCATTTAAATCATTCAAATTCAATGAATTCCACTCAATTATTAATCATTTACTTTCAAGGCATAAATACAGACAATCTACGACTCAAAAAGGCTTTTTGTAATCGATTCAATTGACAGTTTCCTGAGGATCGCCCGACGCGTCGCTTTGCGAGTGGTCGAAATCTTGATTCATCCAAAGAAACATTCAACAATTGCTGTTGGGTTTGCTTGCCCATCAACTCTGCGATACATACAATTGCAGACTTTTAGTTTCAAGTAAGTTTTATATAGAGTTTTTTTACTCATGATCATGAATGCATTCACATCAGGTAGTTGCTACATACTTATGAATGCATGTCTTGTGCTATTTGTCATGTAGAGCATGGGCAACCCAGTACACGTTGTTGTTGAATATGACCCACTCAAGTCACGGTTGACAGGAGCGTCCATTGCTGTACAGCCATCAGGATATCGACCGCTTGCATCTGCATTGGTGGATACATTGGACTGGCCATTGAGAGCTAGTCGTACATCTGGAAATGCAATGTCATCGATCCCAGTCCCAGAACCTTCCTCATCCATAGATGCCTCGTTTTCAGACTCTATGTTGCATCTCTCAAACAGTAGAGCATTTCGTACCATTACTCTGGGTAGTTTAATAGCAAGGTCTGAAGTTAATCCCAATTCGCTTGTATCAGACAGTTATACTTATACTGGATTTGGAAGCTATGCTGGCCAAAGAAGCAGCTTTTTTCATATGCGACAACCTGCATTTCCTGATGAGATGTCAGAGAATCTATCCCAGTCATCTAGTCCTGGAATTGGATATCGCCAACAAAGCATTGCATCAGACATACCTCAATCATCCTTGACTGCCAGAAACAGAACCGCATCTGGCTTTTCAAGCCTCTCATCTTCTCCCGTACTCGAAAGGTGTCCTATGTGGGAACATCCTCGCAGAATGCTATTGGAAATTCAACAACGTGAATTGCATATAAACCAGCAACATCCACTTCGACGAGCTAATGCAGTTCGTCGCTCCACGTCTGAAGAGTCTGATACGGCAAATGGACAGCCCGTTTTGGAATTTTTAGAATACCCTGAAGAGTATCCTGACGAAGGAGCTGAAAATCGCAGCTTTGGATCCGGATCCGGATCCGGTGCCAGAACCACTCGAATTCGTTCCAATGTAACGGTAGACGATCTGGAACAGCTCATCATTCGCCAACTACGACCACGTACATTCAACCTATTGCTCGGAAGTTCAGCTACCGTATCCCGTCGTAATCGTGCATCAGCATCCCCTAATCTTAGTTTGCAAGAGCAATCTAATTCTATAAATGAATCGGAAAGTGGCCAGTCGTTGTCCATTGAAGGAGTGATGGAGCGATTGAGACGACAACTTCGAAACTCGTCTACACAACAGCTTCAAAACAGCGACGATCGAGTTCATCGGAGGCGAGTCGGAACCACCGTTGTCACTGATCGATCCTCTGCTTTGGCTTCAAACCAACAGGGTAATAGTGGTCGAGAATTGAGAAATAACGTGTATTCCAGAGGCTCCATGCGAGAACAGCGTTTGAGCAATTCGCCTCCTGCATCTAGAACTTCCCTCACATCATCGCTTACAAATACAGGCGTTTCTACTGCTGCCAACAATACTATAGATGCTGCTTCACTTTTTTCGTCATTTTTGCCAACTGATATGGAAAGACAGTCCACAGGCACTCAAAACTCCAATCTGGGAACTGACTCGGCACTTTCGCAAAGGTATCGATCCCATCCATCTGGAACACTTGCATCGCGACGGCTCTTTATTGCTTCCACTCTTCCAAATTTTTCATCTTTATTCAGTAATACACTCTTATCTGCACAAGCCACATCACCCACTGTAGATTCTTCTGACACACAATCTGGTGGTTTGGCAGCTAACCAAAGGAATACATCAGCAAATTCATTATCCATTTTCCCAGAAAGTACCCGACGATGGAGTGTAATTGAACGAGCACAAAACTTGATTACCTCTACAAACGCTCTGCTTGCTGCAACACCAGTCAGTTCACTGGGTTCCCGATCCAATCCTTCCACATTAGACTCTGATTCTTCTGACCAGACCAGTACATCATTTCGGGAATCTAATCGGTCAAGATTGCAAGTGCCTGGTATACAAAGCGGATCACCTGCTTTGACAAATACTATTTTATCTGGAGTAAGCCAGGTAGATTTATTTGGTGGTCTTGGAAACCAGGCACAAATTAATCTTAACCTTGACGAACACTGTCCTGTCGATTACGAAGCCCCAACTTCAGAAGACTAATAAACTAGGATTGTTTTGGTTTATGGAGTTTGAATCAAGTGTTAGAGGGACTGCAATATGGAATGAGCTCAATCGTTTGAAATATCTAATTTTCAGCCATATTCATGTAGAATGAAACACTGTTTTGCAATGATGTTATATGATGTACGCCATCAAATTATAGTTTTAAACTGGGGTGATCCTCTTGACAGTTATGCATTGTACAATCGCCAGATTCATGCATTACAATCCATATATTGAGCTTGTTTTAATGTTGCCAACAAAATTTATATTCGCGCTCTAGTTTAACATAGCAATGCAACTATTGTTTCCATGTTAATCATCCAATATTAAATGTTTGAAGCAAATGAGAATTGAAGATATAGCTGTGTTACGTACACATCTCTGCCATTTAAAATCCACTATTTAGTTGTAGATTAGCATGACATGTGTCGATACATTTGCCATTAAACAGTCGATCGATATCAATTTTCAATAGCAGCATATTTTTATATATCGAGTCAAACAGTTTTTGTATTTCGTTTATGCTTCCAACAGTCGACTTTTATGTAATCTTGCTAAATCAAAGTTGAACAAATCGTCCAAGTAGTTCAAAGCAGTCGTTTCATTTCTTACCAGCTCAACAAATTCAAAGATTATGCTACGAAATCCACAGAAACCTACTGGTGATGATATCTGGAAGTCCAAAATGGAAAAAGTGGTATGGCTCACTGTTTTTGAAACTACCACTTCATCTGCTGTTGAAAGACTGCTAGGCCTTGTTTAACCATCCATGGTGTGAATGTCGGACCTTGTATGATGTAATTCCTCGATATTTTCATTATATTGTGTCATCACCTTGTAGTACTCTGGTTGTACTTGATACATTCATTAAGATGGCCAACAGACATCCCGATTGTGAAGATACTGATAACAAGCCTGGTTGCTTTTGTATCCTTCTACGTTGCTAGAATGCTGAGCTGTTCACTTTGACCTATGGCTCGCTAGTTGCTCAGCTCATCAAGGATTTCGAAGACTATTCGCAGGTCAATGTGCAGCTTGATAAAATGTAAGTGGGTCATGCATACATCTTGTTTATAAATTAGCTTGATGGTTTCCAAACAGGTTACATTTGATTCATTTCAAACTCGGCCGAATGGCTGTGATGGGATTCAGATCTTTACTCACATAGTAATGGACTGATTGTTTGGATTTAGGGGATATAATATTGGCATGCGACTTATTGACGACTACCTTGCCAAAACTGCTTCAGGCAGATGCACGGATCTGCGTGACACTGCTGAAGCTATATCCAAGGTTGGTTTTGAATTATTACAAACAAGCAACTGTCCATAGTTTTGTATGGTTTACATATTAACCAAATCTCAAACCATTTTTCTTAGATGGGATTCAAGATCTTTCTTGGTATTTCACCAACTGTAACCAATTGGTCATTTGACGCAAAAGAGTTTAGTCTTATTTTGGATGAAAATCCATTATCAGAGTTTGTGGAGCTGCCTGAATCTGCACTTTCTGAGCTTTGGTTTTCAAACATTTTGTGTGGAGTGCTTCGTGGAGCTCTTGAAATGGTTCAAATGCAGGTGGAGGTTTGGTTTGTTAGTGATGTACTTCGAGGCGATGATACCACTGAGATGCGTGTTAAATTGGTCAAATATCTTGAAGAAGAAGTTCCTGCTGGAGAAGATTGATTGTCAAATCTGATCAAAGAGTAGTACTATTTACCATTGATTAAAGTTAATTAAATACCAAGTTTGCATTTTTAGTGAGTGTATCCATTTTCTGTGATTACACCATATTCGATATTCGATAAATTTGGCAGCATCTATCTGATTCATGCATGCAATGCACTTTTATTCGATCAAACTGCTCTGCTTTATTGGTAAAACCCATTGAAAATAGTATTTTCACAACCAAGATCTGTTTTGAAATTCAAACCTGATAATCGATGCAGTATATTTCCCATCGCTAATACAAACAGTATAACGCATAACTGACTATTCAAAGTATGCATAAATGGGTTGATCCATGACTTGGAGTTTAATAAACAGTCACATTTTTGATTTATTTGATCAAACCGCCTGCAACCGATTGAACTTTGCAAACGCCACGATCCGATTTGAGTACACATACTTTTTTGGATTCGTCAGGAGTAGTATAAACCGCTTGGAACTCGGTGTCAGTTAAAAAGTTTGGCTGGATGCTCTCCCACACCTTTCTTTTGGGATTCAGCTGTTTTTCAGGAGTACCTGATTGAATCAAACCCCATATTGGTATAGTAAAATCAGATTAATCAACTCATGCTTGATTAAAAAACTCGACAAAATTTACCTTTATGTCCATCGAAAAAGCAAACGTCGCCATTTTGAGAACCTGCAGGAGGTTCAAGTAGCTCCACAGTAGCTCCATCAGAAGAAGTAGTGGCAAGAACCATGGCCTGGGATTCAATGCCACGCATTTTCGCTGGTTTCAAGTTACATAAAACAACAACCTTTCGGTTCTCTAAAGCGCTCTCGGACATGTATTTTACAAGTCCAGACACAACTACACGAGCAGTTGCTTCTCCAAGATCGATTTCTTCTACATATAGAGTTTCGGCATCTGGGTGTCTTTTCACAGACACAATTGTGCCTATACGAATATCTAGCTTAGATAGATCGGGAAGAGCAGCTGTATTCATATTTCACATCGATTAGTATTGATCCAATGTACAGACGTGGAAATCCAGCACTATGCATTTAATTTATATTCTAAATCAGATAAGCTTACAATTGGTTGAAACAGGAGTGGCAGCTGATGTCTTGTCAGCCTTTGAGGCTTTTTTTGCAGCCTTGATTGCAGTTTTTTCACTGGTCGTAGCATGCTCAGCTGATGATTGATCTTTACTCTTGGATTTTGATCCTTTTTCAGCCGACTCTGTAGATTCAGTAGCGGCTTTTACAGTAGATTTTCCAGAAGTTTCAGCAATTACCATAGGTTTAACAAGTGGAACATTCAAGTCAAATTCAACCAATTTCAAAGGCGATTCCAGTTTCCATGCCAGAACTAGATGTTGAATTAGATCGTAGTGACGAAATACATTTGGAATTTCAAATCGCTCAGAGATACGAAACTATTGTATTGAATAGTTGGGGTATAAATGTTAGTTCACTAGTACACAAGTGCATAGAAAATGATGATTTTAACACTTTTGAGTCCATTAGGTTTAATTTAAACAGGCAACAAACCTACCGGTGTATTGTAGAGGACTGAAAAAAGAGCTAAATCTGCCAGAGACAGAGTGGTGCCAACAGTAAAGATACGATTGGAAAAAAGAGTGTTCAGTTGCTATATTTAGGATGATCCAAATAAGTTGTGTATTCTAATCCCGATGATTTGGATATTATCCAGTTTGGCATTCTGCACACGTCAAATGCAACAAAATGTCCACTTACAGACAGGGCAGTTTTTCTGTCATGTTTTAAAGCCATACAGGTGGTTGTCATGAAAATGTTGGTCCAGTCTACGATTTCAATAGCTGCACAATCAGTCTTGCCAAGTAGGTTGGTGCAACCTGCCTGATGGAGTAAATACTTGGCAATGCTGACAGTGCCTTCAATTGTAGTACCATTTTCCATGCTCAATACAGCCGACGCAGCCTATAAACAGTTGGTTCAAACAGCATCAGTGAAATCACGATGGTTTGGTATGCAATAAGAATCAATAGATTGAATTCATGTTTAGTAGAGTTTCAGATCGGCAACACTTTAAAGGATGGTAAATCGGTGTAAATGACTGAATGAATGTGCAATACCTGCTGGGAAGTCATGGCAGTGTCAGCATAAAAAGGAGTGATTTTATTGATAGTGAGTGAAAGCTGCTTCTTCACATACTCAGAAACCACTTGAAGGAGAATGTCTGTTGTTAGATGATCGACATTCATTGTTTTGGATTTATGAATTCAAGATTGGGTTTGAATTTTGCAGTCGTCTTTGTGTAAAACACTAAAAAGGGCGTCAAAGTGTACGATGAGCACCAAGTTTACTGAAAAACATTTTAAACTCAAAGTTTACGATATTTCTTGTGGAGATTAGCGTGTATAACTGCAATCGATGGATTTGTTGATTGTACAATCTCAAAGAATTTTAGTTTAAAACTATAGTTTATGTGATGAACGTCATGTTTATTCAACATGTCATTTTTTAATAGAAAAGTACGAATATTTAACCATTGCTATTCCAAAGTAGATTCATGACTGCATGCTGAAACAAAACTACATTTTACATAAATACAACTTTAGATCTACAAATGCCAACATGTGCATTTAGGTCAATGCTTTCCACATACAAGCATAGCGGAATATGAGATAAAGTTTATCTTGAAAGCATGCAGTTAAATAAATCTATTTATTCGTTAAAGCTAACATTGCGGCCAAGTGGAGCCTAAATCATCAAAGTGTTGTCAAAAACAAAATATATCATGTCAGACTAAATCTATGGTATTATTGTAAATTCAATATAGTCAAAATCCAGTAGAATAAAACAAGGCAAGCTTTACTGTTTGTGGACGTGCACTATGCTGCTCAGGGAGCTGTCTTGAACCTAAAGATACTAAATGTTAGCACTTGGTTACTCATCAGCAGTGTACACATATAAACTTGATACCTTTTGTAGTGTTTGATTCAAAAGGTATTGATACTATACGAGTACTATTTATACTTTCCGGTGTAGTGGATGTTCTTACAAAGCCTACTTGTTTTCCGCTTCCAAGACGTTGATAAATTGGCGATTTCTCCAAAGGCGGAAGGTCTGCTTGAGCACGATCAATAACGGGCCTTTTTACCAACTTTGAGGGTTGGTTGGCTGAAGTAGCTCTTGATGCAGATACATGACGTAAAATTCCTGCTGATCGACGATCAGCGAAGCCATGGGAAATGGCGGTTCTTGGGCGTTCGGGAGATGCTACTCGACTATTCATAACACAAGTTGAAAGTTCAGATTCAAAATACGGAGTTGTGTATCCTGAAGTCACGCTCGAAATTGTCTTGCATTCGTCTGGTAGAGAAATTCCATTTAGAAACAACTTTCGACGCAAAGCTTTGTTTTCACGCATAAGCCATTGGAGGTTCCCAACCATTTGAAAATGAACATCTGCACTCATTACATCGTTTGATGATATGGGCTCAGCTGCCACAGCAGCATTGATGGATTTTTTGCTGGAAAATTCCCCACCCAAGAGATTTTTTTGAGTGGTTGTAAGTTGAGAAGTTATCATGTCAGACTGTCTTGAAACCACATTTTTACTGCGTAAACAAGTACTAATTCCAGATTTGCTTGATCGAAAAATGCCGTCCTTGACTAATAGAGGAGTTTTTTTCTCTCTGTTAAAATTATAACAATTTAAACAGTGCGTTAGTATAAAGCTTAAATATTGGTTTAGGGTTAGATTAAAAGACATCTATGAATAAACTGAAAAGATACCTATCACGTTTTTCCTGAATCAAGGACTCCAATAATGCAGTCTTGTTGGATAGTTCTTGCATTAAATTATCAATATTGATTCCCTCATATCGACGAAGTTGATCTTCCAACTCTGTAAGCTTCTGAGACTTGCTTTCTGCTCGAGCCTTGTCACCTTTGGCAGACTTTAAAGAAGTACGATCCGCCATTTGGGAAACTGAGCCAGTACCCGCCTTTAAAGATTGTGTCCCTCTAGGTTTGGTTTGCTAAATTTGATAAAAGGTAAATCAGAATCAAAACAAGTCAAATGCTAATCAAACTATATCCTGACACTACCTCTTCACGCAACTGTCGTTGTAGATTTTCATTTTGGGTTTCAATAGTTGATTTTCCTTTTTGCAGTTTTCCCAACTGTTTGCGAAGAGCTCTTTCTCGAGCCTCTGCATCACGATAGTTGTCCCATAGCTTTTCTTCTGCCTCTTTATTGGCAGTGGCTAATTTGAATTGCTATACACGTTCAAAAGAGTTTAAATAGTAATGATGTAGATATCAATTAAACATTTGTGAGTTTTAGAAACAAAAATGCAGATTGTATTAAATAAATATTTGATCCAAATACCTGTTTCTCAAAAGTGCATTTTAGTGCCTGCTCCTTCATGCCAAAAATGGATCGTAGTTTCAAAACCTAATCATATGGTAGAATTAAAAAACAATATGCATCAACATATTGTCATGCGCTAAAAAAGTCGAATAAATTACCGTCATTTTGAGTTCGTGGTTTTGCTCTCGAAAAGTAGCAAGTTGCTGTTCATGCTGAATCATTGAGTCAGCAGTAGCCCTTAAAGTTGGCGGCAAATCGTCATTTTGAGTAGTGATCATCAGTTGCTCCTTTTTGGCTTCGGCCATGATGTTCATGACATCGTTGAGACTTCCAATTTGGTATTCGTGAAATCTATGCCGTAAAACACCAATTTCCTTGACCAAATCCTCAACAAGACTATCATATTCGTGAATAATTCGATTGCGTATTTTTCGTTCATCAATTTTACGATTTTTTCGCAATTCGTTCAGCTCAACTGACATACTAGCAAGCTCAGCATAGGTATCAAGAGCTAATTCATGGCCAACTAATCGCGCTTCTCGTTTGAAATTCTACAGATCAAGACAAAATGTATGACATAAAAGTTTAGCATCTAAGCATAGACTATATAGTATATATCAATAGTACTATAGATTCAATAACATACATTCATAATATCCCGTTTTTCTTGCATTTGAAAAAGAATAATACGTTCGCAATTTCGAATAGTATCAAGCAGATGACCATAAAGTGCTCCAATAAACCCTTCTTGTTCCAAAGCACGATCGCTTTTCCACTGATTCAAATGAGTTGCTAGTCGGACAATCTATCATTAAAATAAATTAAAAATGCATTCTTTGAGTTTTTGTACATTCATTATACTTTAGTTTGATCAATATTACCGCTTGTCCAAGATCTTCCTTTTTGCAAGAAAATATTTTTTTATCATCAAAAAGCGTCGACAGCTGACTATCCTCTGTTTTGGACTGAGCCTTTCCCAACTTTCCAAGCGGTAGCGTAGGTTGTTTGTCTTTTAGCTCTTTAGCCTGAAAAATGATTCAATATTTTCAACAACTTTGTGAATATAAACTAAAAGCGAGTAAATTCCACCTTGCCAAATCAAACAGTATACTTACAAAATCCATACTAGCACGATGCAGATCGGTTAGAAATGTATTGAAAATGGATGATTTAGTATTATAATCTTCCTCTGAAATCTGGAATGCATAAGTGTCCGAATAAGTGGGGGATGTTATTTTGGTAATGCCGCTACTTCTAAAAAGTTTTCCTAATCGCTCATCGGTCAGCTTATCAAAATATACTTGTGCTTCTCTAGTTAGTTTTTGAGTAAAATCTCGAATAATTTCGTTTTGAAGAACTTGTAGTTGACATTTATCAAACGCATTACGAGCTGTTTGATTCAATTCCAGAATTGAATTTCCGCAAACAATTTCGTCTTGAATCAAAGACGCTATTGATTTACAGTTTAAATAGGATGCACATGTCAATATATATTGTAAAGCTAGCCCAAAAGTTTTGCAATTTGTAAAAACAACAGTCAAATACATACCAGTACTTGCATCTAAACACAATTGTAAAAATAAAAATTAAGTCTTGTGAATAAAATGTATAACATATCAAAAAACTTACTTCCTTTAGATCCAGTTTTGTGATACATTTTCACAGCTGGAACAATGATTCTCATTTTAAATTTTTGAAAGAAAGCAATTCGAGATGCTTCATCCTTTGAAAACAATAGCATGTAGATTAGACAATGAAATCACGCCAGGTTTGCAAATTTACACAAATAGCCAAATTTAGTTACTTGAATCAGGTTTCCATTTGTAATGATGTTAAAGTATTCGCGACGCAAGGCCAGTAGTTTGATGTTCGAGGTCAGAAAATCAGTCAGACTTTTATTCATGTTTTCATCTGACCCATTGTACTGAACAACTTGCAGATACTCTTCAATGTTTTCCTCAATTTCCTTGACATTGAAGTCACATATACGCTTTGCTTCTACAGTCAGCTCTCCAAACACATATAATGATGGAATGTATGTTCTGGTAACTACAAAAGCAGACTAGGATTCATTATACATTCCATAGTAAACGTAGCAAAAAATCAAGATTAGGTTGGAAATTGCATCAAAGCATCAGATATTCTATCCAAGATTTACCTTTGTGCTCTGAAGTGGCTTTTCATACTTTCCACGTTTTGGCTCACGCAAATGAGCAAACTTTTTAGTGATGCACTTGGAATAGTGAGCCATAAGTATGTTGCGATCCCAAGTCAGCTGTTGAAAAACAGAACTAGTAGTAAGTACAAATGCTATTCAAATAAAACCATATTTGCTTGTTCAAATCTGGTTTACATTGACACCATACCATTTTCATTTCAAGGGCATGTATGGAAAATGAAAGTATATATTTCAGTTTTAAATACCAAAATTGCCATCGCGAGCTTAAAAACGATTGCACTCGAATGCTGTCAGCCGGCTCGCCTTGATTCATCAAATCTCGTTTGATCAAATTCACTGTAGATACAACGTAATCTGCTTCTCGCATCAGTTTCACTACGTAAATCAAGTTGAAATCCATATGTATTAGCTATTATAAAAAATCAACTAGAGTTTCACTATTGCATACCTGAAGTTGAATATCGATTGTTGTCTTGTAGTAAGTGTGAAAACACCATAATAATAGAAAGTAACTCATAAACAAGAGAGTGAATTCTGGTTGATTTGAAAAACAATTGTTTGTTTCTGTAAATACGATGAGACAAATCTATGGGTCCTTTATATGGCTTATCAGGACCGCTCATTGCCTAAAAGCCCATGAGATACAAATTAAAAAACGTAGAGTCGAGTATATACTGCAGTTAGTGTTGGTTAATAAACCTGACCGTGTTCAAATACTTACCAAAATAATTTCTGTCAAATGTGGAAGATACCAAAGACGCGCTAGTCGCTCTGGTCCAAGTCCGCTATCGTTGGATACAACTTCCTGAACTTGAACAGATTGCTTGTATTTGTATTTTTCACTCTCAGCACCATTATCCTGCAGACCTGTGCAAGCGTACAGTAAATATTGTAAGCACACTGTTTTAAAAAGTACACAATACTTGATGCCAGCAGAATGCTTACTTGCAAAATAGTCGGAATGCTTGGTTATTGGAGATATCTGAAACAATAGTTTACCATATTGAGTTCGTATTCATCAAATATTAAAATAAACCAAAGGTCAAGTATTTACAGCAGACCATACAATTAAATTCAAACATTTATAGCAATTCTAATGATTTGACTCGTCAAAAATTATAAAAAGGATATTGTTTACAACTTTGCGAATCTCAGAAATGAGTTTAGCAAATTCAGTGCGTTCACATTCTTCAGCAACAACCTCGGCAAAATTGGCATAGTACCAATCAACCAATTTAACCTACGCAATCGAATGGTAAATATCAGATTTTAAAACTTGTAGATTTTAAACCGTCCACAAATATGTGGCATAAATAAATCACCTTGAACTTTGTTAGCGCCTGCTCTTTTTGATTATCAGTGATGTCTTGTGTTGAAAGCAGTTTATACCTAGACACCAGAATAAAGCGGAATGAATTTCATGCACAAATTACCAGCCAGTGTTGGTACAACAAAAACTCACTCTCGAGAGTATTCGGTCATGAGAATACGACGCAGCTGCTTTTTCTTGGTAAGATTTGAAGTGACAAGGGCTCTATAATCAGTATCAAAGCGCGATTGATCTTGTGTTGGTTTTGATATTGGCTCGGATGTGGGCCGTGTAGTTTGTGCAGCTTCAACCTGTTGCACAGATTTACCATCGAGTACTCCAGCGTGAATTTCTTCCAATAACATATCATGAAGTTCTGTAGCAGCCATAAACCAATTTTTATCCAATATTTGAATCTGATATCAAGCATTAAAAAGTATATAGTCAGTATGCGCACTACAAAATAAATGATTACTGAATTCAGGGTTTGCATCAATGATTTGAAAGCACAATCTTTTGTAAAAATCTCACTTTTATGCATTGCTTTAGACGATTTATACCACTTGGCTTCATGAGACTAGTTATCCCTTGAATAGTGGATAAATCAAACTGTATCATAGATTCATCAAGTTCTGACATGGAAAGAGGACCAAACCGTAATACATCTGCGCTCATACTCGAAACCATTGCATCCATTTCCAAATCATCAGCAAAGTCTCGCTTTCCCAAGTAATCATCCTCTGCATCCTCCAACTGGATATAAATTGTCGAACCAACAAGAAAGATTATCAAAATCGTATCAATCAAATGATTTAGCACTTTTAAAGATTTCCATCGTACCTCTTGTGGATCTTCTGCAGATTCAGTCATCAAGTTTCCTGTTTCAAATCGCAATGGTCTAAGACGACCAGTGTAGCCAGTTTTGACAACACCCATCTGGGAAAATTGTGCGTCATACGAGTTTTTCCAATTTTCTGTAGATAGTAAAAAATAGATTTAAATCTTGTTTGCTTTCAAAAATGCAATCTGGTATTTACAGAATTAAATTACCTGATTCTATCCATACTTTCCAGAGTCTGCTTCGAAGTATCAGTACTTTATACAGTCGATACATTATTTCACGTCCATTGGATTGAAAGCTCGCATCAGTGAAACAGGTCGATGCAGAAAGCTGAACACCAAGAGATTTGTATGTGCCTTCATTGGATTGATCATAAGGTACATAGTGCTCGCTTAGTAGCATATCTGGCAAATATGGGTTGTATATTAAACCATTAGAATCTAGGCCACTTGTAACCCGGGAATTTCTTGATGGGGGTTGAAATTTAAGACTAGACATTGCCTCCCAGTAATTCTTTCATATTATAAAAACGTTAGAATTTAATATGCATGATTGGACTCTTTTGTAGTTTTTAATCCACAAATCAGAGTAGGATTAAATGATTAGCTGACATACATTTAGCGTTTTTAGAATAACACAATCTATTATTCCTTTCGACTGACGCGTGCCAGGTGGTGATAATTTCTCAATAATGTTGCACATATCTGTTGACAAGGTTTGAACTATATTCCACATTGATATAATAATATCAAATGCCTGAAAGAATTCTGTAAGCCGAATGGTAATCTCAGGATGATGCATGACAACAGTTTGGGAATCATCATCTGTATATAGTACCAAAACACAAATCAGCATAATGGTTGAATAGATTTATCGTTATTCATGTCAAATATATATTACCTGGAGCTACTGGAAGTTCAACATTTAGAATTGAAGAAAACTGTCGCTGAGATATGTTTACGCTAGCTGGTGTACTCTTTTCAGCAGAAAACGACAACTCGTTTGAGTTGGAAAATTCGGTTGATTTTTTTTCACTGTTACAGTAAATGCATCAGATAATCAATAAAAAATTCACAAGTTTCAAATGAAATAAAAACGACTTTGCGGTACCTTGGTGCGAACCTGGCACAAAAATCTCTTTGACACGTAGTTGTATGGCGAATGCAACTAACGACGATTTGTGCATGCAGCTGTAAAGCCTTTGTTGCACATGCATATGATTTGCTATAGTATGTTGCCTAGTAATACATATATGATTAAGATTAGCTACAAAACAATATCTTGACAAGTATAAACTATTAGCACATAAACAAATATTACTTCGAAATCAATTTCAGGTTGAGTATGGATAGTGTTGGTAATTATTTGTGCAAGCTCTTTGATACTGGTGACATCTGTCGTATGTTCGTATGCCTCAAGATAACTATTGATCAACTGATTGACAGACAAAATCAGCGTGTTAAATCATGTTTCTACCATTATTTTCTTGTCGTAACAAGCATGAGATATCAATAATTTACTTCAATTTTGGAATATGTGTACAACAAATGCGCTTCATAAAACTCGAGCATCATTTGTGAACGATCTGCATGTGGATTTAAATAGGTGGCATTTGACGTTTCATCTATTGTATATTATTGCAAAAATAAGTATGCTAGATTTTAATGCAATATGTAAGTAGTAAGACAACCAAAATATAAACTTACAACGGCGGTTTGACATTCTGAAGCGTAATTCATCCAGATAATCGGGATAAACATGCTCATCAAGAGCATTTTGATTAATAAACACTGTGATTACTTTGAGCATTTGGGTTTCAAAATTCTCCAAATCTGTAAATGCCATATCTTTAAAAAATCAGTTAGCGTTTAAAAGTTTATTCAATTTCAAAAAACAACACCATGTTCTTACCGTATATGAATGAAACTCCTTTACTGTCTGATATCTGAATTTTACCATTGACAATAGATCGTGTATCACACATGTATGATAGTGCGTCCAACTTATTTTCTTTCAAAAGATTGTCTTGCACATCATCTCCCAAAGTACCAATATCAACAAATTCTGCCTGGCGCCACCTAAAAACAAGTGTGTATTATAATAACCACAAAATAAACAACAGAAATAGTCATTGAATACGATTAAACCACCACAAAAGTTACATTTGGGCAACCAGTCCTGCAGAGTTTGATGGTGTATTAGAAATCATTTGCTTTTCTATGCAGTTTATCTATTTATTATAAACCATATGTCAAGATGAATACACAAAACAGTAAAATTAAACAGGTTGTAAAAGCAAAGCATGTTCTACCTACATCGTAACTAAGCTGTTTTTCTACACTACGAAGAAAATTGAATTGTCTGAGAAGCTTTACTCTAATTTCGCGTATTTTGATAAATCGAAGTTGCAGGTAGGCAAATACTTCATGCTCTGCAAAAATTGTCGCCAATGTGGGCTAATAAAAAGTTGCGGTTAGTAGAAGAAAAATATACATCAATTGATACATAACCATATCAATCTTTATATTCTACCTTGATTGTATTTTTGTTTTCAACAATATGATCTGGATTTAAATTAAGCAACTCCATGTCAATTTTACGACTATCCTCGATGCTTTTAAGCACGCTTCCGTATTCAATCTTTTTTGACAGTAGTATTGTGGATTCAATGACATCTCCGTCATTTATAGGCATCCTCATTCCAAAATCAAACGTTTTGCCACAGCGACTATCAGCCGATTCAGCAGGTGGCTTATACTCTCTTTGTTGTGGAATAATCGAGATCTTGACATTCAATGGACAAGAATTGGGCTCTGCTGCAGCCTTTTCCCAAACTCGTTTAGCCATATCTTTTAGCTGAGTTCCCACATATTCATGATCTGTGGAAATGACCATGTCATGCTCTAAACGGAGCTCCATATCTATATTTTTTAGCTAACAACACAATAGAAAGTTATATGAGCGTTAAATAATTTTAGTAAAAATACTAATCAAGTTAAAATATCTAACCTGGGACAATTTGTGTCGATCTTCAGATTGTCGAAATTCGTTGACTGGCATTGGCTTGATGATATTAAGCCATGTTGCTCTTCGAAGTTTGGGAAATCTAATAAATGCTGTTTTCCATTAAATAAATATAGTAAGTATTCAAATGAATTTTATACGCCGAGTGTATCGATAAAAATGGCATGAAATTGAAAAATAAGATTGTACCTTTGGTACTGGACTTGGAAGTAAACCCCGACACGCCTGCAAGAGAACTCATGAACGAATCCAAACCACTATTTCCTGGATATTGGTTTAAAGCAGACTTTTCTCCTGTTTCCGTGTAATCGTTAGAAGTGATCAAGGTATCATATGGTGCCAATACGACCTCCATAGTTTGCTCACAAAAGTTGGTAAAAAACTTATGATCGACTTCATAGGCAAAAGGACGTCCATCTTCATGGTCAATTTGAGTATCTGTCTTCCAATGAGCCACAAGAAGATCGTATTCTGTAAGAAAATCTTCCACTTTTGGATTCTTGAGTGGGAATTGATTCATAAACCTAATTTAGACATGTATCGGCAATTAAAGTTTAAACAGTAGATTTGGTAAACATGGTTGAATAGTTGGCCGTTTTCAAAATGAAAATATCAGTATATACCCATTCAGGTCACCCAATTGGTTCAAAACATCTGGAAGATCATCTCCAGGTTTAAGTGAGTTTAATGTGTGATATTCTGATAAAAGCTGCTCACGATCACTATGCAATATCATCTACACAAGCAAAACAAAAATTAAAAGCTTTGTGATGGATAAATTGTATGACACTTTTAACAATTCCTACTTTGCTTTTCAGTGAAAACAGGTTAAAGTCGCAATGATTTCTTTCAGTACCAATCATCCATCTCAAATAAATGACCATGTCAGAAACGTCAAATCCGGGATTTTCAGCTACTTCATGCTGCCCAAATATCGACGGTTCTTCCATTATATTAGAAGATACTATACATTTGACAATAGTTTAGATTGACATGACTAAACAATAGTCGAAAGTATATTTTTGCAATCCGATATTACCATTGGTTTCTGGTTTTTCATTCTTCCTTTCTTCCTGCTTTAAAGTGTTTGCTATCTTGGGTTTTAGTACAGCCAGACCACGACGCTCTGCATCTATGCGAGAAATCTCTGCAGTAGCCTAGTAATACAAGTAAATATAAATACAAAATAGTTTTTTGGAATAACCAAATTTTAGTGTAAAGCAAAATATCACTGTTCACCATGTCAGCTCGCCGTTTTTGTGAAATTGCTTGACGAAACTCGTATAATCGCTCGTATCGATTAACCGAATCTATAAATTCACGACGTAAATACTCGTGTCGTTTTTTAAATACGGGTGAAAACCTGGATATATCAAAAGATGTTCGACCTAGAAAAAGAAATTGCAAGTGTCAATATCAGGCTGTTTGTCTTTAGGTTTGATCTGATTCTTACAAAAACGACTCCATCGTGAAACCAATAGTCTATTTTCTTGTAGTATCCGTTCGGTCTTTTCTTTAAAAAACCCTATTAAAATTTCCAAATGGCGATCTCCTTCAAAATGTTGCTCTATGTTCCAATACTGACGGGTCTAGAGTTGTATTTGGATAAAATATAGTAGCTATGTTAATAAAAACAACATTCAATTTCAATAGATTTCTAAAAGCTGGATTTTAATCAGACAAGTACTTCTTTTTGAATCACTTCGCTTGATCCGACTTTTCGTGATGGCATTTCCACTTTTAAGATCCCTTCAACATTGTCTTTTCGGAGAGACTTGTACATTTCAAATTTACTAATTATTGCAAGAGATTATATCAAAACATAATAAGATTGTATTCTACCGCACTCAGTTAATACATAGAAAACATACGCTATTGGAGGAATTAATGGCATCCGCGTACGACCCTCGCCAGTGATTTGAAACTCCTTGTTTCTAGCATCGATAAGAATTCGAATATCTTCAAGAAGCTAATAGTAGATATATGTAGGATATGCGTGCATTTATCAAGCACAATCAACGAGGTTGAATTATCAACGCCAGACATAATGAGTATATATTTAACGCAGAATAACAAGCAGTACTGTATGACCAACACTTGACAAGATGCAACTCAACACATACATTATCCATCTGCTTGTCTAAAAAAGGGAGCGAATCAGGCGGAGAATTATCGATGAGCGAATCAGGAAAACCATTTTCAGGTTTAAGCAGAGAGTCAGTGCCAGAAAGAACAGTTTGTTCTGTCTTGTCAACACCAGCAAGTGGTGTACGAGAATTGACGGAATTCATACAACAGTTGAAGGAGAGTCGAGTGAGTGCAAGCAACCGCGTCGGTCGAGTTTGGATTTAGTTGTTTGCCAATCTACACATAGGAGTTGGATAGCAGGATCGATAGACCTGCAACAATGGCAGAGAGTACTCGCTTGAGAAGCAGCAGACTGCAGCAACTGGATGCTGAAGCGCAATTGCAGCAAACTATCTTGGCTTCAGATTCGATTGGCCCTGGTGCATCTACTGCTGGAACCACTCAAGTCATTACTGGAACCAATACTGGAACCAATACTGGAACCAATACTGGAGCCAATGAAGTCGTTACTGGAACCACCGCCATGACAGGACATGCTGTTGCTAATAGAGATGTTTTGGTTACTAGAACACATACACTACCATCTAGCACTCAAATGCGCTTAAAGGCAGGATCCCATACTCGCAAGGCAACTTCAAATCATCCTAGCTCAGTCTCGTCTTATACAACCCCAAGAACAAGCACTCAGTCTTCAGACTCTACCAATACGGCAGTGGGATCACTACAACATCACTGTGGATCGTTGGAATTGTCGTCCCAGCAATCCAATAATACTTTTACAACTGCAATAGTTGAATCTAATCTACAATCTCCAGCTTCATCCAACCGTACAGCTGATGCATTCAAGCAAATTGATACGGAATCAACTCGAAATGCACCTCCGAGTAACTCAAACACTAATAGGCTTTTGGATCTTGACAGTTCCTATATGTCAAAGCCTGAAATTCATGCTACTATACCAATTCTAGAGAAATCAAATACTATTCAGAAAGAAACACGCAATCCTACCATTGCTTCTGGCTGCTCAACAACCTCTATGGAATCGGAAACTCGACATTCCAATGTAAGTTGGATTTGCACTGTCCTATAGTCTAAAATGCTGTGTATTCGATACATAGTATCATTTTAAACAATCATGCTGATTTTAATCTGATATCACTCAAAGGGTCAAATGCCAACAGGCGTGGCTAGACTATCCACTTCAAGCTCGGGACTATCTGCTGGCATTAATTCGGATTCACTGACTGGAGAACAAGTGAATCACTTGCTTGAATCAAATGACACCAATGAAAAATCTGATTCTATATCAAATATCAAAAACAAACTGCGATCTCATGGTCCCTATGTTCGAATCTACAGCAGACTTGATCAACCAGTCACTTTGGGTGCAGCTAAAAAACTTGATCATACATCAAATACCACTTTTCATGGATCAAAAAAAGCCAGCGTTACTATTCCTCATTCTGCAACACACCCACAATCCAACATGCGTCTTCCGGGATTAGATGTTCTATGTGGAGATGCCAACGATTTATCAGTTCTGGATGTTTCGTCAACAAAAACAAGTCCGTCAAACGGGTTTTTATATCCTGGTATTATTCGAACTGCAAATAATATCAATCGAGTAACTGTAGCTACAGCTATAAATCTTCCTTATTCGACGTCCCCATCACAAATGATACTGGCAAGACCTGTTATATCTCGGCAAGGTCCTCGATATGCTAGATCCAGTACTGGTTCTAGATCCAGTTGCAGCAACAACAATTCTCGCAACAGTGTTCCAATATCTCATTGGCAAAACAGCACTTTGCGCGAAAACTTCAAGCATCTTCCTTCAACGATCCAAGAGTCTGTCAATGATCTGCAATCACAATACATGCCAAGAGAGCTTGCTTCTATGCCATTACTTCCCTTTTTAAGCATGTCAAATTCCCTTCAACTTTATCTAAAGATGAATGTTCTTCAATCATCAGAAGGGATTATTGGCTGGATTTCTGGAAGCTTTTTAACACAAATCAGTCCATTTATTACTGCCATCAAACCACACGCAAGTCATTCAATTGGATCTACTGCTTCTCGTTTATTTGGAATCCATGCCATTAAAACATTTGTCAAGTCGCTATCATCCTCTGATTTAGTAACTTACGATACTCCACAGCCGATTTCACCCGGCTATCTTTTATTAACAAGCTCGTCTATATATATATTTCGGCCCTTATTTTCACTCTTCAACCTCAAGATTCCATTGCGTGATGAACAGACCTCATATACAGATCCAACCAATCTTTTAGAACTTGTATGCAAATTTTCCCATGTGAATATAGCTCGTGTAGATGTTGGTCCAAGTCGGCAGCATTTATGCTTTCATGTTGTCGAGTCCACCAACAATATATCCACTCCGTCTTTGCTTTCAAAAGTCCCAAGCACAACGTCCATAACCCCAAACAGCACACCTGAACCCGATACTCCAACTACAGGGTTTTATGCCGCAAACGATAAAGCAGTAGTAAAGCGGGCTTCTAGTAAACCAAAAGTTGTGTCTTGGGTATTTCTTTCCAGATCGAGAATACACACAACTCAGATTGTTGACTGTCTTACGACATCTCTTGATGAATTGCGAGAATCACTTCCGATAGGAAATACAGTCAATCAGGACATTGAATCTTCATTGAGAAATCTTCAATCCACCGTGTTTCTCCGCAAAGGATCAAAAAGTGTTGGAATCCTGCATTATGATGGAGTATGGAGTTTACCCAAGTCGCCCTTGTCAATAGCACCTACAGAAGGACAAAGAAGGGGATCCGCGATTGTTTGCGATCCATTACATATCCTTTCAGACGATGAGCATGACAAGGCAGCATTTGCAGATGTAACCAAGGTGGATTTTGACTTTATTCGTGTCTATCTTCTAGGCTGTTTCTTACGGTATATACGCCCCATTGCTGAATTATCTGAGCGTACAGTCAAAATTGAGCATATATCGATAATTGGAACATCAGAATACATCTACATAACTACCGAACGCTTAGATGTGTGGCCACCCTTGATTATTCCACCCGAATTTTCGCCACATGCTTCAACCAATGCACGCATCAACAGTGTGCTTCCACAACTTTCACAAAGCTTTGGAGGTAAAGGAATGGTTGCTGATATCGTTTCGCAGTTTGATCACGTTCTTGGTGTTGGACGGATGCGGGATATTATTCGTGTAGAGCGTTGGAGGACATGGAGGATCGATAATGCTCTTGGCTTACCTGGAGAAGCACCGCCTGTATGTTTTAGTAATCTTGGAGAAACTTTACAAAATGGATTTCTTGGATTCATGGGAGTGGATGCTACACGAGTTGCTCCAGAGGTTCAACAAGGGTGCACCAGCGGATGGTTTTGGTGGGTACGTATTGTTTTTGGCGAGCATCTTCATCCTGCTGGAGATCCTTGCGTATACAATAGTCCCCAGCCCACCGCTGCACCCGAGTCAATTCCGTGTTCAACATCTACAGAGCGTGTTTCCTATTGGTGGGATCTTGCCTTTGCAAACCGTGATGCTGTCGATGAATTATTTGATGCTATTAAAGCGGCATGCAACTTTTCTATACAAGATGACAATCAGTCTCAGACGGCAAACTATCACTCCTACATAAACAATGGATCAAATTCACACGAAGTTGGTCCTGTATTTGTTTTGGGTGATGATTAGATACTGCTATTTTATGTTGGTGTAATTCAGTGCATTTTGCTTTATAGTTTTATTTCAGCGACTGTGGCTATATATCATCCCCAATTTACAACCTTTGAATTGTGTTTTGAAATAAAGGATACTATATATATTCTGCATTCAATATCTCACGCTAAAAATGTTTTCTTGAACTGCATGATTGCTACTTGACAGCCCTTTAGTATGATTTGAGCCATTATCAATATGGCTAGCCTAGCTTTTCATTTTCAATACAAGCTTTTCTACATCAAACTCGTCGCGTGTGATGCAACAAAACTTGTCTTGACTAATCTACACTTGTTGTTTTAGAAAATACTGTTAAATATACAAGGTATGGAAGTTTACAGAAATACAGAGATGCCTGATGCTGCTGGAAAAGCAGCACTCAAGCCATTGGAACATGTGGCCGCACTTCAGGCAGAAATCCAGGTAATACTATTTTGGTTTCTTGGTGAATTAGTCGTCATAGGCAGCTTGGTTACTTGGAATTTGGCGTATAATTCACTTAATATACAATTGACACTAGATTCATTATTGTATTGAGGTATGGGATGTGCGAATGCTGGAGTGTAGCCGCGCACCTATGCTGCTATTTTGCCCATATTGGAACCATCCACTATCCATTTGATTTATCATATTTCCGTATGTGTTTTTAAAATGAGTTTAACTCCAACCCATCTAAACCTGAAATTTAGGAACTCAATGGACTTCACGAAAAGGAAAAAGGAAGTTTGATGGATACCATTTCTAAAAAGAACCAGCAACTCGAGATGCAGCGTATTAAGCTCTATCGATACGAGCTGGCATTAAAGGAAGCAGTATTGTTTTTAGGAAAACCACTCATGGCCTATGATAATTGGCTAAACAATCGGCAGGGTGTCAGCTCCCTAAATGCAGTGTCTGCAGCTTTGACAGATACTTTAACTCCTCTCCAGACTCCGTCCAGCTATATCTACGACTCGAAATCAGATGCTCGTGGATTGGCTCAACAACGGTCACGTCACATGTCAATTTCACCTCAAGAATCCCAATCGGCACAGTCAAGCTCCAATACAGCTACAAAGACTCAGATACCTGCAAATGGCTCTACTCCTTTATTTGAAAAACAGCTTGGTCGGTTGAAAGTAAACGAGCCACTTGCATCACCTTTGATAGAAACAGTAACTGCTCTTGAAAGTCAGTGCTTAGAATGTATGCGTTTGGCTTTAAACTTTCTTCAATCTGCTCAAAAATCTATACATGCAATCGATTTGGGAACATACGTGTCGACTGCAAATACAATGGTAGTCCCTGTGGAAAACGAGTCTCTTGCTCTTTTGGGAAATGTAGCTGCTTTGGAAATTGATTCAGTGACCGAAAAGAAATTGGACTCGATTTCAATTCCTCGAATTGTACGTGCAGATTCATTCAAATCTGAAAGCATCGTTTCCAAGAAATCTGGCAAAGAAAAGCCATTACCAAGCCCCCTAAATAGTAATTATACTCCAGATGATCGAGTTCCTAGTATTTCTTTAGCAAACAAACCCCTTTCAATTTTTCCTGGAGTAAAAGGCGGTGTCGATAAAGACGACGAGCATGACGACGGTGATCTATCAACTGCCTCCAACACCACCTCACCTGTGAATAAACTTAAATCAAAGTGTCCAACTTGTCGCGAACATTTGATTCAGATGGATCATTTACGGGATACCATTAAAGAACTACAGATTGAAAATCAGCATTTAGAGATCGAATTCAACAACGAAAAAAATGCCAAAAAACGAATCCAGCAATCCAAGGAAAACATTGACCAAGAGATTGAAGAATTGACATCACAGCTGTTTGATCAAGCCAACTCACTTGTGTCTGAGCATGCTCGTATTCGTGACGAAACAGAAACTGCTTACAAAAACCTGCGAATCAAATATCAAGTCATTAATAAGAAACTACAGACTCGTGATGAAGAACTTAGACAATTAAAAAAGGAAATGTACGATGTCCAGGGTTCACAAATGCTAACCACATCATTTTATTCTGATGTACGCGAATCAATGGGCCAGTTGAGTTCAGTAGCCGGAAAATCATCCAACGCTGCTATCAATGTGGTTTCAAATCAGGACGAATCAGAATCACCACATTCTCTTTCTCAAGTTGTTCGGTATGCTCCGCGACAGAGACAGCTTTCAGTTGATGCAGAACGTCATGCCATCCATTACTCTCACACCATTGTTGCTGGATATGACATGTTTGAATCCTCAGTAGCAGTAGATGGTGTCATTTTTCAAGAATTTCAAGAGCATGTCAAAACTATTCTTTTGGCTGGAACTCAATCTGTATCTCAAGCGTATCTGACTACGTACTCTACACTTTTCATGAAGCGTTGCATTGCTGAAAGTGTCGAGCCGTGTCTATTTTATTCCTATCCGGTACATGGTGCAGGATACTCAAAATCAAATGTGTATGGAGTAGGTATGAGCGCTTCGTTTAAGAAAAAACTGTTTGATTGCGCCATGAAGGGACTCTGTGAAGTGAAACTTGTTGCTGGGATTACTAGTCCTCGCGTTACATTGTCCGTCTTATCTCCAGCAATCGAACCTACTCTAACCGAACCGAGTTCTCAAGTCACACAGGCTGTTCCAAAAGATAGATGTGCTTTATGTACTATTGTTCGTGATTGCGAATATGCCATTCGACTACTGCCTGCTTCAAGCAATACCAAACAATGGGCTGGATTATGTCGTTGCTGTCGCGACCGAGTAACTAGTGTCCTCGACTTTTTTACATATTCAAATTATATGATTCAAGGGTCGATTGGTCCTGGAAAACAAGGTGCTACCATTTTGAGTATATTTAGACAGATGCTATGGTTGTGTAGGAGAATGTCGACTGCCAAAATTGGAAGTTGTAGTATGTTTGAAACTGCACTTTCAGCCATCACTGGACCTGGAGGTGGTGGTGATTGGGAAACTGATATTAAGATTCTTACATAGATGAGTATCATAAAAATAGATATTCTATTTCGATAAAATGTGTTTTGATTTTACTTGATGAATTTATCTCGCATAATTCATCGAGTAGTACTATGATTGACACCCCGATTTGAACAAAATAATATAAAGTTTAATAAATACGAGCCCGTTGTACGGACAATCTACTGGAAGTTTGACTGCTTTTCACAAGGACACCTAAGCAGAATCCAATCCAGAGCATTACGTGTATAACAAGTGATAATCACCTGCTTAGGGATTCGACTAACCCATCACATATAATCAGTAGGATGTATGGATGTGCAGAACTGGGTGTGGATACAAAAAATACTGCATTCAGCATCCACGTCTTGGAGTGGCACGTCGGTAACGAAATAAACTTGATTTATTCAAGCGCCTTTGATCCACATTCTAAAAGCTTGGCCATTTAATTTTAAACCATTTATACTACTATTCATTTACCAAAAAACGTAATATCAACAGCACATTATGCGTGAAATCATTCATGCTCAGATTGGGCAGTGCGGAAATCAAATTGGAACAGAGTTCTGGGAAACAATAGCTGATGAGCATGGTATTGATTTAGTTGGTCAGTATAAAGGTGAACACGATCTTCAACAGGAAAGACTTCCAGTTTATTTCACCGAGGGTCAAGGTGGTCGATATGTACCAAGGTATAGCTGATCCTTTTGCAGTTGATTGTATACTCGTGGCTCACCATTGTATTTGTCCTTTTAATCCATGGACTTGCAGGTGCGTTTTGGTTGATCTTGAGCCAGGTACTATGGATGCTATTCGATCCTCCCCCCAAGGAAATCTATTTAGACCAGACAACTTTGTTTATGGTCAGTCGGGGGCCGGAAACAATTGGGCAAAAGGGTTCTACACAGATGGCGCAGAATTGGTCGAGTCTGTTCTCGATATTATTCGCCGCGAAGCAGATGCATGTGATTCGCTTCAAGGATTTCAAATAGTGCACTCGCTTGGAGGTGGAAGTGGAGCAGGGCTTGGATCGTTGATTCTTTCAAAGGTAATTTATTGATTATATTCACGTAAAATGGAATATTTTTGTATCTTGCGACGACTGTCCTTGTTCTGCTTTGGAATGGACAATCGTGTATACTCATTGCGCTTCCTACTACAAATTGACTGCTTCAATTGACATTCTCAACTCTTCAGACACAATGTCCATGTGATACATAATCAAACTATAGTTTTGAACAGAGATTGTCCCTATTTGGCATAGCCATAGATTGTACAATTGTCAAGTTTGAACTCTAATTGATACATTGCAATGCAATACAATGCAATGCAATGCAGTATTGGGTTTGACTGTCTAATATTGTCAGTCAAACTTTTTGTGGTATCCTGAAATGGCATGCGTTCTAGTTCAAGAGAACAATGATGACACGTTTCAGGAATACAGGTATGGTTTCCATGGCAATTGCCAAAAAACCAGTCAGATTTGTCAATTGAAATGACACAATACCATCCAGTAAATGCAGTGGAAAATGGCAGTTTGATGATCCATTATATACGTGAATACGACTATAGTAATCAATGCATATATACTAATTTGTCGAGTCTGGTGTGTATTGATAAACTATCAAACTTTAAATGTCATAGATTAGAGAAGAGTACCCAGATAGAATGATATGCACTTACTCGGTAATGCCATCACCAAAAGTCTCGGATACTGTTGTGGAACCCTACAATGCTACACTGACTTTACACCAACTTCTTGAAAATTCTGACGAGACTTTTTGCATTGACAATGAAGCATTGTATGATATTTGTTTGCGGACGCTCAAGATACCCAGTCCAAGCTACAGAGATCTAAACCATCTGGTTTCATGTGTTATGAGTGGAGTGACCACCTGTCTTCGTTTCCCTGGTCAGCTTAATGCAGATTTACGTAAGCTGGCCGTAAATATGGTGCCGTTTCCTCGTCTTCATTTCTTTATGGTTGGTTTTGCACCACTGACTTCTAGAGGATCTCATCGCTACAACAACGTGTCTGTTCAGGAGCTTGTTTCTCAGATGTTCGATAATCGCAATATCATGACTGCCTGTGACCCGCGACATGGCCGTTACTTGACTGTTGCATCCATTTTTCGCGGAAAGCTGTCCACCAAGGAGGTGGAGCAGCAGATTTTAAATATCCAAAACAAAAATTCATCGTATTTTGTCGAATGGATTCCAAACAATATGAAAACCGCTAGTAAGTAGCTGTTTATATAGTAGAATGACTGATATGCTCTGAGATTGTTTACCTTGTCTTACTTTTTTACCAAACTATGGAATTTTTAAACTATTGGTTACAATTTATTTAGTCTGTGATATTCCTCCAAAAAATATGAAAATGGCGTGCACATTTATTGGAAACTCTACGTGCATTCAAGAAGTATTTCGCCGTATTATGGATCAGTTTTCATCCATGTTTCGCCGTAAGGCGTTTTTGCATTGGTACACAGCTGAAGGAATGGACGAAATTGATTTTACCGAAGCAGAATCTAACATGGTGGATCTAATATCAGAGTACCAGCAGTATCAATCTGCTACAGTTGAGCAAGACTATGATGAAGAAGAGTACTCTGCTTATCCGGCTCAAATACCCAGTAACCAACGAAGCGGCAGTCCAAAAAATGTGATGCCAACAGCAAATATTCAATCGTCACAAAATCAAGGAAAATCACCAGCCTTGGACACAATGAAGTTAAATATTTCACCGCAGCAGACATCTGGATTTCAGTCTGGCGGGGATTCTGGACGAGTTCAACAGTCCAGTCCTGTGAGTTTTCAAATATTGTTTTTTAAACTAGGAATTTTCTTATATCTATAATCCATTATGTTGTGTATTTTGATGGTTTGAAAGTTTTTACTAGCCAATCCCTTGCTTGCTCACTAACAATGGTTTATTTTGATGCATTTATTTTTCCAAATAGCTGCAAAAGCAAGAGTCGCCCAAGATGGCATCTGACCGATCAATCAGTCCATTTGAATCAGTATCCAATTCATCAAAAGTATCTTCGGATCGTGTTGCTCTTCCTCTCACTCCAAGCTCACCCGATCCAGCTGGACGGCGCATTTAAAGATCTATGATTTTAGACAATATTTTGAGAGTTTCTTCCGGTTGATTTGAAACGCGAAGATGGCTACGAATCAAGTCTATGACAGTGAAAAATGAAGAGTTATATTAAAATCATGATATTGCATTGGAATTTAATCAAATTTAAAATGTACATGAAAGATCAGCTTACCATCAACGATTTTGCATGAAAGGGTGTATTGATCCATTTTTTGTTTAACCTCGTTGGTCAGCCATGGCAAAACAGATGTTTCCATTTCTTTTTCAACAACATCGTACAAATAGCCATTGGTTGCCAGATTTTCAAATACGCTTGGAATTAACCCATTGAGATAACTCTGAGTGAATGCTCTAGCAGCTATTTTTTCGGAAACCTCCTGCTTATCTTTGAGAATACTTAGTTGTTCTGCAAGACGGCGTTCCTTTTCTTTTGTGCGACGAAGTTCGGCATCTTCAAGTCGCTGTACCTCTGCAAGTTCTGCGTTGCGCAGTTCTTCAAATTTGCGCTATAATACATGATGATAATGTGTAAATGGTATTGACCGACCATCTCTCGAGTGTATATTGATTTGAATCTATTGTAACAAGAATTGAAGTTACCTGGTGAGCGCGCAGCGTTTCGAGTTCCTTTTCTTCTTGCACTTCCATCAGTGCTTGCTCAATTGTCTTTCCAACAAGTACTTCTAAAATTGGAATGATTTCAAACTCAAAATCAAACAGCTCTCCTTCATAGATCTGAGTAGCAATATCTACTCCGCTTTTTTCTGGGATATACAGAGGAGAAGGTGCACGATTTAAAAAGGCATCTGTTTGGGTTGCAGCAACAGCGTCTGGTACTTTGTCGCTCAATTCTTCAAGATACAAATCTGTTTGCACAACAATATGTTTCCGTCCCTCTACAGGCTCGGGTGTTCGGATGCGACGTCTTAGCTCAGCACGTTTTTTGGCCTTGATACGGCGTTTCATTTCTTGTTTCTTTTGTATTTCGACCGGATCTTGCTGCGCATGCTACTCCCAGATGTTTTAAAGTGCATATCGATAATGTTTGAATTGTTAGATACTCAGTAAAATCACAGTTGGCATATCTAGTTGCAAAATGTATCCTAGAATATTGAGAATAACGCGGTCTGCCAGTGTTGCTTACTATGGGTAGTGCAGGCGACGCATATGTATTTCCACGATGTATACGTCGGTCATACATAATATTTACCGCTCTAAATACAAATAAACAAAGTGTAATAACGTTAGAGTTGTCTTTCCTAAAAACCTGGCACAGGCCATAGCGTGTAATCCAACAACATACGGTCCATCCTGATTATCGGAAGAGTCGAAAAGTTTCTTTCGCTGCTGCAGTGCTCGAGGTTCAGCTTCAAAGGTATATGCATCTACATTTTGTTGTTTTGTCGAGTGTGGATCAAATCCTGCTGCTGGAGCAGCTCTCATTCCAGGTGGGTTTTTAGTAGCGAGCATGACAGTATATCTTTGAGTTTTTTGATTAAAAAATGCAGATAAGCTTTGGAATCAATTGTATCATGTAATTTGGTCATGCGACTCGAAAAATTAAATATCACTGGGTGAAATACTTGCTGGTCGACTAATATTGAACCGCCATGAAATAATATGAATTTGGACAACTATGTTTTGTAAGCACATTCCTATCCAAGTAAATGCCACATGTTTTAAAAACACATTTAAAAATATTTGCAAAGCTTTTATTGAAAACTAAAAAGTCGAGATAGTTGAGTCGTATATAGAATGTATTCACATCGCAATACTAAGGATATACTAGAAATAGTGACTTTTAAGCTTGGGAAGTTTCTTTTTCCGCTGATTGATTTGGCTTATTACGTATTCCTTCTTGGAAGGTTTTGCTGGCAAATGCGACGGATGCAACCTTGCGCATTTTCTTTCTATTGACCTCGACTCTGGCCAATGTCTCCCGGCGCTCGTTGCGGCCACGAAGCTTTTTCACTTGCTTACTTGATGGCCAGAGTTTTGCAGTAAGTTCAAAAGACCAGTTTCGGATAACAAGCACTTTGACCGTATCTAGGAAAACAAAAAACACGAGCGAACTTGCCATAACTCCCAAACCCCATTCCCATCCACTACAAGTTGAACGATTTAAACATAATTAGCACGAAAATACTGTTTTAAAATGACAGCGTAAACAGTTGCACATTGCTTACATTGCATACGCCTCAAGTGCCTCGATTCCGAAAATACTCATAAACATAGCAAAAACCTGAGTGCCTCCGACAGCAAGAAGAAAGATCCAACTTGGTCTGTTTTCCCAAAACCATGAAGGAAGACGAGTAGAAAAAATTACAAAGTGGGGGCAACTGGATATTTGCAGATACATGATTGTCTGAATTTGATTTGGAGTAAGATTCGAGAAAGATTTGGCGAAAAAGTAGACTGAAAACGACATTCCCATAAGAAATAGACCCAAGATAAATGAAAGCGTAAGAAGTTGTCCAAGTCGCCATTTGTCAGGTTTCTGAGATATTTTTGCAGAATCAACAGAAATAACAAGTGTAGCTGCATCGTTGAGAACAGCAATCAGGATAATCAGACGATCAGGAAGAGAAAAGTCAAACACCAGCAAAGTAATGAAAAAGAAGAGCAAAAAATGGATTGTCGATGTAATACGATAAACTAGTGTTGGATCAAGCATGTAACAAATGGTTAATTACTACAAACTAAAGAAACACGCAACGAATTCAATAATGCCAAAAATATAACTCACTTGAATAGCTACGCATGCGTTGGAAAATAGCACGACTGCATATGATGCCATCAACAATAGTCGATAATCCTGGAGCCATTAGCACGATATCAGCAGCTGAACGGGCAGCATCAGTACATCCATGAACAGCAATTCCAACATTGGCTTTTTTCAGTGCAGGGGCATCATTGACACCGTCACCAGTCATACCAACTAGGTATCCTCGCTTTTGTAGCAGCTCAACAACACGATATTTGTGCTCAGGGATAACTTGGGCAAATCCATCAGCCTTGATACAGCGATCAATCAAGGCATCTTCGGAAATGTTTTTATCGACCAGACGATGGGCATCAAGAATATTACGATTCATTCCAAGCCGTATAGCCACTTCTTTGGCAATAATTTTCTGATCTCCAGTAATCATTTTTACCTATTGTGAGTGATACCATGCAATTTTTGTTAGCTTCAACCAAGAAGCCACCTCAAATAACTTTAGATTCAAACTTGTCAAAGTGACTTACCGAAACTCCGTACTCCATGCATTCCTTGATAGTTTTAGCAGAGTCGGGTCGTGGAGGATCAAGTAAGGATATCATACCAACCATTTCAAACTGCGTTTTTTCTTGATCAATTGTGCGAGCAACACCAAGAGCGCGCAAGCCACGTTTAGCAAAATCTTCAACTGCTGCCTGTGCTTCATCATGATTGTTACACATGTGCACAATAACATGTGGAGCTCCTTTAATGCAACGAAAAGTCTCATTGGTGGCAAGATTTTGAACAGTAGCCTCGGTGTATTTTGAGTTTGGATTGAAAGGAATAAATGAGAGAATCTTGAAACCAGGAACATTATGACTGTGTTTATCATTTCGGGACTTGAACACCTCAACTTTACTTTCTGCTGCAGCTCTAACTGCCAATTCAATTGCATCACTAGCACCAGGCTCACTGGCAAAGAGTGCATTTAAAAGTAGATCTTGATCGCTATATCTCCCAGTCCCGTCTCCAGCCAGATTTTCATTGGTACTCCCGTGTTGGGCCAAATAGGGTTTGTCAAAGCTAAGTTCATTAAGAGTCAGAGTACCAGTCTTGTCTAAATTTTATAATATTGCAATGTTTAAATTAGTGGATGATTTTGATGTATTCAACTATTATAGTCGTATTCACGTATATAATGGATCATCAAACTGCCATTTTCCATTGCATTTACTGGATGGTATTGTGTCATTTCAATTGACAAATCTGACTGGTTTTTTGGCAATTGTCATGGAAACCATACTTGTATTCCTGAAACGTGTCATCATTGTTCTCTTGAACTAGAACGCATGCCATTTCAGGATACCACAAAAAGTTTGACTGACAATATTAGACAGTCAAACCCAATACTGCATTACATTGTATTGTATTGCAATGTATCAATTAGAGTTCAAACTTGACAATTGTACAATCTATGGCTATGCCAAATAGGGACAATCTCTGTTCAAAACTATAGTTTGATTATGTATCACATGGACATTGTGTCTGAAGAGTTGAGAATGTCAATTGAAGCAGTCAATTTGTAGTAGGAAGCGCAATGAATATACACGATTGTCCATTCCAAAGCAGAACAAGGACAGTCGTCGCAAGATACAAATATTCCATTTTACGTGAATATAATTGCAAGTGTTGGTCGTCAAAAGTATAAACTTACCAGAGCATAAAATAGAAACGGATGCCAATTCTTCGATAGCGGGAAGTCGTTTGATAATGACTTTTTTAGAAGCCAACTGCTTTGCACCAACAGCCATGGTTACAGACATTACCGTAGGCAGCCCAACTGGAATTGCTGCAATGGTGAGAACAAGAACTTGCTTGAGCACATTCATGAACATTCTGCGTGAGCCATTCACAACTTCAAGAGACTTGACCAGCAGCAGAATCAACACAAGCACCTATAGATAATTGCAAGTAGAAATCAGCTACCGCACAAGGAATCTGAAACGCTTATAGAATGATAGATGATCAGTTTAAACAAGTTCACACATACCACTGTTATGATAATCAAAAAATTGCCAATGTTGTTTACAATCTTTTGGAAATGACCCTCCTCCACTGTTTTGGAAATAAGCTTGGCTGCTCTACCAATATATGTATTAGATCCTGTTTTTGTAACGATGCATAGCATTTGGCCTTGCTTGACAATAGACGATGAATACGCAACATCGCCTTTGGATTTGGATACTGGAAGTGATTCTCCAGTAAGTGCAGCCTGATCAATTTGCAACAATCCTTCTGTTTCTTCTCCTTGCACGCCAACTCCTAGAAGTCTATTTGCATAGATATGTACGTAAGCAAGTTTATACAGGATATTTCACAAAAAGGATTAGATGTATGGATTTCAAATATATAAAACAGCAGTCTATGAGAATGATACATACCGACAATCAGCCGGAACAATATCTCCTAGTCGCAAAGCAATTACATCTCCCGGTACAAGAAGGGCCGATTCAACTTCGACCAGTTTACTATTTCGGTATACACGACATTTTAATGCAAGAGTGTTTTTTAGAGCATCCAAAGCATTTTCAGCCTTTGCTTCCTCAAAGTAACCAATACACGCGTTAATCACCAGCACGCATACGAGAATGATAAAATCTGGCCAGTCGCCTGTAATTGCAGATATAAGCGTAGCAATTTCTAACAGGACAGAAATGGCGCCTCCAAAGTAGGATAGAAATTTCAAAAGCTGGTTTTGTTTTTTTTCAGCAAGCTCTGTCAGTGTAAAATGGATATGCAGATGGAAAATAAAACAAGATTTGATGAGTTAGACTATATAATATCCATTTAGTAATCGCGAAACAATGGTTTTCTGGTTTTGGGGCTTTGAAAGGAATAAAATGGCGGTTTAAAAAATTGGCACTCGTCAACACGGTATGAATGAAATGGCATAAAGCGAACGTGATACTGTGAGTGGTTTAGCTAAAGCATCGTTATGATGCTCTTGCTCATATTTAGCTCAGTATATGTAGATGAAAACACAAAGTATATATCTTACCATTTTTTCCAAACTGCTCAAGACGAGCTGATACATCCGTGTCTAAAAGACCTTGTGTAGGAACTGTATGGAGCAGCTTTTCTATTTCTGGGTCAATGGGATCCAACACCTCTATATGGACATCATGCTCTTTATCAGCAACGGCCTTGTCTTCGTCATTTTTTTGTTGGTCGACACCAGTCATGAGTTACAAGAATGATATTAACAAATAGATATATAGATTGTAGAATTATTGGTAGACCTTTCTCGCGATTTACAGTTAGGTGAATACAAACTAGACAAAGTTTTGGGTTTAAATTTAAATTTACTCGATTAAATATTGGGAGCAGGCTTGCTCTTATATTTATTGAAGACTCATTGTTTCACCAACACATTCAACCGGCTCTGCGCGGTTGTGTATCCGTTTTTGTTGATTTTTTGAATTAGAGATCTGGAAATCGAAATCAACAGTCGTATTCACGTAAAGTACAACTCCCATGTATATATCTTGCATTGACCCTCTATTTTACTTTAACATAAACAATGCTTGGATATTTTCTGTATTTTCTACTGGAAGTCGGGATTTTCAATTCTTCAATAAACAACGCCCATCATATAATACAAACTGTAGTTTAAACTGGAATCCTTTTTGGCATACTCATACATTGTAAAATCGCAGATTTTGAATCAAAGTTATTCATTTTAATCCAGATATTGGGCTTGACTGCTGATGTTGTCAATACAATTCCGTACACACTTGTATTTGTTGTGTCCTAAAAACTCAGATACGTTCGCGCTTTGGTTCAGAAGAATGATAATCACATGCTTCAGGAGTGTGACTGTTGTTTTTATGTCAGTCAAATAATTTTCGCTTGTGATCTTTGGTTTATAGGAAAAAAGTGCTGATTTGAATGGCAGGAGCGTCTCTTGGTTGTCTCATGTACCACGGCGACAATCTGATTTATTGGTACGACTAGTTTTCACAACGATCTAATTCTGTCAATTTTCTAGCATTGGTTTCTTGCTAGTTTTGGTATTGACGTTGTTTTGGCATGATATTTGGCGTTTCCATTGTATAAAATCTACGCTAATTTGAAGCAATCGCACAATTTTACAACAGAGCTTTTATTTTTAAACTACTAAAATAGCAGCTTGATTAATACTGTGTGAATACTTTCAAAACATGATGAAATGGAGTTTTTCATATAATCAAAAAGAATATTGTAACTCTACATTCCTATTGTCATTAGTGTTGAATTTAAAAAGCATCATATGCAAGTTTAATGCCAAGTCATGTTTATTAGATAATATTTGTTTAAAAATAAATAACAATAATTGGATATATTCAAGATATAAACATTGAGTTGGCTCTTTCAAAATTTTAAATTTAGGATGAATGAAAAATGTGTACACCCGAGTTTTATTGCAGACTTTCTAAATCATTTGTTATTTTACTGCACAGTTTTTTGTATTCCCAAATATCGCCACTGATTCGTTTTAGTCTAATTCCATAGCTGCGAACGCGAGGAAGTTTGCATACTTCAACTTCAAACTTGATATCACCCCATTCGCAATCACACAGATATCCATCATGTCGCCAATCAATGTCGTTTTGCTCAAATGTACTTTTTAGTCGATTGAATAGAATATCAGGCTGCACCATAGTCGTTGCTGTGCAGTTGAATGCAAAACGAATCGTACGTGGTGCTCCCATTGAACTTGAACAAGGCTGATCTCCAGTATCATTTTCTTGATCTTTACTGATGTACATTGACTCGTCTATGGCAATATGGGTGTTTTTTGGCATTTGTCTTGATACGGGTGGTTTGGCAGAGGCGGCTTGGCTATGCCCAGATAAGTCAAACTGGGGATTGGCCGAGTGTTTTAGTAAAGGAGACACATCATTCAAATGTGTGAAACTGTTATTTTTACTGTTGAATGATGGACTGTTGATATTAGGTAAATTAACCACTTTTGATTGGAATGCACGATTCGTTAGATTCTGTACAATTCGCGGCAAAAGCGACTGGGTGTCTATTGAACGCATGTCTAAAAACTCTGAGCTGTTTTTACAGGGTAAAGTTGACATATGAATTGATGATGATGTTGTGTTTGACGTTTGCTTTGTGGATACACCAGATGTTGGGTTTACTGTCACTCCTTTAGCACGAGCACGTCTAATCACTGGTTTGTTAAGCTTTGTATCCACCGATGCCTTGACTACATTCGATGATGGAATATTGGATGAATATTGATTTGCGCTTGGTTGTCGACTTCGTCGATCTGTAATATGCATGTCTTTAAATGTATGTCGATTGCCATCCTTGGTAGATAATTCGGCAGCTCCACGGATTCCTTCCACTTGAAATAGAATGCGCGCCAGCTCATCACTGGTTACATCTCCATTTGATTGAATTTTCATTCTTTGTTGGTCGCCAAATTCATCATCAAGCTCTTTATATGTATCACCGATTCCCTGTATGCTACAATTTGCGCCACTTTGTTGTTGGCCTACAGCTATGTTGCAGTTTTTTCGACGTGCATAGGCTAGTAAATAATAAGTTCCTGCTGGCTGGTTAAACTTTCCAGATAAAACAGCTTGTGCGGCAGCTTTTCGTTCAAATCCCATTTGCTCTAGCTGTTCTAGAATAAACGGATCGAGCTGATCTTCTGTTTTAGGTCGAAATCCTCCCTGAGGTAGTGAGGAAGTGGGTTCCAAAAAACTTGTACCATCATTCAGCCATGAATGATCTTGCATTTGTGAAATAGTGGCTCGTTTTTTTGGATTTAATACCAATAATTTGGCAATAAAGTCTTTACAATCTATATAGGTTGGTTTGATTATGAAATGCAGGAAAATACTGTCAAGCTCAAATCAAAAGTCTTGTATTGAAAGTGTATGCATTTGCATCCAATCGATATACATACCGGATGACACAAAGTCAGGAATTTGGTATTTACCACGAAGAATGGATTCGTACAACGCAGTGAGATTGGCATCTGCAAAAGGCAAGTCGCCTACCACCATGGCATACACATTGATTCCAAGAGACCATGCATCTACTTCTGGTCCTACGTATTTTTTCCCTTCTATTAGCTCTGGTGCCGAGTATACTGGTGAGCCGCAAGAAGTCCCAAGCACTGATTCGGGATTGAATATATTTGACAGTCCAAAATCTAAGATACATATTCAAAAGTATGTGGTATTAGCGAGTTTACCATCAAACCATCAGCTCAATCATTTAAATGGCATTGAATGTGCCTGAAATTTTAATATCCATGTTTTCGTCAAGCAGCAAGTTTTCAGCTTTAAGATCTCGATGAACAACATTGATCGAGTGTGAGTAGTCCTAACAGTGCAGTTTCAAACAGTATATTTCCAAGAAAGCGTTAGTGCGATTTACATGTGCGTGAAATTGTAGAGCAGTCATGCTGATTAAAAATAGTCATACTAAAGCTGATAGAATCTGTCGAACAAACTTTTTAGCATCCTCTTCCCGTAACTTTCCATTAGCTACAATGTAATCAAGAAGCTCACCACCAGTAGCATATTCTAATACCAAAAACAGATTTTTTTTAGTTTCCATTACTTCAAAAAGCTGAATGACATTTGGATGATCAATCATTCGCATGATCTGAGCCTCTCTATGTATATTTTTCAGCGAATATTCGTCCGGAAGCCTGGCCTTGTCAATAATCTTGACTGCAACCTTTACTTTGTTGAAGGTTAGCCCAAAGAGCATTGTAAGTGTTAGAATTTTAGTAAAACCCCATTGTAATTGACAATATTATGTACAGTGTTAGTAGTTTCCATCTATTACTCTATCAATTTGGCTCTATATGGATAGCTATCCACCTAAAGCTGCAAAGACCAAGTCGCGTCCAGAAAATTGAGAATGTTGAGCAGGATTTAGACCTACTTTTTGCCTAGTAAGTCGGTGAATCGCTAGTTTTACTTTTGCGAATGATCCTTCCCCGATGGTTTCTAGCAGCTTATAGTTTCCAACATGCTTAGATTTGTACTGTGCACTAGCAGCAGTGGAAGGCTCAGATACAGGGGCAGTTGAGTTTCCGCGAATGGCATTACTAGTAGCTGGTCGCGACTGGATAGTAGACACTGCAGCAGCACTCGATATGCGATTGCCCTTTGGTGGAAGATCGCCAAGCAAGTCGGACATGCCCGACTATAAACAGAGTGGTGGAAGAGTTTTGAATACAACGAGTAGCGAGTGATGTGAGATGGAAATAAACTGCAAGTCTTGCCAATAATAATTAGCGAGTAAGAATGACAACAATCGCTTATTTAGTAAGAATCCGAGTATATCGCAGCAACAAGTGCAAATGACTGGTTTGCTTTGTTCAAACAAGTGGCGGTCAATTACACTTGTCAAGAGCGACTTCTACTATTCAACTAGGCATACATTGCTTATGACATGTCTTCTACAGCAACTGCATTACAATCCTTTCGGGTTTCCTGTCCTAGAAACACTCTGCTCATGTCTGCTGTTTTATTCTGGATATTTTGTGTCGACCGTGCCCTTGCAACCTCCGACGGTCACCAGTTGAACCTCCAACATGACAAGCCAAAGGCTCCAACTAAACAGAACCAAGGCATTATTATTCCACTCATGACCTTCTTGTCCATTGGATTGGTATGCTTGCTGGTCTTTTGCATTGTCCGTACTTGCTTCTTGGACATTTATTCTCCCCGACGAGTATTGACCAGGTAATGCATGGATTGTTTCTGTTTTAATGATCAAACCTTGCATGTGTTTGCATTTTCAAGACTGTTGGTAGCGCTCAACAGTTTAGCTTCAATATGCTCTGTAAATACCGACAGACTCTGCTTGTCGGCGTTGTATTCTGTTTGATGTGGAATGCTTAATTATGCTTCTCTAGTCGCTGCTGTCATTGTAAATTTAGTACCAATTCATATGGTTTCAAGATAGGCGCTATGCACAGCGTATTGTTTGACCATTTACTGATTGAATTCTGTTGGCATTTAAATCTGTAATCATGACTTAGAGGACGGCCTCCCAAGCTCAAAAAGGGACTCTTTTCATGGATTCCAGTTGTATTCTCAACCAATGAGACAGTCCTGATCAATACTGTGGGACTCGATGGTGTCATGGCAAGTACAGCTTATTGATTCCAGTCTAAATGTTTCAGAAAAATCGGATTGCTTCAAATTATGTTAATCTTACCAGCCATGTCTTAATCTGTATATTCTAGTTTTTGCGATTTTTCAAGATGGGATATACCATGTTTTTTATATTTTCAATTCTAGGCGTTGGTATTCTGGCACCAACAAACTACTATGCACACCCACCACGACTTGGAAATGCCACAGGATATAAGCTGGAGGATTTGATTCTTCCAGCACTTTCTGTTGATAATGTACCCAACCAATCCTTTTATCTGCGTGTTCATTTGATCTTTACTTGGGTGTTTTCATTGCTTACACTTGGCTACCTTGTTGCATTTTATCGTGGATATGTTCTTTTGAAACTCCAGTACGATGAATATGCATTACGGCAAACCAAGATGAGTAAGATTGAAATGAGATCGGTAATGGTGTTTGGAATACCTAGCGAATTGCGTAATGAGGTCGATTTGGCATCCTATTTTGAAAACCTTGGAGTGGGAAATGTAGAAAACGTTGTTTTGTGTAGAAACTGGTCACATTTGCGAAACAATATTCAAAAGCGTGCATACTATCTCAACAAACTTGAAACTGTGTTTTCCCAACTATCCAAACGAAGTGTTGCACTCGAACAACCTTCAGTTTTTAAATCGATCATCCAAAATGCCCTTTCGTGCTGCATTCCACACTCTCCCACACCACGTAGGCAGTTTCAGCGACGAGACATGTTTCGTGGAAATAGTGCAGTTCGCGTTGCTGCACAACTGTCATCCGAACAGTCTCCTTTACTCACTCGACGCGCCTTTGGCTCAAACGATGCCATTGATCCAAGTGTATTCGAAGTACTATCACGTATTGATGCCATGAATCCAAAATGGCGTCCTCAGCACCGTACTGGGTTTTTGGGATTATTTGGACCGCTTGTAGACTCTGCCGAGTACTATGCTGCCGAATTCAATAAATGTGATCGACAAGTAGCTCGATACAGACGCATCCCAGAACGGTCTGCACCAACTGCTGTTGCCATTGTCACGTTTGAATCTCCACTCAGCGCTGTAAGTGTCAAGTTACTATAATTTGTGCATTTGTTTTAGCAATTTTTTGTCTTGTCTCATTTTTTTAAAAACATCAACTATGGGACTTTTAAATTCAACTTATTTTAGACTTTGGTTTCGCAGTGTCTTGTACAGCGGCGTGCATTTGCATGCATGACTAAAATGGCACCAGAACCTCGCGATATCTACTGGCCTAATCTGTCCTCTAAAACGGCAAGCAGTCACACCAAACTGGTTAGAGGCCTACTGGTCGTTGGAAGTTTGTTTTTGTTGGTATTTTCATCCACATTTGTCGTATCCAGTATTGCTGGGTTGATAGATCTAGAGCAGCTGGCGGTATATATTCCTGTCCTTGGAGCAGTGCTTAAGGATCTACCTGATACTTGGATCCAGTTTATTCAAGGTGTTATTCCTGCCATGCTCCTCACTCTTTGGACATCGCTCCTACCTACTCTTCTTCTTTTTCTAAGCCAAGCACAAGGTTTAGAGGCGGCGAGCTGGATTGAAATGTCTTTGTTGACCAAGTAAGCTTGGACGTATTGTGCTGAATTTTGATTCAAATAAGCTAACTTGTAAATATCTAGATATTTTTTTTATCAGCTGTGGAACATTCTTTTTGTTACAGTGTTTGCGAGAACGCTGGTGTACGAGATTATTCCAAATCCACAAAAAGTGATTGAATTGCTTGGACAAATGGTGCCCAAGGTACTTTATTTTTACTACTATAGCTTGGTTACTTGTATACATGCTTGTAATGCATGACTTTCCAACTCTATACTGTTTTTTTGCTAATTTCATTTTGCTTTTAAATGAATGCAGGCATCAACTACTCTGATAAACTATGTGATGCTGCAAGGTGCAGCAGTTTATCCTGCGCAGCTTTTGCTAGCCGCACCACTGATTTTGACATGGGTATCTCGGTTTTCGCCTTGGTCGCGAGATACTCCGCGACAAGTTTCCAATGCCTACTATCCATCAATTCTTACTTGCATTAATTATGGAATTGTATATCCTGGGCCCATCATGATATTTGTTATTGGGATTGTTTATGCACCCATTTCACCGCTTATACTCCCATTCTGCTCGCTATTTTTTGCTATGGGGTATTTCATCTACAAGGTATTTGATTGATTCGGTGCGTTTTGAAATGCTTCAGGAAATTTCTAATTTTGAATGCTAGTATATGTTGATGTATGTGCACTTGCCACGGTATGAGTCTAAAGGGGTTGCTGCTCGATTGGCTGTCAATCGCTGTTTAGTTGGACTAGTCATTATGCAGTTTACAATGATGGGACTTCTTGGAATTAAAGCATCCGGAGATGGGAATATTGGAAAACATTATTTTAACACGATCGGCTCGGTTCATTCTGCTGCCGACGGACCTACTCCATGGTCAGCTTATGCACAAATGGTAATAGGTGTCCTTCCCCTGCCTTTTATCACCATTTTTGTGTACGGATGGTTGAATAATGGATACGCCCAGCAGATTCTTCATATTCCATTGGAGATTCTTGGAAAAATAGCAAACGAATTGATGCGTGAAGTTTCATTGCAAACCCCTGATACTGCTGTAAACAGCCACACGGATACCCATACTGATCTCAATGGAAACCTTTACGGTAATTTGAATCAAAACAGTAACAGTATTAGAGTATCAACCATGCCACATGGGATGAGCAGTATGGCGAGTAGCCGAGGGCATTTTGGACGCGAATTAAGTGACATTTCTCCACGTCGCCCGCATACGCTACAAACTCAACCCCATGAAAATAATGCAAGGCCGTTTGTTGGTAACAGTGTAGACCGACCTTTTTCCAGTATCTCCCAACAAGGACCAGTTGTGTCTGTACAGAATGCATCATCTGACCAACCCTCTACAGCAGCCGATGTGAATTCATCTACTGACAGTTTGACCGATTTCCATACATCTCCTGAACGATCGACCTTTACTTCAATGGGTAATACATTGAATAGAAAAATATCCACCATGTCTATGCAAACGGGACGATTTAGCTTGTTTGAAGAAAGTCCCAATGAGCCCTCTCCATTCAACTCTGCAGCAGTCAATGCACCCGAATCTGGTGTTGCAGTGCCTCATGATATAGAGTCGCATCATTTTCTAGATCTGGATCAAGAAGAGTGCATATCATTGGGTATTCATCTTGAGCCCCCAATGACTCGTGTACCCGGTATTTTGGATGCGCCGGTTGAAGCAGCGAGTTCGATTTTACGATATGGTGACGAGATTGATTTAGTGAATCGAGAGCGACGTGGGAATGGACCCGACAACGATCCCATGCTGGATGATTTGAATATTCATACGTACATCCATCCAGCACTTGTGGGAAAGCTACCCATTGCGTGGCTTCCTGGTCGACAGCAACCATCTAGACTATCAGAGCTTCGTGATGAACAGACACGGAACCAACGTGAAGTATGGCGACGACTGGTATTTAAGCAGCGTGTAGGAGTGCGTGCAGCTGGCAGTGGATCATTACAGCGAGAAAGCAGTGATGATGACATGTTTGATGGACGTGATATTAGGGGTATGACCACCAACGACGCCCTGCTTCAGTCTCGATATGGTGATGATGAAGCCAATGGACCTGCTTTGGGACGTATTCGCAGTTTTATAGATGGATTTACTAGTTGGATGCATTTGACCATGTCATAATGCCAGATTCATTGCATGTTTTTCTACCTGTTTTATATTTGAATAAAATAATGCTTCAAGTGTATTTTTATTACAAGTATAAACCAACCTGGGTCAAGATATCAGTACGTTGATGGTATTAGATGCTCAGCCATCTTGTATCACAACTCAGTCTCCAATCATGAGTGATGTTGGTTGTACTCATATGCATAACATTCAGATCCAACACGCAGACATCGCCTGGACAAAAGTCGGTTGTTACCCAGTCGAGTGAATGGATTCCAGTTGGTGCGCTTGCCAGCAATCTGGATTCAATCTCTCTCGGATCTAAACACAACCACCCACTTTGAGTTCCATCAACACCAGCTCTTCCTTGGCTATAAGAGTCTCTGATATCTTTCCATACTTGATTACGATGCGATCCACTCGAGACGACAATACTTCCCATAGAAGACGTGACATGACCAATTGGGATCCATAATGTGAGCTGACGCTGACTGATATGTCCGACATAGACTCGATCGCAGTGAAGTCCAGTATATAGACCAGTACCAACTGCTCTAAGCCATTTGAATGGTAGAGTCATTGCTGATGGTGTATCCTTTTCTGTTTGTATGTCGCAGCTCGTGTCAGATCTGGCACAATCATCCATGTCATCAACTAAAGTGGTTTTATCTACAAGTATTGAGGAATCGGTGGCTAGAAAGAGATCAGCCAAGTCCTGTAAGTGCTGATGTTCCAGTACATTCATTAACTCGGGTTGAGCTTTGATCCAGTCTTGTCGAGAAAGCAACTGAGGTGATGTAACTGTAGTAAATGGACATTGAACGCAGTTCTGATGCAATGTTTTGGAGATATCCAGTAGCAAGTCTTGCTGAATAGGTGTATCTCTATCAGCAACTGCAGATGTATCCAGAAACCCATTGGATGCCAAGTCTTTCACAATAACCTGTCGAGCTGTCATGACCATTGATGCTGGTAGAGCATGACGAAGAAGTAAATATCCATTGGCTTGCAAGTCCTGCTGCATTTGACAGAGTGCAGATACTGACATGTGTCTTGGTCCACCTGCAGGAATATCTGTTGAATGCATTGGATGAACATTCAGCACTCCAGTGCCTGCAATCACTTTTCTTGGCCAACCCTCTTCCGTCATGGTATCAATACATACACATTGGTAAAAAGCAAACAAGCCGATTAACTGTCTAAACCAGTCTTATATTCATGTCTACTGTCATGCAGTTTAAACATACTTTACTATTCTATACACATTCAAAAATACTAGTTTACTACTTTGTAGTTACAAGAACTCAAACTGCGATCCAAGTCCCAGATCTTCGGGCTCTTCTTCAGATAATTCTACTTCTGATGTTGTCTGCTGTAATGCACTAGTTGTAGATTCATGCAACCTCGAATCAGAGCTTGAATCCAGACTTGCTTTTTGCTGATCCAAAACCATGTCATTCGCTGCCTCTGTATCATTGGGTAAATCTAATACATCATCAGAATCAATCACCATTTGAGTACTCTCTTCGACTAGTACATGTCCAGCTGGATCTGATTCTGGATCTGGATTTGGTTCTGATTCTGATTCTGGTTTTGATTTACTTAATGAATCCATTTGCGCAAGATCCATTAATTCTGCATCAAATGTTTCCAGATTCAGTCCATGTCGAGCAGATCGTGCAGTATCTGCATAGTCCTGTGCAGAGGTGGTCACAAACGATGAATCGTGAAGGATCTGAATATTGTGATTCTCAAGCTGCTCCAATATGGGTTTCCATTTGCCAATGAATTCATTGAATGTCAACAGTGCATTGTCTTTGACTGATATAGCATACTGTTCTTGCATCCGTTCCTATATATTATTTAATGAAAACTTAGTCTACAAATATAGTTTTAAAAGACATTGATATAGGGTCGTAATGGAGGAAATTATGAGAGCATTTGATTCAGTCAATAACAACCATCATTGACGCTTACCTGTTGCTGTTGGGTCTGCTCATTGCCAAGTAGATCCAGTTTCAAACGCACCAGCTGTCGCCTTAGGTCCGAGTACACTGACCACAGCGCAGTTCGATCTGCATCAGAGACTGTCTGCACATCTTTGGCAATATCAGCAACTTTTTCCAGCAAGTTGGTCCACGCATCGATTGGAATCATGACTTGATATTTTATAATGGAAACAAATTCCAACTCAGAATTACAGCTGTATTCACATAAAATAGAACATCAACTATTTGGCTTTTGAATATATAATATTTAATTCGCTTTCTTATTAAAAACTAGCTTTGATGCATTCTTGAAAACACAGCGTTCATTAAACTATAGTTTTAAACTGGAATTTTCTTGATATTGTACGATTGTCGAGCATCCTAAAAACTCGAATACATTCTAGTTGAAAAACAGTGATTTCGAGAATCCATGCCAATCATCAGGATTTTATTAAACCAATTATTATGAGATTGTTCATCTTTTGACATTTAGTGTTCCATTTTACACAAATACAACTGCAATACATTGATTGTTGATACCTTCAATCTTGATATTGCTGGCATCACTCGGCTTTATCACTCAAACACACTCTGTGTGGAATTTCCATACTCTTGATCATCATTGGAATCCTCACATCATGGACGACGTTGACATTGATATTGAAGGTGAAGAAACTCGCCCACCAACACGAGGTGCTTCCGATACATCAACTCATAAAGGGTTAGAGGACAATAGTGATTCATTATACTTCGATAAAGCACAGAGTGTTGTGTATCCAGAACCTGAATGGCTTACTTCTGACCATCTACTCGAGGTAAAATTACTACAGCACTATTCATTCCAATTCAACATCCTATAAAAAAACTATCAACTAGGTCACTCTGTTGTATATGATGCGTAGACCAATGCATTCAGCCCAGACTGCTCAACCTGCATTTGAAGTGTATATCCAAATTGTGGTTTATCTAACTCGAGTTACTATTTATTCAAATACATCATCAGTCAGGAGCGTTGGATACACCAGAAATGGACCCACAGTCCAAAGCACTTATTGAAAGCATGTTTGCTGAAGAGGAGCACTATTTTGGTCATGCCAGCTATGTTGGAGATCCGTTGGCTTATACAGAAAATATTCACTCTGCTAATAAATACGAGCCAATGCGAACAAAATCAGAAACAGCTGGATCTAAATCCAATCTAGAGTAAGTGCATCAACTGTCATTTTACTTTCTACCCATTAACAGTTATTTATCAATTCACTTAATACCAATGCTGGATAGGATTAAAAGGAAAAGAACTGCAGGTTAGTCTTGCACAATCATTTATTTTGTTTTTGTGCCTTATACTGACTGCAGTTATAAATTGTACAATAGATACTGCTAAATCCATTCCAAATCGGTCAAAGTGGTCTGAGCGGGAGAATACTCGACTGGTTGCAGCAATTGTATGTTTCAATACATATTTAAACTTTTGTGCAAAAAACTCGCAAGTGGCATTGATTTTAACATAGTCTATGTGAAATATGAATTGCAAATAGGAAAAACACGGATATGGCTCGTGGAGAAAGGTTGCAGATAGTCTTGGAAATAGGACTTCCAAACAAGTTGCTGTTCATACACGATATCTTCTCATTCATGGTGTTCAAATTCCTGGTGCACCAGCAGCAAAAATTCCACAAGCAGATATCAAACCAGTGAACACTGTATGTTCCGAAACCTCCATCAAACTTGAAAATACCAAAACTCCTGATATTGATGAAGATATCGATGTAGATATTACTGACGGATCAGATGTAGAAGTATACTCAAAAGTTCTTTTAAAAGACCCTTTTGGAAATGTATCCGACTCTTGCAATTCAGATATAAACTCCAGCACAAGTTTAGGTTGTGAGTCAGATTCTGCTACTGAAAAATCAGATTCATCTTTTGCATTTACGGCACAGGAAGATGCTACTGGATCACCAAACTATGTCACAGATGCTCAAGATAAAAATAACGTTGTTTCAAACCGAGCAGCATCACACATGACATCTCAAGTAAACACCGAATCTAAACCTGCTGAAATTTTGAATTCAGACATACCCAAAGTCTCGCTTACTGAGGATATGACGATCAAGACAGAAAATGAACCGGTACTTTCCGTTGCAGCATCTTTCACAAAAGACTCTACTTGCAAAATAGAGCAAACTCCATCTGAATCGCAGTACACAAACCCCATGGAACAGACCCCTATATATGAGAGAATAGCAGAATCTCACTCTGTCTTGTCTAAAATCAAGGAAAACAATACTGCTGATACGACCAATCAAGATCAAAAAACCAACAATGCCAAAAAAGTGAATGAGGATAGTCATGATGAGGAATCAGATGACGATTTGGAGCAATGTCACTATCTAGTTGGAGATTCTCGCCAAGAAGACTTTTCCATTGATCCGTCTATTATCAAACCTTTTGAAATGGAGTTTTGTCCAGAGTGGTTTTTGGGTGAGTATACGGGAAAACGGATCAACAAGACACCATCAAGATATCAAAAAATTCGAAATCATATTCTGGACCTGTGGGCAAAGATGCGACCTATAAGTGTTAGTAAATCCAGAATTCGTCCTGGTCTCAAGGGTCAAGGTGATGTGAATGCCCTCAGTCGGGTTCATTCATTTCTTCAAAGTATTGGTGCCATCAATGTTGACTGTCAAAAACCTCAGCTCAAGACAAAACGATCAGTAGCGGCACGCACTGCAAAGCCTAAATCCAATCTATTAAAAAATATATATGGTGGAGGCGAAATCAGTGCTGTATACGAAGGAACAAACAATATACCCACGGATACCAATGGCCGACGGCGACGAAAAGTGAGAACACCTAATGGAAATTGGTAAGTCTTATATTTTGGTCAAAGATTTGGTACTTGTTCAAAAACAATGATGTGCCAGACTTGTAGTTTTAATTTTAAAATGATTAGGGTATGGGAATTAGAAGGATCCACAATTGAGCATATAGATCCCGAAAAGGAGGAGCAACGAAAGTTATTACAAAAGAATGCCAAATACTTTGTAGATCAACAGTGCAATACTAAGCGCCTCAAGACAAACAAATCAGTGGTTACAGACATCATGGGTAAATATGATCCGTTCAAGCTAATTCCACTGCAGCGATATCTAGACAACACTCCACATGCATTGCACGTCAAGGTTCATTCGAATACCTTGGTATGTAGCATATTGATTTTGAATTGTTTTTTGCTTACTATTGGGTCCAGGGTGTTTTTTATTACAATCTGACCAATTTAAGAATATTACAATCAGATTATTATAGATTTTCATTCACATCTAGCACATACAGAAATCATTGGGTTGATTGGTGGAACATTTGATCCAGTAAAAAAAGAATTGAATCTACTGCAAGTTTATCCGTGTAATTCATTGAGCACTGGTGTGCAGGTATGATGAATCTAAACATTTTGAATATTGGCTGTAATGTGTGACTATTCATTTACTTATCTGGCATTTTATCCTAGTGTGAGATGGATCCAGTATCTGAAATGCAAGCAAGAGACCATTTTAACGCACTTGGGTTGAATGTAGTTGGTTGGTATCACTCACATCCTACGTTTGAGCCCAATCCATCTATTCGTGATATTGAAAATCAAGCCAACTATCAGGTATGCTTTATTCATACTTTTGAATGAGAGATTGTAAAGATAGTTTAGTTTGATATAAATCATTTTAACCGAGTTTATCTTGAACATCAACTGTAATTCTGTAACCAGAAACTGTTTTGTCGCGAAGATGGCATGGAGCCGTTTGTTGGTGTGATTGTCAGTCCTTTTGACAAAAGAACACCTGTATTGATATCAAGATTTCAGTTTATTACAGTATCCCAAGAATGGAATTCCATGTCCGAATATCGGTTACCATACTCCTGTATCAAATCCATCATTCCATCGACATCCTTACCACAGGATATATTTTTACAAATATCTGAATTAGTCCGAACGTACAGAACACATCCGAGGTATGTATACTATGATATTGCTAAACTATGGTTATATGTTGGCATAACTTTAGTTGCTAATCTAGATGTTTAGTTTGGTGAATTTAAGCAAGCCATTCCATACACGATTTGTAGTAACCACACGACTAGACAAGCTGATGAACTCGTTGGAATCGCATGTTATTCTTGGAGCTAATCAAGCACAGACTACTATGTTTTTAGAAAAAGTCAGGGATTTAGTCGAACGAGGGTTTTCTCTTGAACATACAGGTTCAAAGTCGACTAATGCTTTGGAGTAGATACTTGGCTCGACTATGGGGAATGTGTAATTTAGCGATCAATAGTAATAATTAATATTTCAAATACCTGAAAACTGATACACCGTAGCCCTGAGCAAGCATTATTACTAAGCTTAGGTATCAAGATGCATAATAAACAGCCAGTCTCGTGTTTGGTGTCAAATTTACTGGACGATATTGTTCTTGGAGTCATTATATAGAAACAGTTTTTGGTGGTTTTAGCATTCAAAACATGTCCTTTTATGTATGGGTTTCTACTTGTGTCAACCCTTTGTATTGTCATTAAACCAACACATCAAATCATTTATTGTCTTGACAACTCTGTAGTTTCAACACTTGGACAACAAGACTTGTAAGCGCATTTGTGGACCTTATCAAATATCTTGGTCAACAATATCAATGATCTTGATGGTAATATTACAACAAAAACCAACTTTTGTGAGTGACAGACAAATCGGCAAGGAATATGTCCAAACTTTTATTGGCAATATCCGAACAGTGGAACCAAATATCTGGATTGCAATGGACGAGCCTGGTGTCAAACTTGGCGATCATACAATGTATGGTCATGCAAACAAAGACGAAAGAACTGATTCCAAACTATAATTTGATGTGTATGAACAATGTGTTGATTGAATTGAGAATATCCAAGTCAATATACAAAGGACAGTGCAATGAATACTCAGTTATCATCTATTCCAAAGTAAAATGGTGGCGATGCAAGATACAGAAAAGTGCTCCATTTTACGTGAATACAGCGATGAATCTAGACGCCAAGATATAAAGTGCATCAGTTGAGTCCATGTGGTTAGATGGATAGTCAAAATAAAGCATTAATCAATATTGTGCAAAGTGGATCGTCGAGTTACGCATAAATCTGCCTCACGGTTGGCGGCAATGAGCATAAGAATGGAGAGATGAAGGATCATTAGTCATTGGTGTTTATCATGTATGGCAAGTACTTTTGTAGAATTCATTCAATACCACTTTTATGTAGGATCGGGTTTAGTTGTTGCTTTTGTGACTCCCATCATCTAATCCAGTGTCATTTCGAGACTTGAAGAGGCAGGTTTAATTGTAGGTTACACGTTCGTGTCGTTGTCCATATTAATGGTCAAGTCTTGATCCTTTATAGTTGTTAATGTCCTAAAGAGCCTTTTTGTGCCCCTTATGACAAATTGCGTCATTATTAAACCTCACTATCAACTTTAACAACACATGTATTTCGTACGCCTTCCACGCCACCCACAAGCGAGCATCAATAATGAATCACCAGATGAAATCATGGGATTTGGCTGTTTCATTGCATATATCAAGCGTATCTGTGGTAAAGTATTGTCAGTTTACTGTAGTTGGTTTGTTTAGTCCAAGACTATGCTTTCTTGATGTTTTGAAAACATTGGTAGATTGCTGATTTGAATGAGGATTATCCATCGATCGTGTTTCCTGCACCATGGCTACAATCTGACTTGTTGACACTAGTTTGCGGATCCTCTTGATTCAATATAGAACATGAGTCGTTTGGTCTAGCAAGGGCTGATTACTGAGCTTGCTGGTCTTGACACGACTGTTGATAATCCGCTTAATATAGTTTACCCTAATTTGAAATAATTGTGCAAATTTACAACCGGAGAATTCACGTTTCCGAAATGCAGCGACAGCAGCTTGCTTAATGCAATCAGATTACTTGTTAAATATGATGAAAGTGGAGTTTTGCGTATAACCCAAAAGAATATCTATCCATTCTCATTTCATTCTCATTCCATTTTCATCTTATTATCGCTGGCTTTAATCCTATCGCCACCAAGACATCCACCCAAAAACATTCAACTGAAACAGAATCCACGCACTGCATAACAGTGCTAAAAGGCACCCAAATCCCAACTCGCAGTATTAGTCTATTTATCGTTGATAGTGAGTGCCATTGACTCTTTATAGTTTCATTTCAAACGTTAACCTGTTTAATTGCATCTGTTTATATTCTTCTAGTCAGATATCGACTGCGTAATATTTTAAATTCAAGACTTGATTCTTCAGACCTGCTAACAACCTTTGAATTTAAATCCATTCAAGAGCAGATCATTCAAACCTATTGATACAGCCATTCGCAATGCGTCCACAAACAGCATTGTATGGTGCATTCTTGATGCTGACCTGGTCTACTGCAACTGCTGTTAATCATCGCTTGTACCCACGACAGGCTGCTGCATCTCTACCCACTGCTCCACAAGCATCTTCTGTACCTCACTCACAAGCAACTCCTGCTGCTCCTCCACAGGCATCTGTATCTCCTGCTCCTCCAGCTCCTGCACCTGCTCCTGCTCCTACTACGTCATCTGTTGTACCTGCATTGCCATCTGTTGCTCCTTCTCCTACGCAAAAACCATCAGCTGCTATAGTTGTGACAACCACCTCCTCTAGTGGACCACAAGCACCTGCTCCATCGCCTGGACCAGCTACCATCTCCAATACTTCTAATGAACAGGGCATTACGGGTGGTCCAGTAGCCCCTGCAAGCAATGGTAGTACTACCGGTTCATTAACAGGCTCACCCAACCCACCCTCATCTGAAATGTCCACATCAACCAAAGTGGTGCTAATTGCTGTTGGATGTGCTGTGTTTGTTGCTTGTGTAGGAATGTATGCATTCCGCAAGTTTGGTCAACTCCGGCCAAGTAATATGTTCCGTCAACGACTACGGAACAACGAAACAACAAATCATGGCAACACTGGACCAGCTCCTGTACCAATCCATAATGCTGCTGCTATGGGAAAAAGCAGTTCTGACTTGTACTATGCCACAGCTCAGAATGTTCCTAATCGATCTGCAGATCTAAGTAACATCTATAGTACATTACCCAGTGCTGGTGCTGGTGGTCAACCATATCAGCAATACCAGCATGGAGGGTATGCACAATCCGAACCCCATACTAGTGTACAATTTGTTCGAGAATAAAACTCATTCGCTGAATCTGTTTTACAGCTTTATTAAAAATTCAACACTTTGGAATAGACTGTGCTGGGCTGATTCCATGGAATTGTTCATCTCATTTCTATTAGTCATTCAAGAGTTTAAACATGAACAATATGAATCTCGCGATATTGCTGTTTGGATCGTTGACAGTTTGTATGTGGTTTGGAATTGATCAAAACACACCATCTTGTTACTAAACTCATTCCACAACTGTTGATTGTGCAATCCTTATTTGATGTTCATATCACACGAATCGGTTAGAGTAGAATGTAATATTTGTATTGCTATCCAATCTCTGGGTAAACTCTCATGTGTTGGGTTGATCAGCCAATTGGCATACATCACTTGTTAAAAGTGGTCATTTTAATCGCATTGTTGTTTTTAATTCTTGCACTCATTTTTCAATTTCATCATCAACATGTATGGTGTGCGTTTGTATAGTGGCTTAACGTCCCATAGAAATAATACCTGCGTTGATCAAGATACGGATCTTGCCAGAAACTGCTGGATTAGCCATATGCCTAGAGTAAACAAAGTTTTAGTATTTGTATTGGGCTCACTTGATACATTATTTCTATACAGACTGATCAAAAACTTACGATCGGACAGAAGAGGGATCTTCTTGCATTTGCTTCAAAATAGTCTGCATGATGGGATCGCTCATGGTTTGTTGGACATCAGGATTCTGCTTTGCACGCTCCAGCGTTTCCTCGCGGTTATGTGGAGCTTGGAGCTGGCTAAGAGTAAAGTATGCTTTTTGCATCTATATAGTTCAATCCAGTAGGGTTAATAAATGAAAAACAATCACCAATTAGACAAGACTATCTTACCTGCGACTGAACTTCGGCAGTATGCTTGTTTTCAGTGTCTTTGCTCATGATATCCTCACACATCTCAATGCAGCCCATGTAGTCACGCTTGGCACATAGAATTGCAGCTTTACGGATATATGCCTTGAGAAAATTGGGATCAAGTTTGATTGCAGCATCGCAGTCCTTGTCAGCTTCAGGCAAAGCCATCAACTTGGTATAGCAGGCAGCACGATTTGAAAAGTTTCGGGGATCTTCAGGGTTACGCTTGATGGCATCAGAGTATTGTTTAACAGCATTGACATAGTCGTGAGCCTTGAACAACTCGTTGCCCTTTTCACGAGCAGCATCAGACAACTCGGGATTCTTGTAGTTTTCTTCTTCAATCTTTTTGAGAGTCTTTTCAGCATCGCGCAGTTTTTCAAGAATATCAGCAGTTCGGTGCTCGGAAAGCGATTTTTCAAAATGCTTGATTGCATTGGGATAGTCATTCAGCATAGTGTACGAAGTTCCAATGCGACCAAGTGCACTAAATCGTAACATATCAATGAGGATCAGAATCAATTTCGGTTATGCAATAAACAATCTTGAATACTTACCGAGCAATCAGCTTATAATCAACCCGTTGTTCACGACCAACTTCAACAGCTTCCTCGCAAGTCTTGATGCACTCGTCAAACTTTTCCATTTCAAAGTATACAGCTGCCTTGTTAGTGAGAACAGCCACGTTAGTATTATCCAAATCCCAAGCCTCAGCATAGTGCTTCAACGCTTCCTCAAACTGACGTTGTTTGTAAGCAGCATTTCCCTTGGTCTTGGCCTCGTCACTGGCAGTACGTTTATTTTTTTTCTCTAGCTCTTCAGGAGTCAATTCAGGTTCAGATTGAGTTTTGGGCTGTGGTTTATGAGAAGACTGAGCTGCCTTGCGCGAGTCAATATCAGCATGAGCCTCTTCAGTTGCCTTTTCAACCTCGTCGGCATTTCGAGCAACACGAGCATCCAGATCCATGAGTCCCATCAATACCTCCATAATACGAGTATCTTGAAGATGACTAATTTAGAATTTACAATGCAATCAATATGATGTAAATCATACATGTCTAGCAAATATTAGAAATCATAAATGTCCAGGAAATAAGATTACAAGTATGCACACTGATACAACGTACAGGTTAATTGTTTCTGGATTGCTCTGGATCTGACGAAGTTTTTCAACAAGATCAGGCTGAGCAAGCAGAGGAGAAAGACGAGGGTTGGCGGCAATTTTTTCCCACATGCCAGGTCCAAACATCTTGGCCATGGGATTAGAGCTGGCTGACATGGCAGCAGTAACATCGCTCAAACCACGCTTGAGAAGCGCATTTTCTGGCTCAATTTTCAAGCCAGCTTCGTAAACAGCAGTAGCTTCTTCCAGATTACCAAGTCCATGAAGAGCAGCACCTTTACGTGAGTATCCCTAATGGTATTAAGCAGAGTTTAAATATTAGCGAGGAAATTCCAGATTGGCAAGTTGATTGTCGAGTAAATAGGATTGATTCAATAGATTTCAGTATGAGCAGTAAAAAGTTGTGATTTTATAGCACTCGACAAAAACAAAGCGATGATTCAACGCATACCTTTGCCCAGTCAGGTTTAATTTCAATAGTTTTTTCTGCATCCTTGACAGCATCAACATAATTGTGCATGCTAGCATATGCAGCTGACCTAAAGACAACATCACACATTAAAACGGTTAAATACTGTAAAAGCACATTTGATGAATAATCAGATCTAATAGATTCAAGCATGATAAAATCATGGAAGCCAACAAGACTCAGATAAGCCTACCTATTAGAGTAAAGGACATGGTTGGAAGGATCAAGTTCTATTGCCTGAGAAAAGAGCTTGATGGCAGAATCATACTGTCCAGCACTGAACGCCTGGTTGCCTTGTGCTTTGAAATCGTCAGCCTAAGAATAGATGGAAAACCAGACATGAATCAGATTAAACTGCAGCAATACAAACAGTAATAAAGCAGAATCGATGTTCATGACACTTGCCGACATATAAAAAGAATCAAATATTTAATGGCAAAAATCAAGTTTTGATTCTTGTGAATTTGTATGGATTTGCCTTCCATCAAATTCCAAACACTTCCAGTGTGTCTAAAGTCTGTTCATGTCAAGCTTGAATTAATAATAAAATCATGACTGATGTCAAGTGTGTTTAAATTCTAATATTCGTCACTATCGTATGCTCTTGTTCAATATCACCAAAACAATGTAAACCTAATTAAAAGGATTTCACATAAAATGTATTGAAGATCAGACAAAAAATGTGCTTATGCCTTGTCGACAATGACCTTGGTACCACGCTGCAAACCAGTTCTCCTGGCAGCAATAAGACCAACTTTTTGTCCAGGAGGAGCAAAGCGAGAAACGGTCGAGGCATGACCAATGTGTTGATGATTACCACCACCGTGAGGATGATCAACAGGATTCATAGCAACACCACGAGTCTTGGGCCAAGAGTTACGCTTAACGCGATACTTGTGGAAGGCACGTCCAGCCTTGAGAAGGGGTTTGTCAATACGACCACCTCCAGCAACAATACCAACAGTAGCACGGCACTTGTTGGATAAAACTTTCTTGGCACCAGATGGAAGCTTGAGACGGGTCTTGCCTTCATCGGGATTCTGGCCAATAACAGTGGCATAGTTACCAGAAACACGAGCAATCGCTCCACGATCACCAATAGACTCTTCAATGTTGCAGACAATGGTACCTTCGGGAACAGATGCAAGGGGAAGAACGTTTCCAATCGTTAAACCAGCTATAAACATCAAAATAACGGTGTTAGTTGAAGAAATCTAAATATCTAAAAAACAATCCAAACCTCACCCTTCTTTCCACAGTAGAGAAACTGTCCAGTGAAAAGACCTTCGGCAGCAATAAAGGTCTGCTCAGAAAGACCATACTTGTAGGGGTTACGGAAAACGACTTTGGCAAGTGGGGCACCACGACCTGGATCGTGAACAATCTCCTTGACAAGACCTCGAATATAGCCGTGTCTATAGTGGTTAAAGTCGTATCAGTACAATGCAGGCCCAAATCTAGTTTTTAAATAGTAATAAAATACCTCTCTGAATAGTCGAGAGGACGATGTTTGGCTGCGCCAACACGACGCTTGGTGTGAGATTTGAAAATACCACCAGCACCCTTACGCTGCGCACGAATGACTCTACCCATTGCGACTCTAATTACAGTAAAATCATTAGCTCGTTAGTAAGCCAATATTTACCACGCCAAAGCACTCTGAACATAAGATCATGCCAATAGACAATCCAAAATATAGCATCACATCCTCCACTTGTACACGAGCAAATCCATCATCCATCCACCCAAAAACAAGTGTCAAACTGTTTATAAGTGTCCTAATCATTCCTACAACAATCGACTACATTGAAATGCAATACTGCAAAGTAACAAGATCGCTACAGTGTGTAAATCCCTTTCAAAAGGAACTCGTAGTAAAGATTTAAAATAGTCGATTGTCATTGGCTCCCTGCATCAGTTTGTAGAGTGTAACACCATAATCTAGTCGACTGTATGCTGTTCAAGTCAAAAGATCTGCAACATGCAGCTTGTTCTTCAATGTTGAACCCGCGCTGCTGTGATTTCTGATGCATCTGCCATGAAACATGCAGGTGTAGATTAACAGGTGGATGAAGATGCTCCTGGATGAATGGATGAATGCTTTCTCCATGCATGCATGATACAACTCAGCGACAAACAAGGCATGAATCCTTACAAAAATTCTGTGGGGAAGAAGCGACAGGCAGTGAATTGTCAAGTTGACAACTCCAAAATTGAATTCAACATCACGTGGACTATACTCTTATCACGTGTAAATTCATTTTTCATTTACAAATGCCATTCGAACTGTACAGCCGTATTCACGTAAGACGGAACACTAAACAAGGATGTCAAAGTATAATAAACAGTCATGAAATGATTGGCATCAATTCATGTCAAATTTACTGGGTTTTCCTGTTGTTTGGCATGTATTCTATTTTAAACTCGGTGATCGTACAATGTATGTTATATCAAGAGAATGATCTTGGTTCAAAACTATAGTTTATGTGAGCATCGTGATGTTTGTTGTGTTTATTGAAAGACTGCAGCCAGTTTGAATAGGAGTCACAATGGATATTCAACTACTGTATATTTCAGAACGGAATAGTATTCCATTTTACGTGAATACAACCAACACAACTTGGTTCATATCAAGCGTGTCAAGCGTGATGAAAAACTGCTGTTGATTCAATCTAAAGTATTTTGTACTTGCTGAATACAACAACTGTCGATATCGTACAGTCTATATTGATACCAAGTAGTTTCATGGATGCTATCTGCAAAAATAAAGTAAACTATACATCACGTGAGTACACATTTTTATTTGTGCCAACAGCCCATCAAATCCGACTTGAATATCTAAAAACGTGAGTCTCAGATCTGAGCTTGGTTCAGTTGAAACGAATACTGCCATTGAAATAAATGATGATATTCTGACAGATACTTCTAAAGTGCTGCTGATTGTGCAACTGATTTGTCACTGTGTTGGCCAATATTGTATAACATATTGACTCCTTTGACTATCTGTTCCATTGGCTGAACTACTGCAGAAACTATATAGTTTGGATAGCTGATGTTAAATCACTGACACTATGTGTATTGTTTGTAATTATGCCATACCATTAAAAATCTGTGTTTCTAACCGTTAATGTTGTAATTTGCACATTTAGTTGAACACCATGGCAGTAGATCTTGTTCGACCTTTCTTGGTTGTATTCACGTAAAACGCAATACTATTCTGTCCTGAAATATACAGTAGTTGAATATCCATTGTGACTCCTATTCAAACTGGCTGCAGTCTTTCAATAAACACAACAAACATCACGATGCTCACATAAACTATAGTTTTGAACCAAGATCATTCTCCTGGTATAACATACATTGTACGATCACCGAGTTTAAAATAGAATACATGCCAAACAACAGGAAAACCCAGTGAATTTGACATGAATTGATGCCAATCATTTCATGAGACTGTTTATTATACTTTGACATCCTTGTTTAGTGTTCCGTTTTACGTGAATACGGCTGTGATGCGGACAAATGATGAGATGTGGATGCAGTAGTCGCCCGAGTACGGGTGTCGTAATCATGCTGCAAACATGTCACAAAGTCTTCAAATAAACTTTGGTTTGACACCAACTCGCATACTTTGGAGGCTCTTTGGATTGCTTCTTTGCTAATTGACTTGCATTGAGTAAGATTTACAGCATGTAGTTTGGTCGCGACTTGCACAAGATGATTAATTCCTGCATCAGTAACCTGCACGCATCCCCGAATATTCAAAAACCCAAGACTGGGAAGTCCCTGCGCAAGCGTTCCAAGTGATGCATCCGTCACAGCACTCCCACAATAGCTTACATCCAATGAATGGATTTCGTTGCATCCTTGAACAAGGATATCTGCGTATTGTTCTGTGAGTGAGCAGCAAAATGATAAACCGAGCTTTTTTAATCGCGGACAGCACCATGATAGAACAGATATGGTCTGATCTGTGAGAAAGGAGCAATCACTTAGATTGAGCTCCTCGAGCATAAATGTATATGGCATCGGATTTGGTAGAGTGGTTGGTTGAAGCAGCTCTAGTTGTGCTAAATGGTTTAATGTCTGGTCGACTTGGCATGGTGGTAAAGCGGCAATTGGGATTGTTTTTATACTTGAATCTGTACTTTCACTACTGTAAAAAAATTGTGGAGCTATATCTGTGGATGCGCTATCCATTGATAAGTTACTGATTTCAGCTGTGTTGCATTAAATAGTCAAAAAATCATAAAATAACATCACTCAATTTGTCAGTATTATAACAGCATGAACAAGTAGCAAGCCCATCATCTATTACCATTATTGTCCAAAACTCGATCAGAATCAAGCCCGGGTTCAAAAGCGATGGAGCCTTGCATAGATTGAACAGCAAGATCGGCAGGTTGACACGGTAAGCACTGCCATTTTAAAAATCCACTGTCAAATATGCCTGTACATCGCTGAAAGTTTGCCTTTTTAATTGATTGCCAGATTGATTTTCCCATTATTGCTTCAGTAATGCTCTTGCAGTAGCTCAGTCCAATTGTATTCAAATACTGGCACCTGTCAAGCAAGTTCAAAATGCTTTGATCAGATAGCTTTCTGCAATTACTCAACTCAATAGTTTGCAAGTACTTGCAGTGTTCTGAAATTGAAGCCAATCCCACTTCTGTAATATCCCATAAGCTTGCCAGTCCCAGGGTTTGGAGATGAGTTGCATACTGGGAAATATGAAATAGTCCTTGATCAGTGATCTGCCAACAGCTTTTAAGATTCAGAGTTATGACATTTGATCCGCAGAAACGCATGATATTTTCAAGAGTTTTATCATTGATAGACTTGTGCCATTTGAAGAGATCGACATGTGAAACAAGATTATGTGCTTTCTCAAGTAAAAAGGCTGTCATGTATTTGCTGACACGTCGTAGTCGCATACGCTGTCGAAAATCAAAGTAGCGAAATACATTTAAAAGAGAAGATGGACCAAGGCCCATTATAGTGAAGGATTCATGTGTATCAGCCGAGTTTGAAGACAAAATGAATTCAGAAAGATTGGGGCTGAGAGGGTGCTCAGGCTCGGCTTTGAAACTGTTTTTCATGGTGGTTTCGCGGGCTGCTGCTTGACCAGAAATAGTTTGTGCAAATTTCATCAGTTTATCATCAGACCATACGGCAACAGATACACGCCGTCGATTATCAAGCCTTTTTGCAAGCATAGCCTGCGATGACATGGCATTCGACTCGATATTCAGAGTATGTGGCAGAAATGTCAAGGGCTCTGGAGTTGTAGTTTGCACTTCACCACCTAGTACATCCAAAGATCTCTCTACAGAAACCCCTGAGCTGGATTCCACGTCCTCGTCTGACCTTTCCGATGTTGGCTCTCTGGATCTTGGTTCAAAAGTAATATTAGGCATGACATCCATCATATCCACTCTAATAGATTGCTTTCGAGAAGTAGGATATGCCAATGGCGCCAGCTGTGAATCCTGTATAGTTAGGGTATGGCATAATGCTAGGCCTGTGAGTGCTTAAAAATACTCAATAGCGCTCATCAAAACAAAACAGATCTTATTGATCCACAGTGCAATAAACTACCTTTAGTTCCTCTAAAAACTTTTTTTGCAATTCAATGGATGGCTTTCTTCCTACACGCTGTAATTCCTGTGACATGAGTGCAAGTCGATCTTGAGCAGCAGCTTTCAAAACACGTTCTATTTCAGGATAGTTGACGAGTTTCTTGTGCACGACATCAGATCGAAGAATAACCAAAGTACAAGGTACCTTTGCAATAACTGTTGCTGTTCGTTTAATATCAAATAGTATTCCAATCTCTCCAACTGTATTAAAATAACATTGCGTTTGAAGTTGGGGTAAATGATTGTCAGATCCATTCCGTCTTGGCCGTTATACATATCATCCTGTATCGAATCCCATTACTTACAAAATGTGCCATGATTCAGCTCTCCGAAAATAACCTCATCGTCCTCACTCACCACTTTAAGCGAACCTTTGATAATAAAAAACATGGCGCGAGCAACCTCGCCTTGGTGAATCACAATATCACCAGGGGAATATTTCCTCACCGTCATGGTTTTGCAGATCTCATGCAGGAACTCGTCCGTTTCAGAAACCCCAGCAAAAAAGGGCAATCTAGTCAGCAGGGTATACAGTTCGCCTGGAATAAGTGAATTGGCGGATGCAGTAGTGGGCGATGCAGTGTCAGAGAGCAACGGAGCACTAGACAACAAGCTTTTGCTATTATGAGCAGCAACAGTAGTTGATGAGTTGAATGCAACTGTTGCATCAGCATTGATATTAGGAGCAGACAAATTCGTTGCGATAGACAATAGGTTGCGACGAGAATTGCTGCTATTCAAGGCTGTCATTATCGAATAGTAGAATAACAGGCTTGTTAGTTGAACCATAAGTCTGTGATTATCTTGTCCTGCAATAGCAAATGGCATTTCCCACTCTGTACCACATATCAAACAAAAAGTATAGTCAAGTCATTCCTAAATAGCCATTTTAGTATCAATGACATACATGCAGGTGTCAAACTGCCTAGACTTAGGCCTCGAGGAATAGATTCTTTAGCGTTTAAATCAATGTCAGACAAGACTGTGGGAGAAGCTGGAGTATTTGCATTCATAGCAGTGTTCATTGCATTCATGCAACAATAACAAGTCAGGAAATAAACTCTAGCACTCGAGTAGATTCAATCAATATTTGGTATCAGCGTGGATGAGTGTCGAGCAACAAGTCAAAGCCTTTTTGGACGCGTCGTACTGATTTTTGATTGTCAGCAATCGAATCTCGACACCAACTCGAGTTCTAGAGTCGATTATTGGACCTGAATTGTATTTATTTCATTCCATCGCTGCGTATCGTTTGAAATTAACTCTGAAATGGTCTAATGCGTTCTGGGTGTCCATTTTCATCATCTTGTTTGTTGTGGATACAATAAACCTCCGATTAATCTTGCAAAGCCACAAGTTTGATAATCAGAAACCTTGTCTAAGCAGACTAGTTGTAACTCTCCAACTATATTTACGTGAATCTCATCATAAAATGCACTCTTGTCTCTATTACTCAAAGTAGATTGTATTCATAAACTGGATATTGATCTGCCACACTTGAATCTACATTTAATGATGGTTTTAATCAGGAATCTCGGATTAATCTTTCCTGCTTACTCAATTCTGTCACGTGAAATTTTCTCGTGTCAAGTCTATAGATTGAGACCGTTTATTATGTATAATGGAACACTGAACAAGCCAAGATGCATAACAGCCAGTCTCGTGTTTGGTGTCAAATTTACTGGACGATATTGTTCTTGGAGTCATTATATAGAAACAGTTTTTGGTGGTTTTAGCATTCAAAACATGTCCTTTTATGTATGGGTTTCTACTTGTGTCAACCCTTTGTATTGTCATTAAACCAACACATCAAATCATTTATTGTCTTGACAACTCTGTAGTTTCAACACTTGGACAACAAGACTTGTAAGCGCATTTGTGAACCTTGTCAAATATCTTGGTCAACAATATCAATGATCTTGATGGTAATATTACAACAAAAACCAACTTTTGTGAGTGACAGACAAATCGGTAGGGAATATGTCCAAACTTTTATTGGCAATATCCGAACAGTGGAACCAAATATCTGGATTGCAATGGACGAGCCTGGTGTCAAACTTGGCGATCATACAATGTATGGTCATGCAAACAAAGACGAAAGAACTGATTCCAAACTATAATTTGATGTGTATGAACATTGTGTTGATTGAATTGAGAATATCCAAGTCAATATACAAAGGACAGTGCAATGAATACTCAGTTATCATCTATTCCAAAGTAAAATGGTGGCGATGCAAGATACAGAAAAGTGCTCCATTTTACGTGAATACAGCGATGAATCTAGACACTTTAAGGAAAACGCCAAGATATAAACGCAACACGTTTCATACATTCCAGTACCGGCTATTTGTGACGTGAATAAATGGTCTCACCAACACTAACTAATAGAAAGACTGCTGTCGTTGAAAACCCGTCCGCCATCATCAAAAGCAATGAAATAGTACATAACTCAAAGATGTCTAGCATGCCTCGGTATACCATACCTGGAGTTGGAAAGTATAGTATCACTTCTATGAATCGAAGTGCGCGTTTGCGAGGCGACTCTGAAGTGTACGTTGACTGTATCAGATGTAAACTGAATATGCGAGCCATTGTATTAGATATGCTGTTAATTCAAAGTGATTCTTTGAAAGTCTGCTTGTACATAAACTATAATGAGCCAGCGTTTCAAAAATATGATATAGTTTCTGTCTAGTGATGGTACAGCTTCGACCAAAATACTGATATTGCTTTAAACGACTCATTATCAATAGAAGATACACAAGCGACCATGGCGATGGTGCTGAAAGTATTAAAGGACCAATACAAGCCCAGGTATAGTTTATATATGAGCCAAATAGGCTTGAAACGATACGTAGAATCTAACACGCTCAATTATTAGCTGGCAGCACATTACTCATGGCATGGAATTATACTTATCTTGTCCACTCTCTCAAAATTTTCAAATTTATATTATCCTGCATTACCTACATGTAAGTTTTGATTACCAAAATCTCTTTTCATAAATGATTTTTATTATGGTTGCAATTAAAGCTAATCCACCATTTAGACATATTTGTTTCATATATAACATGGCAACTTAGTCGATTGGTTTACAAAGCAAATCCAATGAGCATTTTACCGCTTTACTTTTCATTTTATCCATATGCCTTGTTTCATTCATTTACAGGAAACGCTCATACCGTTTTGTGTGGTCTATGGTATGCCTCAATCATGGGAATCACACTTCAAATCAGTCGTCCAAAACTTGAGTATCATTTAGGCGGTATTACAATATGTTTTATTGGTAAGAATTCAACTGAAATGTTAAATATACAGCTTGATGGATACCATACTTGTGTATTCACTATTTTGCTTGTTCAGTTATATATCTGGTTGAAACGTTTGTCATTTTTCCTTCATTGAGCACACCTACATTTTATCTTTCGGCTCTTGGTGTCAATCCAATAAACTCAAATCCTGCAATAGACTGCTTGGAAAAGTCAGAATCGATATGTACATGTCCATATCTATACATTCCGAATATGGACAAATCAAAATGCGATTGGCTTATTTCTATTCCAGTTTTTTATGAGCAAGAAGTCACATTTATTGTCAGTATTCTGCTGATATGTGCATCATCATTTATGCTTCATCGACACGTTTGCGAATATGCCTATCGTCTTATTGATCGGCGACGCGCTGTGTCAAATTTGATGACTCAGAATGCGGATTTAAAAAAACTACTAGCCCAGTAAGATTCAGATGAATTGACGCTAATTTTCTGTAGTATATTGAATGCATGGATTCTCTAATATTTGTTTTACATTTTGGTTGGGTTTAGAATGCATGTCAAGGACAATCTTGATTTGGATTCGCCAATTACCAAGGTCATTAAAGTTATCCGGGATATTCAATTCAAAGGAGGTATATTACTAATCATTGTAATTAAATCTAAAATGCTGATTATATGTCAACTGCTCTAATTCACTGTTTTTGGGCACTGAAATATTCAAGATCTTGAAGCAGACGTAATGGAGAGTCTGGATTATGTGATTTCTCTTTTATCGTCAAACCAGCTTTTTTTACCCAATTTGAACGTAAACAAAGATGCAATGGATACGGATGTCAACAAATGGTTGAATGCCATGATCCACCAAAATGAAGCACCAAAACTGACAACGGACTTGAAATCAAATAATTTAATGACTAATAACTACGCCAGTATGCTGTCATTGACACATTCCAGACTAATATTTCTTGGGTAAGTCATTTTTATTTTGTGGTTTATTGATGGCTTGTTTTCAAAACAATTGGTGCTGTCAAGATCACTGAATGGCTTGGATATCACTTAATTAGAACACGCGATCCTAGTATTGTCGAGGTGTTGGAGAACATTGACACCTGGGAGTTTGATATTTTTGAACTAGCAAGAGTCACCAAAGGTATATACTTTCTGACTCGGTTGACACGCTCACAAATCTGATAATGTGATTAATCTTTACTGGGATTGATAAATTTGCAATGGCAGGTCGGCCTTTGTATCATTTAGGCATGGCATTGTTTGAAATCTACAATTTTCAAGCAACATTCAATGTAGGAGAATCAGTAATGCGTGAATTTTTGAGCAAAGTAGAAGCAAACTATCAAGTGAGTTATTTTCTATTGGTGATCAGTACTGATTTGCAAGCGTGTTAATTGTAAATCTATGTCTGAACCATAGGCCAACACATATCACAATTCCACACATGCCGCAGATGTTATGCATTCATTACATTATTTCCTTACTGTATTGGGGCTCAATGAGCTGGTGACAAGCGAAGTAAGGCAAATTGATTAGTCAAAAGACAGTTGTATTGTAAAAGCTTAATTGTTTTGAAAATAGGATGCCTTTGCGTCAATCATTGCAGCAGCTATGCACGATGTAGATCACCCTGGATATAACAACGCATTTATGATTGCAACCTCATCACAAGCAGCAATCAGATATAATGACATATCTGTTTTGGAACACTATCATACTGCAAGAGGATTTGATATTATGCTAAATGAGCCTGGATGCAATGTGCTTGCAGGTGTGTCGCCCGAAAAATACAAAACACTGCGTGCGTCAATTATTTCAATGATTTTGGCCACAGACATGACTGCCCATTTTGAATATATTGCTAAATTCAAAAACAAAGTTAACGGTGCAGGTAAGTAATGGCCTTGTCGTGCCATGATTTGCATGATTATGAAAAAGCTAAAATATTTCATAACAATTATGGTGAGTTAGGTTTAGAACTTACAGATCCCAAAGACCGCCAGTTGTGTATGGATATTGCAATAAAGTGTAGTGATATCAATAATGCAGCCAAAAGTCTGCCGCTGTGCACAAAATGGGCTGAAAACATTATGGAAGAGTTCTTTAAACAAGTAGGTTACAACACGCCTATACAATGTTAACTGGGAATGTTGTTAACATGTAAATACAAATGCTAATTTATAGGGAGATGAGGAACGTAAGCGAGGTTTGCCCATTTCAATGTTTATGGATCGTCAAACAACAGTGATCAGCAAATGCCAAGTTGGATTCATCGACTATATTGTGTTACCGCTCTATGAGGTATGGGATCAGTACATGAACGAGGATGGAAAATTTCCTGCAGTCTCAAATTTGCAATCAAACAGGGATTATTGGAAAAAGTAAGTTCTATTCAATTGGTAATACATTGTACGCAGTAGTAGATGTCTAGAAAGTGCTCTTGAAATATAAAGCCCAAGTAGCTTGCCAACTGCAATTGAAACTAATGCATGTTTGTTTATTATGGCATTTACCAGACTTCACGAAGACGTCCCAGCAATCATAACATCATGATTTTGGCTATTCAAATATTACTTCACATTTCATGTGCACGTACTGCCATCTTCAGTGCCCCCTCCTATCCTCAGAATCATGTCAGTAAGCAAATGACTAAACAAGTCATATACCTACACTCACAGCAAAAGACATACCTTTGTCATGTTTCCACCAATAAATCCACTGGCATGAACAAACACACATCCATCAATGCCGCAAAGTGTGCTAAGTTCTTGATCACGAAGTCCCTAATATTACATAAATACAATTTGCAACAAAGTCGTATATTTTGGTTTAGTCAAATAGCGTTAGACATACGATACACTCTAAATATAATACAATCAATCGTTTCAATGCAAATCAAAGGTAAAACTTACGCGCCACGACTCAGGAAGCGCTTTGCGAGACTCGAACGACGAGGGATTGCAAGAAACTAGATATTAAAGTTTTTTAATCAAAAGTCTAAGAAATCAACACGCATGAAAACATACCTGCTTGAATACGCCATTGGGAAGAAGTATCAGGGTAGAGAACATAAAGAGGCTGCTCAGAGGCAGGAATTTTGTTTTCCTTTTCCAAGAGATATCTAAATTGAACAAAATAATGAGAATATGCCAAAATCGCAACAAGATTTGATTCACATAAATCCTTACACATATTCCTTCCATGGACAATACTGATCAAAAACCATAATACGCCCAGATGGATGGATAGCTTTGCGATCATTGAGTGCATCCTGCACCAATTTACGAGCAGGAATCCAAGCATTTCCAAGATATAATACCTAAAAAACAACATATTAGCAATTGTATCCCTTCAAATTCATACTGTTAAATTAGTTGCACCTTGTCAGTGAATTCCATGCCAGTGAGTGCAACTGCCTTGGCAAATCGCTCATCCATATCGTCAACAGACTGGTTCCACCATGGATTCAAAGCAGAGACACGATGAGAAATTGTAGTGCTCTCCTTGTAAGCTGGATCAAGATTGCTGGGATATCTAGATACTCCATTGTCTACACCATCGTACTAAAATAAATTCAAAAAAGGTGAGACACTGAAACTATGCAACATTGCTAAATGTTACAACACATTACAAACGATCCTACCTCTTGAATTAGATCATCGTAGACCTTCATGTAAAGCATATGCACTATATCTTCCTGTTCATCCTGATGCCAACCAAGAACCTCACGAATAATTCGATGACCAAAGTGCTTGTACACTAGTCCGGCACTTGATAGTCGAATCTTGTGATCGCTATCGAATGTATCCACAAACTCACGTTGATGATGATCGTAGCGATGCTTGCTAGGATCGTAGATGCCACCAACATCCACAACAATATCAGCACTTTCAATCACACTAGCATCTCTAGTACGTACAAGTTTAGCATCTTTGTACTCTGGAAGCAGCCTGAACAAAACATCATGTTTTAAATAGATCAGTTTTTAATATCAAATAAACAGTAATACTATATAGACATGGATTCAAACCTAAGCATGTAAACAGCAAGAGATTCATCTGCGTGAAAACTGAATATTGCATATTGTATATACATTGAGTTAAAATACAGGTCATGCAAGTTGAATACTACAAAATACATGATCTAAACAGATCAAACAACCTTCCAGAATGAGTTGCAATAGTCTGTATAGAACGTTTGCAGGTAAATAAAAAAGAGTGATTATGATGAATAGAAGCAGCGTTAATCATGTTAGAGCCAAGTGCTGTAATAGTTAGTAAATTTGTGCGAGCACAAGTAGAAGCAAGCAAGCCATTGCAACAAATAAGTCTGCGGGACATAAGCAGTCGATGCATATTGCAACAATTGTGAAAAGATCACCTTCATGTTTGGCTTAATTGACAGTTTGTTGGTAAACGGGAAAGTCGTGATGCAAAAATAGCATTTGATTCACAGCAGTTTTATGTCAAATACATAATCAATCGTTGACTGTTAATGTCATGTCAATTAATTGACCGAATTGGTTGTCTATTTTTGTATAAGCATCTGTGGATATTCACATCACAGTTTTAGTAAATTTCATATTCTTGATACTTGTTCAAGCTGCAACTCTCAAACCAAGTATTCAGTAACTGGCATGAAAACAACTTGCATTCTCAAGGCATACAATCTTTGATCTCTTGAACTAGAACGCAAACGTATTCGTAAAATTGAGATACAAGTAGAGTTGTATTGATAACGGTCAAACTCAATATCTGGAAATGTATATTTATATCAAATGAGAGTTCCAGCTCAAAGCCATAGTTTAATTTTATATTATATAATGTTTCTAATCGCTCGATGTTTTTGATGGCATTCAATCTTGATACTAGTATGCAGATGCTTGACCAGATTTGATATTCTGCAATAAATATTGTGACAATCAAGATTACACTAGTTCCAATGACAACTCTCATTCTATTCTGACTATGCAGTATGTGTGCTCGATTCTTTACTGTTGCCAATCCAGCACCACTATTTGCTATACTAGATGGCTAATACTTTGATACCAATATACCTGACAGCACGATTGTTTGCATTGTGAAACCAAGTTTCCTGTGCTTTATCTGTAACATATCCTGTTTTCATACTACAGTTTACTCAAGATTGCATAAACAAGCTATATTTGCACGAGAATAAAGCACTTTAAAAACAAAATCCACATTTTCAGATAATACCAAGAATGCTTCACATGTATTCATGGTATTAGTTTACCACTCTGCAATCGTTTCAAACACCATCTGCACATCGTCTATATTTTTGTTGGAGTCAGTCGAATTGTCTATGTCTTGTTCAGCCGATATCGGTTTGCAACTGATTGATGCAAACGTAACCTCGTTGGAAAGATGTTCAAATTTGAAATCTTCCTCGTGTCCTAAATATGCTACATCCTCATCCCCTTCAGATTGAGCAGCAATGCCAGAGCTTCGTGCTTTGCGTAATTGGTTACTATACAGCAGTATATTAAACAAAACATCAATGAATCATCACACCAGCCATGAGTACGGTTTGGAAATAAAACGCGCTTACATTTCTTGTTCCAGCATGCTCTTTACAAGTGCAGGTGTAAGTGATAAAATCACATCATTCTTGTTGCACAGGATGTGTACTGGCAATTCGCTATTCAAGGTGGTATTATTTGTAAGAACATCATAGAGGTACTCTGATGTTGAACGCAGTATGTCTTCCTTGCGAAGTTGGGATGAATCCACAACAAACAGGATCCCTTTTGCGCTGGGCAAAAATGTATTAAACTTGAACCGTAATCTTAAATGACCTGGAATATCAACAAGTTTTGTATTCAACATCTACAAAATTGACAAATGCAGTCGACATACAAAACAATGATTTGCTGGTTAGTTGTATAAATCATACAAGATCAGTTATGCACACAACCTCATACCAGTCAAGTTTCTAAACTAAATAATAAACTCACATTGCTTGCAAGCGGTGCTACATTTTCCTGCATAGATACGCATGTTTCAATAGACCGATGGCCAGTAAGCTAAAATGCCAAATCATTTCAAATCGGTTGTACAGAAATAACAGCAGAGTGCGTTTAGCTTATTGGCTACTCAAAGTATTAGCATGGATACAAATAAAACATTTGTTTGCTATTAGAGCTGATTTACCTTGTAAAACAGTGCAGTTTTTCCAGATCCAGATGGCCCAGCTATTACAACAGTGTCCCTTGTACTCGTACTTCCTACGGCTCCTAGCAAACTAGATCTGCCATTTTTTCCCAGTAAGAACCACGCAGAGAGCAGCAGTGCTGATTGTACATGGATCACAATCCAGATAAGCAATTCAAAAGTGATGCAAGTGTATTACAGTCAGTTAAACCGTTCCATTACTGGTCAATATGCTGTATAAATAGATTGCATTGCTGCCAACTCTAGATTTTGAGCTTCGTTGAATTCCAGCAGGTCAATCGGAAAGCAGTGACATTTTGACTGAATCGATAGTCTGATAATGAAACTCTGACCAGCATTTGTATTGCGTTGAATAAGAGTCCGAGGCAGATTAAATACTTACCAATTACAAGAATGACTGCTGATAGCACGAACCCAAAGGATGCGACCAAGTGTGGCATTCTGATGTTTGATTAATTAGTGCCTGCAATGTTTCTACCAAAAAGTGAATGGACTCGATAACTACAAAAAGTTTCCGTCCAGTTACTCGATAGATTGATGGAAGCCAGAGTTTTGGGCAAAGAGCAATGTGACTAAAACTGAACATGGACAGCTTTGGTTTTAATCTCGAAATATTTATAGATGCAGCAACCACTTCGAGTATTAGAGTTTTTTTCAGGAATAGGCGGTCTGCATTATGGATTAGAACGGGCAGAATCTACTGCTACTGTTCTTGCAAGCTTTGACGTGAATGAGCATGCCAACTCTTGGTTAGTCTGGATTTCAAATGAACAGTATTGGTTTGTTGCTCATCCCAAGCAGGGATGACATTCTGACGGTTTCTTGAATATTTAGTTATCAACACAATTTTGGCATCAAACCATCCAACAAGAGCATCGACACACTCACAGCTAAAGACATTGAAAAGTATGATTCAAATTGTTGGCTGCTCTCTCCGCCTTGTCAGCCATTCACTCAAGGTGGAAAAAGTCTGGATCATCAAGACAATCGATCACTTGCTTTGCTGCGTATTATCGAAATACTCCAGCACATTGCAATCCCTCCCAGATTTGTGTTTGTGGAAAATGTTCCCAATTTCGAAACTTCTGAATGCCGATCTCGACTGGTTCAAGCTCTTGACCAATGCAATTACGATGTCAAGGAGTACCTAATCAGTCCTATTCAAATTGGTATTTCAAACGATCGTCGAAGATATTATCTTGCCGTGAGTCTCATATGCTTGGTTTGTATTGTTACTGCCAATTCCACAGTGGATACTGATCCGATTTAATATGATTTGATATGAATTAGGCTAAACTACGCAGTAGCATTTCAACTGGCAAATCCAACCTGTCTTGCTTGCAAACATCACATATGATTACAAGGCTAGATTCGGAATCATCCGGCATTGCATTGCCCATCCCTCCAGCAATATCAACCTATTTGGAGCAGCATTGTGATATATCAGAATTCCTTGTTCCTGAACAATATATTCTTAAAAGGAAAACATTCCGTTTCGATCTGGTCAAACCAACTGATACGCGCTGCTCATGTTTTACCAAGGCATATGGATCCCATCACATTATTGGATCTGGATCGTTTCTACAAACAGCCAACCTTGATGTGAGTAGTCGAGTATTTGTAAATGCAGTATGTTGGATATCAATATCTAATATGGTGATGTGTTTTGGAGTTGCAGGCCACATTTGCTTCCGATGATGGCAAGGCAATAGTAGCATCTCGTCCTCGGTTTTTCACTCCCCGAGAAATTGCTCGATTGCACGGATTTCCAATTGATGGTGTATTGAATGGTTCAATTGGCATGCTGCATACGTTTGAATTCCCAGACTCAGTGCCTAGATCGCAACAATATAAACTACTGGGCAATTCTTTGAGCGTAGATGTTGTCGCATATTTATTGAAGTTGTTGTTTTTGGATAGCGATGTCTGAAATGGCTTTGGTAGTTGCATCAAATCTGGATATTTTCTGAATTTCACAACCATCAATATTAATGAATTGCAATTTGTCAAACTCGATGTTTAAAACAGGACAGAATCTTGACATTCATCAACTATTTTGATAGTTATATTGACTAATAATCGAAATCTTACCAGCGTGGATTGGATTAGCTGATACAACTCTATTTTATATCGTTGATTCTCAAGTGTACAGACATTTTGTTTATTTTCTCAGCTGCTCGCAGTGTTGGACATTGGCAGTTGGAATATTAGTTAACAACCAATTTAGGCAAACGTTGACTAAACTTGCTCAACACTATTGATGATTTTTGAAATATTCGCTCTACTACAATGATTCATCCTGCAAACGAACCTCATTCATGCACTGTGTGTTTGGAACCGCTGTTTAAATCCATTACAAAGGAAAAGTCCGAAACATTTGAACTCGACAAGTCATTTCTGAAACAGATGACCCAGCAATGCATCTTGCCAAAATGTAAGTAGTCTATCCATTTTCAACTGGTGACTTGGTTTAAGCTGTGTTGTGTTTGATTAGATGTAAACTGGCTGGTGAAATCATCATACACCATTAGAACTGTAATGACTAAATATTCAATATCTGGCATGGATTTAAACTGCCACTATCAAACTTGAACAATCCCAAAAATTACATTAAAAACTTTAATATATACAGGCAGTCATGTATTTCACTCTGTATGGTAAGTAATCTAAATGATCCATTCAAGACACGCACGAATATGTTTGGGTCGTATTTCTAAACCAGCATGTTTTCGTATCAATAGTATTATTCGATGGTTAAATTGTGGATCTAAGCGTGTATGTCCGAATTGCAGAGAACCAGTCAAGTTTATCAAACCCACACTACCCGAGATTGTGTTTCTTCCAAACGGACTTTTTTGGATTCCATTGGCTTTGTCTACAGCACAACCATCTTCTTCATTACCACCTCTAGCTGCATCCAGACTATCCTCTGATGCCACACGATCTCATGAACAAGCCTGTTCAGATAATGCCGTGGCATTTTTGCATCGAGATTTGGCATCAAAGCAAATTCTTATTGATGAAATGCAAGAGGAAATAGAGTCACTCAAGTGCGATCTTGAAGATACCATCACGGATCGAAACCATATTCTCAACGATCTTGAACATTTAAAAGCAGGAGAACACGTAATCAAGTCATTTCAAGCAGCTTCGAAAAAGGAAATGGCTATTCTTCAAAAAAAATTGGATTCGCTTGAAAAAATCAATACGGATCTAAAACAACAGTTGCTGAATGCAGAACTTTCTCAAGCTGCTTCAAAAGTGTATCATGCTAAGCTTGTAGAAACCATTGGTCGTCATAAGAGCGATTCGGAAAACCTCCAGCGAAAACTTGCTGCCTATAAAACGTATGCTACACGAATGGTTGATTGTGGAATGGACATATTTGATGATCACAGCAATTAATCACATTTAGTTTTTAATTACAAGAGTGGAAAGCATCGATTTAAACAAATCTATAGACAATGAGGATTGGCAAGGTAGAGCCAGTGATATTGCTTTAATGGACAATGCTGCCGATCTAAAGGATATTTTACAAGAATATCACAGGTTTGTTGTTCATGTATTATGATTTTGAAGCAAAGTTGATTTGAATTTGACCATAATTGGTATCATACAACTAAAGACTGGCTTTTATTATCACCTAGAAAAATCCAAACGTTCCACAAAAACTCGCAAACATACAAAACACGCGCATATGAAATGCGCGAGGAGCGAGATTATGCTCGTAAGGAGCTAGATAGTTTAAAGGCAAAAGTGCGCTAATGAAATTGACTCTGTATATCGTGACTATTGTAGTATGTTTACTAAACTTGATTTCATTTATTCTGGTAGTATGATCGATTGGAAGAAAGCCATCTGGATATCAAAAAACAACACGAGCTGGTTGCCACTTGCCAGCCATCATATACCTTACTATCTGCTAAAGATATCTTGACACACAAATCCAATGCAGGTAAATTAATCAACACTACTATGCATACATCGACATCATGCGATACACCACTTTTGGATCGAGTTGCTATTTTGGAACAGGAATTGATGAATATTCGACAAGCGCAGCTACAGACGACTGATTCGCCCAGTAGAGATCGGTTCAAGGATTGTTTGATCTCACCTTCCACTGTCGTGTCAGACTCGTCCTCGAAGAATACGCATACTACAACATTTTCCCAATCTAATCAATCACTACATCAAAAAAGCACATTTAAGCAGAATATCAGGTACGTTGAATAGGTTCAAACATGCTGTTTATATTGAATATTGAGATGTTTGTAAATTGAACTGTTTTGCCTTTCAACTGCGTATTTGCCGTGTATTAGTGCCGATCCATGTTTTATGGATAGTGACTTGTCGGATTTGAATGATGGACAAGTTGTTACAGTTCGTCATGCATTGAGTAGTTTGGATGTACTTCGACCTGGCGCAATGCTGGGAAAAAAGCGAGCCAGTATTGGTCAATTTGAGCAACTTGCTTCTCGAATGAAACGCAAGAACGGCTCTGATATCTCGACTGGATCCAACTCTTGTTTATCAGGGACATCAAAACATACTTCTCCGTATTTGGTATCTGATAGAATGGGTGGAGTGTGTCGTCAATCTAGACCGATTGGTTCTCAATCCGACTTGCAAAATGGAGTGTCTACGACTGCAACAACTCGTCAAATTGATGGATTATTGCGATCGGCTGTTTTACAAAAGAAAGTCAATGCATCTAGTTTTCAGTCCAAAACCAATCCTAGTTTTACTGCTCAAGGTCAAAAAGGAACATTACTCGGCTACTTTAGTAAAAAACAGTGAATATGAAGACGCATTGTTTTGTGAAATATTAAACACTGTGACTGTTAGATACCAGCTGGATGAGTAGATTCTTGAAGTTGTGGAATAAAATTGATGTGTATTAGGACAGAGCAGCAAGAACAAAAGCACTGTTTATTTGGAAATGCAAAATCTAAAACTTGGAGAGTTTAATGACATGAAAACTGAGCCTACAAACGACCATCTAATCTATAGTTTATATGCATGAACAAAGCAATCGACAAGCAAATACTACATCATGCGTGGATTATTTGAATCTAACAATCAGGAATCTACTAATACCCAATCGAGCTATACATTTATAGAATAGTCTAGCCACCATCCAACCAAGCAGCAGCAACACTTGGAGTCGTGGAGCAATTAGTAGCACGACCATACTGGTATGGAGTGGCAGGACTAAATGAGTCTAGTAGATCAAGATCATTAAAAGCAAGGTCAATTTCATCATCAAGTGCAACTTCAGCATTACAATCATGAATGGATTTGGGTATATAAGGAGGTGAATCTGGAGTATTGGAACACAGAAGCGAACCATACCCTAGTTCATACTGTCTTCTGTCGACAAGATTCTCTTGCAGCTTATCTGATGAAATAGCATCAGTTGCTGCACAGCCATTAAATGTCTGTAGCGTCACTACACGAGGCTTCACATTAAGCAAGGGTGTCTGCAATGGAGGTGGCAGAAAAGCATATGAACAAGAGCGACAGGTTTTTGTCCTTGAGTGAGTCTTCCATAAAGGAGGACAAGGATGACCCAGAGAACAGTGATTAGGATTGACGTTGGTTGTTCGAGAGTGGATGTAGTTGGACTTGTTCCGTTTGTAGTTCTTTGGGTGATAATGCTGGTGTTTAGTAAACATCATGCTGCGATAGTGCTGGCGAGGAAGTTTGCTATAAGGAATATGAGCAGTGATGGAGTTAGTTGGCTGTTGAGATGGTTTGTTGAAGTGGTGAGTAGAATGCCGCATACGAGATGGCTGGTTGGATGAGCAACAATCCATATGGACAATGGCTATAATGGTTGAGTTGAATAGTAGATCTGGCTTGACAGTCGAGTATGTTAATCGCGGATTGTTGTGCATAGAATAAACTAGAATACGAAAATTGAATTTGTATTCCATTTATAAACCGAGTCTGCCATCAAATACCAATTCCATTTGGCACATGATTGTTACTACAGATTGTACAGTCCTAAAAATAAATCAAACTGTATTTCAGTTATCTTGAAATGTATTCAAAATAGTTCAACTATTGCACTTTTATCATTTGCTCACCACTTGTACTCGAGTCTGATTCGGTTATATATACATTACTCCAACTACCATTCATCCGATACATGGTATTTGCATTTTAGTTTATTGATCATTATTAAATACATATTCCTCCATAACCGTATCCTGTCAGATACGCATATCCAATCATTGCTGCCATGATTTGAATTGCTATCCATCGCATAAACTTTGGATTTCCACTAGCCATAATAGTTTCAACATATCCATTCACAATTCAATCAACAAATCAGTAATCAATATACTCACAATACAAGTAACTTTAGTGTATATCAGTGTCAATACTTACATGATATACAGATCCAGCAGCATCGATGCTATAATAGTGTTGAGAGCAACCATTCGAACCGATTCGGGAAAACAAATCAACGATGCAGTCCCAACCTGAAAATCATCAATATATAAACAATATGATTGACTCATAATAGTATGTCAAAGTATCAGTGATATACCTTGGCTATAATCCATAACCCAACATGGATCGTCGTGGGTGATTGTAATGATGGATTTACACGTGTGATGTCATTCAGTCCAACTGGCGGTATCGCTGCATGGTTTGGCTCAGACACGGTTTGTAGTAACTAAATATTTGATAATGGATTGATACATTGACTCGAATACAACCCATACTCTACTGCAACTTCTGATACAGTTGTATTCATCAATCTGTTACCTTTGTTACCTCTGTTACCTCGGCTACTTTTGTTATGTCTGGAACATTGACGAGATTTTGACTTTCATTGACGGCATCACATTGAAGATCACCGTGATGAGCAGATAACCGAGGCATGATAGAATTCCTGCGACCAGACTGAGTCTCGTCTTCTGCTGGCATATTTTCTTGTTCATATCGTCTCAAAATATCATCGACAGTAGGTCTTGCATCTGGATCGGTTTTCATCAATCGGCATATCAGTTGCTTTAGATCTTCTGGAACGCGATTGCCACTTTCTGGAAACCGGACTCTGCTCCATCACAAAACACACATTTCAGTATATATGTAACCATCATTGTCAGTGCAGCTATACCTACGACTTGAAGTTTATAATGTCTTCTTTGAGTTGATCCACATCATCTACTTGTACATATGGCACCGATGAGTAACAGAGATAGTATAGAACAACCCCCAATGACCATATATCTGCTTTGAGCGAGTGGTTGGGTAAATACTGTCCACAAACGTCCTTATGCAACAGTTCCTGTTATATACAGCCACGATATTAACGTATCAATTGATCAGTTGATCAAACCATGTATACTATGCAAACTCAAACCCAAACACTAAAATCGCATACCGGAGGCATAAACTCGAGTGTTCCTGTTGCTCCGGTTCGTTCACGCTCCATTGCATCGGATATGACTTCGCATTCGCCAAAATCGGATATAAGCACTCGCGGACTATTCAAAGCCAACCAGTTGTTAGTGACCAGTATGGTTTCGCATATGTGGAGTATACAACCTACATTCCATTTCGATGCTCGTCTGCATATCGCAGCAGTAAGTTTGGAGGCTTCAGATCTCTGTGGATGATTCCGTGTCGATGCAGATGCTCCAGTCCATGACAAATATCCAAAAACAGACTCCGGATCACTTTTTCAGTCAAATATCTCACTTTTTTGCCATCCAACCCAACACCAATTCCACCGTGAATAAACGTGCTGGCATCATCACTCGTGTCTCGGGTTTGACCAATCTGCTGCGATGCCAAATCTGACAATGATTGTGGTGGCCACGTATGCGTGCTTTCGTTGTGCTCTGTACCATTCCAGTCCAAATTACTAGAACTCATGGCAGAAGCCAATGACTCGCTCCGTCCTGGTGGACTCGAGCCAATTGAGCGTCGGAATCGTCTTGCAGCAACTTTGGCCTTGAATGACATTTTTTGTTTGTGATTTGTTTCATTTTCCTTGCTCTTGTCATCGCACGACATAGGATCCCATTGTATATGTAAATATTCTTCCAAACTTCCTCCATTTGCAAGTTCCATAAGAATAAACAGACACGGGATCGAAGGTCCAAAAAGCGTGAGCTGGCGGTACTCGAGCCAGGCATGCTTGTATTCAATGATATTGATGTGTTTCAAACGTTCAAGAAGATGAACTTCTTTGAGCATTCGGACAAGCCATGTATGCGAAGTGCCTACTGGGATGGCTTTGACAGCAAATTGACCCAGTGGAACTTTATCCAGTACCTGATTTGTTGGTGATGCATATCCAATCATTATGGTCAGCCATCAATATCAAGCACCCCATTATATTTACAGTCCGACACGATTATATCTAAACACCAAATCAAATCAAACTAAACCAAACTAAATCAAATCTATATATGTGTAATCTTACATGCTGACAAAGAAACACACTCCCACGCTGTCCACGACCCAGTTTCTTTTCCTCGACAAAAAACCGATCGTAATATCCCTGGTTGAAACTGTCGCTATTTAAATGACTTGATTTTTGTCGCTGCATTCCAATCCCATTGATTGATTCTGTATTGTCCAAACCTGAAATTGGAGATGCGGGAAAAGCAGAACTAGAAAACGGGATATCATCTGCTGTAAATGCTGGTGTATTCGATATCGACAGATTGGGTTTTGCCAATCTTGGAATAGGTTGAATAGATTGTCTTGTCATGACACGAGTTGGAGGTTCAATTGCTGGTCGATCTAGTCGTGATAGCATCCAGAAATAGTCGGCATCGATAAACGACTTGTCTGATGATGATGGATCGGTGTATTGTGTTTGTGATCCAGAACCTGGCGGTCGTTGAGTGTTGGATATATTGTGTTGGAGTGGTTGTCTGCACAAGGGACAAGTGGATACATCAGAACTTCTACCATCAACCGCGCGATGAGTAGGTCCAGGCTCCATACCATTACCGCTGGTATCTTCAGCAGTCGAATCAAAAAACGATTGTCGATGCATCTATGCAGGAAATAGTCGACAGATTCAATCAACGAGTTAGTTTAAATCTGGTGATGCACAACCACTACAGACAAATGGAGTCGTTCATTGCATGTCGATTATCACACGATCTCAATCCATTCATCATATCAATGTCCATTATTGTACTATCGTACGGTATCAACACTCGCAGCGAGTACCTGTTGCTCTCGTGGAACCAACTGCAATGACTTTACTGTAACAGTGTGCGATTCTTTGTCGTATAGAACCAACTGTCTGGTTTCGTTATTGCGCAGTACAATACTCCATGACTGCGGATATACCATTTCATGGCCATCAGTGTCATTGTGGCCATTGCTATTATCTGTTGTTATCTTCATATCTGCTAACTGTTCTGGAATAAAATGTCAAATTTTGGTGATTTTAATTGGTCAAATTTGCAATATGCCAAATTTGCCCATAAACTTGCAATCAGAATTGCTTGAACCAACCAGCCAAAAAGTCTTGCAATCTGGCAAAGTTTATTATCAAAGTCCATCATTTCAATCTGCTAAACACATGGAGTTACATGGAAACACACGGAAACACATGGCAAAATCCAAGGTCAGTAGACTGAATAGACAATCAAATCAATCTGCCACACTCTAAAAACACTTGTGTTCAAGAGTCATATCGCTCTGAGGTGCAAGACCAATGCATGCACGCAAAATATTCTCAATCGCAGATCGCTGTTTCGAAAGCGCATTCACAACAGGCGTTCCATTAGGAACCACTGGTGCCTTGAGCATGTACGACAGCACGGACAGAACTGAATGGAAAGGAACATAGTCGGCGGTTTCTTCAGTCTTGTACTCAATCCGAGTGAACAGCTCAGTCAGCAAAGCCAAGTCCAGGATCAACGGAGAGGCAAGTAGGGAATCCTCACAAACATTGTAGATCGAAATCGTGCTTTTGCCACTTTTTAAATCAACTTCAAGTTAATACTATCACATGTGCATTTCTATATACTCTGCACGTAATACATTGGCTTACCCCATGAAAATCTCGCTCACATATTCATCCAAAGCACGCTTGCTGTCGCCTACGGCAGGACAGTATTTGATCACAACAATATGGTCAGGCTTTTCCCCATTCTTGTACAAAAGATGGTTGGCATCCACCATGTCATCAACAACATTGCTCTTGGAAATCTCTTTACTGCGAAACTGCTGTGGTGCTGACAGATTCATTCCATCGTTGTTACCAAGATGGTTGTAACTGGTAATGGCAACCGGCTTGATGCCTGCATTGACAAGAAAATCCACCAGAACTGACTTGATCTTGGTTTGCCCACTCTTAAAGTCGTCACCACCAATAAACACATGCTTGCGCTCAGCAAGCTGCATCACACCAGGCACAAATGTGTTTTGGGGCGATCCATTGATAAAAGGCGACCCTTCAAGAATCGACGCAAGTGCAAAAATAGTGGACGGTGCAATTTCCGAATGACCGGTCTTGACTGCATTCAACAGATTGTCGGCAGTGTCATTGACGTTGGGGAGAATATCGGAAAATCGCTCAGTGTTGGCAGTCCACAAAACAATCACACGATCCAAATCATTCTTCTGTTTAAAGTCACAAATGTCTGAGCGAATCTGGTCCAGCTGTTGCTGTTTTGTTCCAGAAAGAACATTGTCGGCTCTGTCCTTTTGGTTGGCAGCAATATAGTCTGGATAGTAGATCGAAGGAAGTGGTTTGAGTGCAGACATTTCATCACGCAACTGCTGTTGCAAATCCCAGTCTAAAACCTTGGCACGTTCCATAGACTCGGCCATGTTGGCTGAAGAAATATCCCAGCCACCAAGAACAATGTCGTTGGGATTGACCATGGGAAGAAGGGCCGAAAACGGCACATGCACGTCCTTGGAAGTGGCCGAATCAACACCAATCTTGACGGTCGAAGCTTGAAATACCGATCCGTAGTAGTTGGAGTGCTGGATTCCTTCTTTGGTATGCCAGGATAAGGACTTGCGATTGGCAAGAATGGATGCAGTCAAAGTAGATCCATTGTTTCCACCCCAACCAACAAGCATCAAACCCATTTTGGGCAACTTTCGGCCGACCTTGAATGCGTAGTGCTTTTCCACAGGCATCACAGAAATGTTGCCTGTCAAAGGATCGGTTGTAACCGAAGCATCTCGATAGACGTAGTTGGACAGAATGTGATCAGGAGTGTACCTCACATTCGGAGAGTGAACAGTAATGGATGGCGTACTGCTATTAGCAACACCATTGGCAGCATGGTTGGTAACACCATTTGGTGTTGCGGAAGAGAAACTTGACTCTTCTTTGGCAATAACTGGAGTCATTTGAATGAATTGAAAACTTATGCGGATTTCTTTGGCTTTGGAGTAGTACGCCTGGATCCTCTATGTGTGTTGTGCGATGAGAAGAGTTGGTTGGAAACTAACTCGATAATAAATGATGATTAATACAACGTCAATGCATACATGAATATCCAGCATCAATTGATAACATACAAATGGTGGACTAAATTCAGTAAACCCAGCTAGTTGATTAGTAGTCAGTTCAATGGTAATGATAACCCAATAGTAGTCAGTTCAATGGTAATGATAATCCAATAGTAGTTTCAGCAAGATTCCAATTTGGATATTTTTGTTGAAACCAAAAAGCAGTTTTCCAGCCACTTTTACAGTGGATTGGACCACGTGCGCAATGTTGAATTGACGCCAAATTGTCAGTCGTGTTCACGCAGTGGAATTTGTATTTATCCTGCAACGATTGTCTTTGGAACAAAATGGTCAAATCTTCAAGTTTGTTACTGCAAACCGACAATTGGAATTGTCAATAAACAATCTTTGTTATATTCAACTTTTTATTACATTGACTCTTGATTTATTTTACTTGGATACGCTAGTGAAACACTGGTGAATTCCTGTTTACTCGAGTATGTTTCCGATGCAAAATGAATGTGATGAATGGCATACTTTGGATTTAACATCTAATTTTACAAGCGACATTTTTCTTTTTTGCAAAATTGAAAATCGACAATTCAAACCAACAATTGCAATTCTTTTCCCCACTGCTCAGCAACTTCTTTATTTCCAATGACTATCCGCAAACTTGCATTCATCTCTTCTGAGCAGGTATGATGGCTTACTATTCACTTTTATAGATTAGAAACCGACATCGCATTTCTGATATGAACTTTCCACTATTATACAATAGATTCTGCAACTCGCCAATCTGATCGCAAAGCAGAAAGGTGGAGCTGGTCAGCAGTTTGTAGATACTGTTACTGCCTTGAATGATGCAGGAAAAACAGCTGAGCTTTCATCTTATTTTGCTGCCGAGACTGCATCATTGCTTCTTTTGGCTGAGAGTGGTGAGTGTAGTTTTGATTATTGTAGATTGCTGATTCAAGTAAAGCATTCATTGATTAATGGCTTGGACTGCTACCGATAAATATGGTCCGGATCAGGAATTACTTTACTAACAATTTATTCATGCTTGACTATTGCCAACCACTATTTAATTACTTGCGGGATGTGGTTTTGGTATTTTCAATCCAGAGAGTGTTATGAACTTGGTTATTGCATTATTATGCGGTATATCTGATACTACACAACTAGACAAAGCCTTGGATCTTGTTCTTAAAGGATTTTCAAAAGTAGATCCCAAGCAAGCATCAACCCATCTAGCCATGTGAGTTTATTTTAGATTTCTGGAGTGTTTTCAAGATAATCCGATCCTATAGATTCTGATCTACTACTGCGACTATGGCTGACATTTACAATTATTAAACATGTCTAGCCTTTCGACCATGTACAATTCCCTTGAATCCACCTCATACGGCAGATTCAAGACATACAAGACGATTGTCCAGGTTGCATCAGCAGGCGATGAATTGGATGCAGTGGTTGACACACTTACCTATCTTGAAGATTGGATTTCTGAATGGCAACTAACTCTTGTTGATCGTCGTGCCCTCTATCTTTTGCTGAGTGTTGAGCTTGGTAAATCAGAATCATGGTTAGTGATTATGCAATGCATCGGATTGTACTTGTAGAAACGTAATTTAAAGACTGCGAGATCTTACAGTTTATTCGTCTATAGCTTGATTCAGGCACAGAGCTGTCTCTTGCGCTACCTTAACACATACCAAGGCTTAACCAAAGAAGTCAATACAGAATCAATCAACACTTTGGCTGTCAAGGCTCTTGTTCAAGCCATATCTATCCCCGAAGTGCTCAACTTTGAGGATGTGTTGAGTTTGACTGCTGTCCAGGCACTCGGGTCTACCAAGATCTTTGAGCTTGCCAAGATCTTTCTTGATCAGTCGCTTACTAAATACAAAGCATTTGTTACCAAAAACCCCAAATTTGTGCGAGAACAAGGTTAATATTGATTGTTTTTGTAGTATGAATTGAAAGTATTTGGATTGCTGATCCAGCTTGCTTGTACTGTTGATCTGTAGGTCTTTCACAAGATGCCAATATTCGAAAAATGCGTATTCTGTCACTTGCTACACTTGCGACTGAACACTTGCAGGGAGAAGTGTCTTATTCTACTATTTCAAAAGCACTTGATGTGTCAGAGGATGATGTCGAATTTTGGGTTATTGATGGTGAGTTTTGTTCGAGTATTGATCAATTGAAGGCCATGTTTATGTTTGTTTATATCGATTAATCCAACACTAATGGTATCAAAACAGCAATTCGTGCAGGTCTTGTAGATGCCAAGATCAATCAGCTAAAACAAACCATTTTGGTCAGGTATGAATATGAACGCTTTGATTTTTGAAGGATTGGCTGTTGGATGTGCAGTTCAAGACTGCTTTCAACTAACAATCTACATCAACATTGTCTAGTCGTGCAACCCAACGTGTATTTGGAGTCCCACAATGGAAGCTGCTTCAGTCTCGCATGTTGCTATGGAAAAACAATCTTGGAGAGTGTTTGCAGGTTATTGAAAAGTCCAAGCCGCAATTGACTGAAGCTGCAGCACACATCACATCTGCCTGATTTTAGATTGGGGACCAGCTTGAGGTTTTTGAATGAAGGTTGTGGTAATCTTAACAGTCATTAGTAGAATGCAACAGTATTTGTGTAGCGGATCGATAGAAACCATCGAGTTTGTATACAAGATTGGATCTGATGAGTTTAGTGAGCTGGCTTAGCTTTTAGTTTGATGAATCGAGTTTGATTGCTGTTCCATTGTTTCTATTACAAACCAATTATGACATCAACGGATACATTTGATAGTTGTCATGTTGCTACATCCAGCATTGCTAGTGATGAAAGTGTCGATGGCAGCACGGAAATCTCTGATGATCAACCCACAACTCCTGGTAAAAAGCTTGCTATTCTTACTGGCTGTATATCAAAGACTGCTGTCATCAACAGCAAATCTGACTCACTCATGCATGACTGTATCTGGTCTTTTTATGGTTTGATAGATCATGTTTGCTTTGTAGTGCATGGCATGGGTCAGCAATGGGAAGGTACTGGGCGGTTTGTAGAAAACTGTAAGCCATTTGTCGAATATCAATTCATTGAATAGTTACTATGGATATGCATGTGCTTAAGCTGAATCTGTTCCAGTTGTAATCGCTTATTTCTGACATTAAATCTTTGCAGTAGCTTCGCTTAGGAGAACTTGCGAGGAAACAGCACTGGAAGAGTTTATAGACAAGTCATTGAATGTCGAATGGATTGGTGTTGGTAAATGCATTGGATTGAATCTAAATCGTTGTGTCTTATGAGCTACAGTTGCATATTCCCAAAACGCATCAATTCCATCAAGCCTTTCTCTAATTTTATTTGATATACTGGTTTTGATCTTGGTTTCATAGAATGGCATTCAGTGCTTCATGGGCTAGATACAGTCGATCGAAGGATTAAAACAATTACATTGCCAACATGCTCAATCTTGCGCCAAATCAACAACAATATTCTGGCAGATGTGCTCTATTATTTTACATCATTTCATGGGCAGACTCTTGTAGATATTGTGACCAAGAGTCTGAATGCTGCACATGCAGCATTCATGAAAAAATATCCAGACTTCAAAGGTAAAGTGGCTCTTGTTTGCCATTCTCTTGGTGGTATTATTACATACGATATATTGGCCCATCAACCTGGTGCCCCTTGGGAGCACTGGCGACAGCAGCAAAAACAAAGGTCCCACAAGTATAGTGCGCCAGTTTCAAAGCAAACTCCAGATGCACACCAGTTACAGGATGAAAGTAAAGTGCTTCGATCCATTTCTCCAGCCAATGACAAGATACAGAAAAATAGTCAGTATTCATCCCAAGTGGCAGGATCGCATCATGAAACCCACTTTGAAATTATCTACCCGAGGCTTGATTTTACTCCTGCGCTGCTGTTTACACTTGGATCTCCATTGCCTGCTGTATTGGTAATGCGCGGTCAGTCTCTACACCACTATCGCATCTCCAAAAAGATCAAGTTTTTAAATATTTTCCATCTGTATGATCCCATGGTATGTCTGGCTTATCCATATGTACTACTAGTGCCTGATTTTAAAAATGACATTTTTACTGTGCTCTTTATACGTGACTGTTTTTGATTTCATCCAAGGCTTATCGGATGGAGCCATTGTTGGACGAACGCTACATTGAGATCTCACCAGTACTCCTTGAGCGACCTTCCAGCAACCGTGCATTTCAACTTTCATATTATCAAGAGCTTATTTCTGCGTATCTTCCGGATCTATCTGCGATGCGATCTGGCGTTCGTGTTCCTACATTTGCAGACCTTCCTTCTATTCCGTATATGAATGTAACCGGCAGCTTACCATCTCTTACACTCCCAACCTTTTCGAGTCTTGCTCTTCCAAATGTATCACTTCCCACCATCAATTTGCCACTGCCTGTACTTCCATCTATCCCCGCACTCACTCGTGCACGAGAGCAACTGTCTGTCATGTACGATTCCATGGTGTCCAATTGGGCTGGCGAGGAGGATTTAAGCTTGACATCGCATAAACGAAAGCGATCTTTTGGTGAAACATGTGCAAGTGAGGACGACGACGATCAAAAAAGAAGTGAGTTTAGAAATTCGGATGAACCCAAAAGTCCTTGTCATAAAAAACAGCTTGTCGAAAAAGCAGCGAATGGAAGCGTTGTTTGGCGGCAGAGTCTGGCCAAAAACGACAGTAAAACTGATGTGCAAGTTATTGAGCATGATGAAATGGAACAAAATACCTCTGATCAATGTGATACTGCTCACGAAGACGATGTTTGCAGCAAAACAGAAACCGAGCATACGCTTTTTAGATTTATTCGAACCCCTATTTCAAAACTCGGTCGAGATCCTTCAAAAGCATCATCACTCACTCAATGTCATGATGATAACGATCAAAGCCACATATCTAGCGAGGTTTTTCCTCAATCTGAAAAGCAGCCTATGGTCACTCTAACTGAACAGTCTGCAATAAATGCTTCAGCACCAAGCCAAAGCACATTCACATTTACCGCAGCAGTGGAAGATTTTACGGATATGCTTCGTCGGAGTTTTTCGAGTTCTTCCACATTGTCACCCACTCTACCAAAAACTTCGCCAATTTGTGCATCAACCCCACTACAACATCAGCCAGTATCTGAAAAAGCGATACCCATTACACAATCACAGCATGATTGCGCTGATACTGCTGACAAGTGTAATCAAAGCCATGCCACAGAAGCATTTTTTGAACCACAACCCATATCACCCAAGCGCTTGTCCAAATCAGCCCAAACTAAAGCACATCGTGCAACCACTGTTATTTCTAATGTGAGAAAAATGGGAGATAAATTGACTGCCGAACTTGTTGCAGCCGCTAAGCAAACCCAACGCACAATGGAATTGGAATCTGGTGTAGAGGATGGTAGCGATATTTTACCCGAATCCAACATTGATAGCGAAGGGGGAAATGATGAAATTGATGGTGCAGAGTCTGATCATTGTGAGGATACCCTCAAGGATGCAACTTCTCAGCGCCATGCGCTGAATTCGCATACCAAGAGGAAATATGTTCCTGCGGAGCGGCTAGATTTTTTCGTTCAAGAAACGGTAATTGATAACATGGTACATCAATACCTGGTCGGAATGAAGGCGCATTTTGGATACTGGACAAGCAAAGACATGATGTATCGGGTATTAAAGGAACTTGATAGCACTCCCAACTAAGCTAGGACTTTTCACAATGTAAATTCAATTTTTAATAAATCCCAAATCAAAAAAAAAAGTTTATTCTTATGCAGCAACCAGTAAAAAGCATACATATCAAGACTGGAAATAGATAAGCGTGGCACTGCAAGAACAACCATGTTCATGTAAAATAAAACATTATCTTGCCTCTTGCTTTGAAATAGACAATGGTTAAACATTCGGCGCGCTTTCCTACCAAGAATCAACTTTTTCAAAACACAATATCCATCATATGATACAAAATCAAGCCATGGTTTTGGACTGAAATTATCCCCTTTTGACATAGCAATGCATTGTACAGTCGCAAGTTTGAAATCAAGCTCGTGGCAATCCAGATATTGGGTTCGACTGCTTTCAAACTCTACTTTGTTGTATCCTAAAACTCGTATAGTTCGCGCTCTAGTTTGAAAACCCGAAATCAAACGTTTCAGGAATATGGATGTTGTCTTCATCCAATTCTCCAATGGTGGTTGGTTTGTAGAAAAGGGTTAGGACTAAACAGACATGAAATCTACTGCAACTGTGATGCAAATATTCATCCACATATACAAAAAGTAGTACAACAATTAGTAAACTAAAATTCAAGTTTACAATATTGTCGAGTCAACTTGACAAGAATTATTATTTTACAAAACCAGTTGCTTAGTGTATATTCTGAAATATTTATTCAGTTTCATTTACGTGAATGTGACAGTAAAAAACCCGTAGGTTGAGATACAGATGTAGATAAGGAGAGAAGCGTTACTATAATCATATCATAAAAAAGGCTCCAAAGAAAAGAGCAACTCCTATTGGCATGAGGGTGTTGGACGTTGTACGAGCAAATCGCGACAATGCACCCGACGAAACCTGACCAGCCTGGCTAGAGTACATTGCCTTGGCTTGCGTATTTAGCTCTTCTGGTTTGCTCGAGTCACCACTTCGTTTTTCATTGTCAGAATTTCCGCTATGATTTTCAGTACTAGAAAAACCGGCAGCATTAAAGGAGCCTGGAGGAATCATGTTGGGAGCTCCAACAGGAGCAGTAATACGCGAATTGTAAAGCACTAATTCTTTAAGCTTTAGATACTGCCCAACAGACATGAGAAGGGGTTCGTCCAACACAGACCAGGCAACATTTTCTGTGCATGGAGGAGTAGTTAAACTTCCACTGTAACTCCAAAACTTAGCGCGAGGGCTTTGGAGTCCTGCATTTAGCGAAGACATGTCCACAGATCCGATAGAAACAGTACTTCCAGTCGTTTTAGGAAGTGGGGATTTCAGCAAAGAAGCAAGAAAGCTGCTGCTTGATCCGGTTTGTGACAAAGTAAACCAAAAACCCTGTACTGCAAGTTGACCACTAGGAGAGGTATACACAAAGTGGACTTCTAGCTCATATTGTCGCTTTCCTTTGTGGTGCTCTGACGGAAGATGGACGTGAAATTGCGCAAGGTTATATACGTTTTGGGGAACATTTGGCTGGTTACCAACCAAGAGAGAAAACCCGGAACCAGCAGGAACATTGAACTGTACTGTATGACCAGTATTTACCACTGAGAGACTATTGAGCGACTGCTTCAAAGTAAGTTTATGGGGTGGGTTCTGAAGCATGCTTCTATCCTCGAAATTAATTGGAGATTGATGTTTTCCAGTCGAGCATGTCGTGTACGAAGGATCAAGAGCTGCCCAAAATGTAGGACCAAGATTACCTTCGTATCCAAACTCGGCATGCTGCGTATCACGAGCAAACAAGTGCTGCTCAGACTTGACAATCTGGTCTTCAAGACAGTTTCGAGCGTACAGATGACCGTTATGGGCATCTGCTTGAGGGTTGGCAGTTGCAAAGGCTCCAACCAGGAGCAACGTCAGCACTATTTTTATTTGAAACATTCAAGTACGTTATTTTAGGTATGGCTGGTTGTGGGGAGGCTGATTGTGGAAATGATTGAATGTGGGGAACATGAGATATTCAACTGGCTTTTATATGGGAATAGGCAGACTATTGTTTTTCGTAACTATTTATGCGCATACCAAGCACTTTATATTTTCCCGAGGAATGCTCACTCTAACAACACCACTGCTTGGTCAGACCACTGTTCTAAAAATCCGCTATTGGTAATGAAAGGGCAGAGTTAAAAGGCTATGGTATTGATCCTGATAGTATACATACTGCCATAGGTTCAGGTCAATTGGCATCCACAGCAGCAAACGCCCTGAATTATGTAATACATTATCCAACACCAAGCTATCAACAGCCCGCCCTTATTCAACTGTTTGGCCAAAGCTTAATTAAACTAGCTGTGAAATGCAATTGCTTGGACTGGGACAGCATATCACTTGGACACAAAGTCGCTAGTTAAAGCAAGGTCAATGATATATTGCTTTAATGCAAGATTAGGTGTGTTTCTAATGAACATAATCTATGCAACTACATATTTTCCCACTATTGGATCTATCCGAATGGCATCTCGACCCTACTTAATTTGGAAACTCCAGCAATATCACACTATCCAATCAGTGACGTAAATAAAAATGCATTGGGGCTGACGCTCTACACTGCCTTTTCCTACTTTGACGCTACCCATAGTAGTTTATCCATCATCGTCTCTTGAGGTAGCAAAGTCACCCACTGGATATAATGCGCTCATATTTAGATGTGGCGATAAGGCGGGTAAACAGCCACTTGTAGAGTGTCAAATAGTGATTATTTAATGATTCGTAACCATGAGAACAAAGATACTCCTGACATAATTGAATGAGATCCCTAACTCTAGAATATATAGCTGCTTAGCTGATCCTCATGTGGCCAAAAACACTAGGTTTGATTGATCTTGTAAATCACTTTCAAAAACTGTTGCAGGCGTGTCATACTATTGCAATACATGGTGGCGTAGTGTCTTGTTTAATTAATGGTGCTGTTTATTATCAATGGTCTAGTTTCAATTTGTACATCTAAACTTTTCTGTAGGATACAGTTTAACTTGATCAATATTGATGTAGTAATTGATCAAGTGAAGCAACACGTGGCCGTAATCTTGCAGTAACTGGCAGGATATTTGACAAAATCCGAGTCTTGGCCACATCCTTAACACGGGTCAAGTCCATAGTATGAATCTACTACTGAATAGTATTTGATATGAGAGTTATTCCTGATGTTCATAAGTTTCTCCACCTATTTTATTGAACAAGCATTATTTTGCGAATTTGAATTCAGGGATTCAAACAATTACACCTATATGCTCCAACTTATTGAATGGGGCATATTTACCAAATGCTGAGCTAGTTTACCAGCACACACCATAGTACTGAGGCAGAGGCTATTTTTCCAGTATTATAAAGCACTGGAGCTTAAAGTGTATCTCATTGGCCAGAAATTCTTGCGCAACAGAGTTAAAACATCTGTATCATTCTGAATAGCCATCCCATCGATATAAACCCACCGGATAAGCCCCCCAAAAATGATGGGTTGGTAGTCTATTGGAGAGTTTATAGCCACCTGGCTTACACAACTGGCTAAACCATCACTTGTCAAGGCAGTTTGCTCGGCAGCCTAGCATTTACGAGCGCTGAATATTTCCACATTTAGATACAATTCAATTTGATGCGCATTACTCCGCTCTTGATAGATCAAGGACATTGGTTTTTGAATCGATCATGTTTCAAAACAAGTATTCGGATATATCAACTTTAAAGCTTATTATAAGCCAAGGGCGGCCAGCATTTTAAAGGGAGTCACGTAAAGTGGAACATTATGTATTCATCCTGCAGGTATTCCTAATTGCCAATGCCTATCCTAATGCTTATGGTTGATTCGGTGTATAGGTGAGTTGATACAATAATCACATGCATTCACTCCAGTGATGATTACATTCAAGTCAATGCCGCTATGAATAAAATGCTCAAGCTAAAGCTATTGGATATTATTGATTCAGAATACTCGTATTAATGGGTTTTCTGGTTTTAAAATGGCATTCCAAGTCGATATGCTAGATTGCTGAGATACTTTATATTCGATTGACTGTGCATAGAATATATACTGGCATGTTTTTTCAAACTCGAGTAATTTGGCAATACTGTAGGCTTGTATAATAAGACCGTTAGACCAAGGTGGTGCTACCATATTAGTTTTCAACAAACTACATCAGACTAGTAGGCTAGTTTGGCTGAATCAAACTACGCCAGCATATTTAGTTGTGGTCGGAATCAATATATTAAGCTTTCGTGCATGTGCAGATGACTACACAAGTTAATCATTTTGCCATTTATTCACCACCATTTCTGTTGCTAGTCCTAGTTGATACTGAGATATATATATTCAAGCTTGGCTTGTCCAGGAACACTAGATAGCTTACTATAGCGCTGGGTAATGGCACAAAAAAGATGTGATTTTGACTTGGAATGACCAACATTCACCAACAATTGAATCATATTTTACACAGCAATATTTACAGCCTTGCTAGAATTGACTGCGCTGCTTCTCGAGTACACAACGTTCATCATGATTCACAAAGTCAAGCTATAGTTTTGGACTACCCTTTCTCCACTTTGGCATAACCATGTATTGTAAGATTGACAAGCTTAAGCCCATATTCATCCATACTCATTCATTGCAATGCAAATATTGATTCGACTTTTGATATTGTCAATCAAATCCTTTGTGGTATTCTAAAATCTTGTACGCTCGCGTTCTAGTTCAAGAAAACAGACTGCATATCCCAGAAATGAAACTGCTGTTTACATACTAGTCATCCAATGCTTACTTGTAGTATCTGGTTTTAGGAAAGAAAGATTGAAAATTGAGCAAGTGTGAGATTTATCAGGAATGTGATGTGAGCACTCGTTTAGCTAATACAAAAATGAGCATCGAGAAGGGCCAGTAAAATTTGTCAGGGAGTTTAAAGGATGCCAAATACTAATAGTCAGCTAGTGTCATCAAATGATTGCCAAATTCACTGAATAGTGTGCTCTCATTTAATGTTTTACTTTACACGAATGTCGGCCGTGTAAGCAACATGCACTGTATTGCCAATAGTACTCCATGTCATGAGGATATACGCTATAGTGGCTGTCAAATTATGGTCTGTGTCGACCACAGAATAACACCTGGTGTTGTTGAAGCAGCATCAATATATGGTGACAATATTTGAATGGGCCGATTTACCGAAGCCAGACGCTGCTTCAATGCCACTCCTTGTGAACATCTGCTCTTAGTGTAGCGACGCGATAGAATGTACACCTGATTCTGATTCATGAACAGTCTACACAGAGTACTTGATTTATCTGGGTGCCTCCGAAGGTCATAAGTAGCAGTTTTGCCCAAAATTTTTCAAGGTAATTATATACTTTATAGATGCGTATTATTGAGACGATGGCAGCCTTTGCCACTTTTGCAATTGGCTTCCAAAACTCGTTGGTAGTCGCACAATGCTCAAGAACTACAGTTAGAAAAGAGCTTTATGGTAAGATGGCAATCGTTTGAATAAATGATGTTGAATGCCTTCATATTGTGCTCTGACTAATCAATACTTGAACCTTTATTTTAATGCATCATAAATTTCTAGACATGAATGAAAGAGATTGGACCATTTACACCGAGACTATTCGTAAAGCTACTATGATGCCAGATCCAAACGGTAGTGGGTATAGTATTTGGGAAGCAGGTGCACAACTTCATAATCGTGTTGCTAGCATGATTCATGGAAACTGCCAATTTTTGTTTTGGCATCGAATGTTCATGTCATGGACCGAAAGAAGGTTGCAAGCCATCAATCCCGAGTTTTCTTTCTTTTACTGGGATTCTGCCAGTGAATGGTCAGCTCCCACAAACTCTATTATTTGGAAATACTTGGGCAGATCTGGCCGACCTGTTCGTGATGGTTTTCTAAGCGATGTCTCGTTTAGGTCTACCAACGGACCACTCATTCGTAATTTCCAATTCCCCAATCTCGGTGGTATTCTGCCATCAACTGACACCTACTCACAGATGTACACCGATTCCATTGCTAACGGTGGATTTGCATTTTATGCTCCACGACTTGAGCTCTATCATGGCCAAGTTCATGTTTTGATTGGTGGTGGTCCTATGGAGGATGGTCAAATGCAGTCCATGTTGAGTCCTCTTGATCCCTTCTTCTTTGCCCATCATGGACACATTGATTGGATGTGGTTCAATGCTCAGGCAGGATGGGCCAACTATCGCCCCGATAGTGCATATCAGATTGGAGGTCTTGATCATATGAATATGACCTGCAGCTTAAACAGCCCACTTTCTGGTTTCCAAGGTGTTTTGGCTGATGTGCTCGATCTGCGAAGTCTCTGCGTTCAGTACTCTAATCCTCGTGCAGGAGGCAATCGTCCTCCACCTCAGCCTGGATTCTCTCAACCTCTTCCTAATGATCCCATGCAGTCCGGAGGTGGATTTAATACAGGTTTTTCTGCTCCTCCTGGTGGATTTAATACAGGTCTTTCTGTTCCTCCTGGTGGTAACATGGGGTCAGGAGCATTCCAACAATTTGTCCAGCCTTTCCAACCTCCTGCCGGATACACTCCCATGAATCAATGTCCACAAAATCTACCTGCGCAATGGCTGTCCATGAATTTCCGAAACCCAAACGCCATCACATTATGTGAGAGCATCAGAGTAAGATGCGAAGAATTGAGAATCCAAATTGCCTCTGGTCGTCAGGTAAATCCCTTTCAAGTTCTTATAGATGCACCAGGCCGACCTCTTATCAGTCAAGTCGTTCCATTCTCTGCTTCTGGAGCACAACCCATGAATGTACCACTTGTCCCCACCATTGATCAATCATACTATCCACATGGTGGATCAATCATTACATCCAAGGCAACTTCCAGGCTGGGCGAATATGGCATTGACCATATCATTTTAATATTCTCCTCCATTTTGGCCGTGACTGGATTCATCACATTATAAGCAGACAGCTTTTAAATATCAAATTCAAGGCTGCTCAACCTGGTTGAACTGTTCGTGATTCGGTTTAATATTTCTAATTATTTCTTATTTTATTCCTATTTTAAACCTATTAGTCTTTATTTATGCTACACTTGCTGTGGCATCTGGAATATTATTTATTTATAACCGTATTCACGTAAAATGGAACACTCTTGTATCTATCTTGCAATGATTACCTTTATTTTGCTTTAAAATAAATAATGGTTAAATATTCGTTGCGCTTTATCATTAGAAATGAATACTCATCCTCGACTCTTCAATAAACACAACAGCCATCATATGACGATCGTTGTGTTTGGAGACTAATCAAGGGGGCAATAAGCGTTACAATACTCAATACTTTCTAGACAATATTACATTCCACAAGGCAGCTATTTGATTAAACATGATGTATCAACCATTCGACAAACGGCGCGAGACAAAGTTTTGTTACATTCCTCCGTATTGTTCATTCTTGGACTCGGCTGAGAATTGGTATAGTAAAAAATGTATTTGTTGAGCAATTCCAGACACAAGGAATCGAGAATGTTGAAGCAGCCAATTTGCAGTAAGAAAGCAACGAATATTTGACCATTTTTTATTCGATCAAAATAGAGGCTCTGACCGCAGGATAAATATAAAAGTTTCATTTTACGTGAATACAGCTGTAAATCAGACTGTCGATTGCAGTGGTTTGGTGACGATTAGGAGGTAGAGTGCGATGCATTGGTAGACTATTGATCAGTAGAATCATCCATAATCTTGTCTACAATCTATATTTATTTTGGTACTATTTTCAAGCTACTCCAACCCATTGATTCTTCAAGTCGCTTTAAATATTGATATGCAGCCTTGATTCTTATTTGATGAAACTGATATATTCATTGCATTGGGTTTAATTCTCCCTAGTTATATCCAACCATACTCTTTACTACGCTAATTCAGCTTGATTGATACCGCTATCGATAGGTTTAGGAAATGGAGTCAAGCGGTCTGATGCATCATCATGGAAATGATCAACCGGTTGCTGGCCGGCAAGTTTTTATTGGAAATGTATGCTGGTATCTAATTCAACATTGAACTATTTGCATCAATCCATGTACTATTGTTTGACAAGATAGTTCACTTGAATTGCTTTTCAACGAATTGCGATTGCTGGATGCTCGTCTAATATCTTGGTGGTGCTAATTATACAATACCTGCTTTCATTTTATTTTCCAAATTCTATAGCTTCCATTTACTATGCAGTCCAAGGATCTAAAAGATGTGTTTAATAAAACTGGTGAGCCATTAGCATGGAAACTATACTTTTTGTTTGACCCAAAAATTGGATTCCAGCGGCATGCACATTCTGTGATGGATTCAGTATCAAAACATGTCGTTTTGATCTGGTTTTATCACTACAAGTGGCAGAAGTTGATGTGCATGTGTTCAAATCCATTGTTTTATTGCTCTAATTCAATACTGATTGATTACAACCAATTTCTTTTCCATTAGCCGGAGTGACCAGTGTCAAGGTTATGAGTCATGGGAATGGTCGTTCTCGTGGTTTTGGTCTTGTATATTGTGACACTCCTGAAATTGCCCAATCGATTATTACTCAATTTCAAGGTTTAGAATTGAAAGGACGCCAGATTGAGGTGCGCATAGATCGTGTCAATCGCTCGAATATCGGTCATGGCAGCGAACAGCATGATGGTCATAATTTTCTCACCAAGAAGCGTGTCCAGTATCATATGAATAATTCTCCTCATCAGCATCAACCATATAAACAAGAAGCTGTACATACTACTGCTTCCCACGCCTTGGCCGCTCCCACTCTTTTGCATTCTGCTACTTTAGCACATCATGGTCATGGTGCTGTAGGCACGTATCATTCTGTCACTGCTATTCCCACAACCAATTCATATTCTCATGGATGGAATTCTGAACGCGATCATGACTATCATTCAACGATAGGCGACTACAACGCTTTGCAGACGTTTGACGTGGGTGATGCCATTGCATCAATTGATTTAAATTCTGGAACTCGTGTTGTGGCTCCCTCTGGTGTTCAAGACTCGTCATTTTACAGCAACAACAGCGACAGTATTTCACCCTCCTTGAAAACTCATCACGCAGTTTATCCCAATGACGACTGTTCTGGACACTCGACAGAAGTACAACCTCACAAAACCGAAACTAATGCAGGTTTGAAGCATCAATGTACCACGCTGTTTGTTGGAAATCTGCCATTCATTATAACGTGGCAGGATTTAAAGGATCTGTTTAGACAAGCTGGCGATGTTGCCGTTTCTCATATCCCAACAGATGGCTCTGGTCGATCTCGTGGATTTGGGATCGTCACTATGACTACTCCAGAAGATGCCGCAAAGGCCATTCGTAAGTATTTCGAGTTCAACTTTTTATGCTTGTGATTATTGTTTCAACTGATTTTGTTTGAATCTTTGATAGAAATGTTTAATCGTTACATTTTATCTGGACGCCAACTGGAAGTTCGTGAAGATCGCCACGTTTTTAAAGCAGTAAGTCTGCCATTTGATTTGTTTGCTATTGGTTACCATGCAGCTCATGTATGAATCGAATGTCGATTTGCAATTTTGAGCTGATTTGCGTATGGTTCATTTCTTGGTTATCAACTGATGCTTTGTGTATACCTCAACCCTTTAGTCAAAAGAAGGTGAGCATCATGAACATAGTCACCGAACTACTAGACTAGACTCTCCAGCACCATTGACTCAATACGGAGGTCAGCACGATACTGGTCACATCAGACATGAGCATGGTTATGGAAATAGAAGTGAAAACTATGCAATGAAAAACAGCGGTATTACTCTTTTTGTTGGCAACCTTGTATACAGCGTGATTTGGCAGGAGCTCAAGGATCTATTTCGATCGGTCGGTATTCCCACTAAAGCAGAAATTGTCACAAGTAGCTCAGGACGCAGTCGTGGCTTTGGATTTGTGACCATGGCTACGCAGGAGGATGCCAACAAGGCTATTAAAGAATTAAATGGTACCGAATTTCGTGGTCGCAAAATTGAAGTTCGTTTGGATAAATTCGGCAGTCATGAAAGTCGGGGTATTCCAGAGGCTTTGCAAGGCACTCAAGTTCTCGTTGGAAATGTATGTTGGCTATACTTGTATTGCTGTAACCTAAAGTCTCTGATTGCCTGATGCCAGCATTTTATGTCAAGCTACATTTATTTTTTTGTTAATTTGTGCGTTTTGATACTTGCCACTTTGTACTTTGCTTTAAATGTACATTTTTCAGTTACCCTTCCATATGAGATGGCAAGATCTCAAGGATATATTTAGGTGTGTGGCAGAGCCGCAACTTGCCAATGTCCGTATAGATCCGGAAACTGGAAGGTCTCAGGGAGTTGGAACTGTGCGTTTTCAAACCGAAGAAGATGCAACTCGTGCTTTGAGTCTCAATGAAACCGTGATTGCTGGTCGTAGCATTTGGGTTCAGATTGATAAACAAGCAGTCTAAGATTGAATCAGTGGCAAGAATGTGGTACCAACACATTAAGTTGGCATTTTTGTTTTGAGGAGATTGATATTTGGGATTTAGTGTTGTATTCGTCCAGAGGTGACTGTTTGGGATTGATGTAGAACATAAAGTCATTTAGTTGTGCTTTTTCAAACATTTGAATTCTTTGTTGTTGTATTTAGACTAAAAGGCTATTTAAGAGATTCAGGGTTTAAAATTAGTGACTTGCCAGATGTCTGTTGAAATAGTATGCAATCAGGTCGTGTTCAGGAATGAATATGCCGACTGGGTTGAGTCGCGTGGGATCGGTTGAATGTTTTCAAGTAAACTTGAATATACTTTGACTTGTATCCAGTAAAATAGTTGGTCATTCTTTAAAGACTTACTTGAATTCCTTGTTAATAATTTGAAACTTGCGCAAATGGCTACAGTGGAGCATTTTCAACGGCGACCATGGGCACGACGTTCAACCCTCACAAATCATAGTAGCAATCCAGACTCTACAAAACTTCATCTAAAACCGTCCCGCACCATTCCATTCTACTCTACAGCACATTTGCCCTATGCTCCTGCTAGTGAGCTTATATCTAAAGCTAGAGCTTCATTACAGCATCCAACGCGACCATTCACACCAGCTATCAATGACCGAGAGCATCCTATCTTGAAAAAACCTAGTGGTTTATCTTGCCATCAAGATGACAAACCTTCAATGCCTAGAAGCCCTATTTCGCATCGCTTGTGCCCAATTTTTAATACAGATTCTTTTCCACAACCTCCCATTGTGCCCAATCCTTCCGTTTTTCCGACCGTAAAAGAGAATAGCAGGTAATTGATAGATTTCCAAGAAAATGAGAGTTTCAAACAGTTTAAAGCACTATGCTGATACTATCAAAAACATACCAGTATAAATAATAGTGGAGATCAATCCCGGCCAAGTTTTTCTTGTTCAAAGGAGTTGGGGCATTCCTCATTAGAGTTTAGTGACGATGGAGACGATGAGGAAGAACCTGATTACGAGCAGGATATTTCAAACCATTCAGATCAAGTCAAGACCCAAGATGCATCAAGTCAGCAATTTGACATTGCTCTGGTATGACTTTGTATTTCAATCGCGATGATCTTGATAGCAATCTGACCACTTGACACTTTTAAATCAATGTTTAAAACTAATTTAGATTCAGAATAGCCAGCCTACTCCACCAGATTTAGCAAGAAATGACTTGAAACTCTCTCCGCGCAAATCAAGCATAGTTAAATCATCAAGCCAGGCCACCAGTGCTCCAGCTACTTCAATTTTTGTATCAAACCAGTCTGCTGATTTGGATCCAGAATGGCAATCTTTGCTTCAAGTACTATCCAAGACCACAATCAGGCAAAATAAAGTGTGCATTCAAGAACTGCTGGTTAAATTGCAAAATATGCATTGGTTAAGGACTCCTGTCACACGGTCATCCAAAATGTCTACTCAGTTTGAAGCTATTAATCAAAATTGCAATGTACTCGACAAATCTACTGGAAAAAATACTGTTGAAGCATCCAAAGTATTGGAAAACAGATCTACTCATTTTTTAAACAAACATCGGGACAAACTACGGCGAGAAACAGTTTTACAAACACTTATCCAATGGATGCACAATTCAGACAACACGGAATCTGCAGTGGCAGCATCATCAATCATATTGAAATTGACTTTTGATGAGCATGTGCTAACGAATGCTTGTCAATTGCTTTTTCAGCTATCTAAAAACGATAAAAACGATGCAATGTTTCAAACGCACAAGGTTGCTGGTAAGTTATTACTGAGTTGAGTCGTGTATTTAAAAATTTAAAATGATGTTTCTAAATGAGTGTTTGAATAGATTTTTTGCTAGATTTTGTCCAAAAAAACATACGACATATTTCAACCTTGTTTGGTCCTCGATGCAGTTTAGTCATTACAGCCCTTGGTGTACTACGAAACATTTCTTGTTCTTCAACAAGTCATCAACACATTGGTAGCATTGAGGGGGTAGAGCGATTAGGACGACTTGTGTTGACATTGATTAATGTAGGTCAGCTGGCACGATTAGTGATGTGTATATTCTTGTACGTAATACCTTGCGTTGATCAATATAATCTATTAAACAGAAGGCAGATGTAAAGAATAGAAGTGATCAAGAATATACTCAACTTTGCCAGTTGCTCGCTCTTGTAAGTTTCCATGCCATTCAAATTGGAACTTGTTTAAATATATCGAGTGTATGAGTACTCCAACGCGTACTGATCTTGACTATAGATGTGCTGTTGTTTGAGGAACATGGCATCAGCCAATTGTCTTGATTCAAACTTTTCAAATCCAGTCAAGGGTTCCAAACATACCACATTGCATACTCTGTGTCTTTTATTGAATAGTGACTATGGATTGGTTCATGAGGAAGAACTAGTGTTGTCTGTATGCCGAACTCTAAGGTACTAAAGGCATGCATTGATTGATATCAATGCTGTGATAAAGCTGATTTAACTCCATGTTTAAATTCATAGCAAACTGTCTATAAACCCAGACGGTGCGAAACTTATGGGAGAATTTGACAATATTGATTCGTTTTTGAGCACCTTGATTAGATACCAGAACAAATTGGTATGTTTGATGCTTTTTACAGTAATATATTGATAGTGCAGTTTGGCTACTATTACAATCACTTCAAAGTGAAATGCAATTCATCACATCTAAATAGAAATGTTACTAACGTCTTGTAGCAATACTGCAAACTGTTTGTCCATGATTGTACACAGGCGATCGTAGCTCGACTTTGTTTTATCCTTGGAAACTTGACAACAGTCTTGGGAGATAATCACAAGCAGATTGCTGCAAGCTCGGCAGATATCGTTTCGCTGTTTAGTACATATGCCAATGCATATTTGAAGCAGGTTTGCGGTAATAAAAATATACCAAACTCCAGTTATGCTGACACTCAACAAGTTGATGTGATTGTAAAGCTTGTCCGCTTGATTGCAAATTTGGCAATTGATGGCACATGCGGTCGTCAACTGACTGATATGGTTGAGCTAGACTTTATTATCGATATTCTCGGTAAGCTTATTACATTTCTAATAGTTGGCAGTTTAAAATCTAACGTGTATTTTGATTTTTATACTGGTATGGTATATAGGAGTTCCCAGCACTGTCGATCATGAAGAGTTGTTATTGAATCTTGCTGGTGCTTTGGCCAATTTGAGCTATTCAATCCATCCAACATGCAGTCTTTACCTGCGTGTTTCAGATATGATTCAATGCAAGTGCTGTTAATTTGATATATTGAGCCATTCACTCTACTGTATTTAACAAATCAAAATTTCAATATGCTGATTAGATCTAGCGCCATTACTTATGCATGATAATCCCGAGGTTGTTGTAGAGGCATGCAGAGCGTATGCCAATTTGGCTCGCATCCATGACACTCGAGGATATCAAGCATCTCGAGGTAAGATATTTCTTGCGTTGTGAAATGATGCTTGCAATGACTAATTTATGATAAACATAGTATGCGATCTGGCAACCATTTTATTAGATCATACAGATGCAGCAGTTGTATATCAAGCTTGTGGAGTATTGATGAATTTAACACTTCATGCTCATAAAGAGATTTTTAAATCGATTATTTTGGAAAATAATGGTGACACAAAGTAAGTGATATTAAATATTAGTATTGCGTAATTATATACTTGCTTTCAATTGGTAGATTGTAACGTTTATTTTACCCATTAGATTGCTTGAAGTATTTGTGCAGGCTTCTGAGGAACAAAAATGGGATTTGGCAACAGTATCAGTACAAACTCTTTTTAATCTCTGGTATGTGCATGATTACCATATCAACACGCTTGTCTGTTCTATAGATTCAAAATAGCTGAAATTACTTTTTGAATTTAGTGAATCTCGATCCGAATTATGTAGTAGAGTATGTGAAAAGGTGGAAGATGTAATTTCGCAGACTGATGCGGAATTGGGCAATGACATGTTTTGGGCTGTATGTGATCGGATTTTAAAATTTGATGCATGAATTCAAATCATTAGTAGATATTGATTGGCAGGAGTATTGATTCTCAACAAGTGAACGATTGCAGAATTTGATTGGGAAAGGCTGAATCAGTAGTCGAGTCTTTTACTGTCCAAATATATCTTCAATACATTAGTTTGGCTTCGCATTAGATTTGATTGGCCAGAATGGTTTTGCCACCACCGCAATACGAATTGTAGCTAAAATCTGAATTTGAATTATCAAACCTTTCCAAGCAACTTGCATATTTCAACATGTCAAACGCTCAAAAGAACATTGTCATTGTTGGTGGTTCTTATGGTGGCAATACTGTTGCTACGTTACTGATGAAGATGTGTGCTGCCAACGGCATTAGCATCACTCTTATTGACAAGTATGAAAAACGGTTCAACATTGTTGGCACCCCTCGTGGGTTGGTGGATGCCTCATTTGGCCCTAAGCAGTTTTTTGGCTGGGAGGGATTCTTTAGTAAGCCTGAGATGGGCAGGTTTGTTCATGGCCTAGTGGTGTCGGTTCTGCCCACCGAAGTTATTCTTGAATCTGGTGAGCATATTTCATACGACTATCTAGTATATGCTGCAGGGAGTTCATATGGGAGTGTCGGGACCGCTCTATCTTTGTCAATTGCCGAGCATCAAAGCTATCTCAAACAAGTGTCCGATCAGGTATCCAAGGCCAACCAGATCCACATTATTGGAGGTGGTGCATACGGTGTTGAGCTTGCAGCCGAAATCCGATACATGTACAAGACCAAGAAGGTCGTTTTGATTCATTCACAAAGCCAGCTTGCATTTGGAGATACTTCTGCTAATCTTCATGTTCGTGCTTTAAAAAAGCTTACTGATCTTGGTGTTAATGTTGTTCTTGAAGAGAAAGTAACCAGCGAGTCAGCAGAGACCATGCAGGCAGGGATCAAAACAGGCACACACACACTAACCACTCAAAACAACAAGACCTTCGAGTCTGATCTAACCATTTTCACCATTGGGTTTGGAACACCCAACTCGGGTGCCATGTCTACACTTCCTGCAACATCCGTAGATAAGCCACATCTCAACAGTCGTGGATTGGTTCTTGTCAAGAAGACCTTGCAGTTGATGGACGATCAGTATCCATGTATTTTTGCATTAGGAAACGTAGCTGCTACTGGTGCACCTCTAACTGCAATTTCGGTCAAACAGCGTAAGTCATTGCTTTCCAACTGCTACTGGTTGTCTTGGGCATCATTGACTGACCGATATTTTTATTAATGCAATGATCTAGAGGCCAGTGTCGTAGCGGATAACATTAGTCTGCTGATTGCATCTAAACCGCTTAAAGAGTTTAATCCAGCCAAGCAAAACATGATTGTTGTTACAATAGGACCTAAAGATGCTGTTGCAGAAATTCCATACATGTTTAATTTCCTGGCAGATATAGCTGGCACAAAGATGAAGTCGTCCTACATGTTCAACGACATGGTTGCCAAGGAGAATCGTGCACCATTTGTAGCCTAGTTTAGCCATTTTAACTAAATACACAGGCTAAGAAGTCGCTGTGATAAGCTGTTCTTGATCAAAGTACGCTTCCTGATTTATCGCTCTTGCCGAGTAAGACTAACAGGGAATCTGAAGTAAATTACAGCCATGTTCAAAATGAATCGTTTTTGAATTTATCTTGCAACTATTATTTGTGGAATAGGCAATGGTCAAATATTTATTATTTCCTACTACGATACGCTTGCATTTAATTCAAAAGAATAATGATTGCACGTTTCAGGAACAAAACTTGCTTTGATACCATCATAAGCAGAAATAGGTAAAATTGAAGCTTTCCAGATGGTTCAATAAATTCAAACTTTAAATCATCCATCTCCGCTTTGGATTTCGCGGAGGATGGGGTTAATCTGCGTCAACCTCGCAGTTGATCTTTTGTTTTTTGGAAGATCGCTCGATACTTGTATCAATAGCAGGAGCACTGTTCGTGTTGCGCCGCTTACAGGTCTTGCAAGGTTGAAGCCACTTTAGCAGACTGAATATATATAGTAACAAAACTGGTTATTTATGCAATAAAATATATCATTGATCATATTATAGTCGATATGGTGTATGTCGTTTTACATCATATAGCTTTTATACTAATGATAATGGTTGTCACAATGGTGTCAACACTATGCTTGAAACACTAAAACTCTCAATTCCAACAGTATTGTGCTATCTGACTGCATCTATGGTGTCGATCAATGTCAATCAGTAATGTATTTGTATTGATCATGACTTGTGTGCAGTGATCTGGCAATATCGTGATGTATGGTATCATGATCAATGCAAACCATTACTTGATCAAACACGGCAATTGTGACTGATTACAATCTATAATTGGATGTGGAATACAATCACAATCACAATTGGCAGGATATTGGGTGACTTTGTGTGCAATAGCCATTGTTGGTAGTTCAATCAGGATATACACCTTGTTCACACAGCAATACTGCATGTTGCTGGTTCACTCCACATCAATATGTATACATGAAGTTGACAATCATTGACAAATTCATGTCCTAAATTCACAATATTATGTTTTAAATGACAATAATGTAAGCCAATGCACATTTTATTTATTCGGTAACTGAGATTTGATAAACCGTTTGTACTTGTTCACAAAAGAACTTCCAAAAAAATTAGTCGCAAAATCAGAATCCAGATCGACACATATTATGTAATTGTCTCCGTCCTCACCACTTTCGAAACCAGATTTCATCGATGGCGCTGTATATGGCAATTCAAATCGCATATGGATAAACTTTGACTTGATGATATCGTTTTTGAATTGATCTTGAACTGGGATCTGCGACTTGTACCAATTTTTAGGATCCATTGTTTCAATATTCTTCCTGCATTCATTAACGCCAACGTACATTGCTGAATCGGAGCTTCGCGTTGATGTCGTTTTGATATTGCAGCTGAAAACCGAGTATCGCAAATCAGGTCCAGCATTGGCCGGTGGAAAAACAATCCACGGAAAGTTAGTTCTACGAAGTTGTTGTACAAACATATTGACATCCGATTTATTGGAGCGACAATCAATCACTCCAATGGGTTTTGTGATATTCAAATTTATAGCCCATTGAGGTAGATACTCTCTCAGCTTAGGTTGTAACCACCAGCCTTGTATGAATCGGAGAGCAATTACATACTCCATCATATATCCCCTTTCTGAACATGACAAGTTTGGTACTCCTACAGGTGAAAACAGCTGATTGGCAAAGTAGTCCATTAATACTGGAGTATTTTTGTCTGCAAAATAGTTTACTGCTGCAGTAAGAACAATGGGTTCTGCCATTCTAGCGTGCCATCCGCCAATCACTTTTGAAACCATTACAAGACCTGTTTGAACCAAATCAAGCTCTGGCGAATACGACATACTCGAACCATCACCAAACGAAAACGAAATACACAATTTGACAAGTATCTCCGATACCGATCTAGTTTCAGCAGCACAAGAGTCGGCATTTTTAATGGGTTTGATACTCCAGTCAATTCGGTCCTTCCAGAAACAGTAAAATGATGAATGGGGCGAATACATGCCAGATTTTGTCGTCATTTCTTCTATATAACCACGATAACAGCCATCGATGTCAGTCGAGTTGATCAATTTGTGTAGGAACGAAGTAACAAGCCTCGGGCGACCTTGAAGAGAATGTGAGATTTCTTGAAGAAGATCAATATTCTTTGATATATCGATCCTTAACCACATCGATAGTAGTTTGAAAATCTCGGATGGTTTCAAGTAGTTGAAGTCGGTGAATACAAATACGTCCTCTGGTTTGAGTCCAGCAGAAGAGTATATCAAGTCCATGGTGCAGATTCGCATTTGTGTTCCGCACCATATATTGTTGAAGCCATCTTGGATAATAGTCCTGGTCAAAAACGAAAACAGCGACCGAGGAAAATCAAACTCTCCAGCAGTGATGGATTGTTGATGTGATTTTGTTGAACGATAGCCCGACTTTAAAAGACTTAACATATGCTGTGATTCGTCAAATATAACGCGACCGTCTTTTAGGAACCATAGTCTCAACTCTTGATAGACTTTACCAAACGCAGACCAAGGAAGCTCAGATAGATGCTCGAATACTCTACAAAAAAGCCCACCAGTTCGTCTACTTCTTTGAATGCATAGCCATGTAAAAGAATCAAGATCGGGAATTGTTTCATGGAGCGTTTTCAGAACAAATATACGAGCAGAAATCAAACACTGGATCAGTCTTTTAGATTGGCGTTCAAATTCTGGTTGACTCGTCTCTGTTTTTTTGGCAGGTGCCAACTGTGCCAACTTCTCAGTCATCGCAGTGAAATCAGGATCAATCGAGCAGTCGAAATACAGTCCCCAATAATGTCGACATAGATCGTAGCAGGTTCTTGTCTTTCCGCATCCACTGACACCGATCATGACAATGTTTCTATAGCTGAATTGAAGCAGCCTGTCGACTGGCATTTCGATCTCAATTTTCTCTTCGTCGGAATATATCTTTTCCGAGTACAGGAAATTGGGAACTCCATTAATGCCTTGAATATCAAGGTTTAGAATGCCTTGGTCCAAAGCAATGTCCTCCATCGAGTCTTGAGTGGAAAAAACATTTTTGCCTTCATCCAATTTTATCAGTTGACGAAGATTTTTGTAGACGGCTTCTAGAGAATAATCGACATCCATGGCAGTGTCTATTGTTGATGAAAATACAATAATGAGTTTGACTATCCATAATATGGTTGATTTCATAAAAGTACAATACCTTGAGTTTGACCAGCCATACGACTGCTGGACTTGATGATAAGTGGATTGGATCCAACAGTCCCATTTGTTCCGAGAGCAGAAATGGGGTCCCAGGAGTTGTAGTTGGTCTCCACCCCATTCACCACATAATGGATGGTGAGCTCGTCAGGGTCTATAGCACCAAGTTTCGATGGAAGTGCTTGTTTGACTGCTGCAACCAGGCCACCAACGTCAGTCAGTGGCCTTCTTCTTTCTAGTTCGCCGATATAATGAGTTTCAACCTTTACAGGTTGGTTGTGAAGGTATTGAATGTAGAATGGTATGTTTTCCATTAGAGTTTGTTTAAATAGAAAGGAATAGAGTAGAAGAAAGAGCAAAAGGAAATGTAATAGAATAGAGTGGAATGAAATGTAATGAAGAAAAGAAAGGAAAAATTGGACTTTAAATCCAAAATTTAATGTCATGTGAATAATGTGAAACAAGTTCACACACTTTGAATAGTTTAAATTAAGCATTTTTGTGTGAAATTAAAACTGTTAAATTAAGCATTTTTGTGAAATTACAACTGTCAAATTGTATTAATTTGTCATGTATTCAAATTCACACACTTTGAATAGTTTAAATTAAGCATTTTTGTGTGAAATTACAACTGTTAAATTAAGCATTTGTGTGAAATTACAACTGTCAAATTGTATTAATTTGTCATGTATTCAAATTCACACACTTTGAATAGTTTAAATTAAGCATTTTTGTGTGAAATTACAACTGTTAAATTAAGCATTTGTGTGAAATTACAACTGTTAAATTGTATTAATTTGTCATGTATTCAAATTCACACACTTTGAATATTGTTTAAACATTTGTCATGTGTTTATTTGTATTGTTCAATCGAGTGTCAATTCAACTCAATTGATTACACTATAATAGTATATCAATCAACGAGACCAATTTTGTTGATTGATATTCACTGATACTCACTGATAGCTTGATGAAAATGTGCCAAACCATGACTTTTATGACAACACTGTACAAACTGTACGAGTTTAAAAGATTATTGGTGAATATTGTCCAATTTGATTGTTGACTGCAATTATTTTGGTTGGTTCGAGTTTCATTCTTTTGTCAAAAAACATCAAATGAATATTAAAACAACAAAGACAGCAACAACACAACTGTTGAATGAATACTACCAAATCAGCACTCAAGCCATACCAACACAGAGTCAAGTCTGAATGGCAGGATGACAACAAACGAGGTTTGTTTTTGGGAATCATCCAAGAGGGAGAAACCTCACACATCACTCGACTGCACAACCTGCTGACTGCCAACCAATTTGCAGAGCAGCAAGAGTTCTCAACCAAGATCCAGTTGGCAGACCCAAAACATCATTGTACATTCATTGATGACATGTTTGGGTATTACATACTGCCATTCCACAAAGACTACAACGATTCATCCAGCTGTCACACTCCAGTTTCATCAAACCCAACATCAAGAACCAACTCTGCTGATGATCTGGACTATGTTGCAAAAGTGAGTGAGCTACAGCACAAGGACTTGAACAAGGCAGTTGAGAAGAGAGACAGTGTCTGCTTGTTTTGCTGGGATGAGCTGTCCTTGCAAGGAACACACATCATATCCCAAAAGAACATTGGAATGGCATACAACGAATCATCCATCCTGCAACGAGCTGGTTTGACACAGAAACATCAAATACAGAACGGACTGTTGTTGTGTATCAAGTGCCATGACCAATTTGGTAAACTAAAGCAATATGTGGATGTAGTGGATGACAAACTGGTGATCAAAGTGATCAATGAGACGAATGACTCAACAAGTGACAAGCACAAGAAGTGGATTGAGACAATTGAAGATTTGAAAGTTATCCGCAGAACAAGGCAAAAGAGATAAACTGACAATCGACAAACAGTCGAATCCAACAGTGAAATGACATTGTATTTCATTCACAACAATCTCACTCGACTACTAAACAGGAACGCACTAGAGTTACACAAGACAGCATATCTCATTTGGTGTATGGCTGGTGGTGCAGAATCTGATGATGAATATTGTCCATATGATGATGGCTGTACTCCTGTCGATTATCAGAGTAAGAATATCGAGAAATGGATGGAATCGAGTGCTATTTTGATTATTGAAAATGTTCAATAAAATTGTGTATTCATTACAAGAGACTGGTTTCTGTTACAGCAATAGTTGTGTCGAGTCAATGTCATGGTGTAATGGCTTCAAAAAACACCATTTTGATGATCAATACTGCATCAATATGATCGTTTTACAACCGATATATTGAAACTTATTGATATTGGTAGTGGATGATGTATAATCAAAAAGAAATTCACATCGGAATATTCCTTGCTCTCGTTTGTGATTGTTTTCCGTGGGTTGTTCTGGTATTTTATGTAGCTCACTTTTTGCCTTGCACGCATGTAAACAGCAACCACGAATCGTTGAAACACAGATTGCACAAGTCAATACATTCTGATGACATTTGGAATATAACAAGACACAAGTGGTGACCAAAGTTTAATTCACAATCCATGAATGAACACGATCGCGTTGCCGACTGGATCAAATAACAACGCAGGTGTTTGGAACATGTCTTGAATACATGAATCGACCAGATTGACAACATACTTGTGTAGTCGATAATCAATGGAATTGACCAAACGGAATGCCTGCAACTGCCAAAAACCAAACAAAATGCCAAAGCATTTATATTAAAATGTTACACTACGACATCATGTCTCAAAGTGCTGAATGAGTCGTTGTCATGCAACTTTACTGTTGATATTGTTTATGGATTTGAAGATGTGCAATACAATCCGTAGTCTGTTGCTCAATGACACTAATCAAATGGTACTGAATACAGCGTGTCAAACAAGATGATCGCTTTGACTAGTGTGTCGGAGTGTTTTGATAAATAACAATTATATCATGATGTATATTGGTTCATGTAGTATATTGTATAGTCAACTATGCACATGGACATGCATGTCATTGTCAATTGATGGTCGTTTGTAAACAACTTGTGGACAACTTGCAAATATTACAATCATGGTGATTGCTTGAATGTCGATACCAAGCCATGCGTTTGATGGTCATTTACTGATCAGTTTACTGTTCAACAATTCAAATGGTCGTTGTCTACCAATCAGTCGAGTCGTAGACATGAACTGCACATTGTGTGTATCGCTTTGTTCATGACCAAACTGTAACAATGTGCACTTTGCATTGAGTTTGAACTGCAATCTGCGACTTGTACGCATTATGATGCATTGTTTCAATATTCATGTTGCATTCATCAACATCAACGTGCAGTGTCGATCTGATGTTTGGTGTTGATGTTGTGTTGATATTCCAACAACACTGAATATCGTAAATCAGGTCAGCATTGACTCGTGTGATAATAATCCATGGACAGTCAGTTGTACCAAACTGTTGTACAAACATATTGACATTCGATCGATCGAAACGACAATCAATCACTCCAATGTGTTGTTGGATATACAAACTATATTACACATGGTGACTGATGTTGTAACACATGTCGTAACACAACATTGAATCAATCAAACTGCAATTACACACTCCATCATATGTCGCATGTGTTGGTATGTCAAGTATGGTGATATCAGGTCAAAACAGTCGATTGGCATAGTAATCCACCAACATTCGAGTCGGTTGGTCAACCAAACAGTTGTATAATGCGGTAATATCAATATACTGCGATTGTAGCATGCCATTCATCAGACATTGTTGAAACCATTACAAAACCTGTTTGGACCAAATCAAACTGTGACGAATACCGCATACTCGGATCATCATCAACTAAACCAGGAATACACGCTTGACAATATTTGCGATTGATGATTGAACCTGATTCATGGCTAATTCGTCGAGTGTTTATAATGTGTTAATAAAACCAGTCATATATCATTTGGTGTTGTTAACCTGTGGTTTGGTGATGGTTTGATTGCAAGTGATTCTTGGACACAACATATTGCAAACCAAGCAACTTGACTACTTGAACGATTCAAACGACTCGATACTAACCGGAATTCAATACAATTGTTGAATAGCCCGTGTAATATCAGATCTAGTCAAGTCAACAGACACGACACTCAATACAACTATATACAGCAAAAATGCGTTGGATTCATTTGTGATTGCATACTCATCAATCTTGAATGACAGTGTTTGTGCAGTTTTGGATATAGGTTGTATGGATATTGCAACAAACATGTGGTATTATAGTATGACTGACATATACTACTATTGGATCAAACAACATAACAGTCAAATATAATGTCAAATATATATGTGCATAGAATGATCACCAAACCTGATCGGTCGTGTATCAATCATAAACAACTACCAATTAGCAACAAGTGTCATTCGTATACATTGACAGAATCACTACAGACAACACCAACAATTACAAGATCATGTGCAATATATCAAGAATTGTGACATGGTTTCAATAAACCAACAACAACTGAACAAATGACATTGCAATGATTATTCACAAAACAAGGCAATCAAACGACAATGTTAGCGACGATTATGTTGGACAATATTCAAATATTGACAGTCAAACATTGGTTAACCAACAGTTGTACGATTATACAACTGATCCGTGTATTGACAAGTGATCAACATTGATCCAGTCATGGTTAAAACGGTGTATCACAGGACTTGAAAGTTGACAGTATTGTTGTGGTGTAATATTAGCAACTACGCACAACTTGACATGAATGACAGTGTTGATATTGAGACTGTCAATGTATTACAATGTATTGGTCAACAGTGATTGCAATCAATGACAATATTGCAGTCCGTTCAATCCAATTGTTGATTGGAACAATCATTATCCACTTGTCAGATTCAGCATGTAAATGAATGTTTTGTAACACATTTACTAATCCAACAATCAAACTCAATCTGAATATTGAATATTATAATGTAATCAATTGAGTTGAATTGACACTCGATTGAACAATACAAATAAACACATGACAAATGTTTAAACAATATTCAAAGTGTGTGAATTTGTCTCACATTGTTCACGTGATATCGAGTTTTGGATGTGAGACAAATTCACGTTTTGATCTTTTTTTGTCATTTCATTGTTCCACTTCATTCTATTCTATTCACTTTATTATATTCTATATTCTATTTCTATTCTTTTACAAACTCTAATGGAAAACATACCATTCTACATTCAATACCTTGACAATCAGCCAGTTGGTTTGAGAACTCATCAATAATGAAAGGACTGCTTTGCGGCCTTTTCCCCTTGATAATGTTGGTGATCTGGTTGGTGCTCGCAATAGGGTCCCAGGAATTATAGCTAGTCTCCACTCCATCCATCACATAATGGAGTGATATCACCAACAAAAGCAGAAGCAAGAGGAGAGTTGGGAAGTGCTTGGAAAGCAGCAACCAAGTTAGCAACAGTAAACAGGGTTTGAACCCAGACAAAAGTATTGGTGTTGAGAATATGAGTTCTCAAACCAACTGGCTGATTGTCAAGGTATTGAATGTAGAATGGTATGTTTTCCATTAGAGTTTGTAAAAGAATAGAAATAGAATATAGAATATAATAAAGTGAATAGAATAGAATGAAGTGGAACAATGAAATGACAAAAAAAGATCAAAACGTGAATTTGTCTCACATCCAAAACTCGATATCACGTGAACAATGTGAGACAAATTCACACACTTTGAATATTGTTTAAACATTTGTCATGTGTTTATTTGTATTGTTCAATCGAGTGTCAATTCAACTCAATTGATTACATTATAATATTCAATATTCAGATTGAGTTTGATTGTTGGATTAGTAAATGTGTTACAAAACATTCATTTACATGCTGAATCTGACAAGTGGATAATGATTGTTCCAATCAACAATTGGATTGAACGGACTGCAATATTGTCATTGATTGCAATCACTGTTGACCAATACATTGTAATACATTGACAGTCTCAATATCAACACTGTCATTCATGTCAAGTTGTGCGTAGTTGCTAATATTACACCACAACAATACTGTCAACTTTCAAGTCCTGTGATACACCGTTTTAACCATGACTGGATCAATGTTGATCACTTGTCAATACACGGATCAGTTGTATAATCGTACAACTGTTGGTTAACCAATGTTTGACTGTCAATATTTGAATATTGTCCAACATAATCGTCGCTAACATTGTCGTTTGATTGCCTTGTTTTGTGAATAATCATTGCAATGTCATTTGTTCAGTTGTTGTTGGTTTATTGAAACCATGTCACAATTCTTGATATATTGCACATGATCTTGTAATTGTTGGTGTTGTCTGTAGTGATTCTGTCAATGTATACGAATGACACTTGTTGCTAATTGGTAGTTGTTTATGATTGATACACGACCGATCAGGTTTGGTGATCATTCTATGCACATATATATTTGACATTATATTTGACTGTTATGTTGTTTGATCCAATAGTAGTATATGTCAGTCATACTATAATACCACATGTTTGTTGCAATATCCATACAACCTATATCCAAAACTGCACAAACACTGTCATTCAAGATTGATGAGTATGCAATCACAAATGAATCCAACGCATTTTTGCTGTATATAGTTGTATTGAGTGTCGTGTCTGTTGACTTGACTAGATCTGATATTACACGGGCTATTCAACAATTGTATTGAATTCCGGTTAGTATCGAGTCGTTTGAATCGTTCAAGTAGTCAAGTTGCTTGGTTTGCAATATGTTGTGTCCAAGAATCACTTGCAATCAAACCATCACCAAACCACAGGTTAACAACACCAAATGATATATGACTGGTTTTATTAACACATTATAAACACTCGACGAATTAGCCATGAATCAGGTTCAATCATCAATCGCCGACGTTGGCAATAATTTGTCCTGCGACAAACTACTCATCCATTCCAATATCCGCTCTTTGTTATTTTCTTCCAATTCAGTGAACATGCTTGGTGATTTAACCTCTTCTTTTTTAATCCAGCCCTTGTTCAGAGCAAAAATCTGCGACATTGACGCCTGAAAAGACAGACATCGACCATAGCACTTGTTACCATTCGCCCCAGAGAGCACTGGACACCCTTCAAAATCAGCGAATCCCATATCAAGAATTACCATGAGATTATCAACAGCAGTAATGGCAGCATCCATATCAATGGCCTGTTGTTGGTTAAGCTCAGATATCCATGCATCTCTGGATTTCAACAAGCTATTTTCATTGATCTCCTTTTCGCTTTTTATGTACTCCTTGATGGTCATTGGTTTGAGCAAAGGGTTCAGAATCTTGAGTTTAAACTGGTCCGTTTTTGAGTCGTATAGGAAGCAGATGTGTGAATTGTCGAATGCAAATTCGAACGGTTTGAACATCAGTAGACCGTTGCGTGGATTATCGATGTCCTCAAAATCAAGATGGTCTTGACAAGATGCAGCCCAGCACGATTTGAATAGATGCCCTGCAATAACTACGGTTGAAGGCAGGGGGGCATTTGAAATCATGCATTTGACATGCGAAACTTTTTCTTCAATGCCGTAATAGTACTTTAGCAGGCTATTTTTGAATACGGAGCTTCTTGAGACTTTGGTTCTCGTGTCATTTGTGTAGTAGAACTTTTTAACAAAGTCCTGGACAAGAGGCTCCAGCGATCTGCTGTTTTTTGTAGTAGCGGCCTGCAATGAGTCGAGTGACTCGAGAACTCTGCTCTCAAAAGAAACATTTTTTTCGGCAGCACCAGCAGTTTCGGTCTGACCAAATCTCCTGTAAGAGCGGGATGGACCAACACCCGATAAGCTTGAGCTAGCATCACTCTTGGATTTAATGATGAGTGGATGTTCGTAGGAACCAATATGATTTTGAATAGAGGCCAGGAGCACATTCCCAGCAATGGCTGGACCATCAACAGCAGAGTGGATGGTGAGGTGTGCTAAGGAAATCCCGTCAAGGAGGGGAGTGGTGGCAGTCTTGTAAGCTGCAACCAGGCCACCAACGTCAGTCAGTGGCCTTCTTCTTTCTAGTTCGCCGATATAATGAGTTTCAACCTTTACAGGTTGGTTGTGAAGGTATTGAATGTAGAATGGTATGTTTTCCATTAGAGTTTGTTTAAATAGAAAGGAATAGAGTAGAAGAAAGAGCAAAAGGAAATGTAATAGAATAGAGTGGAATGAAATGTAATGAAGAAAAGAAAGGAAAAATTGGACTTTAAATCCAAAATTTAATGTCATGTGAATAATGTGAAACAAGTTCACACACTTTGAATAGTTTAAATTAAGCATTTTTGTGTGAAATTAAAACTGTTAAATTAAGCATTTTTGTGAAATTACAACTGTCAAATTGTATTAATTTGTCATGTATTCAAATTCACACTTTGAATAGTTTAAATTAAGCATTTTTGTGTGAAATTACAACTGTTAAATTAAGCATTTTTGTGAAATTACAACTGTCAAATTGTATTAATTTGTCATGTATTCAAATTCACACTTTGAATAGTTTAAATTAAGCATTTTTGTGTGAAATTACAACTGTTAAATTAAGCATTTTTGTGAAATTACAACTGTCAAATTGTATTAATTTGTCATGTATTCAAATTCACACACTTTGAATATTGTTTAAAATTTGTCATGTGTTTATTTGTATTGTTCAATCGAGTGTCAATTCAACTCAATCGATTACACTATAATAGTATATCAACCAACGAGACCAATTTTGTTGATTGATATTCACTGATACTCACTGATAGCTTGATGAAAATGTGCCAAACCATGACTTTTATGACAACACTGTACAAACTGTACGAGTTTAAAAGATTATTGGTGAATATTGTCCAATTTGATTGTTGACTGCAATTATTTTGGTTGGTTCGAGTTTCATTCTTTTGTCAAAAAACATCAAATGAATATTAAAACAACAAAGACAGCAACAACACAACTGTTGAATGAATACTACCAAATCAGCACTCAAGCCATACCAACACAGAGTCAAGTCTGAATGGCAGGATGACAACAAACGAGGTTTGTTTTTGGGAATCATCCAAGAGGGAGAAACCTCACACATCACTCGACTGCACAACCTGCTGACTGCCAACCAATTTGCAGAGCAGCAAGAGTTCTCAACCAAGATCCAGTTGGCAGACCCAAAACATCATTGTACATTCATTGATGACATGTTTGGGTATTACATACTGCCATTCCACAAAGACTACAACGATTCATCCAGCTGTCACACTCCAGTTTCATCAAACCCAACATCAAGAACCAACTCTGCTGATGATCTGGACTATGTTGCAAAAGTGAGTGAGCTACAGCACAAGGACTTGAACAAGGCAGTTGAGAAGAGAGACAGTGTCTGCTTGTTTTGCTGGGATGAGCTGTCCTTGCAAGGAACACACATCATATCCCAAAAGAACATTGGAATGGCATACAACGAATCATCCATCCTGCAACGAGCTGGTTTGACACAGAAACATCAAATACAGAACGGACTGTTGTTGTGTATCAAGTGCCATGACCAATTTGGTAAACTAAAGCAATATGTGGATGTAGTGGATGACAAACTGGTGATCAAAGTGATCAATGAGACGAATGACTCAACAAGTGACAAGCACAAGAAGTGGATTGAGACAATTGAAGATTTGAAAGTTATCCGCAGAACAAGGCAAAAGAGATAAACTGACAATCGACAAACAGTCGAATCCAACAGTGAAATGATATTGTATTTCATTCACAACAATCTCACTCGACTATCAAACAGGAACGCACTAGAGTTACACAAGACAGCATGTCTCATTTGGTGTATTGCTGGTGGTGTAGAATCTGATGATGAATATTGTCCATATGATGATGACGATGGCTGTACTCCTGTCGATTACCAGAGTAAGAGCATCGAAAAATGGATGGAATCGAGTGCTACTTTGATCATTGAAAATACTCGATAAAATTGTGTATTCATTACAAGAGACTGGTTTCTGTTACAGCAATAGTTGTCATTGTAGTGAGTGTGAATACCAACAGTTGATGTTGACACTTTTGAATTCAAGCAATAATGAAAGCAACTCAAATGTCTCTTTCCATTGCAGTGAGACAGTTTGTCAACCAACAATGTCTCATCAATTGACGACACATTCAGATTCCAGTGATGATGATGTTGCTACCAATGATCGTGGAACTGATAGTGCAGTCTTTTTACACTGTGGTGAGACAACTCGGTATCATGTCAATCATGTCCATCGTTGTGGAAATCACTTGTTAATCTACTCTGAATGAACAACTTTCTTTCAATCTGTGTATTGATTGTATCGATTGTATCGTCCAACATCAAACATTATGTCAATCAATAATAGTCAAAATACAATATTATATTTTCTGTACGATTATTATAAATCACAATCAATGAAATCCATGAAATCCATGTAAGCTACCAACTCCATCAAAACACTCACTTGCTCCATTTGCCATGAAGTTGTTACAACACTTTTGATTCAATGTCAGGATGCCAATCACTTTGTATATCCTGTATATCTTGAACCCAATGGAACTGTCCGATTTGTAGGACTGTCCGAGTTTTACACAACATGATGCTGGAAAGAACCATCAAATCACAAATGATTAATTGTGAGCATGATAATTGTAAAGCATCAGTATTTCTGTAGACAAAACACAATCATGACAAGAATTGCAAATCCAGAACAACAGGATTTGACTATTGTACAGAACTTGCATCAAACCCTTGTTTGAGGACTTGTTTCAAAACTGGATGTAATGTATTTTGGGTCGACGGAAATGAATGTTCAAAATCGTTGGCCAATTGCATGAAAACAGGAATCCCAATCACAATCAGAATTGAAATTGAAATTGGACACATTAAAGTCATTTGTCATCATATCCCATGGCCAGATACCAGTATTCAAAATAGTAAATAGTCGGTGGTTATGAAAATAATCAATATTTACCAAAATCCAAACAATACAATCATGATAACTTACTGGCTACCTCAAATCAGCAAATCGTTTGAAAATAATACCACAATAACCATCAAACATACTTTGAATGTAATTGATGATTCACCAACAATACCACTGTATGCGGTAGATTTGGAATATCAGATACAACAAGTCAAGTGTCGACATGGCAAACGATGAACTGGATGTATTTTTCCAGCATTTGCTTGACCCAAGAAATGGTGCTGGGTTCCATCAAGATTACGGATTCATAGTATGATATATTTAACATATTTGGCGTCTACATCGGCACTCATTACCATTTGATACAATTTATGCTGTAATGTGTGCTGTTTTCCCATCACTTTACCAAGAACATCTAAATCGCTAAATACATGATGAGTCATTCGGTCTACATTGATCTGAGCGTCCGTTACAGTGTGATGATGACTTTTGATCAAAGTACTAAGCCAGAATGTAAAATATACACACAATACAATGTATCGTAGTAACTCTCGTTCAGCAACTCATTGATTCAATGATAAAGTGGCTTGTATTGATTTTGAATGATACTTTTCATCAACGAATTGAATGTTTGATTTCAAGAGTTTGTTGTGTCAGAATATTTAGAGCTTCGTTGATTTGTTTTAATGATGGAATAGTATAAAGTATAAAGTAGAATATAATCTGTAACTGTTAGTAGTTATCAGAAGAGAACAAATCAGAAGTGTAAGAGGAAGTTGCACTTTAAATCAAGATCAGCAAACTTAGTCTTTTCAAGAGTAGTGAAAAGATGTAATAAAGTAGTTAGAAAGATGAAATAGTTTGAAGAGTTATTTATTGATAAAAGTAAGCATTCTAGCTTTTATAGTAAAATAAGAAGTAGTTAAGGGAGAGAGTGGAGATATAAGATCTTCACTCTAAGCTTCGCCGTTGAGGGTCCTAAGCTTCCCAGTTCTTGTATAAAGGGAACGATAGTCATTGCCTTAAATAAGTTTCACCTTGCGTATAGCTTATTTGTTATACAATGCTTGTTAGTTTATGCAGCATCCATACCATCCATTGTTTGGGATTTTAAGTTGGTGCTTTTTTATAGAATTAGCTTTGCCATAGGTTACCGCTTAAGGATATCCGTCTGGATATTCCAACACCCCACCACGCCTTGAACAGGGTAAAGTCCGAGTAGGTCTGAAAGCTTGTCAAAGGCGAACCGTGGTAATCCTTTGGTAAGTATGTCGGCGACTTGATCGTTTGTTTTTACGTATTCGACCGATACTGTTTTGTTTGTTACTTGATCGCGAAGAAACTTTAGTTTCACGTCCATATGCTTTGTAGCAGCATGATTTGGAGCCAAATTTTTAGTATTTGCAATTGCAGATTGCGAATCAGAGTAAAGTATAGTAGGATTTAGCTGTTCGAATCCTAGTTCTTTTAGCAGAGTTCTGAGAAATAATAGTTCTCTAGTTGCCGTAGCTGCTGCAATATATTCGGCTTCCATGGTAGATACAGCCACTGAGGTCTGTTTTGTTGATCTCCACGAGATACATCCATTTCCAATAAAGAATGCGTAGCCTGAAGTAGATTTTCTGGAGTCTACATCTCCTGCCCAATCAGCGTCGCAATATCCTGTTAGAGTAGGGGAATCCCCACCAAGTACAAGAGAGTAGCTGATTGAATGTTTTACGTATCTTAATATACGTTTTACGGCGGTCCAATGAGAGTCGTTTGACTTGTGCAAATATCTGGAAACTAGTCCGATAGCAGCACCTAGATCAGGTCTTGTAGCAACCATGGCGTACATTAATGACCCAACGGCTTCTCTGTATGGCGCGTCAGTAGTATTTTCTGTTTCTAGAGCAGGTGTCAGAACTATTCCAGGATCAAATGGAGTACATGCAGGTTTGCAATCTGTCATGTTGAATCTTGTCAGTACCTCCTTTAGATAATGTTCTTGAGATACGCTGATCCTTTTGTTCTGCCTGTCTCTTATAACGCGTATGTTGAGGCATGTATGGATTGGTCCTAGGTCTTTCATAGAGAATACCTTGAATAAGTCCTTTTTAGCTTCGTCAAGATATGGTCGATTGTTTCCGACGAATAATATGTCGTCAACGTATATGGCGATCATGACGAATAGATGTTGATCACGTTTGATCATAATGCATGGATCCGAGATGCATTGAATGAATCCTAAGTTGGTACATTCTTGGACGAGAATTTCGTTCCATTTGTGAGGAGACTGTTTTAGTCCGTATAGGGCTTTTTGTAGTTTTCCGACAGTTCTGCCCGAATCTTTGTTGTTGATATTGTTGTTGTATCCTTCAGGTAATTCGATGTAAAGATCTTCAGTGATAACCCCGTTTAAGAATGCATTGTTAGCATCAGTGTTTAAATGGCCAAATCTTTTGTGCCATGTTTCTAGAGATACAGCTGGGGAAGCGATCGATGAAAAATATGCATCATCGTTATCGCTATCATCGACAATTTGTGATCTGTAGCTTTGATGAATGGGTGCGTGAATGGTACAGTCGGCGATGCTTAGATTTTTAACTCGGTTGCACAGTAATATAGGCTTCTTGTTAGCAGCGTATATGGTCCGAGAGTATCTTGTGATATCGATATCACAGCCTTTGTCCAGGAAGCTAGTCTCCGAGAGCAAGTTTACTTTGAATGTCGGCACATATAAGACATCTGCCAGATGAATCGTTGACTTTCTTCCGTTGTATTCGGACTCGATCGTCAAGGTTCCTTTTGCAGTTGCCACATGCTTTTCTGCACCAGAACAGTGAATCTCACGTGTGATTGGGACTAAATCGGTCAACCAATCTTTGTGACAGATCATGTGAGCTGTTGCTCCTGAATCTAGTATGAGCTTGTCCTGCATGCCATTTGTACCATTTGTTGCTTGAAACATAAACTCGTCTTGAGGTGTTTCGAGCGTACTTGTATGATCTTGCGTTTTCGAGATGTCGCAAGCATTTAACCCATATGTATCATTATTTTGGCTGTAGTAGTTGCTGTTTTGGGTAGGCAGTCTACAGTCTTTTTCTGTGTGGGAGCCTAGTCTTCCACAGTTGTTACATAGGACTTTTCTCTTTCCGTTTGGCCAGAAAGGTGATCTTTTAGAATCTTGATTTTGCGGAGCTGTGTGTCGTCCGTTACTACTTTGCATTTGATTTGCATTGTTCCGATTGGAATTCTTTGACATGAGCTTTGTATTTGATCTCGTGTTTGCCTGGTGTGCGTGTTCACCAGTAGTTATTGGAGGTAGTACTCCTGCAGAAATTAGTGACCGTTCTTCGGCCAAAAGATCTCTCCTTGTAGTTGTGGTAGAGAACTCCTCTTCTGACAGTCTGTCGTAGCGAGTCCGTAGATTTCCCCAGTGATGGGATACCACGATAAGTCGACTTATCATCATCTCTATGAATTCGACGTCAGGATAGCATCTTTTTTGATTTGCCAGTTTCTTGCGAATTTCATCATAGAGTTATAAAGCACTTCTACGCCTTGATCCGGGTCGTAAACCATGGCGTTTAAATCTGCAAATAGTTGTATGCGTGAGGATGTGCTTCCAGTAGAATAGTGGGCATGGATAGCTTTGTAGGCATCGTGCGCACTTAGTGGAGCTCCTTCACTGTTATGGGTTAGGTCATCGTTTTCTTTGCCAGTAGTGGTGGCAAGTATGCTATATGCCTTGTAATCATTCACGATGAATGTATTGGTCTTTTCTTCTGGTGGGGCGATTTTAATATGAAGCTCCCATAGATTAAAGCTGCTCATTGCAGCATGAATGCCATTGTTCCAATCTTGGAAATTTGTATTAGTCAGGAGTGGTATGAATAAGCCGTCCGCGACCTTGACTCTTGTGCTCTCTTCTGGGCTCATAACCTGTCAGAATATTTAGAGCTTCGTTGATTTGTTTTAATGATGGAATAGTATAAAGTATAAAGTAGAATATAATCTGTAACTGTTAGTAGTTATCAGAAGAGAACAAATCAGAAGTGTAAGAGGAAGTTGCACTTTAAATCAAGATCAGCAAACTTAGTCTTTTCAAGAGTAGTGAAAAGATGTAATAAAGTAGTTAGAAAGATGAAATAGTTTGAAGAGTTATTTATTGATAAAAGTAAGCATTCTAGCTTTTATAGTAAAATAAGAAGTAGTTAAGGGAGAGAGTGGAGATATAAGATCTTCACTCTAAGCTTCGCCGTTGAGGGTCCTAAGCTTCCCAGTTCTTGTATAAAGGGAACGATAGTCATTGCCTTAAATAAGTTTCACCTTGCGTATAGCTTATTTGTTATACAATGCTTGTTAGTTTATGCAGCATCCATACCATCCATTGTTTGGGATTTTAAGTTGGTGCTTTTTTATAGAATTAGCTTTGCCATAGGTTACCGCTTAAGAGTATCCGTCTGGATATTCCAACATGTTGGGATCCACTTTGATTGGGTTGTCCGACTTGAGCATATATCGAGATATGATTTCATGAGTAATAGGTTCAATATCATTGCACACATAGTGGGTTGCTACTTTCACAAGATGGTTGGTTAGATTTCGTTCAACAACATGATACTTTTGACCGTTTTTAGGTTTGATGAAGATCGAGTTCACGACCAAAGTTTGTAGATACTTGGATCTTAAGGATGTGGTTGTGATGTGTAATGTCATTGAAGTGGTTTTGAATAAACCCAAGAAAGTACATTTTGGAATTGTATCAACAAACAATTGGATTGGATTTATTTTCTATTATTATTTAAACTCGTTGAAAATGTTGGAAACCTGTTACAAAGTAATTCTGATTTGGACAAAAATAGTGGTTGAATTGGCTCATACAGAGTCCATTACGAGATGCTCGGATTGAGTTTTGTCGTTGATTTATTGTTGCCATTAGGAAAACCCCAATAACAATATCATGAAAATGGTTGGATCAACGGTGAATATTGATGTTAAACTCGTCAAAGTCAAGTTGCGGTTTACAAAACGTATCCAAGGATTCAGGAGTCGAGTTGAAGCAACAAAGGCGTACAAGCAACTGATTCAACTACAAATAGAGCATTGGAACCAAGCAAGCAAGTTAAAGCGACAGTTTAATAGACATATCAACAAACATCCTTTCCACCCAAAATACAAAACAATACAGTGCAAGACACATGTTCACCAATGTGGAAGAGTTGATGCAAAATATACCGGAAAAATCACCAATCAAAACATTGGATATTGGCTTGATATTCAATTTGGGTATATGCTGCAAAATGTAGATACTGAAAATACAATTCAATTTAATATTTCAGATAATACATTATTGTTTAATGGTAACAATCAATCCATGATTAATACGGATATTGACATTGTTTTGGATCTGATTGACGAGAATGATATTATTGAATGCATGAAACGTCATAATTCAAAGTATATAGTCGACCATGCTTCATTCCAAATACACAACAGTTCAAAGTAGTTTGATGATAGCCAAGTAAAATACAACCCCATATGAACAAGACAGCTTTGTTGGACAGTCACCATTGCCAAGATGATGCAAGACCATAATATTGCCATTTACATTTCTTTAGCCACAACTTGCTGAATTTGGCAACTCGTGCAACCCGCGCAATTTCAAAATCAGATCATTGGATTAAATTGGATTGTATTGGATTAAATTAAATCGGATTGGATTAAATTGGATTCAACCCAGTATTGGCTTGTTGGGTAGGCTGTTGTATCATTAAAATGTAACTTGACAGTCTCAGAATTCAGTATTGGCCAATTCATACAAACCTGCCCATCATTTACCCAAACAAGTCGATACTAATGATTTTAGATTCATCATGGTCGCAGGCTATTCATAATGCATTAGCGTGAAGTTCCATAAATTGATTTCAAAGCTAGTTTAGATGCATCAACCCATTTTAAACATTAATCAACGCCATTTCAAACATATCCTAAAATGAATGGTACTTATGCAGAGCCATGTCACAGTTGAATGTGCTCCTACCATACCATTTCCTGTAAAACGAGTGTCTGTGTATAGACATGATCAGTGGCCATGTATTACACCCATCACATCATCAACTATTGAGTCATTGACACCATTGACACGATTATCTAGCACCACATCATTGTAAACATATTGTGCAGTACCTAGTCGTACACATGGAACATCAAATGCAATCCCAGTTCACTCTGACATACTCGTATTCAAAGTTGGCAGCAAACAAGTCATTACATACATACTGTCAAACAGCAAATGCCTTGGTTTGAATTGTCGAGGGCACTACATTATCGCGACATCAGTGACACCAGTGACATCAGTGACTTGAACCAGATCTCATTCAGCGCGTCGATGGATGCATTTGGTATTGATGGTATGGAGGTGTTTGAATCTGGCGATGATTTATCAACTCAACTCAACCCATACATTATTCGTTGCGCTAATGTTATACCGTATCCAGCTAGGACATGCATAGTGTGTCAAACGAGATCAATGTTCCGTATGGGGATCCGAGTCAACGTTTTCCACCCATGACCAGTTCAAAGATCTGGATGTTTCAACATACACTAACATGGAGTGTCGAGTTTGGACAATATGTAGACTCAAGTACGATCGGAGCTGCGTTGACGTGACAAGGTAGACAATCTGATGAATGATGGAATGTATAATATCGAGGTTTCACAAATCCAAAATTGGAGAGATGGTGAAACACGTTTGATTGTATCACTCGGATGCCATGTTTAGTATTCAACATGAGATTTTGACTAAACTGCGCTCAGATGTAGCACGTTCAAACCAGCACTTGCATTCAGCACAACAATTCAATACTATGCAACGCATTCAACACAGATCGGTATGATCAAGAGCATGTCAGTGATGAATGAGTGAATGATAGTGATGAATACCAACGTGTATCAACTTACAACCATGATGTGGCATCACAATAACTCGACAGTGCGTATCCCAGACACTACTGGACAAAATGCATTGAAAACACCCCAAATATTGCAATCTACCTACACAGCGTTGGTGGATTATCTGTCACTGAATTTGGAGCATAAACTGGCAACTATACATGCAAATATGCATAGACTCTGATAGTCCTGCAACCAAGTTCCAGATGCCAATTCAAATATGTACTTGGATAGTCAGGGGTTGTAACACGATCATTTATTCAAATCGCATATATACACACATGTTATTGTTGAATGGCAGCAATATATAATGTCTCACAATAACGGGATATTGCTGGCATTGGATACCGTACCACAGTCGCTGTCTCGTGTGGTCAAACTGTGTGTAAGCTCCATGTATATATCATCACATAGATTGAATACAAACCATGATAATCTGGAATTACAAACTGTTTCACTCAACTCGGATTGACTCGAATTCAAAAGCCAATTGATTATTGCATGACATTAAATCAATTGCAATGGAGGCTGCAACGTATGGATCAGTCACGTCACCAACAGAAACATCAAAAGCAAATCAAATGGCTAAAAAGCAATTAGAAGAGTTTGTTTTCAGGTTAAAAAACTTGAAAGCAGAACCAGATGTTAAATGCAGAGATTATTGTGCTAAAGGGTTTGGCCGATAATAGAATATCTAATGACTGATGTGTATCAAATCATATGCAGTTTGTCATTCAAGAAATGTCCATCAATAAAACGATCAAGCATATATATGCGTACATGGTTACGAGTAAAAACAATTTGATATTTGCTCGAGCACGAGTGTAAGCTTTAGTAAAACTGCGATACCGTCAAATCTATAATCCACTGAACATATTAGATTGCAACGAATCGATGCAAGTCATTGAAAATACTAACCCCAATTCAATTGATACGACTGAATCTACAGTACAGTCGTATTCACATAAAATGCAACACTAAATAAGAGTGTGTATAACAAACAGCCAGTCTCATGAAATGATTGGCATCAGTTTATTGGTTGGCATTGTGCCATATACACTGTTTAGTTGATTGATACTGTTTGTAGTGATTGGCATGTAAAGTTGCATCCCTAAAATATGTTGAACTAGAACGCGAATGTATCTGATTAAAATACAAAGTTTGTATAGATTTGGCAACAATCAAACCAATATTTGGATTGCAATGCATCAATTTGGTCATTGTACAATGTATGGCCATGTCAAATGATGAGATTACTCCAGTTCAAACTGATGGTTTGATTGTGTATATCATACGACGAACGTTGTGCCTACAAGATCAATGTGTAATAGAAAGGCACAAAGTATTCAAACCATTACTTTGAAGTCGCTGCAAGTGATTGATTTTACGTGAATACGACCACAAATGCCTGCGATGAAAATGCCACAACTGAACAAATCGATGCTTTGCAGTATCTTCATGGCTCAAATCGTCTGCAGAACAATTTGTGCAACTGAATCGATCCCTTCAGACACTGCAAGCATGCTATTTACCACGTGAGTACTGACCACCCTCAACTGAAAGTCATCGCAACTCCACAAAACTCTCCACAACTTCACTTTGAACGCGGCGTCGGTTCGCTATTCTCGTCAGATTCCAATCGAAACAGAGCATCACTGCATTTAGGACTTGATTGACTTATCAGCCAAAAGTTTGGGATGGACTACAACTATGCTGTGCTTAGGCTGACTACTAATATCATTCGTGCTTTGAAACCTAAACATGTCAGATGTTAGTTATTGACAGTTGTTGATTACAGAGCGGTTGCCAATACATCATATTTGGCTGACACTACTTTAATATATTGAGTACTAATTGAGTCTTGTTATTAGTGCTTGTCGACATCACTTACCAACACGGTGTATCCATGTCTGAGCTGTTCCGTGCCATTTCTCCACGACTAAGAGAAAATAACTGGATTGTATGTTTGACTGCAGTGCTGTTAGTTCAATAGTAATACAGCCTCTATTATTGATTTAAATTATTTACTCTGGCTTGACTACAACATAGTTGGACTAACCAAGAATCACTGTCAATACTTAGGTTGTATTCAAGACATTGACTCTCATCCATGTGTTGATTAAAGAGGGTGATTCAAATAGGGTTATGGGCTATTTGTCTTCCAACACTGATAAACTGAGTACTGCAGGATTCCGTGATAAAAGTGGTCATCCAATGGGTAGTGTGGTACTTGATTGTTTAAATACTATGACATGATGGCTAAATCTGCCTGTATTTTTGATAGGAACAATTCAGTCAAAAAACATAGATACATACTCCAACTATCTACAAGAACGAGTGTCCGTTTTTAAAGCAGTCAAAATAGACTGGATTTCTGAAAAAGATACTGCCATTGCGAAATTCCGTACACTGCAAATCAAGGATGGACTTTTGGAAGATATTTCTCTGCTTCAGCGACACATTGATGCTTTACTCAAATGCTCTGTATGTGCAAGTATTTTTCTATATTGAATTTAGCCTGTAATCTTGAACTAATCATGCTTTGGAATCGTTCAACGACAGTGGTATGTGGAGGATCTGGATCAGGTTGTCACTCTTCAGGCATTTAGATTGCTGACATGGGATATGATGAGCTTATTTCATTTATTGAACGAAGCGGTTCTACGGATTCTTGGTGAGTTTTACTATATCTACTACTGGCCATTATTCAAAATTTTGATCTTGTTGATTGCGACATTCTATTGTTTAAATTACACTACTTTTAACTCAAGCTTTATAAATGGTGTTATGTCTATCTAGGATCCTACTTTGAAATGGAGCGACAAAATGCAGCAAAGGCACTCGAGATTTACAAAAAGTTTTCAGTGCAGACAAAAAAGACACTCGAGTTTTTTGAAACAGGTCGCAAAGTGCGTCGAGAAACCGGTGTCGATGTGCCTATATTTCACCACGTAAGCTTAAACCCCATTATCCCAAGAAAATACTATTCAAACATTGCTTTTTGATGACGACTCGGCTTTATTTTTAATTGGGATTTGAACTGCTGAATTTTTATATAGCCTCCATTGATGTTGGCTGCATCTTTGGAAGAGTATCTTCGTGCTCCGGATTTTGAAGAGAAACGGGCTGAATATAAACAACGAAGACTGGAGAAAGAAAAGTCTGATAGAACAGGTATTATACGTGCAATCTTGGACACTCGCTGTTTTTATTGCGATACTCATTTCAATTCACGCATTTATCAAACTAGCACCCCAATCATCTACCAATACAGCGTCAGCTTCTAAAGACTCTACACAAACCAAACCAGAGAAAAAAGATGTACAGCTCATTGATTTCTTCTCTAGTGTTGATCAAGAAATGAGTGCATTTAGTACAGCTCAATCTCAAGCCCAATATCCTGCAGCCAATTTTGATGCATTTTGGGATCCCAATGATGGATTTTCTCAGCGCGCTAATGCTGATCGTTTTGGTAATCAATCTGGTGCAGTCATGTCTAGTGATAATCCTTTCTTGACTGTACAGCATAATCAGCAGTTATTACAACAACAGTTGCAGGAATCAGATATGCTTTTAAGATCGACTGTATTAGGACAACAGCAACAGGCTCTGGGGATGCAACAACCTAGTGTTGCTAATACGCAAGCTTCTGGTAATGCATTTTATATGAATCCAGGAATGCAAGGCTCTGCTTCAAGCTATACGCCTCAACCAAATCATCCACTTTCTGTATCAGCATATAATCCATTTTTGCCTGCTGCTCCTGCTTCACCAGCTCCCGTAAATACATTCACGGCTTTTGGCGATATGGGACAAATGCAAGCATCTAGCATGGTATCATCCGCCACACCAAAGCTAGATCCGTTTAGCCAGCTTGGAAACATGGCTCCCAAATTGCCGCTTATGGATACGAATACCAATATAGGCGTGTCACCTTATGCAACCAATAATCCGTTTGGACGCAACATGTCACAGCCAGAACTTCCAATTAATCCCACCAATCCGTTTGGCGTTGCTGGTTTTGGCCGAGGTAGTATGTATCAGCAACCTATTGCAGCACAATCTACAGGTGGGTTTGCAACTCATAACACGACAGGAAATAGTGGGGCATCAACCGCTTATAATCCGTTTGCCGGACTGGGATTACCGCAATTTGGAGGCATGCAAGGAGTAAATACACCCAACAGTCCGATGGCGATGCGTGCAGGTGAGTTTGTAATATATATTTGCTGAGTAAGAATGGAGGTATGTGTGAGAAAGGATAGGGGCAGACTCCCCACTCATTCGAGTAAAATAAAAGAGTAACACTCCAGAGTCCCTTATTGGATCGTTTAAAACGGCTAGGAGGTGACGTTGAATCCCGAGATCAAGCGATTCGGTTTGCGGCTACTTCCACTGCCTTGCTTCTGCCCCCCCAGTCCATTCCCGTTTCAAACACGATTCCTCACTCAATGAATTACTCTGTTGGGGTTGTTTCTGGTACAGGTGGTAATTCTTTCGCCAATGCTAGCACAGGAGCATTTCAAGTACACGCTAGCAACCATAATTCTATTTTGGGTGTTCCTCAGATCGGTTCTGGATTACATGGCATGTCTACAGGGATTTCGGGAAACGCGCCATTTGGAGCTATGGCAGGAACTGGTACTGACAGTCAAGGCATAAATGCCATGAATCCGTTTGCTCGACAGGGAACACCGGGATTACAAGTGCCTGGACAAACGGCAGCATTCATGACACCTCATCTAACCGGACATAGCATAATGTCTTCGGCTACCACTTCTACCACTATGCATAACCCATTTGCTACAGGTGCTCTTAATGGAGGACCTTCATCTATATCTTTGAGTCAGCAACCATCACAACAGCAACAAAAAATGCTTGGAATGCAACAAGAATTTCAAACCTCAAGGGGGTTTTAAATTAAACTGACAATGCTCCTTTATTGGGAGCTTCATTTTTAAATACTAGATTGGGGTTTAAATTGTATTTGTCTATAAAGCATATATACGTTTATTGTGTTTCAGTAGTGTCCTGGATCACCTATCATCGTAGCCATTCCATAATTTAAATGTTGAACGTGAAAAAGATGAGGATGTAAGCGCTAGTTTTAAACCAGAACAAGGTAGCAAAATACTACAAAAGCAATTAACCCACTTTGGCTGCCTGCTGGAGTAAGGGCTGAAGTTCTGACACTGCTTTACGAACACGTCCACATTGATCAAACACTTCTCTAGGAGCACTCAGCACCACCGATGCATGTGGTTCCGCATAAACCATATTGCAGAGAGTAAAGCAATCTTGTAGTCTATTGTATCAGAAAACGGATGAGTTTATCAACTTTTATGTAATAAGCATTTTAACAAGATAACCCATTAAAAATCTCACAGTATATCTGTACAAGACGATATAGAGGGGATAGCATTCCCAAAACGGCACATCAATTGAACGTGTTTTTGATGTAGAGCCTTTAATCTTTTTAGCAGTGCATTGGTAGACGTCATGACTGTGTTGCGATGCGTAGCTGTATCCACAAGATCTGTTTGTAAAAGCGAAGCATCAAATGAAGTGGTGAGAGGAATTAATTTGTTAAAAGCCACAGCCATACGATCGTGATCAGCAATGTAATACGGCGAGGGTTGTTGCTCGGCAAACACTGGATTTTCAAGAAACTCCTACAAACATGGCAAAACATTTGTAAGACAATAATCAAACCATAGAGTTTGTTAATAGCAAAAGTTCATACTAAAACTGATTTAGTAGATGCCGCAATATGCTCCAGACGTCCCAGCAATGCATTTATGGCTTCTTGTCTTGTTTTAATTTTTACAGCTTCCGAGTTCAACAAAATCGATACAAGTTGATTTTGAGCAAACCGACGCTCCATTCTCTGCATCAACTATATAAAATAAGAAATTACTACTATTAGTCCCCAAAATCAGCATCGTCAATGCATTTAAACATATTTTATACCTGTTGCATTTGATCAACCATTGAGTCTATCTGTACCATTTTGTTTTGGTACAATACATTGTAAAATCTAGATTCAATACGTGTTGCTGCTTCTGTCCATAGCTGCTCCAGTACATTTATTCTGAGTTTTTTCAGCTCACTTTGCTCTTGGTCAAGAGAGGATAATAAGTCAGTCGACAAAACATCAGAGGTAGTGAATGGATGCTCCAAAGAGCTGCAACGAGACAAGTATTCGAGCTTGCTAGTCAGAAAAGTGAATCGTATTAATGCTGCAAAATGGCGTCGATGTGAAAGTGGCTCACTAAACAATACTAGTTTGCATTAACACTATATGCCAAGCTACAAGTAATCAATCAAACATTTGTAGATGAATTCATCCACCCAGCATTTAAAAAATACTTGCATGCATTTTAATCGTTTAATCTCTTGTATTGCCCAAGAAGGTAGGAAATGTTCTCCGTGGTGCACATGGGTTTTCTGACAGCGATCTGCCTAAATATATGAATAAAGTGTAATGTAAATGATATATCAGCTTAAAATCAAGGTGAATTTACTTTTTGATGCGTGCAACTGTAATGCATCAAACTTACCCATTCCAGTGGGGCTTCCAAAACTTTTTGCTGTTTATCAAACACATCTTTCAATTTTTCAGCATGGTGAACCAGCATATTTTCTTAAATAGTGTCAATTAAATTTAAAATTACATTAATCAGTCTATTTTTAGTAGAATAGGTAGTGTAAAGCTCGACCAAAATACTTTTACTAGATCAATACTTACCTGAAGTTGGTAAATCACTATGTACATCCAAAACACTTAAAATGCTTTTCACGCACTGATCAACTGCCAGGTCCAGCTAAAATAGGTTTTGATAGACAGTGCTGCATGTATTTAGCAACTTGTCACAAAAAGGTAATCGGCTGATGACACCCAGCAATACCTTGGCAGATGCATTGACAATACGGTCATTTTGAAGGTTGAGCTGATAGTTTACAGAATCTTGAACACGTTCAAGTCTATCCCGTTTTAGTATTATTTCTTGATGAGCAGATCTAAGTAAATTGATATCAATGAAAGATGCGAATTTTAATGTCAGCAACAGTTATGGTAAGCATAGGCACACTGATAACGCCGTAATACTTGCACTATATATTTGCGCTGTGCCTTGATCAGGTTTAAATGCTTCTGTAAGCTCTCCGAGTTGGTTTCTAATAAACTAACCTGTGATCTGATTTTAATAGGAATTGGAGTTAGGCATCTTACAAGCATGACAGATATTTAAGCCATGTATAAATCAAGGCCACATACTTGATGTGCTCAATTTGAGCTGGGCTTGAATAGACCGCTTCAGGCCGAGTATATTCTCGTCTAGATTCACTTGAATGATCGTCCTTTTCCCACTACAAACCAATTAAATGGTTTATTTACAAGGTCAATACAATATCAAAAAGTACAAATCTCGAAAACAATAAAATCAACTTTGAACACTTACGGATTCGTAATCTATTCCACTGGCCTGCAACGATTCCCATCTAAATAAAAACAGCCAGAATACAACATTAGAGTGTCAACCCATCATGGAATTCCAATAAACAAATCCTCAAAAGTTGATGGTTTCAACATACAATAATGCTTCTTCTTCCGACAAAACATCAAAGCCTCCAATATATTCCAGTTTAGTGGTGGGAAGTAAATGCGCATCGCTACCAATATGCTGTAATTCTCTGTCAATCTCCGTCATAGTAGTCATGGATGGATCTGAGTTCAAGTGAATACGGTAATGAGAGTTCAATGTATCCGATAGCCAATCAACAAACGAATGTGTTGAATCCAATTGAAAAGTCCATTGTAATTGTTTGGCCAGCTCAGTAGCAGTATTATTAGAAATAGTATCAATAGGAGTTGAAGAATAACCCAAATCAATCAAGATCTGAGCAAGACGCAACTCTTTTGAAGATGGCTGAGGATGTGGAGCACAAAACAAGTTCTCGTTATTATCCATGGAAACATCATCATGCAGCATAGTGAATATCAGTTACAAATATTCACAATCTCGGCAGCTGCAATTCGACTTTGAATTCAAACTTTCACATAAATTCATTCAGTCACGTGAGCATGGATGCTTCACTTGTTATAACCGCCCACTTTAGTCAAAACATTCAATGAATTGTGTTGTATTTATATATTGAAAACTATCGTATTGACTTGGCCAAATATTCATCCAGATTTGAGAAACGATGCTGCTGGCCCAAATTCATCATAGTCGGCTCGTGTCAAATACATTGCACCGCTACTGGTAAACACGAGCTATGGATTCACATTAGCATTACTCCAGCTGTGTACAATTCTTTACATTGAACTGTAATAGTTTAAACAAAATCATACCTTGGCAGTAATAGATCCTCCTAAAAAGGCCGCATCACATGAACGATCCTTGAATTCAACAAAATAATCGGGAAGTTTGATCCATTTTACATCTTTTGCCTGATACTCGCTCGAAGTCTCTGATGCTGCTAAAAGCACCGCAAGTTCACTTTCAATGCGATCCTTTATACCTATGTACAGTTGAATGAGTATCGTCATTGTTTATTTACTCATCACAGATCCAATATCGTCATATAATGTGAAAATATGTAGATTTACCTCTAATGAGACTGCAGCCGCCAACCAAAAGAATATTCTCCCATAAAAATAACCGTTTTTCTGGCTCGCATGAATTACTAACAACCAAATGCATGGCATCATGGATTCCAGGTACATCCTTTCCAATTAATTCTGGCTTGAACAACACATCAATGGCCCGAAATCCCCAAGACCCAATATCGATCTAAAGCAAATAACAGTCAGCACTTTGATGGATTAAAAGGCAAGTGGTCATGCGTGTCAATCAAGACTTGTTTAACCAAACTGAATATACGGATAAGTTCATGTCTAACCTTTTGGCCCTTGAAATCAAACTCTGCATTTGGCTGCTCAATACCAGACAGGCTAGGTGCAAAAAACGCTGGGGACTGGATAAATGCACGAGCAAGATCTCTTCCAATATACTTGCCATATGAAGCAACAAACTTTTCGTCGCCATTCATCAACTGAACCAAGTATGTTTCAATGTCCTGTCCGCCAACAGCAATAGTAACACTTGCAGAATATACCGCAACATTTTCAAATACTGGAGAAATATCTATTCCAGATTTTAAAATAATGTTAGATTTCGCGAAAGCACACATCCTACAATTACTGACAGAGCATGCCAAAATATACCTGTGGTAGTGTGACCAATATCCACAACTAGACCAGATGTGACACCCGCTCCGTATAAAGCAGCAACAGGTTGGTCCAACAAAAACATTCCAGGTACATTAATGTACTCGAACAAGATCCGAGTTGCACGCTCCTGATCGCTACGAGACCAAGATACAGGAACAGTCAGTAGCACTGGATTGATATTTGTAGCTCTCTCTACTCCACAATGATTTACTAGAATCTTTCTCCTACAATCAAGATCGCCATTACAAGACTAGGTTCAGCACATTGCTTTCAAAAACTCGATTGATGAATATTTCAATAACGTTGTGGCAAATATATCATCACTTTCAGCCAGATGTCAATAGTAATGGGAATTGAACTCTACAGTACACCAGTAAATGTCACTTACCATAAAACCTGAAGTGCATCCCAATCTGCAACTTGTCCGTTTTGTATGGGTTGAACCCAGGCACTGGATGCATGATCAGAAGCAGATCCTTTTCCACTCTCATTGGCATCATGCCGAGTATTTACCCTGAGTTCATCTGCAACAGCAGCTGGACTTACTGTAGTAGTTGCAGTATTGGCTACAACTGCATGGGATGGTGAATCCACCATCATATCAGTCGCATCTGTGTCTTGAGCTGTTTGTTCAGTAAGCAGCAATTCTTTTGATGCAGTTTGAGTTTCTAGTAGTGCTTCCCTTTGAGCAATCTCCTGAGCCTCTAGTTCAGCAGCTAATTCCTTATCCGATATACGAGATATCGCCGTCTTTAAATCCAACAGGCCATCATATAACCACACAAAAATAAGTAAATGCAAGTGATATCGTAACTAAATTGCAATGACAATAGTAATACTGATGTCACAATCAAATGACTTACCAGAGCAGGAGGGTTCTGATAGTCTGCGAGTCCGGCACGAGTGTAAAGACTTCCTGGATCAATGACCAGTAAATTGGCTTCTCTGGGATGGAATGTTGTTGTCATCTAAAAGAAATACTGAGTAAAAATAATAGTAAGTAATGTCCAATATGAATAGCAAGAATTAGACTCAGCAGTCGATGAATGAGATGCAACACACTTCAATAGTACGTCAAGCGACTTGATTTTTGAATATTGGCAAAAATTTACAATTTTATCAAACATGAATTAGTTATTCATGAATTTGGCATCGTTTCTAGACTCGAAAATATAAAATGTAGAATTGATTTCATTCACTTGAAGATATGCAATTGAATTTGTATTCCATTTATAAACCGAGTCTGCCATCAAATACCAATTCCATTTGGCACATGATTGTTACTACAGATTGTACAATCCTAAAAATAAATCAAACTGTATTTCAGTTATCTTGAAATGCATTCAAAATAGTTCAACTATTCGCTTTTATCATTTGCTCACCACTTGTACTCGAGTCTGATTCGGTTATATATACATTACTCCAACTATCATTCATCCGATACATGGTATTTGCATTTTAGTTTATTGATCATTATTAAATACATATTCCTCCATAACCGTATCCTGTCAGATACGCATATCCAATCATTGCTGCCATGATTTGAATTGCTATCCATCGCATAAACTTTGGATTTCCACTAGCCATAATAGTTTCAACATATCCATTCACAATTCAATCAACAAATCAGTAATCAATATACTCACAATACAAGTAACTTTAGTGTATATCAGTGTCAATACTTACATGATATACAGATCCAGCAGCATCGATGCTATAATAGTGTTGAGAGCAACCATTCGAACCGATTCGGGGAAACAAATCAACGATGCAGTCCCAACCTGAAAATCATCAATATATAAACAATATGATTGACTCACAATAGTATGTCAAAGTATCAGTGATATACCTTGGCTATAATCCATAACCCAACATGGATCGTCGTGGGTGATTGTAATGATGGATTTACACGTGTGATGTCATTCAGTCCAACTGGCGGTATCGCTGCATGATTTGGCTCAGACACGGTTTGTAGTAACTAAATATTTGATAATGGATTGATACATTGACTCGAATACAACCCATACTCTACTGCAACTTCTGATACAGTTGTATTCATCAATCTGTTACCTTTGTTACCTCTGTTACCTCGGCTACTTTTGTTATGTCTGGAACATTGACGAAATTTTGACTTTCATTGACGGCATCACATTGAAGATCACCGTGATGAGCAGATAACCGAGGCATGATAGAATTCCTGCGACCAGACTGAGTCTCGTCTTCTGCTGGCATATTTTCTTGTTCATATCGTCTCAAAATATCATCGACAGTAGGTCTTGCATCTGGATCGGTTTTCATCAATCGGCATATCAGTTGCTTTAGATCTTCTGGAACGCGATTGCCACTTTCTGGAAACCGGACTCTGCTCCATCACAAAACACACATTTCAGTATATATGCAACCATCATTGTCAGTGCAGCTATACCTACGACTTGAAGCTTATAATGTCTTCTTTGAGTTGGTCCACATCATCTACTTGTACATATGGCACCGATGAGTAACAGAGATAGTATAGAACAACACCCAATGACCATATATCTGCTTTGAGCGAGTGGTTGGGTAAATACTGTCCACAAACGTCCTTATGCAACAGTTCCTGTTATATACAGCCACGATATTAGCGTATCAGTTGATCAGTTGATCAAACCATGTATACTATGCAAACTCAAACCCAAACACTAAAATCGCATACCGGAGGCATAAACTCGAGTGTTCCTGTTGCTCCGGTTCGTTCACGCTCCATTGCATCGGATATGACTTCGCATTCGCCAAAATCGGATATAAGCACCCGCGGACTATTCAAAGCCAACCAGTTGTTAGTGACCAGTATGGTTTCGCATATGTGGAGTATACAACCTACATTCCATTTCGATGCTCGTCTGCATATCGTAGCAGTAAGTTTGGAGGCTTTAGATCTCTGTGGATGATTCCGTGTCGATGCAGATGCTCCAGTCCATGACAAATATCCAAAAACAGACTCCGTATCACTTTTTCGGTCAAATATCTCACTTTTTTGCCATCCAACCCAACACCAATTCCACCGTGAATAAACGTGCTGGCATCATCACTCGTGTCTCGGGTTTGACCAATCTGCTGCGATGCCAAATCTGACAATGATTGTGGTGGCCACGTATGTGTGCTTTCGTTGTGCTCTGTATCATTCCAGTCCAAATTACTAGAACTCATGGCAGAAGCCAATGACTCACTCCGTCCTGGTGGACTCGAGCCAATTGAGCGTCGGAATCGTCTTGCAGCAACTTTGGCCTTGAATGACATTTTTTGTTTGTGATTTGTTTCATTTTCCTTGCTCTTGTCATCGCACGACATAGGATCCCATTGTATATGTAAATATTCTTCCAAACTTCCTCCATTTGCAAGTTCCATAAGAATAAACAGACACGGGATCGAAGGTCCAAAAAGCGTGAGCTGGCGGTACTCGAGCCAGGCATGCTTGTATTCAATGATATTGATGTGTTTCAAACGTTCAAGAAGATGAACTTCTTTGAGCATTCGGACAAGCCATGTATGCGAAGTGCCTACTGGGATGGCTTTGACAGCAAATTGACCCAGTGGAACTTTATCCAGTACCTGATTTGTTGGTGATGCATATCCAATCATCACGGTCAGCCATCAATATCAAGCACCCCATTATATTTACAGTCCGACACGATTATATCTAAACACCAAATCAAATCAAACTAAATCAAATCTATATATGTGTAATCTTACATGCTGACAAAGAAACACACTCCCACGCTGTCCACGACCCAGTTTCTTTTCCTCGACAAAAAACCGATCGTAATATCCCTGGTTGAAACTGTCGCTATTTAAATGACTTGATTTTTGTCGCTGCATTCCAATCCCATTGATTGATTCTGTATTGTCCAAACCTGAAATTGAAGATGCGGGAAAAGCAGAACTAGAAAACGGGATATCATCTGCTGTAAATGCCGGTGTATTCGATATCGACAGATTGGGTTTTGCCAATCTTGGAATAGGTTGAATAGATTGTCTTGTCATGACACGAGTTGGAGGTTCAATTGCTGGTCGATCTAGTCGTGATAGCATCCAGAAATAGTCGGCATCGATAAACGACTTGTCTGATGATGATGGATCGGTGTATTGTGTTTGTGATCCAGAACCTGGCGGTCGTTGAGTGTTGGATATATTGTGTTGAAGTGGTTGTCTGCACAAGGGACAAGTGGATACATCAGAACTTCTACCATCAACCGCGCGATGAGTAGGTCCAGGCTCCATACCATTACCGCTGGTATCTTCAGCAGTGGAATCAAAAAACGATTGTCGATGCATCTATGCAGGAAATAGTCGACAGATTCAATCAACGAGTTAGTTTAAATCTGGTGATGCACAACCACTACAGACAAATGGAGTCGTTCATTGCATGTCGATTATCACACGATCTCAATCCATTCATCATATAAATGTCCATTATTGTACTGTCATACGGTATCAACACTTGCAGCGAGTACCTGTTGCTCTCGTGGAACCAACTGCAATGACTTTACTGTAACAGTGTGCGATTCTTTGTCGTATAGAACCAACTGTCTGGTTTCGTTATTGCGCAGTACAATACTCCATGACTGCGGATATACCATTTCATGGCCACCAGTGTCATTGTGGCCATTGCTATTATCTGTTGTTATCTTCATATCTGCTAACTGTTCTGGAATAAAATGTCAAATTTTGGTGATTTTAATTGGTCAAATTTGCAATATGCCAAATTTGCCCATAAACTTGCAACCAAAATTGCTTGAACCAACCAGCCAAAAAGTCTTGCAATCTGGCAAAGTTTATTATCAAAGTCCATCATTTCAATCTGCTAAACACATGGAGTTACATGGAAACACACGGAAACACATGACAAAACTCAAGGTCAGTAGACTGAATAGACAATCAAATCAATCTGCCACACTCTAAAAACACTTGTGTTCAAGAGTCATATCGCTCTGAGGTGCAAGACCAATGCATGCACGCAAAATATTCTCAATCGCAGATCGCTGTTTCGAAAGCGCATTCACAACAGGCGTTCCATTAGGAACCACTGGTGCCTTGAGCATGTACGACAGCACGGACAGAACTGAATGGAAAGGAACATAGTCGGCGGTTTCTTCAGTCTTGTACTCAATCCGAGTGAACAGCTCAGTCAGCAAAGCCAAGTCCAGGATCAACGGAGAGGCAAGTAGGGAATCCTCACAAACATTGTAGATCGAAATCGTGCTTTTGCCACTTTTTAAATCAACTTAAAGTTAATACCATCACATGTGCATTTCTATATACTCTGCACGTAATACATTGGCTTACCCCATGAAAATCTCGCTCACATATTCATCCAAAGCACGCTTGCTGTCGCCTACGGCAGGACAGTATTTGATCACAACAATATGGTCAGGCTTTTCCCCATTCTTGTACAAAAGATGGTTGGCATCCACCATGTCATCAACAACATTGCTCTTGGAAATCTCTTTACTGCGAAACTGCTGTGGTGCTGACAGATTCATTCCATCGTTGTTACCAAGATGGTTGTAACTGGTAATGGCAACCGGCTTGATGCCTGCATTGACAAGAAAATCCACCAGAACTGACTTGATCTTGGTTTGCCCACTCTTAAAGTCATCACCACCAATAAACACATGCTTGCGCTCAGCAAGCTGCATCACACCAGGCACAAATGTGTTTTGGGGCGATCCATTGATAAAAGGTGACCCTTCAAGAATCGACGCAAGTGCAAAAATAGTGGACGGTGCAATTTCCGAATGGCCGGTCTTGACTGCATTCAACAGATTGTCGGCAGTGTCATTGACGTTGGGGAGAATATCGGAAAATCGCTCAGTGTTGGCAGTCCACAAAACAATCACACGATCCAAATCATTCTTCTGTTTAAAGTCACGAATGTCCGAGCGAATCTGGTCCAGCTGTTGCTGTTTTGTTCCAGAAAGAACATTGTCGGCTCTGTCCTTTTGGTTGGCAGCAATATAGTCTGGATAGTAGATCGAAGGAAGTGGTTTGAGTGCAGACATTTCATCACGCAACTGCTGTTGCAGATCCCAGTCTAAAACCTTGGCACGTTCCATAGACTCGGCCATGTTGGCTGAAGAAATATCCCAGCCACCAAGAACAATGTCGTTGGGATTGACCATGGGAAGAAGGGCCGAAAACGGCACATGCACGTCCTTGGAAGTGGCCGAATCAACACCAATCTTGACGGTCGAAGCTTGAAATACCGATCCGTAGTAGTTGGAGTGCTGGATTCCTTCTTTGGTATGCCAGGATAAGGACTTGCGATTGGCAAGAATGGATGCAGTCAAAGTAGATCCATTGTTTCCACCCCAACCAACAAGCATCAAACCCATTTTGGGCAACTTTCGGCCGACCTTGAATGCGTAGTGCTTTTCCACAGGCATCACAGAAATGTTGCCTGTCAAAGGATCGGTTGTAACCGAAGCATCTCGATAGACGTAGTTGGACAGAATGTGATCAGGAGTGTACCTCACATTCGGAGAGTGAACAGTAATGGATGGCGTACTGCTATTAGCAACACCATTGGCAGCATGGTTGGTAACACCATTTGGTGTTGCGGAAGAGAAACTCGACTCTTCTTTGGCAATAACTGGAGTCATTTGAATGAATTGAAAACTTATGCGGATTTCTTTGGCTTTGGAGTAGTACGCCTGGATCCTCTATGTGTGTTGTGCGATGAGAAGAGTTGGTTGGAAACTAACTCGATAATAAATGATGATTAATACAACGTCAATGCATACATGAATATCCAGCATCAATTGATAACATACAAATGGTGGACTAAATTCAGTAAACCCAGCTAGTTGATTAGTAGTCAGTTCAATGGTAATGATAACCCAATAGTAGTCAGTTCAATGGTAATGATAATCCAATAGTAGTTTCAGCAAGATTCCAATTTGGATATTTTTGTTGAAACCAAAAAGCAGTTTTCCAGCCACTTTTACAGTGGATTGGACCACGTGCGCAATGTTGAATTGACGCCAAATTGTCAGTCGTGTTCACGCAGTGGAATTTGTATTTATCCTGCAACGATTGTCTTTGGAACAAAATGGTCAAATCTTCAAGTTTGTTACTGCAAACCGACAATTGGAATTGTCAATAAACAATCTTTGTTATATTCAACTTTTTATTACATTGACTCTTGATTTATTTTACTTGGATACGCTAGTGAAACACTTGTCAACCAATACCACTGTTGGAACTGTCACCAAATCTGTCGATATACCAAAAATCTCGCCAACCAATTTGGTTCCCAGTCCAAGACTTACACATCCTTTGACATGTTCAGCCTTTTTACCTTGACTACCCGTGGACAAACTTCCATCTTCAGCAACATTGAATTTGATATCCGCACGATTGTCCAGTTTAAGTGATGTATGCAGCAAATCACTTCCAAATACTTTGGCAACAACGGCAATCTTGGGAATAAGCGATATGCTTATTTTAGCATCAATCATAAGGTGCGAATCAGATGACATGGTGTAGATGGGCGTGAAACCGCTAATGTCTTTGGGTGCTGCACTTGATACAAACGCTCTAAAGTTGGGGACAGATGCAGTCATATTTACTTGAACATGAGTGTCAGTCAAGATGGCGGAATTGGCGCGTGCATTAAGCATCACATCGGGCCCAAGGATAAGGACACCTGGAATGTTGATTGGAGTGAGTGGGTATTCTATAATAGTAACCTCAGAAGACTGGACGTTGGCTTGAACATCTAGTTTAAATTGAATATTGGCCTCCATTTCAACATGGCCAGTCCATTCAACTGACATTTCGGGTTTTTCAAAGAGTTTTCCAAACGAACGGAAAATAACAGCAGAAACTCCGTGAATACCACAAGGAAAACACCCAGCGTTTAGTATGCCAACATTTCCAAGCGGAAGATTGACATCTTTGTTAATACTCATATCCACATTAAGTGGGATGATCTAGACATTTTTAAACATGAGCATATATACATTTCAATTAGATTTCAGAAATTCAACTAATCATATCCAAAATCATATAATAGTGATCATCAACTTACAAAAGAATTGTTGTAAGGCGTACCAAAATCAACTGCACCGTGTCCGACACGATCCAAATTGGCCATAGGATACATGTTTGTAGATTTTGTAGGTATGCTCTGACGATCTTGTGCGACAGGAACGGCAAACATTTCAAACGCACCAGTTACTCCGGCCGATTTGGGATCAACAGTAACAAATTTGATGGATTTTTTGGCGGCATTTACTGTCATTTTAGTAGCCAAGCGCAATACAAACTCATTAGATCCGTCAATGCCACATCCATGAATCGATGCAATAATCAACAGAACCTTGGAATTGGACCAGAGCTCAATGTCTTTGATAGAGCTAAACTTGACTACAACAGAATTTTTAGTGCAGCTGACGGATTTCATTGTAGGAACATTGTTGAGATTGACAGATGGAACAGAGGCAGTGATGCGCATTCCAGCGAGAATGGTAGATGATTGGCCGCGAGTAGGATCATACCAGTGGACAATGGAATCTACTGAGGGTTTATTGTCTGGATGGTATGGTTCCATGCGGGCTGCAGGCGGCATAGGCCGATTGAGTTTGGCCATGATGTCATCATGGTGCTGCGTATCAAGTTTATTTGATTGAGCAGGAATCGCGGTGCCAGCTACAACTGTAGTGCACGCTACAAGAAAGGTAATCAAGCAAATCATAATAGTCTTTGAATAGTTTGTAACCAGTAGGGTGAAATATCAAAACGTGGGTTTGAGCGATTGCACCTTTGCCGGATGTGTCTAGATTCCATTCATCTACTCTTTGCTTTATAGTATATGCTAGTCTGCACGTGAAGTTGTGATTGGTGATAAAAACAAGCATGTGGTAATGTTTTATCTATAAGCACTAGGGAACTTAATTTAGCAAGTAGAAATGTCAGTGAATTAAGTAGCAGATAGATCCATATATCTGGATTTGCAATAGCATAGGCAAAACCACACTGAAAAACAAGTGCTCAGCATAATATATGCCTTTAGCCACTCTCCTTCAAAAAGGCCAATACCTAGTTTATCCAGTCTGGCTAATAGAAAAATTTAGATCTGTTGAATGTATTACAAACACAACTGAGTCTATTGAAGCCAAGCATATTTACTACAAGACATTAACTTTTAGCCAATCAAGTAATGTCCTTGCTGCATGTTTCATTAATTCAAGCCATGTCAACACACTGCACATCCACGTGCTCATCTACATCAGTTTTCAAGATGACCCTGAAGCTGCACCGACTATAGCTCTTGACTCATTACTTGTAGCTAATTTTTATTCCGAGCTTTTAAAATGATTGGATTAAATATGGACTAGGCATTTTGTAGATGGATTTGTATAGTAAACCGATTTATATAAAACAATAGCTTGGTGCAGTACAAGTAGATATGCTATCCTAATCATGGATTTAGACTTTGACAATGGTATGGAATGCAAATACTGTAAAGATTTTAACAAGGTTATAGCAAAACAAAATATCAAATGCAATTGCAATTGCCATAGTGTAACCAGGAATAATTCATAATTTTATGTATGAAATTCAAGCTTGGCTGATAAGCTTGAGCATTTCAAAAGCGTAGCCAAACACAAATTCATTGTGTGGTTGGATTTGATGCTGTTTTGTAAGTATTGGTAGATTGTTGATTAGAATGGCGGGATCATCTATTGCTCGTGTATCCTATACTATGACAACAATCTGACTTGTTGACACGGTCAGTTTTCTGCTCCTGTCGATTCAATACAGTACATCACTCATTTGATCTTGCTTTGACACAAACTCTAGCGATCTGTCTACATCTAGTATGTATGCCAACCTAGAACAACCGTGTAGTTTTACAAATGGAGAATTCATTTTGAAAAGCTGTTTGAGCTGTTTGTTTGATGCTATCAGAGTGTTCCGTGCAGTCCATTCTCCAATAACAATAAATATTTAAGGATTGTTTATTCTGGAGCAAAGTAGAGCCATTACAAGATCAATACAGAAAAGTGCTCATTTTACGTGAATATGGCTGTAAAATTTCTTCCCGTTCTCATTCCTTTTGTCGCTAGTTGCCAACACGAACTTTACTTGGACATAGTTTCGTGCCATACAATTAGAATTCAAGAAATGGCAGAAGTAAGAGTAATAGAGCAAGCATAGTCTGCTTTATCAACACTAGTCAAGAAATATGAATTATATAATTGGAGCCGCGACTAATACAATATATTTAATGTATGATTACTGCAACTAACTATAGAATGATGCTCGCCCCCAGCCCCAAAAGATACTTTCGCTCTTTTCAAAAATATCAAAAAAGTTTTCATCATCATCTACAGCAATAGGCACCAGCAGTATAGCAAGCGCAACAGAATCGATGCCATCATCTTTTTTATCGCTAAAAACTCCGACTCAGGAGAATACAGTAAATACCAACTCTGAGTCGAGTAGTCGAGTAGTTTTGGGTGGAAGCAGCCAGGTTCTTGGTGCGAAAGACGTGTCGTTGACCAAGGCGCTTGATGGGAGCAATGATAAGCCATCGTTTAATACACCAAGGACACAGACCAACAAGATTTTGAATGCTTTTGCAAGTACTTCTTCAGTTGATACTCATCGCGACAATATTCTTAGCCAAAGTGATGGGTATCAGCGGTTTAAGCTTCAGTCTAATTCAGCCGTTGGTCCATCATTAGAAAACATGAAAAATAAATCATACACTGCGTCAGAACTACGGATACTAAATGAAAAGGATGGCTCAGGTGAGAATAGCGCAACCAATCAATCACTTCAATGCTCTGGGGAGGATGACTTGCTCTCTCAAGTAAACAAAGTGTCACAATCTACTGATGAGCTAGAAAAAGTATATAGCACTTTGATTGCAAGTCGTAAAAGCAGTAATGATTTTGGGGAAATGCATCATACAAGCGAAGGATTTGTTCAACCTTTGGCATCGCTAAGCGGATCAATTTCACGACCATCGGCAAGCACCTCAGACTTGCATGTAAAGAAAGATACCCAGCAAGTGATAGCACCAGCTATTTCGATACAAAAAACAAATTCTGCTAAATTACAAGTCTTATCAAAAAGTATTTCTGAAGTTTCTCATAATGCCAAGCAACCAATAGGTAAATATGTCGTGAATTCATTGCGATTATAATGGATTTCAAATAATATTTCAATGCAACGATTTGAGCTATAAATTATGGTTGAATTCGTACTAAATTTATCTTAATATGTTCAAGAATCCTCACGAGCCAGATCGAATGCGCAGCTAAAACCATTCCAAACTGACTCGCAGCAAAACCATCCATCACAATTATTGAATACTCGTACAGTATCGCCAATACTCACTACACCAACACAGTTTATTGGAAAAGCCACCATATCTCGTTTTGGCACAAACCCAGCATTGCAATCTAAACAAACGCCGACAGAATTGGATAAAACTAAAACTTTTACAGATGCATCTCAGTCAAAATTGATTGCCAAAGCATCTTTGCTCAGTTCGGTATCAAATGTGCCAGAATCGTGCACACCGGGGCTATTGATTAAACCTACCAAATCCGGTTCAAATCTCACCCAAGGATCAAACAATGCCTCGAAAACATCTGTTGCCAATTTTGTACAGCAAAAATCAAGTACAAGCTCAATACAATTAGAACTGAATGTACAAAGATCCGACTCAAATTTGGTATCTGCGGGTGGTCAACAACAGCCCATACCATCCTTGATATCACAAACTCTCGAGCGGCATATATCGCCACACACCTCAATTACAAAAGATACCAACCCGGCCATTACCGATTTTCAAAAAGAAACCTATATGGCATCCCCACCACTCGTTAAATCCGAGTCGTCAGCATCTTTGAATATGTCCTCGCGTGTTCCGTACACGAGTGTAGATGCAGTATCAACTGGCCCAACTACGCCAGCATGTATTAGTGCAAATAATTCCATTACAGCCCTCAGTGATACTAGATCTCGCTCAACCTCAATATCAACTAAATCACACGAAGCTGCTGGGGAAGATTTACTGGAAAGACTGCGTATGACAGTTGGAGCTAAACTCCGGAGTCAAAGTTCACAACAGACTATGCAAACCACAGTAAATTCTTTGCTTATAGATACCAAGAAAGAATTGCCAAACAATGGATATCGATTGCGTGCGCAAACGTGGTCTATCAAACCAAACGGTGATGCAAACTACAAAAGCAATGATGCTGTATCTGGATCAGCTGACAAAAGCTCTCTCAGATCGCCTACATCTCCAATATCAAGATACAATGGAGAGTTTTTGACCAATAAAACTACCCTACTTCGAGGCACAACACTGGCGCAGATGCGTATAAACCAGCCGATGATAGGATCAAGGTCTGCTTCTAAACCGACTTTTGATCTTGGAAAGAATTTTCAGCGTACGGACGCCTTTTCTGGATTTTCAGCCATTGGAAACACTCCAGGTACGAGTTCTGGATCGGATGAAAGCTTTGAATCTGGATCACGCATGATAAATTTTCAAGGTATACCATCTTTAAATAAAAGTGGAAATACACCTCCACGATCACCGTTTGCTCAATCGAATGTATCAACTACATCTGCCACAGTGCTAGGTCAGGGTGGGGTTTCAAAAGGAGTTTTGGCTGGCTCAAACCTTACAGGACGCCCACATAGCACTTCATTAAGTGCTGGATCCAGCACTCTGTCCAATGTTCATAGTATTCAACAACGACCAAGAGGATACTCATATGCATCGTCAGCAAGCCCAATGAATTCAATGAATCCAGTAAATGCGCTGCAGCAGCCATCTGTTCTATTTCAGCAGCCTCTTGATCAGCATGGATCGCGTATTAACGTGGCGAATACATCTATGCCTACCAGTTACTTGGGAACTTCTATGCAATCCAACCCCGTTTCACCATTTGATAGATTGGCTAAAAACGAAGTAGGGTCACAGTTCAACTCGACAGTATCTCTTCCATTCAAAAACACAAGAGCAAGAAGTCATACAACGGCAGCATCATATACATCTAACGATGCTGCAGCAAATCTTGAACCTGATCATACACGTTTGTTATCTGAATCAAGTACATACCCACACCAAAAATCGAGTTTTGCTCAGGATGTACAATCCATGGCGTATTCGTTTCATCATCAAAAACATATAAAGTCACAGCTAGCTGTTCCGGAGCAGAGATCTTCACCAGGGACAAATCTTACTACGCAAATGTTGTATTCAAATTTGACAGGAGCGGGAAGAGTGCCGTTAAAAAGAGGAATGTCTACACCTCAGCATTCGCATGCGGCAGCACTTGAGCCCATTTTATCACAACCATCAAGTCCATCTGGATCGTCTGTCGCCCTTATGAGACAGTCTAGTGCGCGAAACAGTACATGTAGCGACAGATTTAATAATTTAGACAGCTGTACGCCAGAAACAGGTTTACCTAAAACGCACAAAACGCGACTAGAACGTGGTGATTATAAAAACGCTGATTCAAGTGATGACATGCCAAACAGAAATGCATCAGCACCAATTCCTGCAAGTGCTGATCTTTCTAATTCACAAAATAATGCATCAGGTCACAAAACTGCTACAAATATCACTGACAAACTCAATCTTGATCACCCCTTGTCTAAATCCAACTTGGCTTTTTCATACCGCATAGATGATCAAGCTACTGGTGAATCAAGCCAGGAAAAAGACGACCGAAAACTAGCTTTTTCACAGCGATTCAAAAGTGATTCGGTATCTTCACGACCAACTTTGGATTATTTGGATTCTCGACAAGCTGGTTTACCACAAAACGCATCCCAAGCCATGTCTAATTCTATTAATGGTATTAGCCATTCTAACAATTTCCGCGGAGCACATAGCAACGGGATGCACCAAGATAATCTAGATAACAGGTCCTCTGTAGCATCCGAATACGATTCAGATACGGATCCAATATTTGATGAAGATTCGGGTTTGGTTCGATGTTTCAAAAGATCCGAAAGCGGTATGTGCGTATTAGAGCAAGGATGGGACAGTGAAGGTAAAGCGTTTGAAATGCATGTATTGATCCTGATGGTTTCACCTATTTGCATTTTTTGAATTCTAAATCATGTTACACCCAATTAAATATCAATAGTTTATGCAGATCCTAGATATAATATCTGGCGTAGAGCAGTCCTGGAAATTCTCCAGCAACAGACGGACTTTCCATTAATTATGCCGACAGATCTTTTTGCTGCTATAATGGATGATTTCATCGAACTGTAAGATCAAATAAACGCAGTGATGTAAATTAGTTTGGCCATGTAGGTGTATAGAATTGAAGTTTGCACAAATAAATTATTGCCATCATATCTTTTGTGACTCTTGCGTCGTGGCTTACTTCAGCTTTGGAGAATTAAAAATATGGCTGATATTAGGATACAAATAAAACTTGAGTCAAAATTCATTTTTTGAAGTATGAATACTCGATCAATTTAGCATGCTAATGGGTACATATATCATGTACTATTATGACTCCATATCAAAATCGGCAAAGGAAATAAACTCGGACTCTTTTACTTTGGCCATTTTCCATTTTTGACCAGCAGTTTCACTTTCCTCGTCCCTTTCTGGTTCTCCAGATTGATCTATGATTTCCATTGACATGACGCCACGGAACGTATCCTTTCGTGTAGCTATAGTTTAAAGCAATGTTTTAACGAGTCAGGGTTGGGAGCTTTAAACCAAGATGAATCACATGAAAATAGAAGAATATACCTGCATGAACAAGCACTGAGCGCACATTGACAGTCAATGCGGTCTTGGCATTAACTGGATTTAGACTAAATAATGACGCTCTAAAAACCCAAAAGATAGGTCAGCAATATTAAATACATCAAGCTCTATTAAACTGAAATCAACAATACATACAAATTGATGACATCAGCAGGGGCACGCAGTTCAAATGCATGTCTAGCTTCTGATGATAATATCACATGTTTTCCTTTGGTAATCCGTACAAGTGCGGCGGCATTTGCAATTAAATTAGCTCTAGCAGTTTGATCGCGGATTCCCTGAGAATAGCAGATTTCAAACATGATGCCACGCTGAATGGCAGAATTTACTGTTGGATGGCGGAGGAAAAATGGAAGACGAGTGCCCATATCTAGCGAGATGATATCAACATCAAGATTTTGACAGGCTGATTGAAACAGCTTTTCAGATGTAGGTTGAACTGATATAATATCGTATGATTTCAGAATATTATTTCCATGAGTCTATGATGATTGAGTCATGAATAAAGATTCATTTCAAAATTAGTCAGAGCGAATGACAAATAAGATTAAACATATAAACACAGATTATAAAAGCAATACTTCATACAATTGAGTAGTTATGGGATGGATTATCTAGCGAAATAGAAAGTCTAGTGAAAATATCGAATGTTTTTGATGCAATTGAATGAGGGAGAGTTTGAGCCAAAAGTGGAGGAGATACCCGAACGATAGTTGATGGATTTGCGACAGTGCGTACAAGTGCAGCACATTTTTCCTTGTCGATTGAGCACGGCTAATAAACAATATACAAAGATTAAACAAAGTTGGCTGTTATGAGATTGGAAATAAGTCATCTGTACCTTTAACTTGGCAAGGCTTTCGCTACAAGTAACAGAAATAGCAACTCCTCGATATCCAAGTCGGACAAGCATGCCCAGAACCGATTCAGAGCTCCAATCAGCTGTAAGTGAAGACTCGGGGATATTCAAATCAAACATATACTGTGAAAATGTATCAGTTCAATTAAGCAGATGTGATTAAAGAGGTCAAACTGGGTCAATGTAATTTGCAGATTTTTAAAATTTATTGCTCAACCATCTTGTATTGACGCATTTTAGATTACTAGATTGGCATGTTCAACAATTAGACACTCGTTTGCATCTTTTAATCCGTTGAATCTTACAAGCCGATCTAATTGACTATTTTGGAAGCATTAGACATCAATAGTACACATTTAAATTTTCAGCACTCGTTCTGAACTGTACGTTTATTAGTATATTGTGCCAACTTTTAAACCGACATTACATGTTCTTATTACTTCATTAGCACCTGTGATGAAGGTAGATTGTTGATTAGAATGGCGGGATCATTATTGCTCGTGTATCCTATACTATGACAACAATCTGACTTGTTGACACGGTCAGTTTTCTGCTCCTGTCGATTCAATACAGTACATCACTTATTTGATCTTGCTTTGACACAAACTCTAGCGATCTGTCTATATCTAGTATGTATGCCAACCTAGAACAACCGTGTAGTTTTACAAATGGAGAATTCATTTTAAAAAGCTGTTTGAGCTGTTGAACGAATTGGCAGTTCGATATTGGCCAATCATGTTAGAACATTAAAACTCGAATAAACCTGACACCCACGTGATCTAACAATGAACAGTTGATCAACATAATGCAGTATTGTATCTACTACATTACAACAGAGTGTAATGGGCAAAATCGCACTGTTGCGGGCCATTTCAAATACCGCTAGTTCTAGTATTATAGGATTTTGCCGAAATACCACTATTCACCGATGCTACTCGACTGTCGCATCAGATACTCCAACCTACTCGATTCATACATTCGAGAGTGACTATCCAATCGTCTTGAACGAGGACGCTACTTTCAGAGAGTCGAGATTTAACAAACAAACCAGGTCCCATGTCTCTTGGCTTGAGAAGGTGGTTTTTAGTCGGATCGAAAGGTAGCTATTTTGCTCATCTCATTGTGGCTGTTGGAGATTTGCTTGCTTCAACATACCAATTCACTTGGCATTCCATTTAAACCCAATATATAGAAATGTATCGTCATTCTTGGCAAAAGCATGGGTTAACGGCAAGATAATTGCGTCTGGTATAGATCCATCAAGCCAGGACAAGGATTCAGCATCACTTAACCCCCTCCTGGCACTTCGTTCAGATCAATTCACTGCTCTCTCAGAGTACCTTCCAGACAAATTCATAGCTGGTGCTGAACCATCCTTGCAGGCATTTCTTGAGGCTATACCAAAAGACTCGCTTCACTCATCAGCATCATCTCTAAGTCTCATGTGTAAACCCAAACTGTTCAAAGAGTTTGAATTCCATCATGATCAGCTACGCAGCTTGGGGATCACTCTTCAACTTCAGATTAATTATATCAAGAATCTAGACATGGATCAAGTATGGCTGGCATTTGGATCTAATGCAGATTTGAAATCTACATTAGATTCTGGAGAAATTGTCCAGTCGTTCAGTCCAACCCATTTCATTTCTCAAAAACCCAATTCATCCACAGTAACTATTCGAAAGGGAGCCTTTTCATATGCTATGGGTGTAGATGAGCTGGTACATGTGCAGGATCAAAATGGATCCAACTCTACCAAAAAATATTCTAGTCCAACGCCTGCAAAACTCAACTCGGTTATGGGCAGAGGATTCATGATTGGCATTGATGTGTTTGCCAATGTGAATATGACATTGAGTATGCACAAGGCGCCTATAAAGTTGGAAGAGTCTGATGAGAGTCAGGTTGAAAACAAGGAAGACGTGGATCGAACAGATGATTTACCATTGTGGAGCAGAGCTATTGAACGAGAGATGATTTTTAGATTTGAAACGGATCATGCCAAAGGGGCATTTCATCATAGCTGGAAAATTGCAGATGTTGATAATCTACTAGCATCTGAATGGGTGTGATTCGGGTGTCAGATAATAAAGCACTTGTTGCGCAATAGAATACATCGATTGTTTAACCTTTTAAACTATTCTAATGGCATCAAGTAAAATCAATCGTCTGTTTCACTGCAGTATTCATGTAAACGGAACACTAAATAAGTATAATGGTTGCATTTTGGAACATGAGAATGGAGAGATAAAATGAAAAATTATCAACCATTACCATCAGTGTATCATGTTTTTGGAAGCTACTTACGTAAATTGTATTCAACCACACTTTTGTATGCTCAAGCCTCGTTGTTACTTTGCGACTCACTGCCAAATACATGGTGTTTTTTAGAGTTTGGAGATGAGGTTTTGGGAATCGAGGTTTACATTGTGGGCTGCAAGTTCGCGTCGTCATCTTTATTAGTGGTCCAATCTTGGCCGTTTATAGCTGCCAACGTTGTCCTACAACACCGCTGTAGTATACTTTATCACAAATAGTGTGACATGACTATCCAAGCTTCAATATCGAGCTTGCGACACTAACAAAAGATGCATTTCGTGACCTTGACCATTTATGAGTGTCAATGATTCATCGAGTAAAGTGGTTTCTGCCTGTACTGTGCATATATCAAGTGAATCTGTTGCCAAAATGCTGTCAGTTTAGTGGAATCGAGTTGTTTGGTCTGAAAGTGTGCTTTTTAATGGTGTTGGTTTTTTTTACAGATATCGGTAGATTGTCACCGTGGTACAGGAAACACGAGCGATAGATGCTCCTGCCACTCAATCAACAGACAAACAATATACCGATATTTGTCAAAGAACAATAACATCAAACCCAACTATGTACAAAGGTGTGGTTGGATGAATTTTATGCAAGTACCGCCTCGCATATGATACACATTAATGGTGATGGTTGCTGGTAATTTTTAATTCTATTTCTCCATTACCATACCCTTTATTACGAGCTGTGAGCCAATGTTCAGACGAAAGCCATATGACAAAGCAGAGCTTCATTACAAGCCACCCCAAAAAAGACTTCAAATCTTTGGCTGACATGTAAAATTCCTTGAAACAGTGTGGCAGAGCCAAGGCCGCATCCAATTTACAGCCACATTCATGTGAAATGAAACACCTGTATCCATCTTGCAATCACTGCCTCTTTTGCTTTGGATAAACAATAATCAAATACTCGCTGTGCTTTGCTACTAGAGATTGAGTGCTTATTCAACAAACATTCTCAGTTTTTGTTTCAAACAGCGTCCGTCGTATGATGCACAATTATAGTAATTTTGTGCTGATTGCCCACTTTTGGCATAACCATATACGATCATCAGATTCATCTACTGCAGTCCAGATACTGGGCCCGACTATTCTGATGCTGTTAAACTCGACAAATTTGTATTAAATATCAAATGTATTCGCGTTCTAGTTCAAGAAAAAAATATTACATCTCGGAAATGCAACTATACATGCCAATCACACAATATTGTAATGTTCATTTTGGAGGGCTGTAGATTGAAAGGTGCCAGGTATATGGGATTTATTGAAACAAATGTGAATACTGCTTCAAACATTCGGTCAGTTGTTTGTACAAAAATAGCACGGGAGAAAGACCAGTGAGGTAGATTTCAGATGGCACAGTATTGCCCAGTAAATTTGGTAGAAACTGGCACCAATCATTCCATGAGGTCGGCTGCTTATTATGTATTTGACCTCCTTATTTAGTTTTTCATTTCACATGAATACGGCTGTAAACCAGCAGGTAAACAAAAGCTAAAAGCACGACACTGTTTCAGTTTTGGCGAAGTACGGCATTTGAGCAAACGGCCTAAGCAATCGATGAGTAACGTATTGGCTGTGTTTATTAGGGTGGTGATACTTTGCTGCTGTTGGTTTCAAGTTGCTCACCAAGTTGTTACGTAAAAATTTCAGCCAATGGTAATGAAACGTCGCACGAGCAAGAGTGCCTCGAAGCTTTTTCAAATATTTGTGTATAAATAACCGACAATCGTTCGTCTAGCGACTACTTCCAAACTCGAATCTATTCTCTGTTCTACCGACCAAGTCCATCCCAATGAGCGAACCTCAGCAATCCAGAAATCAAAGCGTCGGCGACAAACTCAAGGGCGGCGCATTCAAGAGCGTCAAGGCTGTTGGCAATGTTTTTGATGACTTCAAGGCATTCCTTAACAAGGGAAATGTCGTCGATCTTGCTGTCGGTCTTGTGATGGGTGCTGCCTTTACAGCAGTCGTTACCTCGCTTGTCGGTGATCTCATTACCCCACTTATTGGTCTTGCTACTCAGAGCAACTTGGAAAACATGTTTTATGTTTTGCGCTGTCCTAAAAACCAGACCAACTGCCGGGATCTCCTGTATGGTACCATAGGCGATGCTAACAAAGCCGGTGTTGTCACATGGAATTATGGTCGCTTTGTTCAGATGGTCATCAACTTTGTCATTATTGCCCTGATTGTCTTCTTTATTGTCAAAGCTTATTCTGCTGCCTTTTGCCGTAAGACTGATGTTATTGTCAAGGACTGTGTGTACTGTTGCAAAGAAATCCCCTTGGATGCCACCCGTTGCCCCTTTTGCACATCCCCTGTTCAGATCCCCCATTCGGATTCGGATATATTGACCAAAAACAACGACGATGTTGCTGTGCAACTTCCCACCGGATCAAACTACCGTCGTTAATGCGTTTTCTGATTCGATCGCTTAGCATATTAACGTATTTTTATTCCGCTACTATCACTGTAAAGAGCAGATTTTAGCGCGTAGCTTTTACTTTCATTTGCAATCCTTCTATTGCTTCTGTTTATCATTTGCTATTATCATTTCATAAACCTGGACTGTGCTCTGTCCATGAATTTGGTCTCTTGCTTTTTGTTGCTTATCTTGCCGAAATAAAGGTTTTGGACTACCAATTTTGGAACAATTCATTGTCATCTAGAATATGCTTTTTTGGTCATCGTCTACTAAATGTATCCATAAACGCGCAACAACTCGGCTTTCCTTGATTATCAACAGCCTACGAGTAGCCTTTTGTCGTAGTTGACCACACTACACCATTGGGGAAGCGTATACACATTCTTGGTATGGGAGACCAACTAACGCCTACAAGTGCCACAAGACTTACAATACTACGGAGCAGCTCGTATCCAGAGATATCTCAACAGGAGGGGTTTTGTGGTCGTTCGCTCAGTCCATCTAGCAAAACACCTCTGTCCATTCTCTCATTAGATAAAGTCAGCCACGGAGTTCATGTCAGCATCGACATGCCTTTAGATTCTCATCTCAACTCTGATAGCCATCGCGATAACTACCCTAGTGATAAACACAAACATAGAAGTCTATCAGTAAGTCGTCAACAACTACGAGTTGTTAGCAGCAAAATTGTTGGTGGGGCAAAAAAAAGCGTCAAAGCAGTTGAATCGGTGTTTGACGACTTTGTAAGTTTCCTAAATCGCGGCAATGTCATGGATCTTGCTGTAAGTAGACCCAGCACCTTGTTCAACTAGCAAGAATATTTCATTGGTTTGTTCAATAACACTTTAGTCGTAATAGGTGGGTGTAATCATGGGAGGCGTGTTTACCGCAGTTGTTACTTCGTTTGTAGTGGATCTGGTTACACCAATTATTGGACTATTAACACAAAGCAATCTTGAAAACACCTATGTGATACTAAGGTGTCCAGCCAATGACACTCAATGCAGCAACGCAGTCAGATGGGGAACGCCAGTTCAAGGTGTCATTTAATTTGTGGATTGTAATATTACATTTGGCTTTTGTACTTATCAATGTGTATGCATATTTTTACCAAACAGCAAACATTGCTGGAGCTGTAACTTGGAACTATGGAAAATTCATTCAGACATGTATAAATTTTCTAATTACATCTGCAATCATATTTTTCATGGTCAAGAGTGAGTTATTGGTTGTAGCAGTTTAAATGTTTGCAAACTATTAGTTCTTGTAGCTTATCTTGTTGATGGTGCTTTAGTTTATACAGCAGCATTTAGAAAAAGAAGAAAAGAAACCGTCAAAACATGTCTATTTTGTACCAAAAGTATTCCCAAAAAAGCCCAACGGTGTCCCGAATGTACATCCACATTAGAAACCCCTGAAGATCATACAGATGAGCATATATCAAAGCGACTCAAGATCATGGCAGCAATCAAACAGTTTCATCTACCTTTATCGAAAACAGCAGCGTCAATATCACCCGAGGCTAAAAAACCTGCATCAGGTTGGGATCGTATACTCAAAAAGCAAATAAAATAATGAATATATATTTCTACAGCTGTATTCGCATGATAAAACACACCAGATAAATGTCAAAATGCATAGTAAATGACCAGTCTCATGAAATAATTTGCACCCAATTACTGAGCAACTTGATAGCTACTCCCTTTAACACTATATATAAAGTCAACTTGAATTTGTAATACAATCAATACTCTGGGTGTTGAATAACCCTATACTTTATTACAGCTTATATTTCAAAATGTAACGCTATAGGTGTCACATGGAAGATTTCAACTACCTTTACAAATCAAATGGTACACTTAGCAATCATAACCATAGTAGATACAGCAGAAATTGGTGGGATCGCAGCTACCAGTGACCTGGGGGGCACTAGTGGTGGTAGCTGGAGGAACGTCAGTGGTAGCTGGAGGAACATCAGTGGTAGCTGGCGAAGGGTTGGGGTTAGGGTTAGGGTTGGGGCCAGAGCCGCCAGATCCCATGGTGCAGGACTGAGTTTCGGGATCCCAGTTTTGCTGGATCATGAAGTTACGTCCATTCCATCCACAGTTGGAAGACGAACCATTGGACTCACCCTTGGTAGCACCATAAGTGTAGGCACACATGTCACCGTTTTCGGCTCCAGATGCATCGTTCCAGGCGCGGTTGTTGGAAGGATCAGATGCTGCTTCGGCAAGTTCGTGAGCCATCACAGAAAGCATGGCATCGGTAGGAACATCGCTGTTGGGAGAAAAGTCGACATTGGTAGGTGGGGCACATCCACTGATGCAGCTGGAGTTGGGTCGGCCAGAAAGAGCATAGTAAATCTCCTTGCCATTGGCATCGTTGGCGGAAGTGTGGTAACCACAGTATCCGCTGCAGAAGGATGAACCGAGTGCGTTTTCAGTAACATCGTCAGCAATCAACATATAGTAAACAGCGTTGGTGTCCTCGGGGAAAGTACCGGCAGAGATGTACTTGGAAACGAGATCAGGAATGGCAGTTCCAGAGAGGGATTTGCCAACAGAGTAGTTGTCATCAACGGATCCGGCATAGTTGACCTGTCCATCGATATAAACCTTGGAAGACGAAGAGGATTGCTGATAGTAGTACTTCTTCTCAGTAGTCCACCAGTCTGAAGTGCCGAGACCAGAAGTGAAATCCTTGACAATCTGTTTCTGCTCAGCAGACCATGTGCCGTAGTAAATGACTATAATGATTACATGAATATTAGTCGATCGAAGCGCGTACTTTTAGATTGGGTTCAACTACTTACAGTAAACATTCAAGGGACCAGTGAGGAGAGGTGCACCCATATTGTAGGTGATGGTATCACCAGCAGTAGCAAAGTGATGCTTTCCATGCATAGGAGAAATAGAGATCTTGTGAGGGGCAGCTGGAGCAGCAATGCTTCCAGCAACGGCAAGAGAGGCAACGAGGAGAGTAGTAGCAATCATTTTAATTGTATTCTTGTTTGTAGTTGATGATTTAGATGGATACTAATTGTCTGGTTTTTATAGCAAACTATACTCTTTTCAGTATCCGAAACTTACTGTATACTCCGACTACATCGTTGCGATACATGTGGATAACCATATGTATAGCTTGCTTCATTTTGCCATAACCCGATAAACTCGCCAGATCTTTACAAGGGATCAGCATGCTAATGACTATTTGATGTAAAGAAGCATCGTGCTCCCTTGGTATTTGCACATTGACCATAAGGTCAGTGACCTTGCATTGCTGTGGTTGAATAGTCAAGAGTTGAACTAGGTTTCACTTGCTATAAATTGTGTATTAGTGTGGCCACCAACATGACAAACCATATGAATTCGGTCTAGAGCACCTTTTTTTCATGTGGTCTAAATGTATTGGTCGCGTGTATTTCCGCCAGTAAGGGTCGCTGGAATCAAATTAGCCTATTCAATGTACTCAATACGTCAATGTCCGTGAAAATACACATGGTTCGGATCGAGTTGCCGTCTAATTGTTCATATTGTACTTGGTCCCAGACCTGTTACATTTGATTCGGCTTCAACTACAGTTTTAAAGGTTCCATGTGCCGAGATCAACAAGACTTGTCTATACAGCCCAGATTAGATGTTTGCTATTGGCTGTGCATTGATAATACTGGTTGAGCATGGAATGGCTCTACTGGTAAGCCAACTCTATTCAAAAATTGATCTAGAAATATATTCCTGATTATAATACGAAGGCTTATTCAAAAAGCAATGCTTCTTTCAAGTACATCTGACTGATTATTGGTGTGCTGAATCATCGACTTGTGAAATAGTATAGAATAGCACGAAATTGTATTAAACGAAGCTGCTTATCAGTATTGTTTGTATTTTAGAGTTTAAATGTCAAATATTACTAGCTAATTTGGTTGTCATGCAGGACAATATAACTAGTAAGCCAAATAAAATGAATAGTCGATAGGATTCAATTGTGTAGATGTCTAGTGCACGTCTGGAATCGTCCATATCAGTAAGCTCGCCAAATACGTATTTTCCAATGATATTGCCTAGATAATGGCACAACTCAATGCACCATACCTATCATGAGCCCATTTCTGTTTAATTGTATTTATAAATACCATTTTTCAATTGAATCTAGACAACTAATCAAAACCATTTTACATTGCAAAAAATATAATATAGTTCTTGTAACATAAACTTGTTTTCAAAAGTTGTGCCCCTTTAGCTTAGCGGTAGAGCGTCTGCCTCGTAAGCAGAAGGTCGAGTGTTCAATCCACCCAGGGGGCATTTTTTTGAATTTAAGATTTATTAGTTTATTTTTGCTCAGGACACAAGCGAGCAGTCAGAATCTAGTCTTTTCATGCAAAAGGCGTGCAATCCAAGTAAATTGGACACTCGGCCTGCCTCAAGGCAGATGTTTACCAGCGTACTACAGTCGTATCACGTAAAATGGAGTGTTTTTGTATTTATTTGCTTTGAACAAGTGTAGGATAGACTGCAATGTGAACATTTATTCAGGTGTTTATAAAAAATGAGCACAGAGACCAGCCAACTAAAAAGTTTACAAAACAATATCCAGTCAACTGACACCAATCATTTCAAGACTTTATTGCAGCTTTTATTTAGTGATCCATTTTGCATGAAGACGGCTGCACATGAGATTTGTGCATGTGGTTTGAATCTGAAAGATTGCAGAACGAGTGCGATCAATTTGCTCGAAACAAAAAAATCAACTGCTATTTGGATCATCACCACCAGCTTATACTGCCATCTAGAGATGGGGCAAATTACTACCACTTGCACTGTTCGTATGGGTGCTTTTATAAGGAATTCTATATGGTCTATTTCTGATTCAACTACTTTGATTCGCTCTGTTCGACATTTTAAACCTATTCTAGAACACAGGTCTATGACTACCATGACCATGCTGCATTCTGCTACTAAAACTATCATCACAAGCCCTACTTCTGGATCTATCAAAACTAATAATACTAGCAACCACAGTTCTGATCCAAATCTATCTACTAAAGTGTCCTCATTTGCTCTACCTTCAATCTTTACAAAGCTCAATACCACTGCAACCTCGACAACTGCCACAAGCAAGCCTTTGTTGGAACAGTCTCTGATTGATTATCCTTGGCTGCTATCTACTTCTCCTAATAGAGAAGTCACTCCTACGTTTTGGAATGCTTTAAAGGAAAAGCATTACCTGACTATTGCCACTGAGCGAACAAAGGATCTACTTCATCATCCTGTTTATTCATTTCCGTCCCAGTTCTTGTCAGACACCTCTGCTAGTATATCTGCTGTTTTTTCAGCCCTGTCTGATCCTTCAACTTCTGGATCTGTGGATTCATTGGAGCCTTTGATGGTTAAAGGTCTTGCCAATCACTTTGTATCTGGATTTCAGTCCTTGGCGAAACGAGGCCATCGTACTCGCTTTATTCTGCATTCCACCCCAAAAACTCGTCTCAAAAGCATCCAGCTCACATACGGTCCTTACCCACCTCCAAATGACTATGTTATGCAAGACTGGTTTCCTTTTATCCGTCTAGTGATTCCTCGCGTAGATGCCGAATTCGAAAGTCATCCAAAGCAACAAGATATTCTCAAAAACGCAAAAAATGATGGTGTCTTTATTCGGGCCAATGTTGTGATTGACTGTGATATTGAGTTTATCTTGGAAGATGTTGCTAGTGGTGGAATGCCCTTACTTCGCGATCGTCGATCTCGCTTTGAAATGCAGTTTGTATCTCCTCATTTTACTCCTTGGGATGATTTGTTTATTGTCGAGGGAGAAGAAATGATTCCCCAGCTCACCCCAAACCAGCTACTTGAATTACAATCACAATCTCCTGCAGAAATTCAATCTGCTGCTGCTGCTCGTGTCCTCGAAGCTAGTAGCACTGCGAGTGCTGACACCACTAACAGTCGCGATGTTACCATCACTAACCAAGTGGCAGCTACTGAAGTTTCTCCTGTCGATACTTTTGGAAAAGCCCCTACTCCTATTTCTGGAGATATGTTCAAGAAAGATACTATGCAACGGAAACTAGGATGGAATTGGCGTGTATCAGACATTGATGGTTTGTTGGGCAAAAGAAATACGAATAATACAGAACGGACATCGTAGATGAGATACTTTAAATCTAATCATTTATTGGAGGGGTGGGAAAAACTATTAAATGTGGTTGTGTACATATGTAACAAACTCTTGTACAATGAGATTGGAATGTCAGTATATTTGATGAAACTGTAGATGACCTATAGAATCAACTTTCCAGTCATTTGTAGATACCATGTGGCTGTTCAATTGCTCTAAAGAGTAGTTACAGCCGTATTCACATAAAATGGAACATCAAAGTCAAAATACATGATAAACAATCATGTTTGATTGGTGTCAATCTTACTGAGCAACATTGTTTTATAAACTCTTAGTTACTGATATTCCTTCGTGCTCATTCTTGTATAAAAATACAGAGCGAATGTTTACACTTCTGTTTCAATACATTCCACATCCCCGACATCTCTTAAACTTTCCTTTTTTCCAAAACTTGAACTAGAACTCGGATGTATCTGTGAACTTTTAGGATACAACACAGCTTGTTTAATGCCATTATGGCTATTAAAGTATATTTCTTAAATTCTTCCGTAAACTGCTGCATAGGACGCATCAATGTAACGCAAAATACGCTCTCGGCATTTTAAAAGTATGAATTTCAAGTACCGAATGCAAAAACATCTGGTTGACAGCTTATAGCATTGTTTATATCCTAGTACTAATCATGCTTGACCTGCTCATACAAAACTGCAAAACGCCAAAAACTGTTTGTCTAGGACTATTAGATTGCAAGATGATTTTCTCGTACAACATGACATCTGCTTTGTTATATTGGTCACAGTGACTATGATAAACATGAATAAAAAGCATTTGTGGATGGGCTTTGATACTCAACAAAAGTTTATTTTACTCCACGTACTTGATAATGCAATTATAGGCACAATAGTAATCCCAACACTCAAATAGTGAGATTGGCTATATCATTATGAATACAATGAGTTTGTAAATTCTGAAAATACAGAATTTGTCAGATTGAATTACATTTGAAAACGAAAATGTTCAATCACATGTCTGGTATCACTAAAAAATTGGGCAAGGATTGCTGGACTTTGTAATGCAGATTCGACAGCATCGAATCAATCTACTGATTTATTCACGTTGATGTATACATCGAGCATAAGACTCAAGGTTTTGCATGGAATTATGATACGAGGACTTGATAAACTCATAAATAGGTAATTAAGCTTTATGCAACAACGGTGGTCATGTAGATGAATGATGGACATCATATTGGTAGAATGTAATGGCAGTGTATCTATACCTCTTATCGTATTTTATTTTCAGCCATATGTTTACATTTTAATAAGTATTTTTATACCAAGACAAGCGAATTTTCTCGATGATTTATTTTCAAGTTGTAAATGTATGTGTTCTCATTACTATTATTTATCTCTGCAAAAATTTCCATCTAATTGGTAGCTATGATATAAAGCGCTTGGCTAACCCATTGGTAAAGGAGTCAGAAAAACATCCTTGCATTCCTATCTAGTTTAATGCTTATATTGGTATTTGCCTTTTACAAGCATTCAACCGACAGTCTATTGTTATTGATTTTTAGCAGTCGTTAGCCAATAGTCGACAACCCAAACGAGCATCAGGTCAGCAGTTTTTTCTAGCCAACGTGTTGACACCTGTACTAAGCTGGTTATATTATATAACATTGCATTGTATACATTTAATTCTAACGTAAACCTGGCCCACACTATTTTTACAAGTCAAGATGTGTCAGCCAAGTTGACTCGGACTTGTTGATTTGACGCGCGACCTTGTTCCATTTCATATCTGCAAAAGCCTTATATCTAACCGAATTGCCCGAATCGGAGTTTATTCAATTTAGCTCAAGTCAATAATATTTAAGCCTTTTATAGCTTGAAAGCCTGCCTTGTCATATTTTTATTTATTGAGCTATATACTGTTTTACTTCCTGGACTCGACGCTGAGTGTCATTTGCTGCTTCGGTGCCAAATTCAACATCAAGCACTAAAAACACAACAAAGCCCAGAAAAAGCACAACTTTTGATAAAGCATCGGATCAATCTAAACAGAGAGTACGAATATCTATAGGCAATGCAGCATCAAGCTCAAGATATCCATTCAAAAGCTCAGAGGCACTCGACAATTCTGCATCAGTCTTCAGATTTAGCAGAAAAGTCTTATACAACCAGTCTCCATCACTGCAGCATTCAAACCCCTAAGATTACCACATCCCCAAGCTTTTTCCAAAAAGCAGTTTGTGTTTTCAAACGATCACAGGAATCGGTCAGCCAGTCGCTGTTAGAAAAACGTCCGCTGAAGACCAAAAAGCAAGACGGTGATATTTATTTTTCAAATATTATATCTGGTGTCGATTCTTTGTTTTTTTCTCCTATAGCTAATCCAATTACCACCACACAACCTGGTGCGTCTCAACTTAAAAATATATCTGAAACACTAACCATATCAAAAGATTGTATTATCCAATACAATAGCAAAAACGACGAATTAGATTTGAGAGCAAATAAAAACAAAACTTCCACTCTTACTACACCGTGCATTGTACGATCAGTAGCCCAACCACACAATTCTAATTCAGGCCTTGGTGCTGTTACAGCATCCATTCCGCAAAACGGTAACACTTTTTGCATTCATACTCATATGAATAAATCAAATCCTCTTGTAGCACCGACTAGCATAGACACCATATCTACTTCAAGGCAGACCCTTGTGTCCACACCTGGATGTAATTTCGACGACCATGAGATGCTAAAAACACATTCCAGTTTGAATTATGTCAGTCAGGTTCAATCGCTATGTGACCCAATGCAAAAATCGTTGCTTTTGTCGCCAAAATACCCATCTGGATCGCATTCATTAGACTCCATACACGGAAAGCTCAAACTAAAAACACGCAAACTCGACGCCATTTTCGCTGGGGAAAATGCGCCTTTGTCCGACTTTTCCACATACAGTCTGGAGAGCGGTAGTACCAACAACAGCGTCAACAGCAGTAAATACCTCGATGTTAGTGGAACATCGCAGACGTTATCAGGCGTTACAGAACACTTTGAATCTGGTCGATGCCTTTCACACATCTCCTCATTCAACTCCATCCACTGCCAAAACAACGATTCTAACCATGATTGTCATATCGGCATAAAAAGCATTAGTAGTAGTCCAAAAACGTCCTCTTCACACCGTCCGATAGCTCTTTCGCGACTTAGTTTTAACTCTCTGTTTGAAGCAGGCAAAGATGCATCGACAAGTGAAGCAGCTACTTCCAAACCAAAAACAACCTCAATAGTACTAGTCAAGACAAACAGATGGATTCGTCAAAAGATCTTGAACAAAGGACTACACGAGCAAGTTCACTTGCAAGTACCCAGAGAATGGAAAAAAGAGAAAAAACCACGCAAATTAGTAAGCTCTATTTCTAGCAGCGGCAGCAGTAGTAATGACTCGATTGTAAATAGATTTGCTGAGAATAGTGTGGATCAACAAGGCCCAACCCTTTTACTCACACCGTCAATTGGCCGGAACAGAAGTATTGAAGTTCGACGTGAGATGGGTGATCGTGAAATGGCGAGTAAAGGTAGCAGCTCAACAAGTAGCATCAATACTTCCATTTTTGGATTTATTACCAACTATTTTTCACCTCGTAGGCGAGCTGTTACGTGTGATTTACAACCAGATTCGTTGAATTCAGATTCCATACCGCAATTTTCGTCAAAACTGTCTCTACATGCACCGCTCATCACCATCAATAATACTCATAATAATGGCAAGCATAAAGATAGTAGTGCTAATGAAAACATCAAATCTGTTTCTGAATCACCTATTACGTTCAATTCCAAAGTATCGCCGGCTATAACGGATAAAGCATCTACGGAGTCGGCAACTGATCATTCAAACTTGGTAGTGAAGCACAATCAATCCATACCAAAATTTAATATAAAAACAACTAAATGCACCTTGACAAAGTCAAGCTCAAAAACGGCAATAGCTACCTCTATTCCATCCATCCTATGTACACCAACGACATTGAAAACAATACCACTGCTACAAAAAGTAGGGGATCAATCTATAGGTACTTTAGTGGGCCAATCTGAAAACTCCAATATCAAGCAGATACCTTTGCAGTCCACTCAGCCAACTCAAAAATTAGATGAATTTGAAACTTTGAAATCTGACAACAAAATACAACTCTCGGTTTCGACCACAACCCCACACTATCGAGTCACATCTGCTTTTGAACATCATCCAACTCAAACCTATACCAACATAAACTCAATCTCTGATCTTTATTTTTTGCGCAAACTTGCTTCGGGAGGATTTGCTGATGTATATCTTGCAAGAAAGCGGGTCCCACTTACATGCCATTATTTTGCTCTCAAAGCTGTACGAAAAAAGGATATAGTAAAAAAGAAAATGGTAAGACAAGTTTTGGCCGAAAAAGATATACTTGAATCGGTTCATCATGGGTTTATTGTCGAGTTGCTCCATACATTCCAAACAAAGACTACGTTGTTTTTTTGTATGGAATATGTTCACGGAGGCGATTTGTATCAGATGCTGAAACAATTGGGTGTGAGTATACATTGTGGTTTTAGATTTGAAATAAGTTGTAGCACGTAGGTATAGTTGAAAACTCGCAGGCTTTTGAGCCTACTAAATGCCCATGTATTAAATATATTTGTAGTCGCTTACAGAGAAACAGGCAGTATTTTACGCGGCTGAAGTTGTGGTGGTATTTGAATACCTCCACTCGCTGCATATTGTTTACCGCGATTTAAAACCCGAGGTAAATCCGAGTTACCAATGTAGATTTCGAGTGATGATACCTTTATCTACTATATGCCATCGTTATTACGCCTGATAACTCATGTTTTATTACAAAATACTTTTGAATACTGCAGAATATTCTTCTTGACTCGACTGGGCATATTAAACTAGCTGATTTTGGATTTGCAAAAAAGATCACGTCAACTACTAAATCTTTTTGTGGTACACCCGATTACATGGCGCCAGAAATCATTATCTCAAGACCTTACAGCTTTGCAGTGGATTGGTGGTCACTTGGCATACTAATATTTGAACTTGTGGCAGGAAAAACACCCTTTCGTGGCTTCTCCATTGACGAAATCTACAACAACGTAATTCAAGGCAATATCCAATGGTCGACCAAAGTTTTTGGTAAACTCAAAAAACTTGTTACATCATTGCTAACTCCTGACCCAACGCTACGACTAGGAAGTGTCAATGATGCTAAAGATATAAAAGCGCATCCATGGTTTAATAGTATCTACTGGGAAACGGTTTCGTCAAGAGGTTTGGTACCTCCAACTAAAACATTCAATTTTCCTTCAAACATGACTGAAAAGTATGAGGATGGAAATGATGGAGTGATTGATGCATTGATGGTGGAAGAGGTTACCACATCAAGCGATGTATTGCCACTTCCAATGTTTTGATGATCAGGCTGATCTTCTTGACTTGAAGACTAGTTTTAGCAGTCAATAAGGACTAGCATGGATTGTTGGAAATTGACATGCCACTTTAATTTTCTGATACTGGCTACTCTATCTTTTCAAATAAAGGCGATTTGCAGCTGTATTCACGTAAATGGATTGCTCGTGTCCATTTGAAATGACTTTTTGGTCTAGAATGAATAATGATCAATCATTCATTGCAATTTCCTACTAGAAATTGGCATTCAATTCTTCCAAACACGATGCCCATCATATGATGTACGCAACCAAACTGTAGTGTTGAGCCGAGATTGTCCTTTTTTGGTAGTTATACATTGTACGATTTCCAAATTCAATCATTGCAATACAGATATTGGGTTCGACTGTTTTTAAACTGTACAAACTCATGTATTCTAAAAACTCGGATACGTTTGTGTTTTAGCTTAACCCAATAATTGCGCACTTGGGAATACAACTGTTGTTTCCATGTCAATCATTCAACCTCATAATGCTTGGATGGAAACAGAATTGGTCATTGAGCAAATTCCAGGAATGTAAAAAGTACTGGGACAACTTGATTCCACTAAACTGACAGCATTTTGGCAACAGATTCACTTGATATATGCATAGTACAGGCAGAAACCACTTTACTCGATGAATCATTGACACTCATAAATGGTCAAGGTCACGAAATGCATCTTTTGTTAGTGTCGCAAGTTCGATGTTGAAGCTTGGATAGTCATGTCACACTATTTGTAATAAAGTATACTACAGCGGTGTTGTAGGACAACGTTGACAGCTATAAACGGCCAAGATTGGACCACTAATAAAGATGACGACGCGAACTTGCAGCCCACAATGTAAACCTCGATTCCCAAAACCTCATCTCCAAACTCTAAAAAGCACCATGTATTTGGCAGTGAGTCGCAAAGTAACAACGAGGCTTGAGCATACAAAAGTGTGGTTGAATACAATTTACGTAAGTAGCTTCCAAAAACATGATACACTGATGGTAATGGTTGATAATTTTTCATTTTATCTCTCCATTCTCATATTCTTTGTCGCTAGTTGTGACCACCCCTACAGTACTCCACAATACAAGCTATCACCTGATTAGCTCACGCCAATATCCACACCCGCTACATCTCGCTGACACCATGGATACACCATACGCCCCAATCGAATATCTAAATATCATTTAAGAAATTTAAACTCTACCCTTCATCTTTTTAAATCGGCATTCTGTTTTGAAACAAGTTTGGACTAGTGCACTACTTTGTATTGCCATTTGTGAGTGCCTATCATACAGGAATTTGTTTAGTGCACGTTTTAAAACTCGACTGAATCTCAAAATACCTAGATCTATCCAGCAGTATTCCCAGTTACAAATCAAAGCAGGCTTAGATACTATAAACCACTACAGGATTTACAAACTCTAGATTTAGTAGAATGATTGAATTGCCACATGCAGTACAACAGCTTCTTCCAGGTCAGCAATCTCAATCCAAAGACACTGAGCAGGCAAAATTGACACCTGGGCAAACAAAAAAGGTGCTAGGATTCAAGAAATCGCCATTTTCGCTTGGAAGAAGCAACTCAAAAGTATCCACTCTAGAGAATGAAGAAGGAGTGTCAAAAACGCAATCAATTGGTGGGTCGGTCACTGCTGCAGATGGGCTCGCTAATAGTCCCAAAGTCGGCGCGAATAGACACTTGGCCGCCACAGGTGGAAAAAGTGCCGACGTGGACGATAAGTCGTGTAAGTGTACTGTTTTAATCAAGTGTTTCAATGGCAAACCTTTGTAAATCATGACTGATGGAGATTCTCGATTTTACCGCTTGTGAGTTGCTACAACATTTAAATGATGCGGTGATTAAATGATGGGATGGACTGTTGGTACTTATTTGATTTATATCTGAAAATTACCGCTTTTCAATATTATCTTACAAACACCTGCAACCTGTGAATTGGCTGAATTTGTAATCACATTTCCAATGTATTAAATCAGCCACTTTCTCTAACTATTCTCATACTACTCAACTATGTTTGATAGTCATACCCGCCTCCGTAAACAAGCACGATCAACCACGGCACAGCTCAACAGTTCGCCCCTCCAATATAACACAAAGATCACATTTACCCATATCCACATCGTCAGTATCAGTAAACAAAACACAATCGTCTTTGTATGCACGATCTACTGCCGCAATACAAGATTTCGGCGACGAGCCTACCAAGAAAAAAGTATTGATTCATCATGGCGATGATTCTTATCAACCAACATCCGGCGGGAGAAACAAGAATACGGGTCTTACACCCAGCAATGGAGCATTTGCGTCCATGCCACACGGATTGGGTGGAGTTAGTCACAGTGGAATAGGTATAAATAATGGACACGCATCCGAACCAGAGGATGAGGAGCGAGACCAAGTCGCCGATCTACTTTCTCCAGCCGTATCAGGTGCCATCACCTTGCCTTTACTGACTACTTTATCCACATCATCTCTTCAAACCAAATCAAATGCATTAGATCCACACGATCAAACTGCTAGTCACCCAGAGCTTAATCGTGTCTTATCTAGCCAATCCAAACTGCCTACATCCCATAGCTATCAGTTGGATAGTTATTCTTGCAATGTCCATCCTGCTGGCGTACCTGAATCAAGTTCAATGACTTCGTTGGTCACTCAAACCCAGACCGAACAATCTCTTACATCTCGATTTTTATCGTTTGGAAAACGAATGACAAAAGCACCTATGGTGAGTGCACCAGGAAGTCGCACAACATCGATGTATATGACCACAAATAACAAAGAAAAGGACAAAGAAAAGCTAAAATCACGCCAAGACTCGGCATCAAAGCCTTCAATCTTGTCATTCGGACATGGATTTATGTCTACCCAAACCGCTGCTACTACAGGAAGTGTTACAAATGTAGCCACTTCAGCAAATTCCCGTAGCATTAATCATGCTCATATGACTTCCGATAGCTCCACCACCTCGGAAGCAAATAGTGTTTACAAATCCACGACTTTGCAGGCTGGTATGCCTTTGCATCACAATCAGCACTCGACGGCAGGTTACATTGACAAGACTACTGGCGGTGCACTTTTCAATCCAGCGGCGGGAAAAAAAGCATCTTCTTCTGCCTACGATATTCGCGGCCCGCCCCAGTCCAACTCATCCAACCCTGTTCCCCCCTTCAATCGTATCTTTACTCTAGACGATTACTATATTATTCGTAGAGTAGGTAAAGGTGGATTTGCCAACGTATTTCTCATTCGTCTAAAGGGCTCAACTGGTCGATACTATGCTCTCAAGGCTATCAAAAAGTCTGAAGTGGTTCGCCTTAAGCAAGATAAACAAATCATGAACGAAAAAAACATTCTTTTGGATTTGAAGCATTCCTTGTTGGTCGAGCTATATCACACATTTCAAAATCCAACACATCTATTCATGGTAATGGAGTTTGTGGCTGGAGGAGACTTGTTTACTTTTTTGCGCAAATCTAAAATGTTTCCTGAGCCCTTGGCAAAATTTTACATTTGCGAGGTGCTGATTGTTCTTGAGTACCTTCACGGAAAAAATGTAGTTTATCGAGATCTCAAGCCTGAGAATATTCTATTGGATTCGACAGGTCACATCAAGCTGGCTGATTTTGGATTTGCCAAGAGGCTAGTGACCACCACTCAGTCATTTTGTGGCACGCCTGACTACATTGCTGCAGAGATTGTTGCTGCCAGATCGTATACCTACACTGTGGATTGGTGGTCTTTTGGTGTACTGGTGTTTGAATTGATATCTGGAAAGACACCGTTTAGATCCGAGTCAAGCGAAGGAATTTACACCAATATACAAAGTGGGAAAATTCAATGGGTGCCGCAAGTAACTGGGCCAATAAAGGATCTTGTATCTGGATTGCTAGATCAAGATCCTAGACGTAGATTGGGAGCAAGAGGTGCAGGAGAAGTAAAGGCTATGAAATGGTTTGCTGATGTTCAATGGGACAAGTTTGCTACAAGAGGAATAACACCACCTTCAATTCCGTCTTACCTGGCACCCGAAACAATCGAGCTAGAAAAATCAGGTAAAGGGCCTAATGGAGCAGTTGGACAGCAAACGGACTATAGAGAGATGCTACAAGGGAAAGATGATGGCAAGATTGGTGCTGTATTAGCTGCCACCAACGCGTCTGAAAAAGTTGCCAAATGGGATGATCCATATGGCGGTGTGTTCAAAGGATTTTAAATAGAAATCTTGGTTGTTTTTGGTGGGCATACTTTTTAGTGTTGCATAGTTGATTCAAATCTGATTTTCCTAGTTTTTGTTTTGTTTGGTCTTTGTTACCTCCCTTATTTACCTTTTTTACTTTGATTCTGTTATGCTATCCAAATGTCAAAGAGTTCACATGTGGAAATGATAAATAAAGGCCTCAGCTTTTGCAGCTGTATTCACGTAAATGGATTGCTCATGTCCATTTGAAATGACTTTTTGGTCTAGAATGAATAATGATCAATCGTTCATTGCAATTTCCTACTAGAAATTGACATTCAATTCTTCCAAACACGATGTCCATCATATGATGTACGCAACCAAACTGTAGTGTTGAGCCGAGATTGTCCTTTTTTGGTAGTTATACATTGTACGATTTCCAAATTCAATCATTGCAATACAGATATTGGGTTCGACTGTTTTTAAACTGTACAAACTCATGTATTCTAAAAACTCGGATACGTTTGTGTTTTAGCTTAACCCAATAATTGCGCACTTGGAAATACAACGGTTGTTTCCATGTCAATCACCAGGAGAAACCCCAGTAAATTGAAAGCAATCATTTGACAAGACTGACTGTTCATTATACAGACATCCCTATTTGGCGTTCCATTTCACACAAGTGCGGCCGCAATACCAAATATATCAAATATTTAAATGTAAACAAGTAAAACTGATATAAAAGCATGCCAAGTACAAAAACCAACACAGATAGCAGAGTATATTTTGAATCAATAAAGAATCCGATACATTGTTGCTGATCAATAAAAGTGATTGTTTAAACTAAAGTTGTCGGAAATGCAACCATATGGAGTCTACCACATTCTGTGCATTACTTCAAGTGATGCAGCACGACCAAGGAATCCTGCAGCGTTTGCCTAATAATATCACAGGTAGATTAACAAAATTTGGCCCAAATGGAATTCAGTCTTGTCACAGCCGCACAAAGCAATCTCATACGAATGACTTACAGGGAATGCTCTGAGTAGGGCTGGTCCAAGTCCCTTGAATAATGCACTTGCACCCTCTTGGGAAATGATTTTTGCAGCACAGTCCAAGAAGCCCTTGTATGTGCCAGCGGGGGCAGCCTGAATACGCGACTTGATCACATCAGGTGGAATAGCAATTGACCACATGGCAACACCAGCCATACCTATTTGAAATAGTGAGATGAGAAATTAAATTGGGTACGTAGAATCAAAGAGAACTCGCTTGTGATGCCAACATATAGCAGTAAATCATAATCAAACGTACCACCAGAAAACAAGACAGCGCCGATGGAAAGGGACTCGGAATCCTTGCAAAGAAGACGGTGAAAATACTCGTAGGAGACAAAATATGCAGCAGATCCAGGAACATCCTAGCAACAATACATTCCAAACATTTACAAGAGTGTGCCAGATTATCAAATTAGAGTTGCAGCACTAGACCAATTGATGCAAACTAGTCAAATACAAGACTTACGCGAGCCAGAGTAGCAATGGTACCACGATATAAACTGCGAATACCACCCTCACGAAACATGCCAATACCGGCATCGGCCATGCCTTTGTATTTTTTACCCATGTTTCCAACCTGATCTTGTGTTTGCAGTACGACTTTGACACGCTCCATTGGAGTAGTAACAACAGTGGTGGGGATAGCAGAGAATCCACCGGCAATAGCATATTCTAGCATGGTGAGTTTTTGGGAGGAACGCTTAGGGGTGCATGCATATACGAGCTGCTGCCCAACATCATAGGACTAACGTTGTGTAATACAGACACGATAAACCATGAATACAAAGATAAATATAAAGACTAGACAAGTAGACTTGAATCATCTTACCCAAAAACTCAGGGCTGTAGTACGGAAATGAAAATTTCCAAGAATATCAAGGTGGTCAACCGATGATCAAGAGTAGATTAGCACGTGAATGTCAGACACGTTCCAACTTGCCAGCATTCGTGGTTATTCAAGATTCTATACGATAAACTGAATGAATATTCAATGGGCAGTAAACTCACCAAACATGGGAGTCACACCAACCAATGGAGAAGCCATTCCTTTGTAGAGACCACGCAATCCATCTTTGGCAATCGTTTGTTTAAAACAGTCGGCAAGACCAGAGTACTGGTTGCTAGTCTGCAGTCTTACTTTAAGAGTGTCAAATGGATGCTAATATTTCAGCCAAATAAGGAAAGTGATTAATAAGCGTCACAGATCAAGGGAACGGAATTGCTTAATCTATTTCGGTGGATGCAATTATGATTGCATGGCCGAAAACAAAATGGCATTACAAAACATAGATTCGTATGGAATACAAAGATGGAGTAAATTAGCATGCTACTAGCTGCTGGTTAACAAGAGTAAAGGCATCTTACACCAGCAAGGACAGTGGCAATACCGGCAAAGCCGCCCGACAAAAAAGACTTTGCTTGGTCCATTTTTGGAGCGACCTTTTTAACAGACGCAGTTGTATCACCCATGGTTGTAATCACAAGACCAAGTGTATCCGAAAATAATTGAATCTGCAAGAGCAAGTAGATCCAGCAGTGTTGAATTGACAACATTTACTAAAAGTGAAATTATTAGCTCGTGATTTTTCACGTGACTAAAGCAAGGACATTACAACCTTGTACAATGCAGCCGAGTACTCCTTGGACACTGGAATTCACGACATCTAATGCTTGATATATAATGCAAGTCGATAACAATGTAAATAATAAATATGGGTTAATTTTCTAGCAGATATTTAAAATGCATATATTGCCCTTGATTCTGGAACTTATTTGTCTAAAGTATAGCTCATATTCAAGCATAAAGGGTGAGTAAAACATCAGGGGCGTGGCTTGTTGATTAGGGCTGAGTTTCATTTAAAATATTACTTTCCAAATATTGGCAAGCTCACCTTCTTTTACTATTAATTGATTGGTTACTGTTTAGATAAGACCTGTAAGCTGCACATTGCTAATCGTTTGCTATTTCTGCCAGAGTGATTTGACTAAAAGTGTACTAGTTACGGTCCGATTATAGCATAACTACTGTACTACCGGCAACATGTTCCACCTGACTCGCAACAACATCCCATTCTTTCTGCCATTAGGATTCGTTGGTTTATATCGCTGGTTCTGGTTTTTTGTTAGAGTATGCCAATGCTTTTGTTGTTTATACACTACTGATTCCTATCCAACCAAGTAGTCACTGGATACTGCAATCGCTATTCAGGATCCATGGGTTTATAATTGAGCCATCTTTTTTGTCAAATCGAGCCAACCAATGCTGGCTCTGAGACTAAATTGAGTTGTGTCTGCAACCTATATACCCTGCATTCATACACCGTAGTCTCTTAGACAATGCCCATACAACTCCACATAGCTATCGAGTCAGTGATGACTATGTTTTTTGGATATTTATATATGGACGAGTGGCAACTGTCGGTGGCTGGCTGTCTGAGCGTTCTGCAGTTGTACTACCCAATACTACCATATTGATTTTATTGATCTTTACAGTCCCGCCACTAATACTTTGCTTTGTTGTATGGCACTTTAGATTCTTGCCTATTGTCTATATAAACCGCTGAAACCCAGAAAACATCCCAGGTACAAATCATACAGAGATGTCACCATTTTAGTGCCTACCATTGACTCGGGCGAGGAAATTAAGATGGCTCTAAAGTCATGGCTGCTGAACCGTCCTGCGGAGGTTATTTTCATTACTATTCCAAAAGCACTTGCTGCACTCGAGGCCCTAGCTCACGAGGTAGATCCGGAGGGCCGTCATGTTCGTGTTATTACTGTCAAGAAGGGAAACAAGCGCAACCAGATGGTGGCTGGTATCAACCAGGTTCGAACGGAAATCATTGTATTCTGTGACGATGATGTTGTTTGGCCAGAGACCATGCTGGATTACCTGCTAGCCCCCTTCGAGGATCGTCAAATGGGGGGTGTTGGTACTTCGCAAACCGTCATTACAAAAAACAAACGCATGACCATTTGGGAAATTCTCGCTGCCTATCGTATTACCATGCGTAACATTGAAGTTACTTCTTCTACATATATTGATGGTGGTGTTTGCTGCCTGTCTGGTCGTACTGCCACCTATCGCACTGCTATTCTTCGCGACCCTGATTTTCAGAAGGAATTTACAAACGAGTTTTGGCGTGGAAAGTATCACCAACACTCTGGCGATGACAAGTTTTTGACTCGCTGGATGCATTCTCACTCTTGGAAGACATTCATTCAAGCCTGTCCCGAGGCCGAGCTTGCTTCTACTTTCAAAGACAATTGGCACTTTTTAAAGCAACTGCTGAGATGGACACGTAATACTTGGCGATCGGATATCCGCTCCGTGATTTTTGAACGATATGTCTGGACCCGCCATCCATTTGTTGCTTTTTCTATGGTAGACAAATTTTTTAATCCCATTACTCTTATTGCTGGACCTGTGACCGTTGCCTTTTTAGCTACTCGGCCTGATACAACAATTCCTCCATGGGCGATTGTTGTCAGCTATATTGTTTGGTTACTAGTGACTCGTCTCATCAAGTACATGCCTCACTTCATTCGCAGACCACAAGATGTGCTTGCCATTCCTGTATGGCTTGTTTTCAACATGGCCTTTATGTTTATGAAAGTGTATTGTCTATTTACTCTGTATGTTACTGACTGGGGTACACGTGCTGGTGCTGATCACAAGAAACCTGAAACGGAAGAAGAAATAGCTAAATTGGCTGCCGAGAAGGACATTAGCGAAATTTATATTCCATACTGGTCAATGGACTTGGATGAGTGGCCATACTATCCTCGCACATGGGTTGGAACCGAGCATCCCAGATACAAGTCCAGAAATGTTTTAGAACCTTTTGAGGGCGAGGAACCCGACAAACCTGCAGAGCAATACAATGTTTCGCGGAGTACCGCTTTTGAATCAGGTCAAACCCTTAGTTTAGCTGATGTACAGGACATTATTGTTCCTGCTCCACAATCTCAAATAGATGGTACTCAGCCATTAGACTCTACAGCTTCAACTCAACAGGAAGCTGTTATTCCAATACCTAGTCATATGCTCAGCCCGCCTACTTTGACAAACCCATCTGATTTTGCCACATCAAGAAGTGGTGCATATGATATCGAGTCGCGCGGGGAACAGAGCCAGGTGGCAGCTGGTCAGCCGTACGTGGTGGTTCAAGGGTCAAAAAACTTGAAAAGCACTGAAGCAAATACAGATGCACGAGTATAAAATATGACAACACTGCCACTATACTTGTATTTGCTAATACCAACTGTCTGTCTACTGTCTCTCCTATATTTTTCACTTTATTACACACCATGACATTTTCCATAATTTGTTTTTGAAAATGTAGAGGCCATGACAGGCTTTGGATGCAATTTCTCTGTCATTGCTATGCTACTCACTTTTTGATTCAGATCTATGCTATTGCTAGAAAATGAATCTCCATTACTTTCTTTTCAAGCTCGACTCTTATTTTTCATTAAAATCCTTTGTTCATCTGTGGAGATATATTTTAGTTTTTAGATTTTACTGAGATGTAAATAAAATCATATGGAGCTTTGATTACTTTTTAAAGTCCATCTGATTTGAAAGGATCAGATGAGACACTGAGAAAGTCTAGTACAATCGTGTCGAGTATGTCTCAACATTCAGCACTTGATTCCGACAGCTTGGACGACGTAAAATGAGTTCTCCGAACTGGCGAGGTGGATCTAGGAAGCCTATATCCATTCGAAGGAGATAATAGATCGCCAGTCTGCATTCCCCTAACTGGCGATGCAGACTGTGACGATCCTGACTCGCTGTCTTGTGTTCTCTCTGTTATGACTGCACTCGCATGTATAAATTCAAACGGATCCATTTCTTCTTGGATATACATTCCATTGGACTCGTGGCATTTGCAGTTTGTATGGGCCAACATGGTTGTAGATGGTGATGTCGGATCCACTGCAGACGAGGACCCTCTTCTCTCAGGTGATCGTGCTCTTGCAGATCTAGCATATGGTACGTGATGGTGATGATGCACCACTGTGGAGGGGGTAGATACGACTAGCCCAACGCCGACTGCTTGTGCTTTGTATACTTTTGTTGGTGATGGCGGCTGAGCTTCAATCAACGCGGATCTTCGCTTGGCTACATTGTGTGTTGATAATGACGAAGCAGTTGTGTGCGCGATGGATTGAACTGTGCTTATACCCGCTTCACTGTCGTCAAGAGTATTTGCCGAGTCTGATATGCTATTATCTTGAGTTTCGCCAGCATCAAGGCTAGAGATGGTCTTGTCTTTGCTGTGTTTAGGTTGAATACTGGGTTGCTGCAACGATCCGTGACCATACACCCAATCCCATATGCCCAACCCTAAACTAGATATAAAGGCCACTCCGCATAAACCCATAAAAAACCATTGCATGCCCATAAAATCATCTCTATCCCCAACCGATCGAATCTTGGCAAGGATCAAAGGAAATATAAACAACGAGATGTTTAGTGCGGATGTGAGAAACCCATATGCTGTAGCAATCTGGTGTTGACCAACCAAGAACGGAACACATGGCCACAAGGATGATGCGAAAAACGAATATGCAATACCCATAAGTGTCATTGCTGCGATGGGTGTAAAGGTTGAATATGCTAGGGTAGTGTGTGCTATAAAGATGATGATGATGGAAATAGGCAGGAGAGTGGATCTATGACCAAAGTTGTCAATAAAGATTCCTGATAAAGGTGATCCTATTGCTGATATTATATCTGGGATAGACATGACTATATTTGATACAAGGTAATGGATGTTAGCTTAAATGAAATGCTGTTTCAGCGTGTTTAACTTGCCTGATCCGGACATTTGTGGATTGTTTGGGTACCATTTAGACTGGAAAACTAGTAGGTTCATGAATTCAGAATCAGTTAGTAGATGGAGTCAATGGTTTGAATACTTGAACGATCGTGCCTTGCAACAACTTACAGTCAGTGCACACATGAAAGAAGGGTAGGATTGAGCCATAGATGAACACGGTAGTTAGAAACAAAAGCCAAAAGGATGGTCCAAACCGCCATACGTGCTCAATATGAACCTGATCGTCCACCTCATCATACTCTTCGCTTTCATATCCATCTTCATTGATATCGTCAAGAGTTGTGGTTGCATCGTAAGTGGTGGTATCGTCTGTGGTCATTGAGGTATTAATATGGATTTTTGGTGGAGTTGGATGCAATGCAACCACGTCTGGCTGTTTGGACTGGTCTTTACTTTCTATAGTTGTCTTTTCAGCCGTATCGTTTGAATTCGTTATAGTTTCTACAGCTACAATTACCATAGTTTGAAGTCAATCTACCATTCCTGTCAAATACCCAACTTCTTGAGCTTCAACAAGATATCTTACACATGTCTAAATCGCTGCCGTGGTCGAGAGTAAACCTATCCATTCGATGACAAATATACCCTAATCCAATAGCACATAAAAGACTTATACAACTGACGCTAAGCCCAACCCAGACAGCTCCTTGGACCCCATCACGGTTAGCAATCCACGGGCTGAGATTGGCATTTACAGCGGTGGCTAATCTAGCGCTAGCCAGATTCATTCCCAAAGCAAATGCCAATCCAGTCAGGCGACCTTCAAACCATTGTGTGATGATACTTGCCGATGCAACTTCGAGACTTTCGCCTCCAATACCAAAAATAAGCCGTCCCGTGGCCATTACTATAAAGTTCTTGGTTGTTACTCCTATGGCAAAAATCGATTGTCCTATGCACACCATCAACGAGAATACAATGACCATGTACGAGGTTGGGTATTTGTCGACCAACACGCCAGCAAACAATGGCAAGATGATGTTTGGGAAAGAGTATACTGAATAGAGAAGATTGAGTTGGAATTGATAGGTGATATAGTCGATGTTGAGATAGTTGTACATGGGAATATTAAGCGCCGATGGAAGATCGTAGCTGTTTCAGGTAAATAATTGGGTTAGCTGTGGATGATTTATGCAATATTCAAATTACATATTGGATCGCATTTCGAATTGATATGGACAAGGCTAGCAACCCTGACCTAAAACAATCTTGATATGTATTTCCAATATAGACCATAAAACTCACCAGTAATAGTTTCCAAACACCATCAAGCAAGAAAGGGCGAGTACCACCCAATGCAGGTATTTTTTTTTATCCATCGAGACACGATCGCACCTTATCTTGATGAATATGCTTTGCTGTGGTCAATTTCAGAGTATACAGCAAGATAAGTGAATCGACCAATTTATAAATATTTTGGAGATGGCTGTTTAAAGAGCAATGTTATGCAAACAAGAAATAGATTTAGCGCCTTTTCTATCAGAGTCATCCGGTTTTGAACAATAGAATTGCATAGATTACGTTTTAAACAAATATATGCTTAGTTTTAAACGAGGGGTTTGAGCTGGATTTGCAAAACAATCATATTAGGCTTTAGTCGGGTTACTGCTTGGATCTTGCGTGGATGGACATTACGCTTTTGTTCACTGCAGATTAAAACTAGATAGCATAGATTTGGGAATTTTATTGAAACCGTATTCATATAAAATGGAGCACTGAATAAAGATGTCTAACAGCCAGTTTCATGAAATGATTGATGCCAGTTTACTGGACAGCATTGTGCTCTGAACTCTAGTTCACTAGTCTTTCTCCACGCTCATTTTTGTATAAACAACTGACCAAATGTTCACATCACAGTTTCAGTACATTCGATACCATTGAAACCTGTTTAGTCCCCTTTCCTACAAACCAAACATTACAAGTAAATATTGGCTGATTGATAAGAAACAACAGTTGTGCTGAAACGTGTGATATTGTTCCCTTGAACTAGTATATGAGATTTTAGAATACAAGGAGTTTGTAGAGTTTGGTGGGCCACATCAGAACAGCCGAACCCAGTATCTGGTGATTGCACAATGTGGTATGCCAAATGTGGACAATCCAGATCAAAACTAGTTTGTATGGCGGACACTGCTCAATTGAAGCAGTCAATTGTAGTAGAAAAAAGCAAGAGTATTCAACTATTGTTTATTCCAAAGCAGAGGGAAATCACCGCAAGACAAATACAAAAGTGATCTATTTTACGGAATATGGCTTTAAACCAAGTGAATCAGCAACCACAAGATCAGTGGAAATGAAAAATGACGGATTCAGACTAGAGATGGCTAAGAACGGCCTCGGCACCCGAAACATCCAGCTCGCCAACAGCAATGTGTTTGACGACACCATCACGGACAACCATGGCAAATCGCTGGCAGCGCACGCCCAAACCCTTGTCAACAAGATCTAGCTCCATGCCAATAGCTTTGGTGAAAGCCCCAGAGCCATCTGCCAGGAAGAGAATCTTGTCACCAGCCTTTTCGGCTTTGCCCCATGCATCGAGAACAAAGACATCGTTAGTAGCAAGACAAGCAACGGTGTCAACACCCTTGGCCTTGAAGGCCTCATACTTGGAGATGAACCCAGGAAGATGCTGAAGATGGCATGTTGGAGTGAATGCTCCAGGCACGGCAAAGACAACGACTAGCTTATTGCCAAACACAGCAGCAGTTGACTGGGGTTTGGGCAGAGCACAGGCACCGTGTTCTTGGGGATTGCCAGAGGTCGTGAAGGTGGCATCAGGCAACTTGTCTCCAACTTTTAGAGTCATGGTTTGGTGAGGAGTGGAAATAGAGAGTTGGGGTATACAGAGCTTGAGATCATTTTAAGCGTCTTTTATAGTTTTCAAAATCTGATTTCAGCTTATTGAATGCATCTTTTACCATCTGATCTACCCGATAAATATTATCCGTCATCTGATCTATTCGGAATAGTTTCTCAATTGATTTGCTCCTGCAATTCAACTATTTGCCAATTATTCCGATTCTAAATCTATGATGCATACACATTTACCCACTGTAGCTAATTTGGAATTACTCCGATGAGCTGTAAAAACTGAGTGATGCTTGCAATAACGGCTTAGTTTAATAACGGATAAATATAAAAACATTACAAACTGTGACCTAGCGTTTTGTGCAGCAAGATCTAAACAGTCTACACTATTCTTTATCCTTGCGAGCGCATTTGTGGACCTTGCCAAGCATAAATGTCTCGAACAGAAATACCAAGAATCTTGAAAACAATATTACATGCAAGCCCAACACTTGTGAGTGGCAGACAGATTGGCAACAATGAATGTGTCCAGACTTTTGTTGACAGCATTTGAACCTAATCTCTGGATTGCAATGGATGAGTCTGGTATCAAGCTTAGGACTGTACAATGCATGGCTATGCCAAAGGTAGAGAAGGTACAAGGTTTAAATAAAACATTTCAAAACTATAGTTTGATTGTGTGCTTTATACGACGGTCGCTGTGTTTGGAGATCAATCAAGGAAGCTGTAACGTCAAGACTAAACAACGACATGAACATTTCCAAACACGCATACTATTCTAGACAACATTTCATTCCACAAAACAACTCATTGAACATGATGTCAACCATTCAACAAATGTCGCGCAGATTGAAACCATACCACAGTTGCATACTATCCATTCCTAAACCTTGCAGGAAATGATTCGAGTATGATAATGGTTTTGTGTATCGAGCAATTTCAGACACCAAAAGCTTGTATAGAACAATCAGTTTCTAGTAGGAAATAACGAGTATTTAACCATTATTTATTCCAGAGCAAAATAGTCAATCCAAGATAAATACATGAAATATTCCATTTTACGCAAATATGGCTGCAAGTCTCAATCCATCAAAAATTTATTTCTTGTTGGCCTTCTTTGCATCAGCTTCCTGGTTCTTGATCACCTTCTTGACAATCTTTTGCTCCTCAACGAGGAAAGCACGAACAACCCTATTTCAGACAGGAGTATTCAAACGTTAGCACACAATTTCCAAAATCGCCAGCTATTGTACATTGATACGAGGCTTACCTTTCGCGAACACAGTTTGCACAACGACTGCCACCGTATGCGCGGGTAACGTGCTTCTGGGGAAGCGAGAGACGAGCATAGTGAGTGGGGCGAAGAGCGGGAAGCTATAATATAAAATTGTAGGTGGTGGATTTAAATATGCTGTATAGTTCGCATCACAACGTGGCATGCCTTAAACTTACACCAGGAAGGACAGTACCACAGTCACCGCATTTGGGGAAACTGGCCTTCTTTTTGATGTGAAGAACGGCAAGCTTGCCACCTAATCCGAGTCAAGTGTTCAATGATGCAGATATGTCAGTAAACGGCCAGATGCTTTATAATAAACCAAAACCTGATCTTGCTTAATAGAAATCCACTTACCAGGAGTCTTGATGACACGGGTCTTGTTAGACTTGGTGTTGTAAGAGAGACGACGACGATAGGTAACTCGTTGAGCCATTTGTCTGCTAAAGAGAATCAAAAGTAGTTGATTGGTCCAATATGAACAATGAATATGTTAGCAAGTAGTAATCATGCACCAAAAGCAAATCTTGACAACCGCCAATAGACCCAATGCATTCCATCCATCCTGAAACCAATCATGGTTAATCCACCAACTGCTGATCCAAGCTGCATATCCAAGCCTTTAGCGTTTTCCAAATGTTTAGTCTGACAACTACCAATCCAGATAATAATCGAATGCAAGCCGAGTCCAAGTTGATCAAGACAAGCCTAATTGGAAAAGCTCTTCAAAATCAAAATGAAGAACAAACTATACAATGCGCATCTCAATTGGCAGACTAGTTGTGGCAGTAAATTGGCTGGATGTACTAGCTGCTGCTACATTTGAAACGACTTGGATTTGATTCAGAAATGCAACTGCATGCATATTTGTATAGATGAATACAGCATGCATGCAGTAGACCTATGGATGGATGGATGCCTATCATATTTGCACTCATGCAACTGCTTACATACAAAGATCGAGTGGTGTAAAGTAAGTCGGAAATTCGACCGTTGAAAGTTGAATGTGCGGGTCACCAAGTCATTCCCTATATTTTACCGTCCACACTCCATTAACAAAATTATACATTCTGCCCACTATATCTGTTTGCTGAACATGACTCGCACATTAGTTTATTGTTATAGCGTGTGATCTACTCGTGCTTCGACTCTGGATTTAAATCTTGCTCGTCAGACTCTTTGGGTTTGTTTTTTTTAAAAGATGGATTGTCAGCAGGTTTGGACTTGATTCCTGCCTTCAGTTTGTAGCGTATGCCAGATTTCTTTTCCTCGCTCTTTATCGAATCGCCCGATTCATCCACCGTGTCTTGCGAGTCGGAATGCTTCTCATGCTGTATGTCTTCTCCAAGTAGTGGCCAAAAATCATCCATATTCTCAGTATCCAACAGATCTTCAATTCCGCTCTGTATCAGTTTTTGTAACGATTCAATGGCCTGTTCAATTGTATCTTGATCCAGTTGAAGTTCTGATGCGGCCTGTTGAAGCAGATCACTCAGTATCTCCTTGTCAACATCATTGATATTGTCACTGCTGGTAGTTTCGAATTTTGAAAAAATGTTGGGCTGGTTCTTATCAGCAGTGTGTTTAGTGTCCTCAACAATGACTCGGAGCTTTGCTGTTACATCAGTTTCATCGTGGATCTTGCTGATGACACCATTCGCATCCTTGACTGTAACGGGCTTATTCAGCTCTACTTTGGATGTGTCTTCCTTGTCCAAATCAACCACTAGTGGACCAGCAAATGGCGATCGCTTTAGATCGTGCTCGTATTTCAAAATTTGAATACCTGTCATTGAAGGTAGTTTCGGTGCAGGCTTCTTGATCTGCGGTAGCGAATCGATCTTCTCATCGGGTTCTTGCAAGCCTTTGGAATCGGAAGTCGTATGTACTGTAGACGAGGCATCTGATTTGTCAGTAAGAGTGTTTTGAAGAGGAGACATTGGATGACACTCAATCAAAGGCGTTTGATGCGCTACTTGATGAACAAATGTTGGGTCGCGACACAGACGAGATGTATGAACAACCACATAATACTTGCAGCTCGATACTTCTCTTAATGAAGAAATTACATCTCCACTGTTTTGTGAGCATTGATACTAAATATCGTGTTGCAGTAAATACGTTATAAAATAGGAAAGCAGCGTGTCATGTTAAAAACGTTACTTTTTCAACTATGCATTGAATAGCAATTTCCCACTCAAGCATCATTGCATTACCTCAATAGTAACCTCTCTTGCAGATCCTATAATATCGCAATGCGTGCCGCCACTCCAAACCTCCTTCAGAACCCACACCGATCCACCGCTTTCCTTCTTCAGCACGACATCCTGCAATTTGATCTTTGTAGATTTACCCAAGATATACTCTGTAGGTTCACCTTCTGACGTCTTTGCTGCTTTAGCCTTTTCTGCTGCATGGTTGAATTGTCGCACGTTGCCATTGGCACACAACTCATATGTCCAGTATCCACCGGGGATCTAACCCAACCAGAGTAGATATCAATTAGCTTAAATTTATAATTCTTTGAAAATATTCTCAACATGGCACCGCATATAAAAGTCAATCGCATCACTTGCAAAATAAATACACTTGATAGATTTGATGAGTTTCAGTCCAGCCTGCGTGGCTTCATTTCGAAATAGCACGTTATCAGTTGTACTGCTCGAGCTCGCACCTGTTTTGGAGCTGGATTCAGCAGGAAGAGTAGACAGTTTAGAAGATCCCAAGCCAGGAGTATCTATTATGGTGGTATTCGGAATCAGACAAGCAAACAATGCTTGGCTTCCATCCTGCGTTCGCTTCATCATCATAACCGATGCGCCATTCTATGTTCAGCATGGTAACAAGTCAGCTCATATACATGCCAATCTAAGACCTAGTTCACGTATGTAAAACCTTGGTCTTTATATCCATCAGCTCGTCTTGATTGATCCAGTTTCTTCCAAATACAACTTTGAGCTCAGGCCTGGCAAAAAGGTCCATGTCTACATGAGCTACTGTAGAGAATGCACTGGGTATTTTATCCGGTTTACCCTTTACAAAAGTGTCTTGTTTCGTTTGAGCAAACGTATGCCGTGCAAGCAAGCCAACGAGTATGGCATGGATAAACATGGTCTTATCTGATGGCAGTTGCATGTTGATACTGTCGTTTTGAATCAATACACTCACCCTCAGGTCTGTTCATTTAATCTTGACAATTTCATTCAAATCTGCATTGGCTTGGCTTTGAAATCAAACTTGTCAAGACCAGCACTCATCCAAGGTTTTATTTTCCAAATACATTCAAACACATTGTAAATTTCATGAGTTTATTGAATCAACGCACATAGTGTTTCAACAGGTTCGTGCTTCAGTAATGCACATAGTCTTGGATGAACCCCAGGAATAGGAACAAAAGCGATTTTTTTCTTTTGGTCAATACTAGAATTTGCTGCTGTTGCTAAATCAATGGCACCGCGCTGTTTAGAAACAGATTCAAAACAGCCTACGAGCTGTTCCAATAAATCAGTTGCATTGCCGTCAACACCATCGCGTTCAAAATGGGTTAGCATCTCTTGCGCTTGCTTCATTGCATATGCCTTGTCTGTCGAATTGGATAGAGCTGAAAATATTGCAATGTACGCTTCAGTCGCCATACCAGTTGCTAGACAATCGTCTAAAGTAGTTTCAAACAGTTTCAAGGCTTCTTTGGATTGACCCAATATACCCATAGCTTGAATTGCACAGATATGCCCAAGTGGAGGAGGTGGTGACGATACTGCACATCCATCCTTTACAGTAAACTCATTGTAAAGTGTCAGCACAAGTGATGGATCTTTAGGACCATATGCATTAGACACCAGCGCTGCTTGCATAAGTTTAGCCAAAATAACACCTCGTGAACGGATTGGCATACGTGACAGATGGATACGATCACGAAGATAGTCGATATGTTTACCACTTAGATCCTTGGATATAGCTAAAAACAGACTTATGGGTAAAGCCGCAGGTGTGATTGGTTTTCCAGCATCACGGTCAGGATGGTTGCTGTTGTTTCGATTATTGGTAGTGTTGTTGCGAGGATCATTGATTGTATGGCGAAGTACAGTCCATGCCAACATTGAATCACCACAGTTCAAATACGCTTCAATCATAGCAGTTTGCATATCTGTTGTAGGTCTAAACCCGATCACATTTTCCATTTTGTAATACAATCGAGAAGCAGCAGTAATGTTTTTTCCTTTGCCGTAGCAACGGATCAAATTGGTAAAGGTATCAGCGTTGGCCTCAACTTGGGCTCGACGCATGGACTGATACTTGCGTATAGCATCACCAGGCAAGCCACGCTCGCAGTATACTCTCATGCTAGCATTATATGTTTCAGTAGTGTGTTTATGTGTAGAATAAGTGATTTGGTCAAAGTATTTTTGTGTTTTGGTGATGTTCCCGATTTGAGCATATCCTTGCAACAAATGCTGGCGAATAGTAAGAGCATGCTCCGCATCGCCGTGCTCAAATATCTGAACAGAAAGTGCTTCAGCGGTTTCCATATCACCGACATTACAGTATGCAATCAGTAGATGGCAAAATGTCGTGATCTGCGGCTGAAGACCAACTTCCATCATGCGAGAAATGAGCGACTTGCAAATCTCGGGTTGATTGGCAGCAGCAAACACGGCAATGAGCTCATTGCATATAGTCACATCCACCAAAGTAGCTGCTGCTGTGCTGGTTTCGGATTCATGATGGCCAGCTGAAGCACGCTGAGATGTCTGAAAATCAGAATACTCTCCAATCACTTGTCTGCAGATACGAACAGCTTTATCCAAATCGGTCTTGGCGGCATATCTAGCAGCACGTAAAGTGAAAACATCCATTTCCTGCTGAGCTTGATGGCCAGACTGCATGTAGTCATTACGGATTTTTAATGCGATATCAGCCAACACGACACCAGTGGTATTTCCAAAATACAAAGTATTGACTCGAGTCATGACCACACGATCCATCAAGGACAGGTATGTACGATGTGAGATCTTGGATAAAGCCTCTTTTCCAAGAGCACGAAGACTGTCATAGGCAGCCAAGAGCTGGGCATCAGTTCCAGCTTTTAGCGAGTTGTCCAACGCACGCAGATGAACGATGGGATCAGTGGAAAGGCCAGCATCAAACCAGGACAGTTGATTAAGTTGACCCAATTTGTTGAAATTGTTGGATGGAGAAACTCCATCATTGATAGTAGTGGTGGTTGGACGCAGTTTGATAGTACCAACAAGTTGCGAGTTGATGGCAGATCGAGGAGTTCTTTTAATATGGGATCTGCCTCTAGTAGAAGTGGAATTCTGAGTGGTGGAATATCTAGAAATTAAACCAAGAGAGCAAACAGAATTGCATGCAGAAGTAGTCGCTGTTCTAGTAGTAATGATGGCTCGCATCAGCATCGTCATGGTCATGGCGATCGCCTGCTGTCCAAATCCAACCAAAAAAGAAAATCCAAACAGCTCAAATCACTTCATCCAAAAAACAAACCAGGTCACGTGTGTTGACTGGAACTGACTCTTGCCAAAAACCTATCAAAGATCACATATCGTCTCTACCAAGTGCATATTAGCCATTGATGCATTACTAATGAGATTCTATTTTAAATAAAATACTGAAATTCAGAATAAATGCTCGTTTTATATCTTAGTTCTAGTTGCAAACGCAACGTTTCATCCCATCATGTCTGATTAAGCATTAGATTTGTCACATTGGGAAAGTCGTATACTCACAAGAATGGGTTTTTGAGTATAGAATGATTTTAAAAGAGTGTTAAATCCTGTGGTCAGCACTCTTGTAAAATCAATCCAATAATACAGAGCATGGCACATGTATTGGACTACAATCTTTGAAAAATCTGACATGCTTGCGCGTATAAACTCGAGAAATGACCCCAACATGCTTGTATATGCTTGAGCTTGAACGAGACAACCAACAACACATACTACAAATCATTTACCTTTGGTAGTCGGATACTACACATCACAGATATCTCTATCTGTATACAATCGCTAATACTCTACATTTTGGCTAAATAATATCAACAATAATAAAGTACTCCATTTGAGCAGTATCATGCTCTAATGAATGCAGATAGGCACTATTGAATCATAATTTACGGGTTAGCTTATTTGGCATGCATTGCATTTACTATTCTCAACATGGTCCAATCAGAAGTTGCTGTATGGCCACTAACCATTTGTCACGTTGCTGTGTTTGCTCTGTATCCCACAGTGTCCAATAGGATAAAGTATAATGGTCAGTGCGGGGCATCAGTAAAAAACTAGATTCGCATTAGAGATGCCTGCATTTATGCTGAACCCTGCAGTAACTCATATCTCAAGAATGTTTATATAAATAAAAGTATCACCTTCAACCCAACCCATACTTGTTCGAAAGTTTATCTGCTCAGTAGCTATAGCATACTAACCCAGACTGGCACTATGTTTCAACTCTTCTCCACTGCTACGACATTGGTCGCGTTCTGCATCGGTATTACTTCTGCCGTGCCTACTACCATCAATGGCGAGATCATCGTCCACCACGCCGAGCAGCCCCACTCTCTCACAAAGGCCAAGCCTGCATTTGATCGCTTTGGTGTGATTGTGTTGGAAAATCAGGACTTTGACGCTGCCATGGAAGATCCTTATATGGGCACTGAGTTGCGCAAAAAGGTAAACTCGCCATTACGGTTCAAAGTCGTCAGATTTTACCATTTCTCGTGTACAGATCTTGGATGATCCTGATGGTTTTGAACACCATAGCCATGTATCATCATGCATACTGACCTTGTGCTGTGTACTTTTAATCCAAATTCATGTCAATAGGGAATGCTTCTTACCAATTACCATGCTCTTACACATCCTTCACAACCCAATTATCTTGCAATGGTACGCAATTGGTTATTTTTGCTCTACTTAATGCCATATGTAATATATTTGCACTTTTACTGAGTACAGTATACTGTAACTAATCGACTAAATACCGTTGGATCATTATACTTTACTTGCTCTGGCTACCCTATTTTTGTTTGTGATGGCAATTACCTGAATCCCAGATTTCGGGTAGCACTAGTGGCGTATTTATGGACTTTCCTGCCAATATCAACCGCAAGACTATTGTAGATCTGATGGAAGCTAAAAATGTTTCGTGGAAAACCTACCAAGAAGATTACCCAGGCAACTGCTACACTGGTACTAGTCAAGGTCTTTACTATCGCAAACATAACCCCTTCATCACTTTCACCACAATCTCCAAAAACCCCGCCCGTTGTGCCAAGATTGTCAATTCTAACCAGCTTTTGACCGACATTAAAGCCGAGCAGGTGCCTCAATACTTTTTTTATACTCCCAACATCAACAATGATGGACACAACACGGACATCACGACTGCTTCAAACTGGCTCAAAAATTTCTTGGAGCCATTATTGGCCAACCCATACTTTGATAGAACTGTTTTCCTTGTCACCTTTGATGAGAATGATTGGCTGTTGCCTTGGTTCGATAATAACCAGATCTACTCACTATTGGTAGGTAAACCCGTCAAACCAAATACTTCTGACAATACCGAGTATAATCATTACTCTCAGATGACTACTGTTCAAGCTCGCTGGGATCTTGGCTCTCTTGGTGCTGGCAATGCCCCTGCTTTCAATCTATAAAGCATCTGTTATCATACCCTTTGTCGCTAGCTGAAACAGGGAAAATTTCTACTTATAAAACAAACTATTGGCTTATCAACATTTGAAATAAACATTCACGAAAAACAATTGCAAGATCATTTGCATACATAATTCGCACATCATGCATATCCAAATAGTGGATGCATTTAAGAAAGCAAGCAAAATATTGACTGCAGAAGGTTTAAAGATGTCAAGACGCAAGAACTTTATAGGATTGCTATAGCAAACTCTATACCCTGTCTGACTGATAGATAAAAGGCTATCGCCATAAGCTGTTGTCGGGATTCAATATTTTGGCGTAATATCTAGTATACTTGCTTGTTCAACCTCCATAATAAAAGTATATAAACATGTCTAGATGGGACAATATGGATGCATGCACATCAATAGACACCATGCCAGTATCCACTTATTTTTCAGCTGCTCGGCATAATGCTCAAACTAGCCACAGTTCGCCATATTCAGTACTAAACCACGATAGCCGTGATACAATAGATATGGCTGACACAAGCTGCGACAATAAATTCCAACAAGCTAAAATATATCAATGTCGTGGACCACCATATGAGAAGCCGTCATCTCTAGCAAACGTGGAGGCTTTGTTATACCAAGCTACGCTATTGTCTGACAAACAGTCAGATCCAGTCACTCAAGGTGATAATCTATGTAATGACAATGTAATAGTGGCTATATTAACCATAGATGATACTATATGTATGAATTAATGTGGAGTAGCTCGACAGCTGTTGAATGAATGGGCAAGCCAGACTCATGAAGTAAGCGGTTCAGACCAGGACTATATAGATGATGGTTACAATGACGAGTTTGAAGACACAGATATGGGTGGAGATGACTTGTCTCAGCGAGTACTACGATGCATTCAAGCATCATCTGATGGATTCGGTACAACTGCAGAATCACTGGGATGGATGGATAATCCAAAAAAAGATCGAATAGGAAATGGATTGTCCATGACAGGCTCGGCTGTTAATACAAAAGAGTATGTTTGTAATATAGTCAAGGAGGCAGTCCAGCACAAGGTAATGCTTGCATCTTGTCTAGTTTACTGGAGCCTTGCAATGAATTCAAGCATTTGATTAACCGATATATAGACTCCTAAGAGTTCCAGTAGCAGAAACCACCAGGAGTTTACTGCTTTTCGAAATCCACAATTGAGTATTACTGCTCGACAAGATTTAGTCAAGGAAAGAAAGCGGCTGATGGATATGAAGCGACACGATGAGATTCAGCAAAAACTTGCATTGAAGCAACAACAACTACAGCATGCTCTGGAACTGCAGCATCAAGCTGCACGGTTAGTCATATACTTGTTTCGATTCTTGATGCTGGTAAAGTTGATCGAGCTCATTCAATATGCTGGTATTTTTAATAGGAAAGCAATAGTCGACAAAGAGGTTGTGAGCAGAATGCAAAGGGAGCATCAGATTCATCGTAATCTGGACCATGCAATTACCGAGATGGATCATATCCACCAAGCTCAAATCACTTTGATGGATGAATCAATGTAGCTATTCATTTTAACTGCATGTAATTATGAAATACTAATACGATATTGCAGTAAACTGAGTATAATTTATATCTGCCTAGCAATCATGATGCGGAGTTGGCTATCAAGGAAGCTAAAAAGAAAATTATTGCCGAAAAGCATTGTGATGCAATCGTCTCCAAGCGGATTGACACCATGATTGCTAAACGAAACATGAGGCTTATGCGAGTAAGTTTATTCATTACTATTTTTATGCTTTATTGGTTGCTTTTTAATACTCATCCAAAGACATTGTCAAAAAAGAGGATACTGAGCGAGTGGAAACGCATGCGAGAAACCATCACCGAGTATATAGTAGTGATCAACACCAAGCAAGCCTGGAGAATACAAGTAACATCCTTTTCACGCTGGATCAATACGTACAAATCCCAATGTGCCAAACGGTAACTCGTTAAAATATTGAATGGCTTGATTTACCGAGAGTGTAAGTTGATACTGTTTTGGAATGTAGGCACCAGCGCGCACTCAGAGAATCACTGGCACATCAGCAACAGCTTGTATGCAAAGCAGTTAGATTTGATCGAAGTCGGTGCTTATCAAAAGCATTTTTGGCATTCAAGTTGGGAACAGAGCTATATCGTAAGTCGTATAGGTTGAACATTTGCACTTGTTTGTGCCAATCATTTATTATTGTAATTTGGCCTTTTAGGTGAGGATCGACGGATGCAGGAAATACATATTCAAAGAGCTGTGCAAATGCAGCAGTTCTTGGCACAGTTAAACAAGCGGCATCAGCAAAATACAAGCTCTATCGATAACTCTCAGCCTTCAAATAAGATTTGTCTTTATCATGAGCATCGCCATGATACTGTTGCTGATATTACGCGAGACCGCACCAACAAAGTAGACTCTTCCGAGTTGGGAGCAGCCGCATTGCCAATAGTATCAAGTCAAAACGATGCCATATTAGCTTGCGGCAGAGTTAACCGTCCGCCAAAACCAATTAAAAGAATTCAGATGGATACTCGGTTTATTCAAGGTACACGTTCGTTTATCCCTGAAAGTTGGTTGGATTCATGTAAATCCAAATAATTCAAAAGCTAATGATCAGCATCAAGTGATTAGCCATGGAAAAGCGGCAGGCGGAGCGTGATCAAAGGCGTAATGAAGCCAGCATCAAGCTAGCAGAGCAAAAACAAAAAAAAGAGGCAAATGCATATTCAAACAACCACTCCATCACTTTTAAACATAGTGTGCTGAGATATAATGGCTAATTCAATGGAAACTGTGTTTTTCATAGCTGGAGAAGGCTAGAATTGAGCAGGAAAGGCAAGATCAGGAAGAAAAAGAGCGACACCAAATGATTCAATTGAAAAAACAGGCTGAACACGAATCACGCCAGGTAGTTTGGGCGGCCTTATGTCAGACTTTCAGCAATCTAATCACCTACTTTTATCTCATAATAGAAACTCGAGCAGATTGAGGCATCGCGACAAAAGATACAGAAGCAATACCAGCATGCAAAAAAGCATCACATCCAGTCGATTCAGGCTTTTTATGGACTAAAGCCATGGCAAAAGTACATTCAAGTTATCCGTCAGCAGGAAAAAGAAGCCGCTATGCATTACAATAGAATGCTTCAGCAGCAGGTCATGTGGAGGCTTGTGCATAGGATGGGTGAGCGTATAGCTAAGCGAGAACAGCGTGCGGTCCAAATGTACCACACGCATTCAAAACGGAGTATTTTGCATAGATGGATCCAAGTAAGATATGGGTGAATTTTTAAACAGATACCAAAACAGTTGTTAATCATGGCCCCATGGAGTTTAGGCCAAGAATCAAGTTTTTAACATGAAGGCCAAGGCAGTTCAAAGATCACAGCAGTGTGCACAGAAAGTGATGTTGACCCGATGGATAGCAGCATGGCGTAAAGCAGTCATCAAGCACAATATGGAACAAGTACGATTATGTCAGATAGCTGATGGTATGGCTAAAAGGTAGGGAGTTTTGAATGGCATTCACTGAGATACCCAAGCCCCCACTTATGGTTTAAACAAACAAAAACAGGGTTGTACCGCGTCGAGTGCTGTATCGCTGGCAAGAATTTGTACAGGAGCAAAAAGATGAGCGATGGAGAGTGTATCGGCGATCACAGCTGCAGGCACGAGTACAGGTAAGAATAAAAATAGGTCATGGATACCGCAGATGGGACAGATGGAGCATCAGAGCCATGATGAGCTGACACTTGCCATTATTAGAGTATTCTTCAAGAATCAGGACGATTGGAAAAAGCAATCAAGACTATAGTGATGGATATAAAACCTATTGAGAGATGAAGCCCACGTAGTTTATTACAAACGGGAGCGATTATAAATCATTCCATGAGTGAATTACGGGTTTTGTTTGGCAAATAAAACGAGTCGGAGAAGTGATTTTCAACTTAAAACTTTGCATCTTGTGTACTCGCATCTGAGTACTTTTATTCCTTTTGTAAGTGGATGTATTGCTGTTAGATATCTCAATCTGCCTCGATACTATATCTCTGTACTGCTTGTCAGTTATCCATATCTGTTGGTTTAGAGATTGCCATAATTGAGTTGTGACAGTGTTGGAGTGTTCCTACTGGGTATCAAGGTCCATGTCATTGCCTTGTTCCTACTCTTGTCTTGTATGAATTAATATGCGATGCATTATCTTTGTTGTGTGGTTCATGATGTCACTTTGAACTCGCCAATTTTTGGTGCACCCACATCATCTGGGTTGTTTTCAGCAACTATCTGCACAACCATCTGCCTATATGTACTAGCATCTACATGTGATGGGTGTTTGTATTGTTTTTACGACATGCATAATGCTTATATCTTGGATCTGATTGCAACAATGCTTTGTTGCCAACACTCGAGTCTCGCTAATCCCAAAATTGACAATTTTTCGATTGCCAGTGCATTGGCTGGTTTCAATACCTGTATGTTCAGATCCTGTATATATGAATTGCTGTTTCTAAGAAACATGCATTGTTATTACTACCTTACCCCTATTATATCCATATTTGACGTATTTGCTGTCCAGCATTCTCAATTCCTTTTAGCCTTGCATTAACCCGTCTTTGTTTTTACACGCATATTCATACAGCCACTTGTCTGAATTTGTAGTTCAATAGTCAACCATGGGTCCGACCAAACCTGCTGCCATGACCCAGGCTGTTTCTGGTCCTTTAAAAACCCCTCTAGATCATCACAAACATCAGATTGCTCCTGAAAAGGTTGTTGTTGAGGGCACTGGCGGAAAATACTTTTCTAGATCCCAAATGTGGACTGCAATTCTTGGAACTCCTGCAGTCGTGTCCGTTATGATCCTCGGCACTACTACCAGTGCTCTGTTTTGGTACCCTGTATTCCTGGCTTTGCTCGGCCTTCCCGCCTTTGCTGCTTATCATGTTTTCTATGCCTTGACTGCCACTCCCAACAAACCTCAAAAAGGCCTCGCTGGACTTGGCGTTCCTGCTTATCTCGATATTCTGGATGCAGATCTTAAAAAACGCTATGCTTCTGCTTCATCCAAGATTCCCATTGAGACCTTTTTTGAAGCCTATTTTGAAAACAAAATTGAGCTAAAGGGCGACATGTTGGATATTCTTGAATCTCGCTACGACTGGGCTTCATTTGTATGGACCCTCTCGCAGCTCAAGTTCTTTTTAACCCAGTGGGTCCCTGAAACCCTTTGGCATTCTCGTAAACAGGACGAAGACCAGGTTCGTGATCACTACGATCGGGGAGATGACTTTTATAACTGGTTTCGTAAGTTTTTTAATGAGCTCAATTGATTTTTTGGGATATTGTTTGGCATGGCTTGCTAACTTTTAGCTACGCCTATTCATATGACTTGAACTACGCAGTTGGTCCTATGATGATCTACACGTCTGGAATTATGGGTTCTGCTGATAGCCGCGAAACTCTTGAAGAACTTCAGCAGCGTAAGCTTGAAACAGTTTGCCATAAAATCAACCTTCAGCCCGGTGAAAAGATGCTTGATATTGGATGTGGTTGGGGTACTCTTTCTGTCCATGCTGCCAAGCAAGGTGCTTCTGTTACTGGTGTCACTCTGGGTCGTAATCAAACCCAATGGGCACTCAATAAAGCCAAAGAAGCTGGTGTCGATGACAAGGTCCGCATCCTTTGCATGGACTATCGTGATATTCCCAAGGAAAAATACAACAAGATCACTTGTTTAGAAATGGCAGAGCATGTTGGTGTTCTTCGGTTCACTACATTTTTAAACCAAGTTCGCGAGATGTTGAATGATGACGGCATCTTTTTCTTGCAAATTGCTGGTCTGCGTCGTGCCTGGCAGCATGAGGATCTCATGTGGGGTGTAAGTATATTGTGGCTTTATTGCATAGATCTACCTTGAAAGATTGCTTACTTTTATTTTGATGGTTTTAAGCTCTTCATGGCCAAATATGTGTTCCCTGGAGCTGATGCATCTTGCCCTCTTAACTGGGTTATCGAGGAAGCAGAACGTGCTGGGTTTGAAGTAGAAAGTAGTGAGACTTTGGGTATACATTACTCTACGACCATCTATCGTTGGTACGCCAACTGGATTGATAATAAGGATCATGTTGTGGCTAAATACGGCATGAAGTGGTGGAAGATTTGGGAATTTTTCCTTGCCTATTCCACTGTGATTGCCCGCCAGGGATCGGCGACTGTGTACCAATTGGTTCTACACAAGAACTTGAATTCGTTTGATCGATCTCAATTCATCTCAAGGCGTTTGAAAAAATGAAGAGTTGTAATCTTTTAAGCTGAGTTGATGGTCATATTCATGTAAAATAGAGCATGCATCTTGCAACGACTGTTTGTTTTGGAGTAGATGGTGGTTAGACATTTGTTGCGCTTTCATACTACAAATTGATTCCAATAGACAGTCTCGACAATAACACAACATCCATCAACCCATATTTGCAATGCTTGTACAAGAGTTGGTGATTGAACCAGTATCAGGGATGTAGAATTTATCAGTGAAGGCGTGAACATTTAATATTTTATACAAAATGAGCATAAAAACCAATAAAACAATGCTCAGTAGATTGACATCATCTCAGGAGACTGGCAGTTTACCACATGCGGTCACCCTATTTGATGGTCCATTTCACGTGAATACGACTGTATTTGAAATTGCAGTTGTGCGGTTTGATCTATCGAGTTGCAGGTGGTGGCTGCATTTATCTCCACATGAGTCAAACGCGGTTTGGATGAAGCCAAGCTTATTATACAGCTGTCATTGTTCTATAGTCAAGAATCCTCTTTGTAGCCACGCATTGGCTAGAGTGTAACTGGCCATTATGCTTTAAAGAGAGTATGAAATGCAAGTGTCTATTTTACACTACTTTTAAAAACTAGCGACATCAATCAGCCAATCCACCATTAAACACTGAGAAGACGGTTAGGTCTGGACAATGATATATAGTACACTCCCACCAAGACTCGACGCACGCAATCACGCACCTAAAGTGCATCATTCAATCACTAGGCCACCCCATATCAGTACTCCTTATAATACAATCGCCTCGTCACCACAGACATCAGCAGATATCATTGCCAGTTTTACAGCAGTAGAATCGCTTTTTGAAAGACAGCAACTTCTTTCGAGTATTGTTGGCGCATGCACAGCACGAGAAATCCGTTTTATCCAATCTTGCATTCGTCAGCGTACTGCAACCAAACCACTCACGCCATCACCCACTCCGCCGTCACTCATCTCTCTCGATGCGTTTGAAGAAGTTGCTGATGAAATAATTGTACATATTCTTTCATTTATTCACGCACCTGCGGAATTGTCTCAGTGTGCCCAGGTGAGTAGAAGGTTTTACCGTATCATGGCTGATAATGCCTTGTGGCGAGTAATATGCGTGCAGAAAAAGTTTGAGCCGTTATATCCATCAGCGGATACACATCCGACACAGAGAGATGATTTTAAATGGAGATCCATCGCACCTCAAAATGTTTATATTCCATTAGGATCATCTCCTCAGTCTGAAAACGATAGGTTCTCGATTGGATGGCCTATTCATCGGGGCCAATCCATCGAGTCTAGTGGGAGTGTCGAACACAAGAAAAGTGGGTGTAAAACCCAACTGATGCTATCACCTTGGAAACAAGTCTATATGGAAAACTACCTCACTTGGATGAATTGGCTTAATGGTCGATATCAACTTGTTCCTGTTCAGCGCAAACCCACCCAAAGTGAGCTGCAATCGCTCACCAATGCCATCATTTGTATAGCTGCAATATTTTAAACCTAACCATGATTGCATTGGTTTTAAAAGGTGGACTATGCGTTTCTTTTGATGACCGGTTTGCCGTGTCGGTCAAACTTGGCGATCCAGGACAACTGTTTGATATACAGACTGGTCGCTGCTATATGCTGTTTGCAGGACATACAGGGATGATATCGGCAGTTAAATTTAACCAAAAACTCTTGGTAAGCGCAGGCTCTGATGCTACTTTACGAATTTGGGAAATAAGCTCTGGTAGATGTGAGCGGGTTATTGAGGGTCACTTGGGTGAAATCACTTGTCTGCAGCTGGATGATGATATTGTGATCTCCGGATCAGAAGATCACACTGCCAAGGTATATCTTCATTTTGTTATCAATACAAACTGGAATGGTTTGATCTATACAAGACTGAAAGGGTTAATCTGACTAAATTATGTAACGCGTTTAAACCATTCTGCGCATACATCCAACCAGATATGGCAGATTTCAACAGGAACATGCTTGAAAACATTTCAAGGACATACAGGTGCAATATGCTGTTTACAGAATACATCAACTACTCTGGTAACAGGATCGACCGATACAACCATTCGTATGTGGGATATTCAAACAGCTTCCTGTAAACGGCAACTCACTGGCCACACTGGCCATGTATTTTGCATCCAGTTTGACTTGGAGTATATTTGCAGTGGATCGAACGACACCTGCATTAAAATATGGAGTGCAAAATCTGGAAAGCTGATTCGCACTCTTACTGGCCATCATTTAGGCGTAGTATGTCTTCAATTCGACCACACCAAAATTGTTTCAGGAAGTGCAGACAAGACCATCAAAGTGAGTGTGTATATCTACTTGTTTTCAGTCATGCATCTAACCGTGATGTTCTGGAACGGATTGCAATTTAGGTATGGAGTATCAAAACTGGACATAATTTGTATACACTGAATCATCATACGGGGAGTTTGTGGGCATTGCATTTCACAACAAATAAGATGGTGTCCAGTTCCATAGATGGATCACTGCTAATATGGGACTTTGCATTCCAAAAATCCAAATCTCGTGTCTGTGGAAGAAGGCACAACTCTAGCAGTGACAGACCAACAAAAGACGTTGACCGGCTTGAAGACAGCGAACATGAAGGTGCATTCAATCTACTTGATAATGGCAATTAATAAAACATCCTGTTTTGCAGTTGGACTAGAGTTTATATTTTGAAACGCCGGATCTGTCGAGAATAAAATCTGACGAGCATCAATGCAACTCTTGTAAAAATCAAACTGTTCATTCCTCTTCAGATAGAAACCAGGCATTTGTAATCAAGTCGTCTTGTGGACTACAGGAACAGTGAACAGCTGAACATACATCATCACCAGTCCCATAAATGTAAATGTCACACTACTGGCACCTTGACGAAAATCAGCTTCAGTAGATTTGCCATTGATGATGGAGAGTAGCGAAGCAAACAGAGCAGGCCACACAATATACTTGTGCTAGTAATCAGTGATGAACGAGGTTAGTTTGTGTTTAAAACAAAACACTGCTGGCTAGATTACCCTCATAATTAAACCCAAGATGCCCAATGCAAGTGCTAGAAATCCCAAGTAGTCGGTCTCGCTGGTTTCCTCGACAGCAACCGGCATGGAAAAAGGAGTGACCGCTAGCAATGAATAACAATAAATACTATTAGCAATTCCAGTAGCGATAGTCATGATGATGATATCCACCTTGAGGTCGTCTGGGATCTTGTGTTCTAGTGATTCTGCTCATGCCAATCAACTGCTATTTCAAAAATAAAGAATTCAACTTTCTTTTTTATATATTCATGTCGACCATTTGTGTTGCTGCTGGATCTGCTAATATTACTAGTGTCACCATCTATTAAGCAACTTCTGGATACACATTCACTTGTCAAACCACAATCTTTCTGCAGTTCAAAATCTAACATGGGTTCACAAGCATCTTCACTAGAACCAGAGGAGCTGGCTGAACTACAAAAACTCTCTACTTGTATGTTGTTATTTTGACTATTTACATTATATTCCAATCTGACAATTGTACTATTGGTAGTCTCTCTTGCTGAGATCAATAGTTTGTACCGTCGATTCCAGCACTTGGATAAAGAAAATATTGGCAGGATTGCTTTGGAAGAGTTGCATGCAATCCCCGAGTTGGCTGTCAATCCCCTTGCTCAACGGATCCATGCTGTATTTGATCTTGATGGGAGGAATGAGATTGACTTTCGCCAGTTTTTATCTGTTCTGTCGGTTTTTAGTAAAGATGCCAAGCGAGAAGAGAAACTCAACTGTATGTATATACCGTCATCGTGATGTTTCCATCTGCTTATACACATGCCTTTTATAGTTGCATTTAGGATATACGATGTCAATGGTGATGGATTGCTTGACAAGACCGATTTGACACATATTGTCAAACTCATGGTTGGCTCAAACGTGCCTGATATCGAAGTTGAAAAAATGGTACAACAGACTATTATGGATGCAGATACCCTTGATAGAGACGGTGCGATTTCATTTGCTGAATTCAAACGAGCCATGTTCAATGCTGACGTAGAGACCATTCTGACGATTCAGTTCTAACACTCGGGTGTACCTTTATATTATTGTGGTGATAAAAGTCATGGGCATGTCCAAAAAGTATCGACTTGATTGTAAATCAATAAATCAAGTGTTGATGCTAGCATGTAATAGGTTTGTCAAAGCTACAAGTTTTTTATTCGGTGAATATGCCCAATTCAAACTCGATTCGGGTTTCCCAAATCACAATATTTTGCTATATTACTTGATCAAACATGACTGTGCCGTCCCATACACTACGTATAAATAGTACTGCAGACATGTCTGTTGATAGTCCTACCGTTACTATTGATACTAGCGATGAAGTATCGCTTAAAAATCATACCAGCAGCCAGACTCACGACCCGTCACACACGCAGCATGACTACGAGCTTGCCTGCGAAGCCAGCTCAAGTGACAATGCTGCAAAGCAGCCCAAACCTAAAAAGACTTTTAAACTTGTTTACGCAGATATCCGGCCTTATCTCACACCATGGAATATATTTTCTCTAGTTCTTCTTTTTGTGATAATTGTGTCTGGTGCAATACTGTTTATGGCACTGGTTGGTATGCTTCGATTCAGCACGAAAGAAGTTAAAAATTTGTGGATCGAGGTCAACTCCCAAATCCTTAATACAATCTTCACATTTAATGCTCTAGTCGTACAACCAGAACGAGCATGGTTGATTTATTGCACTATCAAGTATCGTCTTGCACTCGGAAGGTTTCGTAAAATATTGAATATTCAGGGAGATGAGGAAGCGGCTGCTGCGTTAAGCAAACTAGATGCAGACACCTATCGTACTAGCCAAATCGATTCGGCTTTTGAGAACATGGCACTGTGGGCTGGCCGTATTCAATCCAAAGTCAATGCCATACATCTCTTCAGTGGTTACGATTTCCGTGCCAGTACGTCAACTGTTGCTGTCGATCAAGCAGTTTCCAACGAGGTATTACCCAACACTTCAAAAACAGTATATCCGCCAGCAACTGCTGTAGATATGGGTCATGCATCTAACCCTGATTTGCAGCAAAAGGTGTATTCAGTCCATACACCCTTTTACACATGGGTGGCCATTCTAGCATTTTTGAATGGACAGTGTTTTTTTCAATATCCAATTGATTACGGTATGTGGGCGTGGGCTGTTGATTACAACAGTAGACCGCCTTGGATTGTTGGAACTTTTCTTCCATTAAGTTTTCTATCGGGTGCAATTGGTGGAATCTGGCCAATGCTAATCGCTCGTAAAGCTAAAAGGGCTGCTGCTGTTCACTCTGAACACTGACTGTTTTGCCAATCCATTCGCGTTAGCTGTTGGCATAGTTGAATGGGTTTGTTAGAATTGTATTTTGAATCCCTTGTAGTTCCGTTATTTTGGAATAAACTCTAGTAATATAATTTGATCACAATACACTTTACATCCACAATTACAAATCAAACCCTAGCCCACAACTCTAGCCATATCAGTGTTTTGAATAACAAAAATCGGATTTATTTTGCCAAAATCAGCAATATAGAATCAATATTTTGTTAATATGACAAGGTTATCCAAACACATCTGCCATGGCCCATAATAATACCATCAAGCCACAGTTTGTGCAGCATCAAGCATGCTCAAACAAGCTAAAGCAAGGTAAAACACTGTACTTTCATGGCCATGTTGTGGCAGATCAAAAAACAACCGTCGCGCAAGTCGTTCGTTCTTTTCAAATGAAAGACTGGGTGCAGATGGGGTTGCAGGAGAAGTATCCAAGTGCTCTAAATTGGCATGCAAAGCCGACGGGGGTGTCAGAGAAGCAGGGATGGGTGGACGCGCAGGAGCAACTACATTTGTAGTCATAGCAGAGTCACCCGTCTTGGCAGCAAGTGATGGGTTCGTGGAGTTGGTGTCTTGAAGACGCAATCCCTCAATTTTAGGAAGCTGAAGTTTGAGTGGTCGAGACTCTATTGTTCCTGCTGCCCCTTCAAAGGACTCCACAACTGCTCGCGCCATAAGATTGCGCTGCTGAGCCGTGGCATCATTCATAGTAGGGTCGGCATCCAAATGCATTGGCGACAAATTCGATTCGTGGTTAAGCTCAAATACCCAATGCCTCCAAAATGTAGACACAGCCAAACGAACAATCTTGAGAATGTCAATACACTCAGCAGAGAGTTTGAACGTAGGATGGCATTCCTCAATTCGTGCAATAACCACAATCAACTCGACAGCAATTTGGCGTTCTGCTGGGTCTCGAATATGATCGTACAATGCTTCCACTCGTAGTGCAAAATTCAATTCCTCTGGCGTCATCTCACCGACAACCGGATCGCGTGGAAGAAGCGACTTGCCAATCGCCAAGCCATTGGTTTTATTCAAGAGTCTCCATACTTTAGGATAAAAGTCTTTTGGAACTCGATTAAGAGCACCATCGTTCTTGCGGCGACGAAGCCATTTCCCACTGCAAGGCATAAGTGATTGAGATTGGAAGGCCATCTCATTGCCGGTATGGCTTGCAGCATTGGCATCAACAGGTATACCTGCGTTACTAGAAATGGAAGAACTAGCTAATGCTTCGGAGATAGCATCAAGGTTTAAACTTGTAACGGCATTTAAACCTCCACTTGAAATACCAGTATTTCCATCAGCCTGTGCAGTATGCAACAGTGCAAATTGGTTGCGGTTGGAAAGAAGATCAAACTCGCGTTCAACAACTTCAGTAGGTCCCAAATGAGCTGCACGATGAAATTCTGCAGGTTCAGATGCACCTTTGCCTTGTGTAACAAAGCTCTTTTGAGCAATCATACACCATGAGTCGCGATATACTGCTTGACGAATATGCGTTGATCCAAGTACTTCGCAAGCCATTTTGGCACTTTCAGTCAAGCTAGAAATAAAATCATCCTTGGCTGCACATACAATAATTGCGCCTTCTTGCAGTTGCTCTATACACTGAGCAAATGCATCCGAGTCCGATGTAGAGGCGCATGTGTCATAATGTGCAATGTGCAAGATGGATCCATCCAAATGATCAAACGCTGCTAAATTGATGCCACGACCACTGGGAATTGGCACAACATGATCAACTCCGTCTTTAGTTAAATCAATTTTAGCAAAATTGCCGGCCTGGAATCCACCAGACTGAACTCGTAGTTTGATTTTGTTTGACAAAGTTTCTGGAATGCATGCCATGCTAGATCCACCTTCATCTGCTTCTACCTTTTCCAATGCACAGAATGTAGACAGTGCCCCTTCACTCCCCTTTTGGGTTTTCTTTTGTTTGACAGCTTCATTGGTATCAACATGTACGACGCGTGATGGCATATCTCCAGCCATAGGTGTTGGGATATAGTCACTTGATAAAAGATTGACTTTGTCTCGAGCAGTCAAAACTTGATCCATAAGCGACTTCATCTCAAAGGGGGATAATTGCATAAGCATTTCAACAGCTTCTTCTTCGTCACATCCCTGAATGCGAGAAATTTCTTCTCGCATAGCAATGACAAAAAAGTGTGTTCGAATACGCATAATTCCATCAAATAGGTGAGGCGAGCCGCGAATAAATGAACCAAGGTAAGTTACAATTTCTTGAATAAGCGGAGCCTCACGGATATCGCTAGAACAATGAGTATAAATAATATCAGCAAGAGCAGATGGGTTCTTGGGTTCATTGATAAAGTATTCCAATGCACCAAAGCCAACTGTGACGGGTTTTTGACGAACAAGAAGATCAGAGAGATTGCTGGTAAGAGAAGATACAGTTTTGTGAAGAAGACCAGCAATCTGACGAACCACACTCCATTGCTTCATGTGCATGGCTTTTACATAAACTTCCTCGAGTAGCGTAGGAAGAGAACACAGACCTGGTACCTGGTAATCAATTCCTTTGCAAGAGTAAATATAATGTAGAAGATCAGCCTGGTCATACAGATTAGCTGAAATACGCAAAAGAGCCACGGCCGCCTCGACTTGGCTTGGATTGCCCAACGTCAGCGACAGTAATTCTCCAGTGGCAGTATTTGTAGACGTGTTCTTTAATGGACCATTCTGAGCAGTATCAGAAGACATGGCAGGAGCAGAAGTCTTGATTGAATCAGTGGCTGCAGCAGAATGTGCAATCTTCGAACTGGCATCATCCTCGTCAATCGTACCAGTTGCATCACACGAGGTACGCAATGAGCAAATGGGCGATGACGATCGTAGTCTCGAATCGCCACTCTGACTAGCAACATCCAGTAATTTTGAAGGCTCATCTTCTCGATGATCCTGCAGCAAAAACTCATCGCTTTCATCAAACTGGGCAGTATATGGACTAGAGAGTGCGTTACGAGCTTGAATTGGCGAATCCGAATTAGTAGAAAATTTACGCAACATGCGCCTATGTTTGGCAGATGCATGGTTGGTATCTTTATCAAATTGGTTTGAACCACTCACACCCTTTATAACTAAATGCTGAGACGATTCATCCGTTTGAAGTGGTCCTTGTCCACGCAAGATCTCTTGCCAGTTTTCGTAATCAGCATTCTGCGTATCCACAAGAAAATCAAGTGATTCAATACACGCAGTATTGATCATTTCAGAAAGACGACCAACACGAATACGCACACCATTACAGACACCAGAAGATCGTAGCGACATCATGAAGTTCAAAAGTTTTTGTTTGTTATTGGATACGTTCAAACCATTTCGTTGCGTTGGTGCTTGAGTAGGATTTGTTGCACGTACAACATCACTAAGCATTTCATTGGTTAGCATTACAACCATTGTGGGCCGTCCATTAGAATACCAGTGGTTTTTGATGAATGCAAGTTCTTGTTCAAACAATGATACAAGATAGTCGTTGTCACTAACAAGGTAAAATTCCTCGCTATTCATAAAGTGTGGAAGAAAAGCGTAAAGCTGGCCCTGACAGCGGTAGATTTTGCAAGTACTGAGCGTACCCATTGGTCGTTTAGGACGGCCAGATAGCTTAAGTTTTTGATTTTCTCCAAGAACCTGCATGGCATCTCGAAGTGCGGAAGGTGGAGAAATGGTAATTGGCTCGCAATTGGCAAGTGTTTGAGTCTCTAATCCATACATACGCAACTTGGACTGCAACTCTGCTGTTTCAGATAAAAACACAAGTTGAACAACAGTGTCCAGTTCTTGCCTTAGAGTGTTGGGGATCAAACGGCGGTTAAGAGGGTCAATGTCGGCTACAGACAATAAGCCATCATAAATGAGATTGCCGAGAATATACAGACTTTGAGCCCATACTAAAGGAACATTGGCATTGGGGACACGTTCCTGAGATCCAGGATTCGCCCGCTCAGCATCAATACTAGCCAGCGGCACAATGAATAGCTCAGGAACCAGTCGCATATTCTCTGGTGGCAAGGTTTTGGAAAATGAAACAGTACGTCCACGAGATGCAGATATATCGTTTTGATGTTCAAAATGATACTCGCGACTGTATTGCGGAACCTGGGATGAGTCAATCAAAATGGGTTCCATCATGGCTCTATAATGCTCAACCTGTTCCATATCACCCCTAAACAGACCTTCAAGAATCAAATAGGCAAAAAATAGTGGCCATTCAGACTCTACACCTTCAAAGATCTTGAGTTCGTTGGGTTCATAGTGCAGACGCGATGGGTCTTCAACCTCTGTTTGATGACCATCACGAAGAAATCGCTTACACCCATATCTACCACCAAGCTTCTTGATCACCTCTAAACGAGTACGCTCAACGAGCTTTGGATCAGAGACTGCGAATGCCGGGAATGAAATTACAGCAAGCAGTGCGCCATCTACTTCTTTTGAAGCAGACTCTCTTGGAAGAGCCGAGTGAAGAGTGGTGACGTTGCGAGTGATTTCATCAGGCAGCACATGAATTACAGAAAGTGGGCCTCCACGCGATCCAAACAAATTGATTCCATTAATAGCTTGTAGCGCAGCAACAACCATACCAATACTGGAACAGTTGAGTTCTGGCTGACCATGGTTCATTTTGTTTCCTCGTTCCCAAACGCCATAGTCTGGTGTGCGGTATGCACCTATATGATTTTCAATCAGCATAATTAGCACATTCTTCATTTGTCCAAGTAGCGATACAAATGGCATGTCAATGAACCAGTATTCACATACGTTCAATGTAAAACACCAGATTCTGTATGAAATGGACTTCATCAAGCGTATAAATAATATGCAATCCGCTTGCAGTCATCTGTGCAAGAATCAGAATAAAGATACTGGTGGCATCAATCTGCAAGTGACCCCATTCGCGGTCGCCAACAACAGTAGCTCCAGTGGTAGTGCTGTATTTTGCATGGAGTGCGTGCTCCAAAGCCTGGGTATTTTTAAACAGTTCAACCTTGTCTGCCTGTCTGATCATAGAAGAAAGCAAACCTCGCATACATTTGATGGTTGCATGCTCCAGTTCATCTATATTTTAAATCCAAAACGCCAAACATTGTTGAAAACCAAGTTTTGCACTAGCGACATTCAATAAAGCCGGCATAAATACATGGGCAATAGTTGCTTACAAGCCTTTCCCTCATCATCGTCAATGCGACGATACGCAAGTGCCAAACCCCAAACAGCCAGAATTGAATATACATTATCGCTATCATATAGAACAGAGATTTGAATAATAAAATTGTATTATGCATCGATTAGATTGACCAGTGAAAAATAGACAATATAAAAACAAATCTATAGCAATGACAATAAATAAGGTTGGTATAGCTTACCGAACCCATGCGTCTCTGTAGTCGCCGTGAATGGAAATGGAAACTGACGCTGGAATCTAGCTCAAACAAGTTCAAGGAGCAAGTAAAATATAGATAAGAATCAAGTGTTTACAAACGTAAAACAGATTCCAGATACAATGAGCTACGTCCAATAATACAATTATTGTAATGCTGGACATGAAGCATCTAATTGCCGGAACATCAACAAAGAACAAGCCAAATGCCAACACTTGTGGACGTAGCAGAATTTATAACAATGGAGCATGATAATCAACAGATACGAGTTACTGACCAGCCCTGTAGCAGGATTCTGTCTGGCAACGATGAGTGACGACACTTCCTGGTAATACTTTTCCAGCTTTTCTCTGGCTTCGCGCAGTTTCTTGCTCATTATAGTAAGCTGGCTGTTGAATGGATATCAGATAGGTTGCTACAAGAGTAAGCTGTACTCGATGATTTGCAGTCGTGTTCACGTAAAATGGAACACTTTTGTACGTTGCAATGAATGCTTGTGTTTTGCTTGGGAATAAGCAATGGCCAGATTTATTATGCTAAAGCAACTTCAGCTGGATTGGATATGAAGATCTGCCTCGCAATATTGTGCTTGCTGGACGATTGCCCGTCCGTTTGTAGCTTTGAATTTGTAACCTCGTGAAATGGTATGTTGCTTTTCTATACAAACATCAGAAAGTGTCTTGAATGTCATTATTTACAGATTGGTATGTTGTAGCGCTCACTGCCCCTTAATTAGTCTCCAAACACAGCGGCCAACATATTAAGCTATGGTTTTGATCTGGAGCTGTCTTTTCCCTTTTTTGCATGGCCATACACTGTACAACTGACAGGTTTGAAACCGGATTCATTCACTGCAATGTAGATATTGGGTTTGGCTGTTGTCAATACAATCCTGTTCACTCATCTCTGTATTCTAAACTCACGCTCGCGTTCTAGTTTAAAAACAAAAATCGCAGCTGTTATTTCCATACCAATCGCCAAATGCCACTCGATTGTCAAGGAGTTTATTATACGCCAATACTATTATTTGGTATTCCACTTTACGTAAATACGGCTGTAAGTTGGATTCATTTGCTACATTCTACTAATGCCAAATATTAACTTTCCTTTTTCACCAAATCTTCACATGCTAAATAGTCCAAGATTGGCTTTATTCAGCTTGAATTTACATTCAACCTTTTCTTTTGTGTTCGGCCTTTACTATTAGATTTTCGTTTTCGCTTTCGTTCGCTTTCTTCTTCAACTTCGTCCGCTCCTGATTCCTCTGTATCTTGGCGATCAAGCAAATTGGAAAAGTCGTCCGCATTTGCAAAGTCATCCATACCACCAGCAAAATAGTCACCAGAGTATCCCATAGCTACAGCTTTTGATGCAAGTCGGTCTTTGAGTTTGGCTCCACGCTTTCCGACTGTCTGCTTTGTTTCTTTTTTGTCCGTGTGCGAAGCAGTGGATGGATCTTCGTCAAAATCATCTCCTTCATCACTAATCAAAGTATCCATCATATCATCATCCTCCTCTTGCTTAGATGGTTTTCCATTGGCCCATGCAGCCATATCATCGTCATCACCATCTGCCTGCACATCTTCGTCGTTATTTTCTGGTAGAAAATCTTCGTCTTCGTCTTCACTTCCCAATCCTTCGCTTATTTGAGGGAATCCGCTACTCTTTTGCATAGCATTCCAAGCCTCTTCTTCATCAATATCTTGATTGGAATCAAGATCGTTATGATCGCCATCTTTGCCTTCATCGTCTTGCTTTGCCTTTTTGGATCTGTCGACAAAGAATTTGTAATAAAAGAGATCGTCAGGTGCAACTTGATCTATTTTGGTGTGACTCCATTGAACAAGATTGGCTGGAGTGTCATCTAATTTGATTAAAACGTTTGGATTTTCCTGATCCACGTATATGACATTTTTCTTCCTTTGGCTTCCGGATAAAAGATTACCAGAATTTAAAGCGAATTGGGTCATGGTAGATTCAGAGTCGTTCGTCTTGCCCGTAGATACACGTGGCTGCATGAGACTTGATCCATGGTAAAGCGAAGTTACCTTTTTAGGAGCCTTGAAAACAAACCGGTCGAGGAATCGAGAAAGAGTGTGATTTTGCAATGGATCGTAGTTTTTGGCTGTGGCAGGAACCACAATAGGTGAGCCAGAGAGGAGTGTACGTGCATACAGCGACACAGTTGGATGGAAATGCGAAGCAAATATACAGAGCTCCCATAGACAAACCTGATCTGCATTCGTGTACAAGGGATCACGCTTGCGTCCATCGTATTTGTGCGTGGTATCAATGACAGGCTTTTGCAGCTTAGATGGGTTTGAATCAACTGCATGGCTATCTTCATCCTTGCTTGTATCGCTCATTGTGACGTCTTCGCCAGCTGGTTCAGACGCATCTACAAAACGCTCTTCATCATGTTCTTCTGGCTGGGTAATAAATGTCCATAGTCCAGGCTGAAGCTTTGCCAATTCTCCAATCAAGAATAGTGATCCACAAATCAAAGGAATTTGAGCTCGACCGCACACTTGCACAATACGTTTTACAAATGACCTGACACGTTTTGGGGATGCATCTGTTTTCATTGCTTTAAACAGCAAATTAAGGTACATGGACTGCTTAGACGCCTCAAACAGTCGGTTGTCCAACAAAGTATCATACAAGGCACGATAGAAGCGATCAGAAACCATTTCACGCGAAGATTGCACTTGCAAGATGAGAGTAAGTGACTGGATACATGTATTGAATGTAGCCACATGAGTAATCTTGAACAAGATGTTCAAGTGAGATTCAAACACCTCATTGTCAAGCTCTGCATATGGAAAGGCACGATTGACACCAGTGAGAAGCGCTGCCATCATTTTGGCATCCACACCGTCAACCTGCTCAAGACCACCGCTTGATTGAGATGCAGCAACCAAGTTAGTATTGCCATCTTTTTTGTTTTTTATTGCTTGTTGCTTGTGTCGACTGTTTTTGCCTTTTTTGGCATGTTTTTTGCCAGTTCCAGTTACGCAGCGATCCTTGACTTCCTCCTTGATACGAATTTTATGTACAAGGATTTCAAACAGTTTAAAGTACACATCAATCAACATATTAGCTGTATCTGAATCTTTCTTGTTTCTTGACAGTACAATTTGGTTTAAAAACGTCACTGCATAGTATTGTGCACGCTCTGCAATGTTACTTCGAAAAAGAAGTCGTTCAATTTCACCAATCACTATAGACTTCATCGCAGGGTGGTTCTGTATCAGCTGTGCCAAAAGGTGCACGGATTTGGATGCAATTTTTTTGTCTAAATCGCCAAGTTTGTTGACTAGAAGCGAAAGAAGATTCTGCTCTTGCTCGGGTTTGGCAGTTAAAAGATCAAACACAATGGAAAGCATCTTGTTTTTGATATGGGGGAGAGGATCCTTTGTCAACTCCTAAATTGTTGCAAAGAGTTAAAATGAGTTCATCAAACATATACTCGGCAAGGCTCCAACATTAATAATCCATGCAAGGTACTTGCTTCAATGAGTTGAATAAATGAAAAATAAGCCTTTTTAAGCGCATCCTCAAAGTACCACAAAATCAAGTGCTCTCTTGTAGTTTTTTTAGATAAAACAGGCTGATCGACAAAATACTTGAGCTTGCGATCAGGCAGAATAGAGTTTAATAAAAGATCCTTGATACTGTCAATTGCTACTAGAGCTTCTCGGCGGGACTTTTTGCGTGCCATTCCACAAATCAAATGATCATTTAATAAAGTGAATCTATGGAGAGGCGCTTCTTGAATTTGCAAAGTAAGTGCAGAAAGCTTGTCAGTAGTTGTACCGCTTTTAAGAACAGTTGATATAAAGTCCTTGTCGGCTCTAGATTCAGTCGATTGCCTCACTGGGTGGTTTGGATAGAAAGTGCAAATTGATTAAAAATATAGTTTGCAAACTGATATGTATCTTTGGTTTCATAATAGAATAGCAATAAAGCTTACACTTTTCAAACTTGGAAATCTCTTCTTTCCAAAGATTCTCGGCATTGACAAATTTTTGTGAAATAAGATCTGAGTTGGCATTGACAAGGTCGGTCTCGACTTCAGCAATGTTGGACAATTCCCACCAACGCTCAGAAGGTTCAATCAGTAATCTTGACTGCAGTTTATCCACGGGCTTTTTCCCCTTGATCATCTGCGCAAGCATTTTTTGCACCTCATCCTCGTCACCTTGTCCATATGTAGCACCAGTATCTTGTTTAACTTCTTGGTCATTAAATGTATTAAACACATCCTCATCGTCCTCATCCTCGCCAGAATCTGAATCAGGTTTGGGTGGTGTCTTGTTTTTTGCATTAGTTTTGCTATCTTTAGCAAAAGCAACAGGTTTATCTTGAGTTTCCTTAGCAAAAGTAGCAGGTTTATCTTGGGTTTCTTTAACAAAAGTAACAGGCTCATCTTGGCTTTCTTCGCCTTCGTCGTCAGACACAGCTTCAACAGTCGATTTTGATGGATCCATTTTAAGTTGTCCAGACATGAATGCCATAAGATCACTCAAAAGCGCCTATGCATTGATACATCTCATGTTAATTGCTATACAATCTTGAATTGGCAAAACTTAATTGCCAGTCATAAGTGATGGAACTTACAGCTTCGTTCTCTTCAGGTTTAAACACGACCTTGTTTTGTGGTATATCATCGTTGTCTTCGCATTCTGATCCACTCAGTACACCTTCAAGTAAATCCAAATCGGTTGCATCGCCGCCCAAACTTTTGATTTCTTTCAAAAGCCTCATTCGAGATGCCTTGCAGTATGAAAATGGATTGATTCCAAAAAATGACAAGTGTCAGATTAGAATATGTACAGTTAAATGTCCATGGTAATAACGACTTACACTCTGATGTGGGCGAGAATTGGCAGGTTTTTCTACAGATGAATGGGCAGTTTTTGAACGAGAACGACTCTTGTCTGCAGATGAGTGGGTTTGAACCACGGAAGGGGTTGATTTTGCCATGGCCTAAAAGAATCCGTATAAAACAATTGTAGTTTCAACCCAGAATTCAGCTCGAGTATATATCTCAACTATCAATGGATTGTAATATCCAGAATAATAAAATTGAGTTTGCAGACAAAAAAAATAAATATTGAATTTTCTTTCCTGTCGAAATCACAATTTAAATTTTCAATTGGCCATCCGATCAGCTTGATAAACTCATACTTGCATATATGGTTCTGTTGGCTCAGACTCTGCGCTCTCATGGCTTGGCTTTTGGTAAAAGATTATCATCAAATACCACCAAAATGTCAATTGCTCGCTCTGTTATTCTCCCTCACATAGCGACTATCAAAAGTATGCTCAGTCAAGCATCTACTGCACACACTATGACTGGAATCCCACTGGCTGCTGCAATAGGGTGTAATACTGCCCGACCCACTACTTCATCTTCACAGTCTGGTGCAAAGGCAACATTTATCACAAGTACCAATACGATCATGTCTTTAACAGCCGCATTAGCAGTATGTAGATTTCATTTCGATTGAATTTTAACCCTCACCAGATTTCCACGAATATCGAATTACTTGTTCTACCTTGTGACTCACTGCTACTACGTTGTATTTAGGACACTGCACCTCAAGTGCCTGAATCATTAGCCACCAGTATTTCTGAACAGCTCACATTGGTGAAAAACTCATTATATACCTGTGGATTAGCTTTAGAAGACTTATAAATCTATACCTTACAAATATCCTGTTTTTGGATGATTGTTTTGCATTTGTGGAAAATTATGAAATCTATACGAGCTAGTTGCACTCAAGTGGCTTGTATACGTCTAATGTTTTGTGGTTTGGTAGTTTCGGAACAATAAATCGATTTTTATTAAACGCTACATTGATGGGTAGTTCATTTCATGCATATTTATGGCTCACTCATCTACTCTGCATACAATATATGATGTTCAATTCATGCCAACACCTAATCGCGTACTATTCCACAATCACTCTTGAACGACTAGTCTCACGCTTGTTACTATTTGGTCTACTTGATTGTGCCGCAAGTCGAGGGTTCGTGTTGATCTGACTGTATTCTTGGTTGAATGTGGTGTATAGCTATCATGTTGATACAACATTGGTTTAATGGTGGATATTCATGTAACGTATCGAGTTTATCTGATGCTGTGTTGAAATAGGTCAGATATTAACATATTATTGCAATATTTGATGATTTTAAATGAATGTGTTGTCATTATAGCAATGAATCACCGACTTTCAATACAACACGACACATTGGGGGAGTCAAGATGCGATGTTGTGTTTACAAGAGTAATAATAAAGTAGCAAATCAAACTACACAATCAGTAGTAATGTGTATTCTAAAGTTGAATGATCCATCGTACTATGTAATTCTAGAACATATTATCAATAGCCAGCGAGATTGAATTCCTTTTGTAGATGCAAAAGCTCGTCCAGTGACTTGAATTCAAGCTTGATTGCAACCCACCTGAAGAGATGCTTGGGATGCGTCGATGCAAAGACTAAACAGCTGTGTTTACTATTAAAGTTGCTAAAATGACCACCAATACTAGCACCACTCCATCTGCGTATCTGCTCACACTCAAGTCTATTCGAGAGCGTACACGCCTGTTGCTGGACAATCCAACTCAACTCGCTCATTTTGATGTGCATCTCGACAAGCTAGATGCAGTAGTCAACACCATTGTTATGCTGATAGTCAGAGACTATTCTAGCCCAAGCGATATTCCTCCCCACTCTCGATGGAGACACTTTGAAGCTGTAAGCCCAGCAATGAAAGCTACCAAATGTGACCGAATTTCACCCTTGCTGAATACTTGGAATGGTTCAGTTTCTAGTGCAAAGGATCAACCTCCCAAGTATGAGCGAGAAACAATCCGTCGACTCTTGGATCTGTTTGTGATATCTGTATTATTGGATGCAGGTGCAGGAAATAAATGGTCGTTCCGGCCATCGAACGAGCCTGGTGAATCTTATGTTAGATCTGAAGGTCTCGCTCTTGCATCGCTGGACTGGTTTGTGGCAGGAGGATTTTCATCCGATCCAAATGCATTTCCAAATAGAGCCGACGCAGTAGGGCTCAAGGCTGTTACTGCAGATAAGCTTCAAAAGGCTTTTCAAGTGAATGAATCCAATCCACTGGTGGGAGTGGATGGTCGATGCTCTTTATTGAATCGTTTGGGTGATGTCTGTCTAGCCCATCCCAAGTACTTTGGGTCTGATACTCCTCGACCAGGAAATCTAGTCGACTATCTGCTAGATCATCCATCGACCGTACACTCTGAGGACGGATCTGAGCACAGCGTGAACATTAGTGTCCTATGGGAGGTGGTCATTCATGCTTTTTCTGGAGTTTGGCCGCCTGCTAGGACAGTACTGGACGGTGTTTTTTTGGGTGATGTGTGGCCATGCAGCAGTCTTGCATCTATCCTGTCCAACTCTACTACTGGCCTTGGAGGAGAGGCAGATTCACTAGGACTGGTTCCCTTCCACAAACTGTCTCAATGGCTGACTTACTCTCTGATGGAACCCATGTCACTGCTGGGAGTGCGATTTATTGGAGTGGAAGACTTGACAGGTCTAGCAGAATATCGCAATGGAGGACTGTTTGTCGATATGGGGGTTCTTTCCCTCCGTTCTTCCAGCATCAAGACCATGACCCAAGGTCCTGAATCTGTGCCCCGTTTCAATGTATTTGACGATGCTGTTGTTGAATGGCGAGCACTTACGATTGGGCTGCTGGATCTGGTAGGAGATGCTGTTCGCAAGCGACTGTCCATGTCCAAGGATGATCTGCCACTAGCAAAAATACTGGAAGCAGGTAGCCTATTACCATTATTCTAGACTGCTCTGCATTGTCATACTAACACTGATGTACTTGATCATTAGGAACGTGGAAGGCTGGACGCGAAGTTGCTGCATCGCTCCGCCCAGTCTCTCGTGGATCTCCTATCGACATTATATCGGATGGAACTGTTTTTTAAATGGTTTGACGGCTTATCATCCAAGTGGAATGTGAGGCCGAATCTTTTGGATTTTAAGATTGCAAATGGCAGACTTGACTATTTGGCGTGTTTGAAACTGTTTTACAAATGAATTCCTGTTTTTTCAAGGCTGTTTGTAACAGCAGTTTGATTGTATGACATCGACTTGAAAGCAGATGCGGCATTATTGATAGAATCCGCATAAGCAATTCGCTCACGTGGCTCTGGCTTGAAATGGTGCAGCGATGGATTGAATCTACAAATTTCAAGTAGAGTTGAAAGTGATAATCATTGACAGTATCTGATAAAAGAATGACAGAGATTACAGAGTTGGACTCTACTTGTGATAGATTGACTTTATCCAAGACACTTCCTGCACATCCAGAAGTGCAGCCATCAATAGCAACGGGAAGCACCGTCCAACAGCGACCAGTACGTAGCCGATATAAACCTACTGCTCCTCCCAAATGGAATAGTTATGCTGCTATTCTACGGCATGCTACTACAGGTGGAATACGCTCGTTTCTTATTGCATTTGCTCTGCGTGGTGGAGTGACATTTGCCATCAGACTATTCCGAGTATTTCGTAGAAAGCAAGTCTTGTAGATTTTTTGACAATAGTAAATCATATATTAGGCTGACCCCTATTCTGTTACTGGATTTATCAACACAGGGATACGTTCATGGCAGCAATCAAGAGCTTTTTCAGTATTGAAAGTCGCCGATTCGCTAGAATGGTTGGCACATTCTCATTCATTTGGAAGCTGATCAACAACTCTCTCATGCGGTATAGATCTCTAAATGCATCCACAACTACGCCAGAACTGCCATCTACTGCTCATAGATTTTCAAAAATTAACGGCGCGATTGCTGGTGCTGTTGCTGGACTAGCCATCTTATTTGAAACCGAAGACAACCGGATTGCATTCTCTCAACAGTTTTTTATGCGATCAATGCAAGCAGGATACAATGCTCTTGAATCAAGAGATTTGTTTGCATTTCCGTATGGGGATACTATTTTATTTTCAATCGCCTGTGGATCCATTATGTATGCATTTGTCATGCATCCCACCTCCATTCCCAGATCATGTAAGTGTTCCATGGTTAAACGTTCAAGTAGGATGGCAACATATATCCAAAAGTCACTCACCAGAAAATGTACTCAATGCTTTAGATTACTCATGGATGGTTAAAACTGGTATGCTTTATAGACTACTGATTTTATTTTGAAACTTGTAAACTTGTATTGACTATTGGAATACTTTTGAATGCATTGTTTAATCAACTTGTCTAGCTCGAGTGCCATTGAAAACCCTCGAGTTTAATCGTGAAAATGTAAAGAATTGGGAGTCCAGCACAGACCTTATCATTCCCAAGCCCGTCGTATCATCCATTCTTGCCAAACTTAAAACAGATCCATCGGTTGAATCGTTTATGATGTCTTATCTTGATAGCCATAATGGTATAATGCCGATATGTCCCTGTAAGATATTTCATCCAAGTGATCTATCATGCACAAGATACTGCTTGTTGTTGTGGATCAAAGTTTTTTGGGGGATTCTGCCTGTTTATGGATCATTGAATGGTGTTCCACTTCTTCTTTTCAATACCAAATCATTTTTAAAAACGTAGGTTCACGTCTATATTCAACTATCTATTATGTCTGGTCTGTGTCTAATTTGGTTACATGCTGTCATATCAAATAGTCCCGGATACCACGTACTTCGAGTGTTGAAATCATCGCTAAGATCGTCGGTATTTCTTGCAACATATGTCAACGCTTTCCAATCCTTGGTTTGCTTTTCACGCAACCTCTCTCCAAACAATCCAGATCTGCGATACACGTATTATATCATGGGCACTTTAGCAGGACTTGCAATCCTAATTGAACACCCATCACGACGAACGGAACTGGCAATGTACACTCTTCCTAAAGGTGTGCAAAGTCTATATATCCTGCTGCTCAATCGTGGTCGCATGGTAGCGTTGAAGGGGTTAGACGTAGTGGGAAGTTGTTGTGCTATGAGTGTGTTGATGAGTGTGTATCAGGTTGAGCCACATCAGATGAGTTCAATGATGCATCGACTGATGCGTGGATTATTGGGTGATTACTGATTCATCAAGCTAAATGGAACGTTTGTTTTCAACTAGAATCATTTGCTTCATTTTACGTGAATAGGGTTGTAATGGCATGCTATGGTGAAAAAGCCTGCCCAAGATAGATTCATATTCAAAAATCAAAATTTGATTGAAAACTAAAACCAATGGGTTGTATATAATCAAGACATCCACGATTGTTCGGTAGGAAGAGTCCACTAAAATACATGATCAAAATACATTAATAGTCTATATAACCTCGAAGAATAAATGAAAAACTTACTTTGGTGGTCACCTTGCGTCTCTCGGTAAAAAATTCAATAGCAGAGTCACCAGTGATATCGCCCCATCCAAACCGCGACTTGCCAATTCCTCCAAACGAAAAAGGTTCTCTTGGTACAGGAACTCCAATGTTTACTCCAACCATCCCTGCCATAAACCTCTTGACAAACCACTCAGCGACTCCTCCATCTTTGGTGTAAATACATGCTGCGTTACCGTAAGGACTCTCGTTTTCAATTTGAATAGCTTCTTCTTTGGTGGCAACTTGATATATACTAAGAACTGGACCAAATATTTCGTCATGAAGAGCAGCATCGGTTTTTGTTTTATGTAAGATGATGGTTGGTCCAAGCCAAAATCCGCTTGACATGGATGGGTGTGGAAGTTTTGCATCTGGAGATTGAGGATCCCATTGTCCCGTACGACCGTCAATAAGGATCTGAGCACCAGAATCAATACTTTTTTGAATGTATGATGAAATCTTGGTATAAGATGCCTTGTCAATCACAGGACCCATGATTTCTGAACACCCTTCTGCCTGGCCTGGTTTGAGTGCTGATGCCTTTTTCACGATTGCTGCAACAAGGTCAGACTGTACTCCAATTGTAAGGAGAACTGATGCAGCCATACATCGCTGACCTGCGCACCCAGTAAACGATGCGACAATGTCGTTGGCGGCCATATCAAGATTTCTATCTGGATAGGCGACTAGATGGTTTTTTGCACCACCTTAAAGTTGAATGCATAATACATGTGTAATGAGTGTTTGAAATACTTGTGTGGTGATTCATACCACCAGTACTGAATAATGAATACATACCAAGAGCCAGAACACGTTTGTTTAAATTACTGCCACGCTTGTAGATCAGCTCGGCAACAAGTGAAGTGCCAACAAATGTCACTGCCTTGACACATGGATGATCAACAAGCTGATTCACGACTAAATGAAACAATCGGTATCAAATTAAATTAGGATTGAACGAGAACAAGCGCATAGATCTATGATGTTCCATTTACCTCGAGCAGTTCCATGTACAAGATTGACGACACCGTCGGGAAGTCCAGCCTCCTTGAGTAACTCCATAGTAAATGACATGGTCAATGGAACTTTTTCGGATGGTTTAATTACCATAGAATTACCCTATACCAAACCAAAAAATTAGGCCGAGTAAATGGGTGGTGTGTGTAGTGTCTGAAATATAAAAATAAATTACATACAGATGCAATTGCAATTGGAAGCGTCCACATGGGTACCATGAATGGAAAGTCTGAAGTTTAAAGTGTGATATTTTATAAATGTTGGTTAAAATTGAATCAAGGCTACATTCATGCAATTGACGTTGCTCAACTCACTAAATGGCACGATGGACACGACCACACCAAGCGGTTTACGAACATCATGGCAATGAACTATAAAACCAATCAGGATCAGAATACTAATCAGCCTTTCAATTGATCCTAAACCAAAAAGCTTGAGTTGTGTGTTTACCTCCACGAGATACCTCGAGTATTTTTCCTTGAGAGACTTGAGGCATCGACATGGCATACTCGACGGTCTCGTTGCCTTTAGAGATTTCTCCCATAGCTTCGGTAAATGTCTAAATATCACAAACGGATTACTGCAGATATGAGTATTGATGCAATAAAAGCGTATAAACTAGGGTTGATTGTAGCTCATCTCAACCAGGTCATACCTTGCCATGTTCAAGCATAATTAGCTCTGCAAGTTTCTTGCTATGTTTAATTACAAGCTGGTGAAACCTGACAAGAATCTGGACTCTGTCCTTGACAGTTCGAGAACTGATGGGTCGATAATAAACAGTCAAGCATGGGTTGAACAACAGTCAATAACAACATTCTTGAAACTCATGTAGTGGATGGATCAAGCCAAAACGATGGTAGTATCAATGCCATGCAATTGCAAAAAGTTACCTCCAAGATTCATAAGATGTTTGAGCAGACAGAACAGCAGCATCGACGTCTTCAACTGTAGAGAGCGGCACATGGGCAATCACACTGCCAGTAGCAGGACTGGTGACAGGAAGAAAGCATAAAGTATCATTCACAGCCGGATTAGCAGCAACTACAGGCTTATTGTTGACCCAGTTGGAAAGGACTTGTGGATTCATGGTCGGAGTCAATGGCATGTTGTGATTGTCGAGTGATTAGCAAGGAAAGCATTTTGCTTGCTTAGGATGGCTTGTACACAAGTATCGATTGTTGGCACTGAGGATTACATGAGTATCGATCTGATTGCACTTTGTAATATTATTCCTGATTGCAATAGTCTGAAGGACTGGCCAGATGGGAATGGCATTGACAGACGAACCAATTCAGTGAAATATGTTGATGGCAACCAACTGCATAAGATGAGCTTGTCAAATAATACATCGAATTGGTCGTATTAGATTACCACAAACTGTATTGATGCCAGTTATTTCATTCTATCCTATTATAACTAGAGTCGTGCATTTATCTACTCTTGTAGAATTTACTGCCGATGCTGCTGTTCTTTCAGTTGCTGACAGTAATGGTCTTTAAAAGCGATTGTAGGAATATGATGGATCCAACAACCAACAACTCTTTCTCATCAGTGCTTTGGTTATAGATATTAAACTTTTTGGATATACCCAGTTTGGTAGTATTTCGGTCGGTGACTGAAGAAAATAAGAGATTGTCAGCAACCATTAATTTTGTTTTGCAAATATCGGTAAACTACCGATTTGGATGGCATGACCATCATTCGTGTGTTTTGTACCATGGCGACAATCTGGCTTGTCGACACGATCAGTTTGCTGGACGACCTGTTCCTGTCAATTGAATATAGGACGTTATTCATTCGGTTTAGCAGCTGATCTCAATGTTAATCTTGTTTTGACAAGAGTCTCAGTATTCTACCTTGTACAATCTGCATGATAGTCTAAAGCAATCATGCAGTCTTGCAGGGAATTTACATTTCCAAAGTACTGTAACAGCAATCTGCTTGATGCCATCAGAACATTCTCGAAACATGGTAGAATTGGTCTGGAGTATAAATAAATATTCCTGTCATCATTCCTTTTGTTTTCAGTTGTAAAGCTGTATTTGCGTAAAATAGAACACTGAATAAAGATGACAAGATACAATAAACAATCTCATCGAATGATTGGCGCCAATTTAGTAAAATTTACTAGGCAGCATTGTGCCCTGTGAATCCCCAACAAAGTCGATTGACCCTTTACTCATTTTTGTATAAACAATTGAGCAAATGTTTAAAGCAGCATTTGTCTTACGATTCCAGTAAATCTCACTTGTTTAATTTTCAGCTCCTCTCTACCAATCAAACATTAAAAAGTAAATATTGAATGGCTAGTAAAAAACGATTGCATTTCTGAAACGTAAAGTCTGTTTTCTTAAACTAGAGCGCGAGTATCTGAGATTTTAGGATACAACAATTCAAGTTTAACATCATACTCATTGCAATCCAGACATCGGATTTGACTATTTGATGTCGATTAAAATCGACGATTGTAGTGTATGACTGCATAAAGAGAAATAACACGTTCAAAATTATAGCTTGATTTGTGTGCATCATGGTGGAGGTTGTGTTTGAAACAAGGATTGAGAATGCCAATTGAGCAAGCAGTCAATTTGTAGCAAGCACAAGTGTCTAATTATTATTTATTCGAAGCAAAAGAGGCAATCTGCAGAATAAATACAAATGTTCCACTTTATGTAAATACGGCTGCAATAAAATCGTGGCTTTGTGCCACGTGCATAATGATACAAATTTAGGCAGCTTAGCTGGCCGTACGGGACTATATATGGTGTTGTATATTCAAAGTGCGCCATCATTTGATGCTTTTGATGGCAAATTGTCAATAAAACTATTTTGAATGTCTGCATTTCAACTTTAGATTCGATTCAACCCACTCTAATAACTTTGAAGCTTGCATTACTGAATTTTCTATTGACCACTTCCGGCCATGGCATTTGGTCGATCCAAGTATCTGTGCCTGGTGCTGCATTTTCTTCTTTGTCTATCCTCTACAATACATGCCATGACCGTTACTATTCCTTACTATACCTCTGACGGTGTTACTTCAAGTGGCCAACTACAGGTAAACCTGCATATTTTTCTATTTTTTGGAAGTTCACGACCGTTCAAATTGGATTATGTTTGCTACCCGTATTTGAATATATTCGGGATGACCAAATGTGATTTGATTGTGTTGCAGGACAGCCCACTAAAACGCTCTTTTATTGTAGGTTGTAAATACTCCCGACACAATTGGTCTTGTAAAAACATTTAATTTCACCAAAATAGGTCGTCCATGGGTAGGCAGTGTGTCGTGGGATGGTGCAGTGGTTACTCTTCTTGGGACACTATCTAGTGACAAAAACATACAAGTGTATTCCTTTTCCATTCCTTATGGCGATGAGAGATCTCGTCGTTTTTCTGTCACTGCAAAAGCCACTCCAGCCAATTCTACAGCGCAAATTGAATCTAGTAATCAGGGTGTGGAATACGATAGACGAGTATCGTTTGGTGCTGCTTTAGCAGACAGCGCAATTACTCGCGTTGGTAGCGTTTCATCCACCCAAGAACCTAGTGCATCACAGACTGTGAGCTCTGCTTTGCCTGGATCCTCCGCTACAGTTTCTTCCAGCAGTGAAACTGAAAACAACTCGGTGAACAAGCCTCAGCAGCAACAATATGGTAATTCAAATGGCAGCCAGCAACTTACTCTGCCACTTATTGTTATCATTGCGTGCGCTGTAGGACTTGTAGTGGTTGTGCTTGGTGCTGTGATGTGGCGTAACCACAAGCGACGCCAGCCAAAGCTTAATCCCTCTCAAAATTCCTATGCCAATCTAAATGGCGTAGACTATGCTGGAGCTGGCACCACTATGAGTCAAGTCGATTCTGAGAAAGCACTGGTTTTTGAGCGTGCGCCTATTCCGCGACTTGCTCACAAGAGCAATGGCGTCTCTCCGGCTTTTGCATCTACTGGTCGTGTAACTACTTCCGAAGCAGCAAGATCGACCAACAGTCCCAATCCATTTGATGAGGACACTGACGATCGCAACAGCGCAATAGCAACAGCCATATTTGCTTTTGGGTCAATTCCACCACCCAACTATCCTCCGCCTTCTCACTTGGCTGGCCTCCGTAGCTCCTCCTTTTCCAGCCATCCAATAAGTTCACCACCTTCTTCTGCTCGTAGTCATCAACTATCTATTGTCTCGCCACAGTTTGAATTACCAGCCATTGATGAAACAATACTAAATCAGCCATGGGAATGGGGTCCTGATCAAAACGCTGTAATTGGCAAAGAGTTTGATGACAACAAAAGTGCGAATTCCAAGCGTGTTTAAGCCATCAAGTCTTGAACTGTCGATTACATCCATTGCATATCTTTTCATGGCATCTGTTTTACATTCCAGCTATAAAACAGCTCTAGTCTTTTTGGAGAGGTGGCTTAAAACCCATGTACTTATGCTTTTTGCACCTATCGAGCATATCAATGTCGCTGTGTGAAAATAGATTTCTATCGGAGCTTGGCTTTTGTATTGTTTATAACCTTTTTAAAGCCGTATTCACGTAAAATAAAACATTTATCTGTATTTATCTTGGATTGATCATGTTGCTTCGGAATAAGCAATGACTAAATATTCTATGCTTTCCTATTACATACTATTTGTATAGAAGCTTTGTTGTATTCTGAAATCAGCCATGTTTGCGCTCTAGTTCAAGAAAACATTTTTAGAATGCAACTGTTGTTTCCATTTCAATTACATAATGTTTAGATTAGAGAAAGGTTGGAAGGATATCAAGGATGGGAATGAATTGAAATTCGTCGAGCATTCTTGTACAAGAATGAACACTAATAGGAAATATCAATGAGCTGCAATAAGTTCACAAGACACAATACTGCTCAATAAGATTGGTACCAATTAAACATGACACGAGCCGTCTACTAATACTCTTAGTGTTTCGTTTTATGTGAACATGGCTGTAAAAATAAAATAATGCGTTTCGCTAGTTTGCAATGATGCAAATATGAACTACTTAAATGATTTATTGTGATATGTGATGATCAGGGATAGGTTGGTTCGTTTACTTGTTGGTCCGAGTCGTTATCGCAACTGCCTTCAATGCTTGATCTGAAGTCATCTTGATCAACCTCGGGAGTGTATTCGTGTTTCAGGGTCATGCTGTCATTGAATCGAACTCGTTTACACAATGGTCCATCCAGTCGTGTTGTACCGTATGTGTCTTGAGTATGTTGCAGCAAAATTCCCTTGTGTTCTGCAGCTCTTTTACAAGCAAACTGAAATGCCTTGGATTCGCCCATATCCGTATTCCATCCAATGACTAGGTTTCTTGAATCAGAGTCACAGCTGTCTGTATCGGATGGTGATGATGCTGTATTCGTATGTCGCAGCCACTGCAAGCCACTCATTTGACCGCCCAAAGTAATACGAGAATGACGGGTTCTATGACTGCCGCTAGTATGTCTCGCAATAGAGTTCAAATCAAAAAGCGGTAGACTGCTGTTGCTGAGACTTGATGATTCATTGTAGGAGACTGGAAGGTCACACTTGACACTACTTTTGGATATCAATGGGATAGCAAACATACTACGGAGGTTTGAGCGACTAGAAATCTTTTGTATTTTGGGGAGATAGTGCCAAACTAAATCTACTGTGGAATCTTCTAAGCTTAAATTGTTTGTACATGTTGGATCAACCTCATCTGCATTGTAGTCCCGTGACCGAGCATCACTACTCAGCTTGCATTCACAATGCTCTGCCACCGGACTCTGGAAAGTATGTTGCTTTGGTCCGTTCTCCTGCTCGTGGGTTGAGCTTTTTACCCTACATGCCCGTCTTGTCAAGGCTTGCCCCTCAATAGGACTGTTTGGTTCATTGGGCATACCGTCTGCATGAACTGAAAATATCAAACCTGTCAACATGATTCCAGCCAAGATTTCATTGTTTTTCCAGAAAGCTGAACAAATTGCAATGTCTGAAATGGACAGATTGCTACTTATTATATGTGGCTGGCTTTATTGCGGTCTTGATAAAAAAAAGATTAAAGCAGGGCAGTTAGGGCTGAAGAATAATGTATTTTTAAATGCCCTTGAGCCCTTTTTATAGCCGTATTTACAAATGAAATACTAAATAAGGGTGTTAAAGCGTATAGTAAGCAGTCAGTCTTATGAAATAATATTTCCAGCCAATTTTACTGAACGACATGTGTGCTTTCATTTAATCTTCAAAGCTATCGAGTCTTGTGCTTATTTGTTAAACTGAACGAATATTCACGCTAGTCAATCTTCAACTTTCCTTCCCTCGAGACCAGACATTACAAGTGAAAAGCAGCTACATTCCCGAAACGGCAGTCTGTCACTCAAGCCACAATGTAAATGCATTCGAGTTTTAAGACACAACTGATAAGAGTATATGTTTTGACAATCAAAACGGCGAGTTTAGATTTATTTCAATCCAGATACTGGGCTGACTGTTATCAAACTGTACATGCTCCTGTATTATAAGAGCTCACAGATACGTCTGCGTTCTAGTTCAAGAGAACAACCCCAGGAATGCAGATGTTGTCTTTATGCCAATCACCAGAGGAATCTCGGCGAGTTTAGAATACTGCTCAGTAAATTTGACATCAATCACTTCGAGGCTGGTGATTTATGCATCTGATTTTACATGAATGCGACTGTAGATGAATCTGATAGATAGTGAGTCAATCAGCAATATATGGCTGTTTTTGACAAACAAAAAAATAAGCTCTAGTTGTTTGTCCATGCGCATGAAACTTCCAAGTAGTGAATCGGCTGCTGGTAGAGCGGAGATGCGATGATAGACTCTGTCCAATAGGGGCACTACCTTTTGTATACACTATTTTGTATACATTCCGTTGGTAGTCATTTGGGCAAATTGAGCACTAATTCATGGAGTGTCGGGCTGTTCAATCAAAACTTGGCAAAGCTTAAGGGCTTACCATTTACATCAACATGTAATAATCAGGTGACTAGTCACAGGGTCATTGTTTGGATTTGCTTTGAAAATCCACACATTTCTGCCTAGTTAAGCTCGATTTTGCAATTCATGACATGAAAACTGACGTTTATTAGCTTTGAATTACAAGAATTTAGAGCGCAGCCTTCAATCGTATTAGTGTTATGCTTTGAGCTTGATCGAATTCAAGCCGCCAACTGAGGCTGATTCTTGCAGATATCATAGTTGTGGTTTAGCTTACGACGACAGTTTGACTAAACCATGACTGCAAATCAGCTACACTTTCTTGGCTGGATCCCTTGCGCGATTTCTGACTACTCAACCAGTATCATGTATAAAGTAATAGCACTTGATGTAATTACGTTGAAAAAGGGATACTTGAAAGCGGTGTATCCACGTGGTCACATGATTCTAAGCCCAAACATTTGCATGCAAAAAGTTGGTCATGCTATCCAGTACCAAGCCAAACGTTTAGCCATGCTCGCTTCCTATCAAGTATAACAAAACGAGCATTCCTATTTTCGAGCAGTGCCGCTCTCCACACCCTTATGCCCTTTATAAAAGAGAGTGTTTCCCGCGCCCATGAATCAATCGAATTTTATTTTGTACACCAATCAATCTGTAATTCAGAGCAATGGAAGCCCAACATGAGGTGCGTTTGAAGTTCGTACTACCTGCATATTACACTCTAGTCCCAATGGCCATGCAACGTGGATAGATGGGATTGTATCTGGAATTCATTTTATTGTGACCTGGTGTATTTGATTTTATACAAAACTGCCATGTGTCCATGACATCTACGTTGATGTACTTGTTTACAACCATATCCACGCTCTGATAATTCATGTCCATGTACATGTTCTGGACAAATGTGATTGGTGCACCATGCATTTGAACTGGCAGTTTTGATGTGCCAATAAAATACAGCCCTGCATTTACCTGGGCGTTGTTGGCATATTGAGGCTGCGCAGAAATAGATGATACTGTCGCGCAGTCGAGCAAGAGCTCAGCCTTTAATGCATTCGAGTTTTATCCGCCAACGCTTATTATCATCCCTTGTTCATGTTTGCGGCCCTAGTCTAATTATTGTTTTCAATGCAGCCCTTGTCAAGCTTGTTTTTTGTAAACTTATTTTTTTAAACTTTTGTAGGTAAAAATTGACCCCGAGTCAAAGCACGAGTACGATGCCGAACCTACCACAGTCAAGCCAATGTTTATGAAGCGTACCAAGAAGGAGCTTCTCATTGATCTTGGTATCTGGATTTTGATTACTGCCTATGCCGTCACTCTTTTCGTCAAGGGCAGAGGAAAGGACGGGTTTGAACTGTATACCATTCTCTATGCATTCATTTCACTCCGTCTGCTTGCGCGTCACATTTCCATATCTCAAATCATCTATACTCCACTCGGCAAGGCAGTCGACGTAATCACGGCTCCTTTTAAAAAGATATCTCCAATTATCCGTAGCTTTACCTTTCTTGCTTTTACCCTCTCTGTTATGTTGATCGTCTCGATGACTAATCCCGAGAGTGGTGACAATACTCGGATTGCTCGACTACAGTCCTTTTTAGGTGTGCTAGTCACTATTTTCCTCATGTGGCTTACTTCGACTAATCGCAGGGCTGTCCCATGGCACACTGTTGCTTCTGGCATGTTTATGCAGTACATTATTGCCCTGTTTGTGCTTCGCTCTTCTTTTGGTTTCAACATTTTCAAGTACATTTCCGTCAAGATTGCTGCTTTTCTCGACTACTCTCACTTTGGTCTTGAATTTCTCATTTCCAACTCTTACGATCACACCCTGTTTGCCCCATCTGTGTTTCCTGCCATCATCTTCTTTTGCTCTTTTGTCTCCATTGTTTATTACTTTGGAGGTATGCAGTACATTATTGCCAAGATGGCCTGGTTCATGATGTTCGCAATGGACGTGTCTGGTGCAGAGGCTGTTGTCGCTGCTGCTTCTCCCTTTATCGGTCAAGGCGAAAACGCTCTTCTCGTTCGTCCTTTTGTCGAACACATGACAAAATCCGAGTTGCATGCCATCATGACTGCTGGTTTCTCTACCATTGCTGGATCTGTGCTTTTGTTTTACATTTCCATCACTGGAAACGGTGCTGCTATTCTCACTTCGTGTATCATGTCTATTCCTGCCTCATTGCTGCTTTCCAAAATGCGTTACCCCGAATCTGATGTGCCTATGACCAAGGGCTCTGTTCGTATTGTGGAGCACGGTGAAAAGGAGGCCAATTTCCTTCACGCTGCCGGTAATGGTGCAGCCACTGGTATCCAACTTGTTTTGCTTATCGGTGCTACTCTTATTGCGATTGTTGCTCTTTTCACTGTTGCAAACGACATTTATGGCAATCTGTTTTCCATTGTCGGTCTCTACAATACTATTCACCCAGCTCGTCCTGATGGCACCTATGATCAAGTCACCATTCAGTTCACTCTCTCCTACCTCTTCTTCCCCATTGCCTGGCTTGTTGGTATTCCAATTTCTCAGGCCCGTGATGCTGGTGAAGTTATGGCTACTAAAATGGTGGTGAACGAATTTGTTGCTTACCTCAGTCTTGGTAAAACACCATCTATTCCTCAGAATTCGCGCGCCTTTAATCTCATGGTCTTTGCTCTCTGCGGATTCGCCAACATCTCTTCCATTGGTATTCAGCTTGGATGCCTCGGTGCCATTGCTCCTACCCGGAAAGCAGATTTAGCCACATTGGTTGTTTCTGCCATGTTGGTTGGTACTGTTGCTACTTTCCTAACTGCAGCAGTCGCGGGTACTCTACTTTAACTGACACAGACTTGGAAGTTGGTCTTTACATGTCATTTTCGGTGCGAATCTGCATCTCCGTCTTAATTTTTGTTCTACGTTTATTCCCATATTGTCTTATTCAATATTCTTTGCATCGGGTTGGATAATTTATTCAAGGATCTAAAAATTGCCGAGCTTATCTGTCTTTTAGATCTTTATTAATGTACCTTGCAATTTGTATTTCATACAAACCTGCCGAGTTTATGGTCTTTGATTGGTTTGATCTCCGCCATTTTCATTTCTATAATTCCATTAATTTTGGATTACCAATACATTACTTTATCCCTCATTTTCTGATATTTGTTGTTCGGTGAATTGGGGGTTTTTACAGTATATACAATATTTTTGGGGTTCAATTGGTAGTTCGTTCAGGTGACAAATTACCGGCCTATTAAAATTAACGAGCGTAACCAAACATCACTTTGCTTTTATCCTCACTAGTGTCACCCTGTTCGCAATGGTCAGACTTTTTTCTAGCGACAATCAAGAGTTTAGTGTATCCAAAGAGATTGCATGCCAGTCTATTCTGGTCAAGAACATTCTCGAGGATTTGGATAATGATCAAAACGCAGTCATTCCACTGCCAAACATTACTGGTGTTGTTCTTGCCAAAGGTATGTTTTCTATTGCACATGTGCTGTAAATCAATCCGTAGTCTGCTGCTCCCCTACATTCCCATAGCATTGCTATTCCTCTGACTTTGTAGAGTTGAATGCATGCAATGCTGGATGGTGAAGGGCAATGATTCACCATCGCACTATCAATGTCTACAATCAAGACATTGACTTTGCTGACCTGTCATGAGTAAACACCATTGATTGTATGGTGTGATCGTTTTAAACTGGTCATCGAGTCATTTAATAAAACAAATTGACCAATATCTGTTCATCCACATGTAGTTACATGTGCTCCTAATTAACATCCGTTTAACACTTACTATTCAATCATTATAGTTATTCAATACGTTGAGCATCACAAGGACGATCTTTTCAAAGACGAGCCTGTCAAGAACTTGTCCGAGGACAAAACCAAACCCTTTGAAAAACCAACCATTGATCTTGATCCATGGGACAAGGAGTTTACTACAGTGGATCAGAGTTTACTGTTTGATCTTATTTTTGCTGCCAACTATTTGAACATAAAAAGCTTACTAAACCTTGGTAACTGTCACTTGCTCTACTACTGTCTAATCTTAATGGGCTATTGACATTGATGTTTCAATCCATGATATTTCAGGGTTCAAAGCTGTTGCTAATGTAGTCAAGGAAAACACTGTCAGAGACATTTGCCAGGTATCTACGTAGACAATCATGCATATGCATTACTGTTTCCAGAACTAACTCTTACCTTTTTGATATCCAATTAGGCTTTCCCTATTAGCTCCAACGAAGAATGATACATCTTGTCTTAATCCAAACCATATGGGATCGGTTTAGCTTGCATGTATTACATTGTTTTTCAAAGCCATTCTTTTGACAATATTATTGCTTTCGATATTCGTTTTGCTCCTATTATTTGGCATAAACAATAGCTTATTAAAATTTTACTTGCTCAATAACCTCAATTTCTTTATATCGATGACTGTTTTGATGGGTAATTTTTAGCTAGAGACATCTGATTCAAACAAAATATATATAATCGGATACAATCAAACTATGATCTTGAACTGATTGTCACTTTCTCCATTTTAGACCAGCCTTATATTTTACGGTTGACGAGTTTACAGACTTGGAAACAGCAAAACCAATATCTGGACTGTAATGGATGAATCTGGGTTCCAACTCGACTTTATTGTACCCTAATCTCGGATATGTTTTCAATCTAGTTTGACAAAACAAGACCCGTATGTATCAGGGGTGCAACATTTGTTTACATGCTCAATCGCTAGGGGAAATCCGTGAGTGAGTCTAGAACATTTGATGAGTTATTATGAAACTGGCAGTTTATTGTATACTGCCAGTTTCAACTATTTCATTTTACGTGAATACGGCTGTAAACCCAACACATCTCAATTCCTCAATCCAATTTATTTCAAAGATCATCAATGTCCTGGCGTGCCTAATATCATTCCATACCCACTCTTGCCTATCCCATTACGATGAACTCGCTCTGCCTGTGCATTTACTTCTCCACTTACTCGCTTTAACTCAACCACTCTTCCTGCCAACTCGGTGCTTGTCTTGTCAATCCACTCCAATGACGCCAAATGATCATTCAAAATTCGTACAATCGCCCCAATAGGATTATCTTCTTCAAATGCAATAGGCTGCTTATTACCTTCGCTTTGACCTGCCGTCAATCCGCCTCCATACATAGTGGAGGGCATTGATGCATTGCGTGATTGATTCATGTCATCAATGATTACTCCCAATTGCAGTGACATATCGTCTAGCTGCTTATTGAGATTCTCTGCCAAGGTATACGCCTTTTCTCGCTCTTCATCTGCTGGTGTTGTTCTACAAGTATACAGTTTCAGCAATAAGATTTATGGCTTCACATAACATTGCATGTCTCCATATACACGCCAGCTACAATGTTTACCTGAAGTGTGCAGCCTGTGCATCGTTTTGAGACAAAGCTAATATCTGCGCTTGATAGTTGTCCAACGTCGCATCGAGTTCGTTTTGTTGTGCCTCGATATATTCAAGATTCTGGTCAATTTCCTTTTGTGCGGTTTCAGTCACTTGAAGCTCGTTATACAGCATCGAGATCTTTTTTTATAAAAATAGTCAGAGAAACAAGGTATATGCAATGCGTTGAATCTAAAGAAGTTTGAAGTTGAAACCTGATTTACTTACAGTTGCCCCATTTTCAAGAATGATTCGATCCCATTTTTGCAATTCTGTCGCCTGACTTCGAAAATTCTGAGTATATGATTCTAAATCTGTATTCCACTTGTTCAAAATATCTTCCAGAGTTTTATTCTTTAGTAGTGGTATGCCTCCTGCAGCCAAAGATGTGGTAGTTGCTCCAGCTGGCTTTTCTGTAGTTGTGCCAGTAGTCAAAGCAGCGGTTGCAGGAGTGGTAGTAGTAGGTGCAATGGTAGTGGACACGGACTTGACTTCAGCTAAACATTTACACGTAATTAAAATACACTACATATTTCCTATAAATATAGCCTAAACTTACGGTTAAACGCAGGCATTTTTACTCCACCAAAAGCGGGTGCGTTGGTTGATGCAGTAGTAACACCAGATATAGTAGTGTTTGCTGGAGCCAATGAAAAACTAGGTGCAGCAGCAGTTGTAGCCAATTTACCAAATCCAGATACACTTGTAGGGGCTGCCACTGTTTGAGTGGTAGCAGGAGCACCAAATAAGCTTGATGTTGGAGCTGTAGTAGCTGGATTAGTCGCGACAGCCGATCCAAACATTCCACCACTTCCAAATGAGGGCACTGCAGCTGTAGTAGTTGGATTAGTCGCAGCAGTTGATCCAAACACTCCACTACTTCCAAATGAGGGCACTGCAGCTGCGGTAGCTGGATTAGTCGCAGCAGTTGATCCAAACATTCCACCGCCTCCAAATGAGGGGATTGCAGCTGTAGTAGTTGGATTGGTTGTGGCAGCCGATCCAAACATTCCACCGCCTCCAAATGAGGGGATTGCAGCTGCGGTAGCTGGATTAGTCGCAGCAGTTGATCCAAACATTCCACCGCCTCCAAATGAGGGGATTGCAGCTGTAGTAGTTGGATTGGTTGTGGCAGCCGATCCAAACATTCCACCACTTCCAAATGAGGGGATTGCAGCTGTAGTAGCTGGATTAGTCGCAGCAGTTGATCCAAACATTCCACCGCCTCCAAATGAGGGCACTGCAGGAGCAGGAGCACCAAACATTCCTTGAGTGGGAGCAGCAGTAGTAGTACCAAGTCCGGTAAACGCTAAAGATACATATTAGTATAAAGTATGTTCATAAATATAATCAATCAATCCATAGTCGAGAGATTTACATGGCGAAGAGGTCAAGGTAAATATCAAAATGTCTAGTATTCTCTTGCCAGCATTGACTATCCTTGCACTAGACTCGACTCTTGTAGTCCATTCACACCACTATGTATTTACAACTACATTGATATGAATTCACACTAATCGACTTACAGAATTTTCCACCAGAAGGAGCACCAGTACCAGATCCAAACATGTTATAGTTGAAGATGGAGTATGTTTTGATATTCAGATGTCAGTCTGTTTTATAGAATGCACAGATAGTAGTCAGTATATCCATCGATTTTCAAACCAGTTCTAGACAGTATTCCTAGCGTCACTTTGAAATGGTGTTATACTCTTACCACGGATTTCAGTAATAACTTGTAAACGATGGAGAAAAATTTGAATCTACAAGCTTCAAAAATACTTGAAATCAAATGTAGTTTTATTCTTAAGCTCAAAGCATACCAACTCAATATACAGACTTGAACCTAGAATGATATGCGATATGTCTACTGATCCTGCATGCGATACAAAGCAACCATGACGCCTTTAGATGCAACTCGAGCACCCAAATCAACACTACCGACAACCTCATCATCACACTTGAACCACAACGTTCCGCCTCTTAATCGTGTATATGTCATAAAATGAGCTTGAAGCTGGGTAACAAACCCATGCAGACGATAAAAGGTAGGTATACGGGAATCTTGTCTAAACCCAGCATGCGCAGGCATCTCAGCGTTTGGATCTAGATAAAACCCTAGATCTAGCTCGAGAGGAAGCTCGATTGAAGTCGCATGATATTTTGGAGTACCCGAGTCTGTAGGTGTGCACGTACCACCAAGATGAGAGTATTTTGAAGCATTTGTACTCTCATTATATGGCTTATTCAAAATGAAATCGGTTTGGCCATTGGAAATTGCAGTGGCTGGATTTGGAGTAGTGTCCAACACAGCACGATTGAAGCTTATTAGTAAGAAATAAGGAAGAAGCTGAAAGTGTTTCTTTGTAGGCAGCATTGAAAAATCATCAATGTTTCTGTTGGCACCGTGAAATTTGGAAGGATCGCCACCAAAGAATAAAGAAGGTGGAGATCGACCAAAATGGGTATTGAGTAGTGTGAGCAAAGAAACAGTTGCAGACTGGGAATGTGAGGTGATGTCTAGTGTCAAGATGGAGTTGGTGGGTTTGTGCGGTATGTTGGAGACTGGGTTTCCAAGAGGAATCTCACTGGCGATGGGTTGATGATCAGTAATACGATGGTCAAATCTCCGGCCAAAGCGGGTTTTGAGCAACACGCAATCTAAGAAACTGCGAGCAACTTGTTCAAAGTTTGCAGGAGCAGAATTTAAAGTAATATCTAGGCATTCCTGTAGCCAGTATAGAGCAGAGAGGATATCCGATGGAGATAGTTTAATGTCATGACGCAGATGCAGTGTTTGAGCCATGGCAGAAAACTTGGCAATGGCAACGTCTGGAGAGTTTACAGGAAGTTCCTGGTTGAGTTCAGGCAGACTAGTAAACAGCTGGATCAACGAGTTCATTGCAGATATGGGGATAGATAGCGTAGGATTCAAGAGCGGTTTAATGGCTCTACATCGCATACACAAGTAGTATTAGCAGGATACTCAACATTAGATGCAGTTGGCAAAAAACATACTCATCGGGCGAGTAGGATAGACAAGGCTCAGAGTAGGCCTCTTCCAAAGGAGGAAATACTAAGATGGAAGGTACAGACATGTAAGTTTAATGCATTCGCAGGGAAGCTCAAGAATTGCAAGTTTCCTTTTTGGCGTCGTATTCACGTAAAATGGTCACCAAATAAAGTGTAATAAACAGTCTGTCATGGTGTCACCAAATTTACTGGTCAATATTATAAACTTTTTACAGGTCTTTCTCGTGGTGATTGTCATGTGGAGTTGCATTTCCAAAACATGCAGTCGTTGGTTTCTTGAATGCGAGTGCAAACATGCGAGTTTGCAGTTTGACGACAATTAAACAATATCTAGATTACAATCAATAAATTTAGTGATTGCAGTGTATGGCTATGCAGAAAGGGAAACAAGGGCGGGTTCAAAGTTTCATTTCGAGCATCATACGATGGCCGTTGTGTTGATTGAATCGAGAATGTCCATTAAAGCTAATTTGTAAAACAGATCAAATATTCGACTATTATTCTAAAACCATCACTGCAAAGAGTATTCCATTTTGCGTGAATACAGTTTTGTAGCTCAAGATAAAAGATATAGGATATTTATTTGCATTTCAACAGCCTGCTTTCATCATGCTTTTACAGCACTTCAAAAACAAGAGTTTTCCGTTTGTAAAACTGCATGATTGGTTTAGATTAGCATGCATAATGCTAAAGATCGTGTCAGCAAGATCAACTCAACGAGTTCAGCAAGTTGAATTATTACCGCAGTGCAAGATACGATCAATACACGATTCTGCTATCCAAATCAGCACAAAAACAGTTCTGATATTTGCGGAACAAAGCATCATGACAGTTGATGATTTCTTTAATTTTCCCTCTTTATTACCATGGCTTTGCTATAGTAATAAGGGTTTAATTGCAGAGATTGATCAGAGCTAGAGTTTGCTATACATCTTACCACCATCCTCATTGTCATGCCCTACTCTGGTAAATACTCTCTTGCCACTCGCTGTCTTACAGAGTTTCTGGGCACTGCATTGGCCATTTTCCTGGGCGACTCGGTCATTGCCAACGAACTATTACCTTTAACAAAGGGTCATAGCATGGGCTTTGGATGGATTGCTACTGCCTTTGGCATGGCATTCACTCTTTCCATCCTTATGTTTGGCTATGCATCTGCACATGTTAATCCAGCAATGACTCTTACTTTGTTCATCATCAACAAACTGTCCTTTGTAGATTGCATCTGTCTGATTCTTTCTCAGCTTGCTGGCGGGTTTATGGGTGCTGTTGCCATGTTCATTGTCTACTTGCCTCACTTTCGCACTATTCCAGAGCCTCCTGCTTCGACTGCTTGTGGTTCTGATACTAATGCCAATGTTTTGCTACGCACCAGAGATGCCATTGATGTCGATGCCCTGCGAGTAGCTTCTTATAATACCAAATCCTCAGCATCAGCTTCCAAATCCTTCTCCGATATCCTCAAGGAAGCAAAATATTATCTAACTTCTCAATCTAGCGATTCAAAGCATGTGTTTAATTTGCTAAGTTTGGGCACATTGGATCTCGCTGGTGTCGAGGTCGCTTTCCCGGACGATCCTTTAAAGGCTTCCAGTACTACCGATCTAGAAACTCCCCAAAACCAGCATCGTCCACTCCAACGCAGACACTCGATTCAAGTCTCTGAGATGCAGCGGCGACTTCGGCGTCTTGAGGCTTCCATGGCCCCTTCTGCTTCCTCTACAGCACTCACTCGTACCCAAACAATATTTAAATCCGATTCTGCTTCTGTGCACACTGCTCATTCATCAGTGGTTTCTCCTTGCACTCATTCCGAGGACAATCTTGCCAGCAAACCAGCCGTGATCGTTTGTTCTTCGGCCACTCCTACTGATTCTCTTGCAAACGTCAAAGATGCTCGTTTTGCTCAAAACAGTGCTCGTTTCAACGCTATACTTGCGAATAAATCCTCATCCGACTCAAATCTAAATCCCACAAGCTCCAATTCTCACCCAACTAACAAACGCGACCGACACTTGGACTTTCAGGTCCTTGGCGATCTTAAAACCACTCATGCCGAAGCCTTGCATAAGGCTGCCATAAGAGCTCATCAGGCAGCCAAACTATCTGCATTTTGCAATCGTCCTGCCATATACCTTCCTATTCATAATTTTACTGTCGAGGTGATCGGCACAACCATGCTGTGTTTAGGCGCGCTGTTACTTGAACTCCGCTTCAGCATGGCTGCCACTGCTATAATAGCTACAAACACTATCCCGGCCGAAACAGTCGAGCTAGTGTTCCATAATGGTCTTGCACCCTTCTTTATTGGTATATTTATTCAAACGTGCATCTTTGCCTTGGGTGGACCTACTGGGTTTACTGCCAATCCTGCAAGAGATATTGGCCCCAGATTTGCTCACTGGATCTTGCCTGTTCCTGGTAAAGGTGCTTCTGAATGGAACTTTTGTGGCGTGGTTACTTTGGGAACCTTTTCTGGCGGTGTAGTTGCTGCCGTACTTTACATGGGCTTGAGCACCATTCCTTAATTCTCGATCATACTTGTTTCTTTTGACTTGCTATGTCAATGCGTTAATATTTATTTGTAGTCGATTCAACGTGTCATAAAATAAATAGTTCAATTGAAACTCATCAACTGTATCAGATCTTCAAAAGTGACTATGCACAGGAATCATTTGCAAAAATGCCTTGTAAATTCATGTATTCTGTTTCCTAGTCTTTTTGCCAACTGGATATGCGATGTTGAGTTATATAGCAGGCGGCTTAACCAAGTGACAATCACACACACTAGCCACATCTTCCTTGTATCGCAGAATGTATTCAGCAGCAACTTTTGATGCCGCTTTTTTTGCATCACGCTTTCCTGTTCCAATGGCTTTTCCAATGATTTTGTCGTGGCATTTGACTATGGCAACTGTCGCAGTATTTTGGATATGAGTATACCTATTCAACAATTTTTGTCAGTAAATAGTCGTTGATCCAGATCCATTAAACACATCAACACACTTACGTATACTCTACTGCAGAACACTTTAAATGTTCAGCAACCAAGTCCCGTAATTCTACGATTGAATTCTGCAAAACCACTTTTCCATCTTGTACTATCTGAGAAAAATGGTCCCACCACGGCTTGATCAATGAATTCAAAACAAATTCGTCTACTTTTTCTATACTAAATTTCGAGTCAACAAATATAGCACCAAGAATAGCTTCGTACACATCCCCACATATTTTTGGAGCAGTTGTCATGTGGGCCCAAAATATTTTTTGAATAGAGTCGGCTGGTTGAGATAAATGTTCAATCACCTGCTGAGCATAGGCATCAACAATCCAGACAGTATCGCTCTTTTTTACACGCAGCCAGTCAATCAATCCAAGGCGAATACTCACACATGCCAAAAACTGGTTACATACCATTTCCGATTTCAGATGGGATATCACGCCTGGTGAAGATGATCCCAGCTGAGTATACAAATACTTTGTAATGATAAATGACAGCACAGCGTCACCAAGAAACTCCAACCGTTGGTAATTTAAACCGCAAATTGAAAACGAAGATGAAGAATGCGTCAAGGCTTCCCACAGTATTGACTTGTCTTGAAACGTATAGTTCAAAACAGCTTCAATTCGGAGAGTAACTAGAGAATCAATGTCGCCAATAAAACGAACCAAATGGGATGGTGTCACATTGCGATGAAGCTGATATTGCGTAAAATACAATCCCCATTCGCTTTGATAATCCCGATTCAAAAGACTTCTGACAGCCTCGGACGCACCAACAATACCTCCATCAATCAAACACCCTCCAATAATGGCTTCTGTCACATCTGCTAGAATTTTTTTTGGCATGGACTGCATTGAATCGTGTCCCTTGGCTGGAGGAACCCACTGTTTGCGCGAAAACCTGGTAGTAAGAATCAGTCCTTGTAATCCAACCTCGGTTGCTCTCCGACACAACTCCAAATTTTGTTCAGCGACCATTCGTGATGTTGTCAACCATCCTTCGTCTTGAGATGGGTTCAGTGCAAACAAATGGAGAGACTGATGAATTTTAAGAAAACTGTCACCGAGAATTTCAAGTCGTTCATAACTATACGGCAAATCCGTCGATGAAGCCACCAATACCGTTTGTAGGGTTTCTATATTGATGAAAAATTGAGGTGTGTGATCTGCCATTCGATTGAGAAGGGATATTTCTTTTCCAAAATATAAATCTGTAGCAAGCAGTCGATGCCACAGCTGTCGTATTACCAAAGGCATATACAATCCCTGATATAAATGAAGTCGTTTTACTGGATATATAGTACAAAACTGTGGCAACACGTACGTTTTTACTGATGCTATACACTTTTTTTTGATCTGAACAGGATCTGGAACCTTGGTTGCGTAGATAAGACATTGGTCCTCTACAATAGGCTCTCGACACCGCAGACGAGTTTTGTAAAAGCTTTTCACGGTAGAAAACGTATTTAGGTCAGAGACGAGTGACGACGGGGTTTTGTCGTGTTGAATTTCAAGAATGGAGTATTTGCGTGAATAGTGAACTCGATCAAAAACGATCATGTCATGGTAAACTGAACGCGAAATGGTCGGATCATTAGTGATTGAAGATAAATCAGTTTGGTCGACAGTTTGACAATAACGGAGTGAGTCCCAATCAATAATGGACTCGGGGAGTATAGTGGATATGTCAATGGCTGTATTGTCAGCATATTCGGATCGAATGGGAACGCACAGCAGCGACCAATCAAGGCCTTTTTTGAACTGACTACGTAAAACTCCCGAAAAAAGATAGAAATGATATTCGAAAAACTGCGCAATCATGTCTGAAGTGAGTAAAAGCTTATGTGCCAATGCAACCACTCGAAACCGCCGCGGTTCTCCGTCAAAATTTAAATCCATGTGCTCAGTTTGAACATTTTCCACTCCACATGTGAGAATACAAAAAAGTAGAGTGGTAGTCTTGATTTCTACAGGTTTTGTCTCGTGCAGCTCATCCGAAGCTGGTTTAAAACATGTGTTCAACAAACCCGTTGTGTCAGAATTTGCTGAATCAATTTGCTGCAAGTGCACAATATGAACCCACGCATGTTCACCGTCTTTCCATGTGCCTTGTAAAGCTGTTGGGATTTTCAGAGGGTAATCGCACATGTCGATCAGTTTGGCCTTTTTTGAAGTTTCCTTTGATTTGGCAACAAATGCGCCATATTTTGTCTTGGACAAACAAGAATTGAAATGATCATCCACTTCTTGAAATTTATGCAGTAACTTTACCATTTCAAATGCCGCCAATCGTTTTGCCTTTTTAATTGTATTTGCACTCGATCCCTGTATGCCCTGACACTCTTTTCTTACCAAGTGCGGCATCTGTATGGTCACGTACATGTTAAAATCGCCATCAATGCTAGTGGTATAAACCGGTTGAGAGTCCGTGCCATTTACAGATAAAGTAGCACAATACTCTTGTAAAAACTTGATCGAGTTATAAAGATTCAATACAGCACCTGTATGTGCAATATTGTATTGGAACTTGTCAGAATCGTCAGAGTCACAGGTGAAACTAGACACGGCTTCGGGCTTTTCGTTTACGGATTGTACTAAAAGAGACTGTAGATGTGCTTCTTTTTGTTGTATGGCATGTAAAGACTGCTCTTCCTGCTGATCATCTTTATTGACCAAAACAATAAACTGCGAGCAATTTTGTCTTGCTCGTCCTCGCGATTGAATATAGCTGATCAGGGTTTGAGTTTTATCAAATCTAATAGTACATATTTACCAAGTTTAAAAATTGATCAAGCATGATAAATATGCTAAACCATAACTTGCCTGATGACAGCATTACACGACCGAATATCCAATCCCTCTTCAGCAACCTAGCATGGTTTCAAATAAAAGAGATTGAATTCAAATCAGTACATGTAGCCATATAATTCACTAAACATTGCGCATTACCTGAGTAGCTATTAAAAGATTGCAATCACCGCATCGAAACGCGGTAACAACAGATTGCTGAGTTGTAGAACTCATTCCGTTGAGTCCTCCAACTGCACGCTTTCTCTTACCATGTCCAATCAGCAGTTTTGGTTTTAGAAACTGCAGGTCTGGATGCGCGATAATCAGCATCCGAATTACACTTGCATAGGATCGTTGTTGAACAAACACGATTCCGCAAAAAGATTCGATATAGCGAAACTCGAGTAGAATGTCAATTAAACATTGTACTTTTGGAGATACAGCAAAAAAAGAAACGGGGTTGTTGGATGGGCCAAATGTGGGCGACGAAATAAATGCATGGCAGAATTTATGTATAGGCGTGGCGGTAGAAAACGCAGAGTCATTCAGCAAGCTTTCATAATTTAAAGTATCCAGCTGGTCTATATCTATATCCAAATCAGATGAATCTAAACATGTATAGCAAAAGAGATAAAAAATTAAACTATTATTAAAACTTAAAAACTATTTCAGTGGCTCTACAAAAGCATGAGTATCGTACCTTGTTCAATGCACTCATCTGGATGTGAAGGGGTATTGTCTGATTCAGCTTCCAAAAGCTGTTTTGAAAGCACCATATTGATATCCGTAGCTTGCTTCAACTTTTTAAAATAGTATACCACAATCATCTCCAACATCCGGTCTGCACACCATGGCCCCAAAACATCACAAGCAATATGAGATTCTCTCAGTTGGTCAGATATATTTTCTGCCAGCCCCGAACATTCGTATATCTTTGTATACGATTCAGACAGCTCGTAGAATGGACTATTGACAAAGTACATAACACGTTCTACTGGACTAGAAACATAGTTGGATATGCTTTCGTAAGTAGATGTAACTGCTCTACAATGTAAACTAGATTGTAGATATCTAAATACATAAACATACAAATGATTAAATCGTCTTGATATCCAAACAAGCAAAGCTCTAATTTAAAAATCAAACAAAAAACAGGCACTACTTACTTGATTGATTCTTCATTATCACCTTTTCCAAAAGCAGGCGATGCAGTTATGCCAAAAATCTTAGGTCTTATTGCTTCAGAACATAGTGCATAGTGTGTTTGCATTAATACACGGTATGGATGAAGGTTTCGTGCATGATGACACTCGTCAAACACAATCAAATTGAGCTAATCATTACATTTGAACTAGTCAGTCATTGCTAAATATGTGCATCAATCATAATAACAACACAGTTCAATTCAAGTAAGCAAACTATTTAACGCTGTAGCTCACTATTAAGCAAGTATGTTACCATGCTTATACTGATATAACCGCGATCCAGCGATGTTTTCAAAATCTCAGCAGTCATAACCATGACATCATTTTCTTCTAATGCGCACTTCCAGTATTTAAACTAAATGATTGATGTCGGTTGGTTTTAATGATATGTATCTGAATAATCTATACAATGCCTAGATAAGATCAACGATTTGAGACTTACATCATGTTTTTTCATTGAAACTCCTTCAGATGAAAATCCCGTACGCAGTTTGGAGTGCATTTTAATATACTGAGCCTGCTGGCTTACTAGAGGAATAGTGGGAACAAGCATAACACTGATTTTGCGGTTCTACAAGAGCAAATATGATTATCTACAATCACACGATAGTAAAACAGATTGGCAGAGCTCTTGATATTGAACCCCTCCCAATTAAAAAAGTACTTACAGCTGCTTCTGGAGATTGTATTGAATGCATATGCTCAATCAGCAAAAGCGCTATAAGCGTCTTTAAATTCAATCAAATGACAGTGTTACGCCAGATTCAATTAATGATGCATGCATTGAAACGCACTAGCAACAAGACATTACCTTTCCTGTCCCAGTAGGCAGTACAGCAATGATATTTTCAGCTTTAGCAAGTTCAAACAACCACAATTGGTAACTTCTTGGCTCGACTACATTTGATTGATATGATGGCGAATCTGTCGTGTCCATATCAGTTACTGATGATATCTCTTGAAAAGTCGCATTGCTATGATTGGCAGGCATCTTGGCATGTGTTTGAGCCAACAGGTTTATCGTTTCGAAATCACTCGACATATTTAAAAAGCACTGTAAAGTAAAAAAAAGGATGCATATAAAATTGACCGATTAGTTATGTGTAGCTGCTAAATGGGTAGAGGACATGAAATAGTATCATTTAGTATAATCTAATTCAAACAAGTAGCAAACCTAGCAATAGTGCAGAAATAATGATATAATTCTATTGTTTTTGGAGAAACTCTCAGTTTGACGCTCAACAGTTTTCCAAAAATTTGACAGATTGGCCTATGCGGCTAGTTATTTATAAATAGGCCCGAGTTGGTTCTTGCAGATGGTATATTTATTCAAGGATAAACCGACTATTTGGATTGAAATCCAAAGCCGCATCAAGCAGTGTTTGAACTGTTGGATACGCTTATAATAGACTTTATGTTATTCTCATACTCGGCAACAAATCCAATATGCAAGGCTTGGCTGAAAATATGCTTTTGTTTCAAGTAGATAGGGATTACATAGTACATAGTAAGCAACCAGTCTCATGAAATGATTGTCATCAGTTTACTGAACAGCATTGTGTTCACTAAGCTTTCTTCTGGTGACTAGCATGTATAATCACATTCCTGCAATCTTTGTTTTCTTGAATTAGATTCGAGCGTACGAGATTTTAGGATACAGATGGGTTTGCACAGTGCAGTCAATTTCTAATAGGAAAGCATAACCAAATATTTATGCATTGTTTATTTCAAAGCAAAATAAAGTCAATGCAAGATAAACAAGTTATATTTTACATGAATACAGCGATGAGTTTGAAACGGCATAATTGACCATTAAATTACAAATGCCAGGTCTAGTACCCAATGATAACGACCCGTAAACCAATGTGTGAACGGAATGTGGGATCCACAATGGACTAAACATCATTCTTTTCTTTACTCGAGTAATCTGTGCTCAGCCGACTGTCAAGCATAGCAAACCTGTATTGAGAATCTCATCACCAGAATTAGATACTATTCAAAAAATGTCCAAAGACGTACATGTTATGCGTAGTATTTCCAGACGACTAAATGGCTTGAATATGGAGCGTATCGAGCAGCTCGCCGATGAGCTGATTGCTATTGGAGAACGACTGGATAAGCTTGGCTTGAGACCTCAAAAACAGTCTTTATGGCAGGCAAATACTGATTTACAAAAAGTAAATGACTCGAGTGTCCATAATGACAATGGAGATTCAATCTCTAGTTTTCATGTCGATAATGCGCTCACTCCTCCATCATCGCCCAACGAGTCCATGACGTCAGTATTTCGAATGGCAGGGCAGACAGTTGGAAATATGCAGGTAAGCTACTGATGAGAATTGAAATTACCATTCAGCTGCCTGTCATTCCTAATCATTGTCATGTTCTCAATCTGCTGTTGGAATTGTGGCTTAATGTTTTTATTGATTTGGCGCAATCCCTGTAAATTATGCACAATTAAATAGCAAATCGATGCGTTGGTTCAGCTCATGCGACTAGTTGCTGCCATTGGACAAAACCTTGTCGTATACCAGTGTGCACCATCATCTGTCTTGATTGACCTGATATTCGTGATTTGCACGGCAGTCTCTCAAAACCAGACAGACGCTCTTTGTGAGCAGATCCCATCCATCCAACAACAGTTGCTAGCAGAAGCTAGTTTAATATTGGAAAATCCCTTTTTTAGTATCAACTCGGCAGCTAAATCAGTCAATGTAAAGACAAGTATCCGCAGAAGATCAAGATTACCTACAATGAATGAACACGACTCATCACCGAGTAATGATGAATGTTGTACTTATCCCAGTCCATCAGCCAATAATCAAGACAGGTGTGATACGCCCCTAACACTTGCTGTTCATATCGAGTCGGTATTGACTCTTTCAGACTTGCTAAAACCAGTACACGTTGGACTTCATCTGGCAATGTACGTGAATCGTCGTACACCATCAACGCTTGCTCATGTATACAATGCTTACAACAACTGGTGCTCGTTCACAGTTTTTTCTCCAATACTGTGGATTAAAGGTGCTGCTGGATCTGGAAAGTCTGTTGCTCTTGCTTATCTGTTTGATAATATGTTCAAACACTGTCAATACCCACCTGTAATCTCTCCTTTTCAAGCAGGAATGGCTTCGCCCACAAAATATACTAGGCGTCCAACTCAAAGTGAAGCTTCTGATACAATCTTGACCGATCCTATAGAGTATCTTGTTGCTTACTTTAGCTGCAGTTTTGATCCCTCTCGTCGCAGATTAGCATCAACCCTTCTTTGTACTGTTGCATTTCAACTTGCTACTCAAAACTCGAAATTCTTGCATGGGATTAGTTTAACTGATTCACTCGACACCAATCTTCAAGATCTTATGGACAGATTGCTGGTTCGTCCGATGCGTCAACTTAATCCTCACACCACCAAGGTATTTGTCTTTATCGACGACATTGACATGTTGGACGATTCAGATGAATTGATGCAATATATCCAAGCTATTAGCAAGAATCCAGCACAATCCTACATTCACTTTGTCATCACCACCAAAATGTATGCTGAAAAAAGATGGCTAGATATATCATTGACTAGTATTTTGGATTTGGGCATCAAAGAATACCTTGAAATTCGAGATCATGATGTTGCTACTTATGTTTCATCCGAGCTTATTGCTATTCAGCCTTTGACAAAACTGAATGCTGAAGATGCTGGCGAGCTTGCTGCATTGGTAAATCGCCAAGCAAACACATCATTTAGGTCTGCAGTTCTTATCATGATGAATATCAGGCTGGCGGCTATAACATGCAATTTAAAAAAAACAGGCGACAATAGGTTATACTTGCACAAATCAGTCACAGCCGGAAACGTGCATCTTTTTGATGAATATTTGCTCGAAATTAGTCAAATACTAAACGTTGTGATCGTCAAGTCGTTACTGCAAATCATACCATATACGATTCGAGTAGTGAATACTGATCTTGTTGCTGAATTGATGATGTATGGGTTTGGATGTGCATTACAACCAGCAATCATTGAGCATCATTTTGGGTGGATCAGCGCTGCGATCAACTTTAGTCAGAACGGTCAGCATGCGGAAACACTTTGTAGATTGATTGAATCTCCAGATTCAAAGTTTCATGTTGTTTCTGAAGAGGCTCACTATATCCTTGTTGTTGCATGCCTACGTCGTCTGTCACAAAATCGATTGGAAATGGATATGCATCGACCCGATACGCTTTTTGCGTATGCATCAATGCACTGGCATGAACATATGGCTCGAAGCCACCCCGACTCTGAAATAGCCACATTTGTGTTTGGATTTCTCACCTCACCTGGATTGATGTATTATTTAGAAACACTTTCATCAATGGACATGCTTCTTACTGCCAAATCTGCATTTCGTACCATCATGTTGTAAGTTTTTGTAAATATTGGTAATTTACAATGTATTTCTGTTCAAGATTCTAGAGTACTCATAAAACTGCTACCATGGATAAATTCAAACTTTAAAATTAAAAAGATATGTATCTAAACTGTCAGATAGGAAGCTTGCCGACCGAATAGCGACATATACTCGCGATATCGACTTTATTGTGTCCAACTTTGCTGACATGCTTGTCACCACTCCAGCAGAGATATTTCGCTCAGTTTTGGTATTCACTCCACCTGCAAACGTTATTCGCCGTGCTTTGGGCACTTCATATTTAGCTCCACACCATGGCGTGTTGACTGATGGATTGCTTTCACATGTCGGAACAATCAGTGCCATGGTACTTGCCATGGATACGAAAAACGAATGGGGCACGGCAGCAAGGCTAAACACTATTGGTTCGGCTGAAGGAGACTTGTATACTGGCAGTATAGATGGTCAAATCATGTCATGGGATGTATTGACTATGAAGCATGTTCGGACATTTACATCGTCCAAGTTTATTTTTGGTACAAAAGATAAAAAACCCAAACTGGACGTATTGGCCATTGCTGTTCAACGAAAACTGTCGCTGATGGTAACGGGACATGCTGATTTTCTGGCTCGGTTGTGGGATACATTGACTGGGAAGCTGATACACATTCTTCAAGGCCATAAAGGTGCTGTCACTGGTGTTGTGTTTGGTGCCGATGGTAATGAAGTGATCACTGGAAGTCAAGATAAAACTGCTCGTATATGGGATGTAAAAAGTGGTGAACAGCTGCAAATAATTGATCGATCAATGCCTGCTGAAGCCCAAATGGATAACAAGGAATTTATGCTGCAATTTGACACGATTGGAACAATGCGAATGAGATTGAATGCGGATACGATTACGACGATCCAGCATGGAGTGAATGTACACGTAAGACGAACTGACGGTGCTGTATTTGTTTCTCAATCAGTCGATGCATATTCATCAGCAATTTCCAAAAGTACTGATATAGCTGTGAATGAAACCATGCCGGTGGTGTATCTTCCCCTGAGTTTGCGCGACTTGGCACTAGCAGTTGCACTACCAAGCGTGATTCCTGGTCAATTGTGTTTATGGCTGTTTACCAAACTTGGATTTTTGACGATTGTTGGATTGCCGGATACTGGAGGAGCAATAGCATGTATGTATAAGAGTATGCAAGCAGTGGGTCCAAAAGTGTCGAGCATGGTTGGTGCTAGACCATCATTTGAATTTATGGAATCGGAAACGGACCATAGTTTAGAGGGAACTAAAAAAGTTCAATATAGTAGTAGTAGCTATGGTATGTTGACTTGCAACTTGCTACATGTCTGATTTCGAATATTGTATTTACTAATAGACATGTGTGCTTTATGATTTGTAAAAGAAGCCGTAACTGATCTTGCTGCAATCTCCAATACTGCTCACATCAAATCAGAAAAACAGGCTGAAATGTTTTATTCTCTGCTCACACCTCAATCTTTCCCACAAAAAGCAGCGCCAATATCGTCAAATTTAGCACCAGTCACTACCGAAAGAGTTATTGATCAAATTGCTTCAGATACACGCTCCATCCAACCCATGAGCATCTCAAAGCCTGCAGAAAGTAGATTTAAGATTGTTGATGCGGTATCATCCGTTCTCACATCCAAAAAGGCAAGCGAGCATAAGCTTTTTGCAGAGCCTTTGAAAATCAATGCGACTGATGTCATGCCTAAATCCACAATTCCAACTCAAGCCATTGCTTCGGTGGATGCTTCCATCAGTGATCAAATGATCCAAACCAAATTAGCCACTACTGTAGTTTCTAAAACTTCAAAGCAGCCTCAAGCAGCTATTGTTAAATCACCAAAACGGCAATCGTACTCAATGGCTAAACCAAATGCTCAACAGATTTCTATGCCAAATAGAACGTATTCGCAACAACTTCCGCCTAAACCAATGTACTATGATCCAAAATCGCTTCCATTTTATGGGCCGCAACCAACAGTTCCAAAGCAACCACTATCATATCACACATCAACACTAGCTCGCTCAGCGACTCATTCACATTTTGTTGAACCAGGTAGGTTGCACAAACTGATTTATTTTGTTAAACCTTTATTAACGGAATATTTATTTAGCTAAAGCCTATCGACCTCCGTTTGCTGTACATCGGCCAATACTATCAGATAATTCGACTCAAGTGATGCATCTGTTACCTTCACAGCCGCCACATGCATATCAAAATATGCCACAACCTCATCATCAGCCTTTTCCCTATATACAGCAGCATCCCATGTCTAGACCACCTCAGCCATATATGCACACGCGACCTCTTCCTGTACGTGCATCTCGACCCACATCTCAGCTTGAATTTACCTCGGCTGAAGATCCAATGCGTCTATATCCAGCTCATCATCTGAACCAACGGGCTAGTCTTCCAGCACACGCCTTTTCGTTACAGCATCATTACAATAACAACCAAGTTTATTTTCAGCAGCAAAACACAAATCAGTTTACTGAGCAGACACATCAGCCACCATTCCATAGTATTAGACCACAGATGCAGTATCAGAGCAAATCTGGCACGATTGAGCCTGATGTTTCCTTATCTACACCAGTACCATTGGCTATGCAGGCTGATACATCTATTACACATGATATGCCAGTTTTACCAATAGCAACTCCGACTTCAATCCAATCAGATTGCCCTTCAATTGAAAAATTTAAAGATACACAACCAGTTGACAAGGTGGAAAAAATCAAGCATAGTTGGCAAGGAAAGATTGAGCAATCTCGGCCATTGCCTATTCGGCAAGTTGGTATGTCCATTTCAACTGACTCATCTCTTGTTGGTGTTGAATTGAACCCTATGTATGCACCTATAGATGAGATTTCAGGCACATTGATGGCTGATCGTAAAACTAAGCGGCATGATGCTAACCTCGATAACACAGAAGATTCTTTTGATGGCGATGGAATGGACAAAGATGAAGGTGAATCTTTTAAACAAAGTAGTTCTAAAAAGGGAGTATTGGACAGATATAGTCAGCAGGGAATTCTTTCATCATTTTTGGGTAAACTAAGTATAGTACCAAAAGCTTCAAAATAAAACATCATTGAATGTTTTACAACCATATTGACCTCAAATGCACCACTAAATAAAGTGTATAATAAACATATAGTGCCATGACATGATTGTTGTCAATGTACTGAACAATATTGTTTTTTGAACTCTGGTTTTTTTAGTGATTGAGAAAACAATAGTTGCATTCCTGTGATCCTTGTTTTGTTGAACTAAAATTAGAACGCGAATGTATGAGTGCATACAGAGTTGTATTGGCAAGATTAGAACCCAATATCTGGATTGCAATGAATGAATACGGGTTCAAACTTGTTCATACAATACATGACTATACTAAAAAAGTAGAAAGTGTAGATTCAAAACCATAATCTAATCTTGTGTGGGTCGTAGGATGATTGTTGTATTGAAGACTGATTAAGAGAGCAGTGAATGCTAGTGTACCAAGACCTTCTAAATGATGGTATTTGTAGAATGTTTTTAAATGCACATCTTATTTTTAACAACATCCCATTTTACGATGTTGCAGACTCCCTGATTAGACATGGTCTGCCAATCGTTTACAAACAGCAATGTCGTGAGGTCGAGCCACATTTCGTCATCTCTAAATTCTGCATAAAATGACTTTGGTATAATAAAAATGGATGTTTGAGCAATTCCAAACACGGAATGTGTTGAACAAGCAGTCGAATTCCAGCAAGAAAACGCAATGAATATTTGGCAATTGTTTATTCTTGAGCCAAATAGTGACTACAAGATAAATACAAGCGCTTCATTTTATGCGAGCGCGGCCACAGTTGTATTTTAAACATTAATTGTTTGAAACCCAAGTGGGAACAAACCGAATTTAGTGTAATGAATTAATGCTAATGAATTATAGCTGGTACCCATTCGTATAGTTACCTGGGTTATACTTGGCTAAAAAAGGCAATCTATAAGCATTCCACACCAATGTGAAACCCTTGTGCTTTGTAATACAAAAGCCTGCATCAGAATGTACGGATAATGCTCAAGAGTCGATACATTGTATTTGCATAAAGGATGCTTAGTACTGAATACGGTTCTCAACATGGTAAGACAGACAATAAAATGACAGTTGCTCATGCTAAAGTTACAAGAGCCAATGAATAGAAAGTATTTGTGACATGACAAATGGACAGCGTGTTAGCCACGCCGGTATCAATTATTATTAACGGCTTAAAACTCTTTTAGATAAACCAGGTTGCAAAAACAAATCGCTCAATAAGCAGTAGCGAACTATGGCTAAACATTTGTAAAACAAAAGCATTAGCAAATCATCACGAGTGTTGGCAGTTATCTTCGCTAGCAACTTTTTACCTTTTTATTACCAGGAACTGCTACTGTTAGTGCGACCACTGCCTGCATTGCTGAATTGGACTCACTAATACACATGTCTGAAAGCATATCAAAAAGAAGGAGAGTCTTCAAAGCATGCAAGTCTTGCAAAGAAAAGGTCCGGATATTCCATGAATTATTCCACTAGAAAATCACATCCATGTTCATATGCCATCAATAGTTAAATAAATGGCAAACTATTTGTATGAGCCTGTTTATTTGAGGGTGCATCCAAGACTGTTTATACATGCCTGCATTACTGCTATTCCAGTTATGCACTTTTAACCTAATTATGTGCTAACCTAATTCATTTATTAATTCATGACATTTATAAACTGCAACGATCAATGGACTAACTGGACCCTGCTTAATGTTATCATGACGGTTGCTACTGGACTGCTCTTGTATTTAAACTTTTTAACGGCAATGGAATGGATTCGTGCAATAGAGGATTTCATGCTCTGAAACCACTCCTGTTTGCAAACAATGCGACAACCAACAGCTTTGCTGTATATATGAGCATCAGCTGCCATTATCCACGCCTGGCTTACCCACTCTGGATTGGAAACAATGTCTGGATTTATCTTGCAGTCAGCATCATGCTTCATACTCATCTTCTGTCCAACCTCGTTCACAAGGAGCGCATTCCAATCCCAGCTCACTGCAGTATGACTTGTCTGGAATCTCTAACTTGACTGCTCTCCAATATGGAACTCCTGCAACGCCATCACTATCTGCTTATCCCACTGCTGTTACTTGCGATATGCTTTCATCTGCCGAAGCATTACAACATACTCTGCCAGTACCTTCATCTTCTGCAGCACCAACTAGCACGTCACATTCGACTCGAAAAACGTTGTCCAAGTTGTTGGAAAAAGTCGGATCACTCGAGAGTCGTGTTGGAGCTCTTGTCCAGATTGCTGATTCAAAGAATGGTATCTCCAATGCACAGCTACCAAAGCAGCAACCACCTATTCAGCCCAGTACATTCGTGAAATCACCAACTGAGTTGGAATTGGCTAGAAAATCCATGCCTAGTCACGACTCTCCAAGTATTTTAGATAAATACTCGGATAGCGTTAATAGTAGTAATTCACTGCATGTTCAACATGAGCAGTTGCAACACGCCAAGACTTCTGTCGACATGCTTTCCTATTCACACTCTTCACTGACTGAATCCAAGCCATTGAGTCACGCTTCACTATCTTCTAATCAGCAGCATCTAAATTGCTCACAATCGCAAGCTTTTCAACCCGAAAAACTACTTTCAAATTCCCAAGAGCAGTCACAAAATCAACTTGAATCTAAACCTCAAGTATATTCTTCATTGGAAGCTTTATTTCAACAGCAAACACAACCTGCATATCAAGAAAAAATACCATGCCAAGAGCAGCAAGATTCATTTACTCCTGCTTCTATCCCATTCGTGCAACACGACATACGTCAGATGCAGCAAGAAGATGCATATCATGACAGTGTTCAATCCTCACTGCATCATCAAAAATCTCATTACTATACCCCTAAACAAGGTCCGCTTCAGCAACAATCGCCTGCATTCACGCATCTAAGCTCCAGCACAAGTTATAGTGCCCAATTAGATACCTCAACCAACCAACAAAAAAAGGTAGGTTTAACTACAGTGGCTGCTTCATCCCTGTACATGTCACCTTTAGATTTCCTAACAGAGGCATCGACTACTTCACAAATCACTGCCGTGGAAGAATTCCAGTCACCTCAGCATGTGACTTCTATCACACCTGTTAGTGGAATTATGCCATCGTCCATGGCAGATCATACTAATAACACACCATTGATGCCAAATATATCAGCATCAAACATTTTGCAGCTCGGTGTAAGTGCGACCAGCAGTATACTACGCGAAATGAATGGCGAGTCCAGCAGTTCTAATTTACACAATAGTTTAAATCATGGCATTGCTTCGTTTGAATTTAATATTTCTCCAAGTCCCACTACCCAGCAAATCAAAAACAATATTGCTGTATCTAAAAACAATATATCAGCTAGGAAAGAAAAATATGCTTCTGCTACCACAAGCAAGCCTATTCACGATCTTTCGCTCAATTCCAGCCAACCTCTCCTTTCACATTCTATGCCAACTTTTTCAATACTAGATCAAATTGTCAATTCCACACCACTGCAGAGTTCGTTCACCACGCTTTGTCACACACCCAGTCTGTTTTCTCAGACTGAGCCGCTGCTTGCTTTAATGAAAGCATCATCTCCTCAACCTGCGCATGCTTCTACCACTACTCCTCACACTCAACCCATTAAACAAATGGCCATAGAAAACATGTTTACCAAGCCCTACTGCGTGCCTGCAGATATAAGCACGTCTAAACTGATTTCTGTGTTTTTCAAACACATGTGGCCAGAATTTCCTTTATTGACACAGGACCAATTCTTGGCAAGTGATATGGTCAACTCAGAGTTGCTAATGCTGTCAATATACTGCAATGCTTCCAAATATATCGATCCACCCAATGAAGACCCAAATGGAGATCCAGCTACGTTTGTTTCTCGTGTAAATGCAGGCGACAAATACTATTACAAGGCGATTCCTTTACTAGGAAAGGCTATTATGCAGACTCCATCATACGAACTCATTCTAGCCATGATGTATTTATCTTCATATGCGGCAGCATCAGGTCTGTTTACCGGTGGATGTGTTTTGTTTGCGTCAGCAGTTCGATACGCACAACTCATTGGGCTGGATAATGAGCGCCAAAATTCAGAATCATTTAAATGGTCTACAGAAGAGCGCGAGTTTCGGCGGCGGATATGGTGGACGATTTACGAATTAGATCGATATTCATCCCAGTCTGGCCACATGCCTATGCTGATTACAAATTCCACACCATTGAACACACCTTTTCCTTCGCCAGATAAACTAGTGCATTTGGTTACCCCAGCTACTTCAGGGTCATATGGCACTACTTTGAATACCTACACCCATCAACCCAGCAGAATATCAGAAGTATCGGCACAATCCGTTATTTCATTCGATTCGGGTCCCATTTTCCCCAGCATTTCATCGTACCGTTTATCCGTCATGGTTATTTCTACCAAAGTGTACCATTTGATTATGAACGAGAATGACGCAGCTTGTGATTCAATGATGCTTTACGATACGAATGTATTTGCTGAACGTCGATCAAGCATTTCAAAAGAGCTGATGTTGTTTAGACAGACACTACCGGATTGGATTATAAACGTTCAAGATTATGCTAGCTACACGAATAATGCCACAGTAGGAAATCTTCGACTTCCTTGTGGTGTTTCTATGGGTAGCACCACATCGGTACAACTCGCAGGTGCGACAGTGTGGGCATTTTACCATCACACGTACATTTCACTCTTTATGTCAAATTTCTATTCCATGTACGAGCTTGGCTTGTTTGATAAGATTCACAAGGACGCAACCTTTGCTTCCTCACTTGAAGCCGCATTAGAAGTCTATGAAATCACTCGATGGTTGATGCGTGTTAGCATGCATCTTTCTGATCCTCCGCCTTCGCTCTGTAAAGCCATTGCATCATCAGCCTGTGTCATTCACCTAGCACATACAATTGGATTTATGGGTATTACAAGCGATATGCGCAACGAGGTGTTGACAGTGTTTGAAGCAAGGTTGAAAACTATGATGAGATTTTGGGTTTGGCCTGGACAAGCTTTACAAATTGTGATGGCGATTCGACACAATACGTTTGAGATGAATTCTCGCACATTGGTTTGGGTTTGAGCTCTATTCTTCTTGTAGAGTTTATTTTGGATCTCTTCCAAAACACAATAAAGATTAAAAACATATTTGTTTTCTAATAGGCTTGACTTGTTTCAGCATTCAATCATTTGTTTTTAAAGTGTAATGGATTTTTGGATTTGTATATCAATAGTTTGAGGGATTACATTTACAGCTCAGGACAAAGGAATGAAATATTTGTATTTCAATTCAATTTGTCATGTTTAATACATTCTGATGGCATCAAACACACTTGCATTTCAAAAATGAAAATGTGTTTGTAAAACTGCACGATTGTTTTAAGCTAGCGGACTATATAGATGGAATGTAGAGGATCGTGTCGAAACAAAATCAAAAGAGTGATACTGTCTTATATTTAATCAAGAGAATCGAGTCGTCTCAACAAGACAGATTGTTGTCAATACAAAAGGCACGATCGATTGAGATGGTCGTCAGCTGTAAACTTTGATTTTAGGATTATTTGGCACAACTCGACTGTATCTTGGCGTCAAGTTGAATGAAATTCAAAGCTCAAGTTGGTAAAATTAGTCCAAGCTGCTAGCAGTCATGACATTGGAAGATCGTATTGCATCGGCATTGAAGAATGCATTGGATATTCATACTACTGCAGAGTCGATAGAAACAGGAACATTGACAGTCTACTCTATATGTACTGCACCAACTGCCGATACGACACTATTTCAACCTGCCATCAAGGATGACCATTGCATGACTCGTAAAGATCGACTAGTGTTTGTGGGCTATTCTCCACATGCAGCACAGGAGAGTTTCCAACTCATGTTTGCATTCTGTGTGTCCGAATATTCCACTAAAACAGCTCTCATTGTCAACATGGAAAAGATTGACACAACTGGCATAACACCAATCAATATTCCAGTAGCATCGACATCCATCAAGGCATATATCAACCACATTCTACTCACAACTCCTGTATCTACATCTATCCGTATTCATGTCTTTGCTAGATCGCAGTCTCAGTATCTTTTTCCAGGCTCAAAACATATTCCATCCAAACGAATTCGCACTGATACACAACTGGTGCAGTGGTGGATGCGAGTGTTGGCCGACTCTGCATCTCTTGGCAGATGTGACAATCAGACAAAACTGTTGTGGGTCGTACCAGGAGAAACATCGACTAGCACTACAACAACTCGCATTCTTTCATCCAGTAATACATTGTGGACTTGGGGATTGGGAGCCGATTCGCATAACCGACTGCCACTATTTCCAGACGATCCAGTTACAAAGGCTTGTGGTATGGTTCAGTCTAGTGCAGGAGATATTGATCCTACTGCTGTGATGGACATTCTTGGTGTATTAGGTGAATGTCAAAGTGTATGTGCTTTGCTATGTTTAGAATCTATTCCACAGAATACTTCAAACCAGACCTGCGATACTTCCATCAAAGTAAACAATGCCACTCAAGACGAGTTAAATGCATTGATGAAATTGTGGATGACAATGGATTTTTCTAATGTTGATGCATGCACCAGGTCTAGTACAAAGTTAATCAAGTATGTTCAAAGCACACTTGGCAATGTGGGTTTAGCTCATGTCGATGTTACTGTTGCTGGTAAATCTGATTCCAAATTGAACGTTTCTGTAGCATCCAATTCAACCAATACAGTCCAAAGCATACAGGGACTGGTGAAACGACATGCTCCAGCAGAAGCAATTACCACACCCATCAAAACCCTCAGTGCAAACTTGATCAAGCGTCAAAAACAATAAAGCAGTTTGATAAATCTATATCCACAATATGATTTTGAGAACACTTGATACACGTTTGAATGTATTTTTTGACCCAAATAGCCTGATGAGTTGGAATGATGCTTACAAAAAGTTCAGGAAATGACCGCGATTAAAACTACTGGACTCGATCCACTTTGTCAAGACTTGTAATATTAGTCAACGCCGCCAACAGTGACTTTCAGATTATTAGAATCTGCCAGAACACGGATCTCAGCCATCAATCACGAGAACTTGAGTGGATGTATTTGCGCAAATGGTGTTCCCAAGCAAAGCTTTTTAGCATTGTGGCGATGGAAATCGCCACAATTCGAAGCCAAGAATTCATTTAGGCAACAAAACGGTCAAAATCTGTCAAGATAACAATTGACTTAATCATGATCAACCCAATGAGAATACTGCAAGACGGAATGTTTACAAGTAGAATCATCAATATCTGGTCAAGTCTTAAACCAGCAAATAGTCGCTACTGAGGAACAACACTCGATTCAATGTCAACCTGCTTGTTCATTAACCTCAAAGTCAATCTAAACGAGATAACAAGTCCGATACGATGCATGGCTTGTCTGCAAGGAATCCGGCAGGAAATAATTGTTTAGTTGCATTGACAGATGCTTGGCTTGACTCAATCTTACTGAATAATCTGACGAGCAAGATTGAAACAATTGCACAAATATTCGAGTTAAAATAAATTCATCTTAACTCGACTCATAACAACTCTTGTCAAACATGCTTCAGTGGAAGTCTGCACTATTGTGGGCAGCATTCCTCCCTTTAATATTAATGAATGCTTTTGTTGTAGCCGATTCCAACACTGCTCCACCTACCAACATCCCTTTGCTTGCAAATTTCAAACAAGTGGAATGCAGTTTTGATGATTCTCTTGCTTATTGCTTGTATTGGTCTGTAGAGGATTTGGGAACTCTAAACGAAACACTTCATGCTGTTATGGTGTTCAACGCTACCAAATACTTTGCTGCCAATCCAACTGTCATTCATAAAAGGTATGATGATTGCAACTTGATCTTGTGGCTGTCTGCACATGCATTAGGACATCAGCTGTTTGTTTACCCCTTAAATTCTAAATACATTGTCGCACCGTTTTGATTCGAGATTGTATCCATGCGGCTTGCTTTGATCATTTGTAATCAGCCACGTACATTGATACTGACATTTTATCTGTTTCTCAGTACTAGTATTTTTGGAATGTGGGTTGGTTTAGGTTGGGGATCGTCGATGCTTTCTGCAGAATCGTTACTTGTATATATTCATCCCAAAACAAAAATCGTCATGCCTTTTGAATCTATTCCTTCTGGATACTATGCGGCACCAGTTGAGTAGTTTTTGGCCATAAAGTGAATTTCCAAGCAAGTTGGATTTAGTCTAACTCATCTGCACCTGCTACTCTAAATGTGTGTATAGATAAATAATCCCAACAAGATCATTCGATTCGATGGCATGTTACAGACAGTCATTGATAATACAATGGTTGTGGAATTTAAAAGACCCACAAGACCGCAAGGTTCAATTTTCCATCGACGTATTGACGTTACTGCTGCTCAGAATCACATTTATGCATTCAATCCGCATCCAGATCCACGAAGCGAGGCTGGTTGGCGCGACCATCATGGCGACCATCGAGGTGCATTCCAAATTGTATATACTTCAGGAATGGCTGCTTCTATTAATCCAGACAATATTGTTATCAAACGTGTTCATGGCATAATCATGGCAATTACATGGATGCTTATCTTTCCTGCGTGTATATTCTACACTCGTTATTTTCGCTCCGTCAGCCGCTGGATGACACTTCATGTTACTGTCCAATCTGTCAGTGCATGCGTTGGTGTATTTGGTTCTACTATTTTAATCATTACCAGTCTTAGCAGCAACTTTGAAAAGTTTCCAAGTTTGAGTCTTATCTATCGTCCACATTCTATTCTGGGACTTGTTCTTGTGTTTTGTGTTTTTCTCCAGTGCATCTTTGGTATTGTTAATCGTGGATCTCTCAAAACCAAATCGTTAAAAGTGGATCGCTCTCGCTTTTACATTTACAAATTTATACATAACTGGTTTGGTCGTATTCTTATTGTTGCTGCATTTTTTCAGGTCGGTATAGGCTTACAAGTCCTCTATCCATTTTCAGATCTTGTGTTTCACGGATTTGCTGCCTGGACTTTATACTTTGTTACTGTAGGCTTCTGGACAATTCTGTTTGCTGGTACTGAGGTCTACTACCAGTACATGCTTGTTAATGTATCCAACAAGATTGTTTTAGACAAGAATGGCGTTCCTCAGACAATAGTTAAACGCAATCTGGCAAGCCCTTTTCCAAATATCGCTGGTTTCAAGAATGATGCGCCTTCCGAGCATAATATCTTTCACTTGCAAAGCCATGCTGATCTTCAGCCCTATACATGGAAAGAAATCAATGAAAATGTCAAAAAAGGAAACTTGCTTGTCGTGGCTAATGGCACGTATGTATATTCGATTGATGCATGGATTGGCTCACATCCAGGTGGTCAGATTATTTTACACTCGGTTGCTGGAACAGATATCACCAATGATTTCTTCAATGATACCGGATACGATGCAGAAGCATTTATTCCCAGACTTGCACTAAGATCACAAAGCCCAGCTGCAAACCATCGCATGCTTCCAAAGAATGTTGGTACTCTTGATCATAATTTAAACCATTCATCTGAAACTTTGAAATTGCACACAGATTTTGAGGAAATTCAAAAGTCCACTAAAAACAACCAATCTCTGGCATATTCTCCATCGTTTTCCTCGACATCTACTTCACACATGTCTCCTTTAGATGAAAAGGAGTGGCAATATGTGATTCGCGCTCGACGAACTCATGTCCATACTCGACTTGCAATGACAAAGCTCTCTACTCTTATTGTTGGCCGACTTGCCTCTCCTACGCATTTAACCAATCAATCTTTCTTGTCAGATTCATCAAAAACACTGTTTGACCCGACTGAATATCGCCGATATGCGCTGGTTTCATCCACATTGGAAACAACTCAAGGCACAACAACTCCAGTGTACCGTCTCAAGTTTTGTTTGCTGTACCCATACGATCTGCGTCAAAATGAGCCAGAGAACTTTATGCCTGGTCAATGTGTTCAGCTTCAAACACGAGTCAATAACGCCGTTGTGTCCCGCTTCTACAGTCCAATCAAGGGAAATCCTGTGTGCTTTGAGATTGCGCTCAAGGTGTATACAGCTACAGGAACCGTTTCACCATTCTTGTCGAGACAAAAACTGGGAGAAAGGCAGTTTAAGATTCGCGGTCCGTTTGGTATTCCAATTGTTCATCCCGAGTTACCACTTGGAGATGGTATGGGCTCCATCATGCCATCCGTGTTCTATGATCGATTGGTGTTGATAGGCGGTGGATCCGGACTTGTCATGGCAATCCAATTCATCCAAACTCTACTTTTATCGGTGCAGACACCGATTGTTGTAAGTCATTCTTTATGCTTGTTTTTGTGACATCTTGAATCTAATCAAAATTTGGAATGTATCATCATGTTGCATAGGTCTGGCAAGCATATACTGCAAAGAATTCAGACGAAATTACATTGTCAGTTGGTGATTGGGTGGTTGCTCACCATCACTACCTTGATGGCTGGGCAGAGGGCGTGAACCTTACCACTCGTCAATCAGGGCTCTTCCCACTTCCTGTCACTATCCCTCGGGGTGGGGCTTCCCTTAAGATTGCTGTTATCAATGCCACAAAGTCTCATTTCGAGATCTTTGGGCGGGACATCCTCACGGGTGCTTTGCTTGCCTACCCACAGCATATCCAAATCACGCACTATCTCTCTCGGGGTGGTTCTTCTGAAGTCTTGAAGCAACCTGATATTCCTGGAGTAGCATTTGATGGACACATTTCAGGATATTCACTTAACCAAGCAATGCAATCTATCGGATGGCAGTCGCCATCTTATGGAACTAATCAGCGGGTGGTTGTGTGTGGATCGAAATTGTTTCAAGGCAATATGTGTGATTTGGCATGTGGAGAATGTGGCATTGACTACAGCAATTTAACCATCTTACTGGATAATGTTGCAATTTGAAACTGTATCTGTAGTTTTACTAGGTTGAATTATACAAAACGTCTAGCACAAATAAACTTATAATAACCGCGCATGAATTGCAAATGGCTTGAAAATGTGAATGAGTTTTAGTCACGTGATGCGGTGTACATTTTTTTAATTTTAAAGAAATCGACAGTTGACAAATGACTAGAATGGCAGGTGTGCACGGCCAATTCGACGATGCCGAGGAAGACATTCATCGAATTCAAAACGATAATGCTGCGAACGATATTAATTTATTTGAATTTAGAACCGTTGATTCACTGAGTGAAAATACCGAGGATGAGTACTACAGCCAACTGGATGACGATGATCAGGATGAAGTTGCTGACATTACCATTGATGATCAATGGTTTGATGCAAGCAAAGGTATTTCCAGCTATATGTTTAACGGATTCATGCAATTGGACAAGTCACTGACACCCTACCGCATATGAATGGGATGTATACTAGATTTTACAAAACAGTTTAATCGAATGAAGGCACACATTTCCGTATTGACACCTCTAGCTGCTCGACAACCGTCTAGTATAAAAAATTCTACCGAATCACACAATCCAGTTACTCAGGCATCTCCGCACAATCTGGCAATCAAGGGCCAAATTCTTAACCGTATCGAAGCTAGACATCACCAGAACCATTCTGGTCCAAGATCAACTGAGCTCATGAGCAAGTTTTCATCTCGGATTAATCTAAGTAAGTTTTGCCAGATAAAACACTGTAGGATTCATCAAACCCACTAACTTGAATCGCACATGTTTAGACGGAAAGCATGACTTGTTTAGCAATGATTTTCGTGCAACGAATAAAAAAGGTGATGACAGCAAATATCTTGATAAAGACAAGTCAGATCGAGCAACTGTTGAACAGGTCTTGGATCCACGCACTCGAATGATTTTGTTCAAGATGCTCAACAAGAATGTGATTTACGAAGTGAATGGGTGCATCAGTACTGGAAAAGAGGTGTGTTGTATTGATGTAGTGTCGAGTTGGTATATGCTAAAATCAGATCCTTGAATTCACCTGATTAGGCAAATGTGTACCACGCACTTACAGAATCACAAGACCATATGGCCATCAAAATCTACAAAACATCTATATTGTCGTTCAAAGACCGTGATCGGTATGTAGCAGGCGAGTTTCGCTTCCGACACGGATACAGCAAATCGAATCCACGAAAAATGGTACAGACATGGGCAGAAAAGGAGATGCGAAATTTGAAACGGCTCCATAATGCTGGTATTCCATGTCCTGAACCCATTTTACTACGCTTGCACGTTCTGCTGATGACGTTTATTGGCGATAAAAAAGGCTGGTGAGTGTTTTATGCATGCCAAAACTGTTTCAACTAGCTTTGATTGCGCTGGATTTAGACTCACATGTCAGACTATGCCACATTGAACCCAACAGGGCAGCACCTCGTCTCAAAGATGCAATCATCACCGATGAAGAAACATATCGAAATGTGTATCGACAACTGCTTATCATTCTTTGGACTATGTTTCACAAATGCAGACTAGTTCATGCCGATTTCAGCGAATACAATCTGCTGTAAGTCGATGCGAATTTGATGATGATAGACTATATAGTTGTTTACTGTTGTGCTTTTGGACACAATAGGTATCAAAAGAACATTGTATATGTAATTGATGTGTCGCAATCTGTTGAACATGACCACCCACACGCACTCGAGTTTCTTCGTAAAGACTGTTCCAATCTAGTTGATTATTTCCGTAAACGATTGACGGAACAAATCATGACACTTCGTGAAGTGTTTGACTTTGTTGTTTCTGATTTAAACGTATTTGTCAAGTATCTTGACAGTCAAGGAGTGTCTACTGTTTTTGACGACACACTGACATCTCAAGAAAACGAAGATCGTATATTAAACAAGTATCTTGATCATGTAAGTGGTGGTGCAATGCTAAACGAATAGTTTAAACGTGTCTAAACTTATTTATATTATAGATGCATACAGAGATTGCCAAAAGGCCGTCCACTTATTTGGAAGATAGCACTGTGCAAAGCAACGAGCAAGTGTTTAAAAACGTGTATATTCCTCGTACACTGGATGAGATTCAAACTGTCGAGGCAGATATTAAAAAGATGGAAGACGGAGACGATGCAGATGTGAGTTTTTATGATTGAATGGTATTAAAAATAGACTTTACTATTTCTGACCCGATAGTATTGAATATGTAGATTATGTACAAGGCCGTTACAGGGATTGCTATTGAACATAAATTAGTCGATAGGGCAGTAATAATTCCGACTGTGTCTGAGCATAGCAGTTCATCTGCTGGAACACTGCTCGCACCAGACAAACTAGCTACAGAAGCATCGAGCAACTCGAGTCCTTTGCCATCAGAACTAGAATCTGATGAATCGGAATCCAACGAGTCAGATTCCGAGCAGGATGAGGATTCAGACGAGACATCAAGGAAATACAAAGGCACTCCAGCATCTAAACAGAAAAAGTTTGAAGACAAGGAAGCCAAGAAAGAACGACATCGACTTGTCAAGGAAGCCAAACGGGAAAAACGCAAGACGAAGATGCCCAAAAGCGTCAAGAAACGCAAAGAGAAGATGACAAAGAAATAAAGAGTCGCTGATACAATATAGAGTAGAGCATGAGCAGCTTTCAATCTTAAGATGGATAAGCGGCTCTAGTCACAAGGGCTGTATTACCTCCCTTGTCATGTACAACTAATTTGTTGGTGTCCAACAGCTTATCTTGAAAACAGCCCTGACAAGTATCCCTAGATGTCCCTTAGTGATATGCTATATATACACAGTTCCTTGATGAGGAAAGGGAACCATTTTTATCTGGACTTAAGCCATCATTATACTAATAGAGAGCTCCATGCACAGTTGCATTGCAATGCTTTCTAATCATATCATCCTAATCCAACTGCTCATAGTGTTATGGACAGTTCCCACTGTGGTTCTATCAAGTCCAGTGCCTGCTCAAGACCAAGTCTTCCAGTACAAACTCCTCAAGGATGTCCGAGCCAACCAATGGCTGACATTTGTACCATTGAACCACAAGCAGAGGGAAGACTTGCTGACCCGAGTAGAAAGCATGTTGATGGTGAGTGATGTTGTATTCATGATTTCAATTGGAGAAAAGTTACTGACTGTGTTTGTAGGTTTCACCCAACATTGAGTCCAAGATAGAGTATTATGGCACAGAAGCCAATCCATTCCCATCAATCAAGAACTTGAGATCTCAACTCAATACCATCAGTGATACTGAATTGCAGTTGCAGATTACTGACATCATCAACCGAGTTAAAGATTGCCATGTGCGATATTTCAAACCTGGGCCATATGGCTGTATCAATGCAATGACTGGCCTCAAGTTTAGATATGTCGATGCTGATACTAGCAGCTCTGCAGACTTCAAGGTCGTTGTTATATCCGCAACTACGGATTCTAACCTACTCGCACTACTGGGTAATCAGTTTTCCAAAATCGCTTTTGGTGATGAACTCTTGGGTGTAGATGGAGAAACATTTGACGATGTGAGTTGTCAAAATCTAAATATTCCATACTAGTAGATTAATACTAAATGCATTCGCTTATTGTTTAATATAGTGGTATACAAATAATGAATCCAATTTCCCATCTGCATCGAGCATCAGCAACACTCGTCATGTAGCCCTAGACTATCTGAGCAAAGTGCTTGGGTCTGTAAGCAGACTACCAGAAAAAGACTCGATTACACTCACATTCAAAAACAAGTCTGGCGACATCTATACTAATACTATCCCATACATTGCAGAATATAGCACATTATGTTGGGAATCATCAAGCCAGGTTTACCACGAGGTAACCAAATCGAAACTTGCTGGATCTCAAACAGTCGATGTCCACCCTGATATGGTCGAGACAAAAAAGATTGAAAGACAGCAGCTCTTCCAAAAGGCAGTGACCCTGCTTAAAGAAGAAGAGGAACAGGATATCAAACAGCGATACAATGTGCCATTTGAATGGCACAAAACAGATATTAATAATATTATGTGGGGTATTTGGGCACCCAAAACCAAAAACTTGGGTTTGATTCGCATCCCATCGTTTGCTTTACAAGATGAGATTGATGCAAAAACAATCTCAATTGCTGCTTTAAAGATTCTACGGAAGTTGATGGTTAATGAACTCAAGGACACTACTTCAATCGTGATTGATGTTCGTGGAAACAATGGTGGATCAGTGCTGCTCGAGCGAGTGCTTCCTCAGCTGTTTATGCCAGACTATAAGCCGATCCGTGGCCAAGGTGTTGCAAACAAAGTTACAAATGCCATAATGAGAGGTTCTCTCTCCTCTACGCTCCAGCGTCACTCATCTCAAAAATCAACTTCCAAACTAGATGACGAGTCAGATTACAAACCCATCTATGTTCCCAATGATTTCGAGCTGCTCAGTGGACCACAAGTTACAGTAGGCCAAGCTTACGTAAGACCTGTCGGCATATTTTCAGACGGTCGATGCACATCAGCATGCGAATCCCTTTTAGCCGATTTCCAAGATCTATACGGGGATGTAATATTTGGCGAGGATATCCAGTCAGCCGGTGCAGGTGCAACCAGCTTCCATATTTCAACCGAAATAGAAACCGAGCTTCCAAAAATGTTTCCTCCGATCCCTTATCGTCAAGAATTGTTTTACTTTTCTGGAAAAGCCATTACTGAGCCCATGACAGGTGTATATAGACACGATATTCGAGTAGGAGTACACGACGGCCAGAAGATTGAAGACATTGGTGTCAAAACTAATTATGTTATTCGTCCAAGACTTGAAGACCTCGTGCCATACAACGGCAACTATCCAAGCGAGCATCATCAGTTTGATTCTATTTCTGATTTATTATATGGATTTGGAATAGAAACGGGCAGATTCGATCTACATTTTATAGCAGAACCTTTTACTCTTGTTGTGCCTGTTGGAAACTTTGATATTGTTGCCGAGACGCAAGGCATGGACGAGTTTATCGTCGCCTCGGAACATGGCAAAACCATTGCTCATGTAAAAAATGTTCCAACAAAAAGAGGCGAGTTTCGTATTCCTTGCAGTCCAGTCCAACCAGGCATATCTGAGGGTCGTATTATAATCAGTGGACTAAAAAAAGGAAAAGTGTTAATGCGAACTATACGTGAAGTCAAACACCAGCCAACTCTCCCATCTTACATCCACCTTTCAATTGATACCCCGCAGTTCAAGCTTCAAAACAAGAATGCTGGAACTGGAATCAAACATGCAGGCAAATCAACAGATATTCAAGGGTGGAATTATCACAGCGGTGGATGGCGATTTGGAAATGGTGTAAGCTTTAGTGAGAATGCAGACTCTTCCATTTTAATGTTTTTTACCGCTCCGTCGGTCGGTCAGCGTGTAAAAGTATCGTTTGAGGTGTACGTATCCAATGCAGCTTATATCAAAGAATTGAATATTTACATTCGGCATGCACTCGATGGCGATTTTATTGGCTTTCCTACCGACCATTTGGATCAGCAGGAGTCGATTATAACTGTTGATGGTGGAACTACACAGCTGTTGCGTACATTCTCATTTATGGCTCCAGCCAAAGAATTTACAATCGAAATACCTTTCCAAGCATATGCTTTCAAAGGCAATTGCCAAGGCAGCATATTTATTAAAGACTTTACAGTATCTCTGGAGTAAATGTCAGAGTATATAATAAACTAATACAATCATAATGACAATCTATTCGAGTAAATTTGGGACACAGTTTATTGAAAAATGGTTGGATATTCAAGTTGATGGCCATAAACTGTAATGAACGCCTAGTACGCGAACATCAAACTACTACTGTTTGGAGTCTTGTCTACCCAGAATTAAACCGCCTAAACCAATGGTTTAAAGCAGAGCTAAAGCTGCTAAAAGCAAGAGTGGGGCAGACCTCAATGCATTTGAAATCCGAAATTGCCAAGATGAGGATACCAATTCTGCAGCTGTAACAACAGTTGCAGTGGACTGTGGAGGCAGATTGTATGTATCTTGAAGAAAGTCGGGTGTTGCAACTGGACCTACTAGGGCTGCTGCTGGAACTCGAGTTTGAATTACTCGAGTGGCTGGAGCTACGAATGGAATGATTGCTGGATAAACCCAGAGTTTGGCAGTAGTAGTCGATGTGGAGACTTTAGCTAGTTGTGACGTTTCAGAGGCTGTGGTAGATGATGTGATCGTCGTTGATGTCGAGATACTGGTTTGATCCAAAGTCGTCGTTGATGTCGAGATACTGGTTTGATCCAAAGTCGTCGCGATAGTCGTCGCGATGGTCGACTCGCCTTGATTGTTACGAGTTTGTGTCCATTCTTCAGAACGAGTTTTTCCCTTGTGATTATAATCACCATTGTGTTTATCGTTTGATAAACTGTCAAACATGACGGTAACAAACTTGGGTCCTTCCAAAGTAGGGAACACAAACTCAGTAGATGTGGTGATCGGAGTAGCAACGATAGGCGGTTGAGTAACGGCAGCTTCCAAAGTAGAAAAAGCAGGTGTAGTAACAATCTCAATTACTGGCATCAATACAGGTGGAGCCATTTTGTTTGGGACTGAATGATTGTCTTGGCATCCGCATATTTCTGGACTAGGCACTGACAACGGGACAGTTGTGATTGCAGGCAGGGGAATTTCTGAGGATGAGCAGTCTTCCTCAACACGACTATTTGGTTGATTGTACAAAGCAGCAACTGGTGGTGGAAGATCAGCATTTGATGCTATGTTTGCCATGGGAATAGGAATGGGCAATGGAGAGTCTCCATCGCATGGAGGATCTTGTGCAGCAATGGATTGCTGTAGAGTAGATGCTGTCATATCAGATTCAGAGTTGTCAGAAGCGAGTTCTGAAGCAGTATCATCAGTCATTTCATCATCAGCATCATCAGTGGTATCGGTCATATCTGTTTGACTTGTGTCAATTACAGGAGCATTGGGCTGCACGATGACATCGTCTGTTGACACAAACGATCGTTCCTGCACATTCGGAACAACATATTTGTTTCGGAGCTGATTACTTGTGGGTTGAACTCGAGGCAAAAGATACGCTGGCAGCAAGTTTCGTTTTCCAGGCGTGCATTCCTCACTTGATCCATGGCAGATTCCTGCGCAAAATTGTTGATCAACAACCTTCCAATCACATTTTTGTGGATTCAGTGGGTCTTGACCTGGAAATGCGTTTTTCAGACTGGTAATGGCTAAATCTAGCCCCGGGTCAGCCTTTTGGTCTACAGCTAATACATATTGAGCTGGCCCTCCAGCTGCATTTTTGAACTCGATGCATTGACCACACATGGACTCGTCTAGTCCATGCACTGCAACGATCCGCGTAATATCGAGCGAAGAGTAGCGGATGCCACACCAGCCTGGAGCATTGTCATATGTGGCTGCACCAAATCGTGCTAGGTCTTGTTCATATGGATGACTAGTGCATCGATCCGCAGTTCCACTTGTAGCGACGGCTCGAGTGTTTGAAACCACAGTGGTGGAAATCAATGTCAAGGTCAATGCAATTGCCTTGTACATACTTTAAAGAATCAAATGGTGCGACAAGGCCGAGTTTAAAATAGAGCAGGTTGAACCGAAATGCGAGTTGAATTTGACAGCAATAAATACCTGATAAAAACAATGTTGGGAGCAATATTACGGTAGTCAGCATTGTGGATGTGGTACACACTATAAATAAATGTACCCAATAACCATCGGCTAAGTAGCGAGGGTGCGCACACATGAACTGAGGCGGCTACTGTTGAGCAGGTGCCGCGTTCAATTGCATTTAGTGTTACAAATTGAATAAAGCTTAAATGATGTTTTACTAGTACCAAATATTTGTCTAAATTATGTGATCAAATGTTTTGTTGTTGTTGAATCAGTCATGAATGTGCAGGATGACATTTACGGATTTGTGAAACGGGTTTTATGACAGGATGCAAAATCGGTTGGTGACTAGCAATGCAATAGTACTTGCAGTTTTGAAATATTCCAATACCAGTATAACGATGGATTGGTATTTCATAGGACTGAGCCAATCCATCAAGTTATGAATTGAGCAAGCCTACAGCTATTATTCACATGGCTGATTATTTTGCATGATGTGCACCAATTACAGGCTTCTAATATTCAACTCGACCCTGCTCCATGCGAATATTTAGATTTTCGGGCTAGTAAGCTTTTCGAGTTTTGACTTATCAGTGATCTTTATGGCTGTAACCATATGGCTTGGCTGCCAATCAAATTCGATTGACTTTTGATAGTATAGCCAATGGCGGTAAATACGGCTGTAAAAGTAGCTGACTGGCTTTTTTGAAAAACAAACGTATAGTGGCAGTGCAGCAATTTTTCCAATTACAGACTATTATTTAGGCATAAGACTGGCTACCCCAAATAAAGCTTGTAAACTGAAAGCGCACGTGATTTAATTGTGGGGAGGCAACCTACCCCTAATTACACTCGTTTGAAAAGCGTGTTCAAGCCTCTCCACATTGGTACTAGTAGAGGCTGGTTTGCAATATGACGGCAGCTGGAATGGAGATTGTCTGACAATCTGTTTCATGATCAATTTTTTTATCCATGTATTGATTCACAATCCACTACATTGCATTTACAGTGATACCCACGTAAAATAAGCCAGTCTTGTATTCATCTTGCAGAGACTGTTTCTCTACTTTGGAATAACCATAGATTGTGCAATCGCCAAGTTTGAAATCGGATTCATTCACTGCAATTCAATTCAATCATTGAGACTGCTTGATTGTCGTCAACCAAACTCTACAAACTCGTTTACTCTAACATCTCATTCGCGTTTTAGTTTTAGTTTTAGAAACAAAGATCACACGCCTCAAAGATGAAACAGTTATTTCCATGACGGTCACCCAATATTCACTTGTAATACTTGGTTTGGATAGAATGAGAGTTGAAGATTAAACAAGTGTCAAGAATGTGGATTTACTAGAACCATGGTGTGGGTGTTGCTTTGAACATCTGCTCAATTTTTCATACAAAAAAGAGCATGGAGAAAACCCAGTGGACTTTGCTAAAGGGTTCAAAGGGTACAATATTGTCCAGTAAACAATGTGGTGGGAACTGGCATCAGCCATTTTATGAAACTGTATGTTTATGCACTTTAGCACCCCTATTTAGTACTCCACTACATAAATACGGCTATAAAAGAAGCAACTCAAGCCCCCTTAAACTTATTTTCTTCACACTAATTGTGACTTTGTAATCCGTTTTATTTTCTTTTGAATCCATCTAAAAAATGAGCTCCACTCCAAAAGCAACTAGCAACTCTTCCAAACTCAAGGGAGCTGCATTCAAGAGCGTCAAGGCTGTTGGAAATGTTTTTGATGACTTCAAGGCATTCATCAACAAGGGAAATGTCGTCGATCTTGCTGTCGGTCTTGTGATGGGTGCTGCTTTTACAGCAGTCGTTACTTCGCTTGTCGGTGATCTCATTACCCCACTTATCGGTCTTGCTACTGAGAGCAACTTGGAAAACATGTTTTACATTTTGCGTTGTCCTAAAAACCAGACCAACTGCCGAGATCTTGGATTCGGTACCTCGGGCGATGCTAACAAAGCCGGTGTCGTCACATGGAATTATGGTCGTTTCATCCAGATGGTCATCAACTTTATCATTATTTCCCTGATCGTCTTCTTCATTGTCAAAGCCTACACTGCTGCCTTTTGCCGCAAGACTGAAGTTGTTGTCAAGGACTGTGCATTCTGCTGCAAAGAAATCCCCTTGGCTGCCACCCGCTGCCCCTTCTGCACATCCCCTGTTCAGATCCCCCGTTCTGATTCGGAAATCTTGACCAAAAACAACGAAGATACCATTCTCGTTGTTCCTAGTCCCAAAGGCCGCCAATAATTGTTTTGACTAGAGCTAGATGTACCAAACACTCCATCTTTCGTATTTGGCTTCTCACCTTCTCTGAGTAATCTGGCTATTGGCTTCAACTTTAATTGCATATTTCACATTCTATCGCTTACGAAATGTAATCCAACTTTAAGCATTTTTTGAATGCGCTTGCATGTCTTTGCTCCCTATTATTACTTTCAATATAATGTGGTAATTCTAATTGCTTTTTATTTGGTTAATTTATATTGAGATTGGGTTTGAGTAAATATGAGATGCGTTTCTATAAGCATGGCAACTTTTGATAAGCCAGCTGCTGCTGTATCCAGTAAAGTGGAGCACTAAGGAGACAGTTTCATCAATAATGGATGTTAGTCTACTGGACAATATTGTGCTCGAATGAACCACTCGTGCATTTCACCCATTGCACTTTCTAAACACCCCTTTTCATTAGTCTAACATGCTATTTGTAATGAGACTATTTTCCAGTGTTTGGTAGTCATAAGCTAGACAGTATAGCACGGCGCTACATTTCATTTGTCTATAACGGCAAGTACTATTGCTGTAAAATAACACATCAATACAATAGCCAAAGGCTTATATACTACTACCACTTTGCTTGCAGTCGCAGCTATTGCATTCACGTAGCATGTTTATTTCGACCCCATGCATGTACTACCAACTAGCCGTTACACCAACAGATTGCAAGCACAAGTCACTAATACTTTTGTCAAACATTTTGATTTCGGTGTTTGAGCTTTCAGAACAAAGGTGCACACACATGTGTGGAGTTGCTCGCTCTGATATATACAAGCTTACCAAGACAAAAATACGAAAAGTGTGTTCACATGACACGAACTTGGTCAAATTTCTGACCCAAATTGCTTTCAAAATTCAAATATTCAAGGTTACAAGATGGCAATAGCGAATAGACTTTCCATTAACATGTTTTCGTGCACAAACAATATATCACTCGGTTTAAACATACTCAATGCCTGTGCAAACAAATCTCGGTTTTCACAAAGACTCCCTGATACACGTAGCCGTGTTAGTGACAAACCACCCTTTATATATGGTGACTTTGACCACCAGCGTATAAGATACTTTAAAACAAAAGACTTTCCTCGTTTCTTTTAACCACTTTTATTAATCTGAGGGAGATATACAATTCTAGACTTTTCTCTCATATACTAAAAAGTACTAAATAGACGGTTAGGTTTTATCTTTCAGTATCATCACATAGTCCTATTAAATTTCGCTATAGCCCCTCGACATATTAGCTTCAAGGATGCATCATCATCCTATTCTCTTTGTTTTAGGCATATCATTGCCATATGCACTGGCATGGAGTGATTACAGTAAGCATTTCAAGTTTGGATCATGTTTCTAATGGTTTTATCTGGCAATCCTTACTAATGACTGCTGATTATTTTTAGCCCACTCGGTTATTGGTGCTGTTGCCCAAAACTTCCTCGATCAAAACGGTGTTAGATTTGTTCAACATATTCTCCGAGGCACAACGCTTTATGAAGCCAGTGTATGTCTATCAACGTGCTTGTTTGGATTGATTGGTGCTTGGTATTGTAGTGACTAATATTTAAACTGATACAAATCCAGTCATGGGCAGAATACCTTCAAACTCGTGGAAAACGATACAACGAACTTCGTAAGTCAAGTTTTTATCTGTGTTTTGTACGTCGAATAGAATACTCACCCTTCATCTAGATTTTTATTTTGACAGAAGTGTTGGTGCTATTGATAGTACTTATCCACCTATGAATGACCAATGTCGGTACGATCCTGAGCGGGATTGTCTCAACGGTATGTATTCTTCAATCTGTTGTCGTTGACCATCTGCTTTTATTAATGCTTAATCATATTGGGTTTTATGAATGATTGGTCATAGGAAAATGCTTGCCTAATGCTATTGGAAAATATACTGATGTGTTTCAATGTGCACGACGTCAGTCGCCACATCAATTATCCGATGCGCTAATGTTTTTAGTTCATTACGTTGGTGATGCTGGACACCCGTTTTTGTCCAACGGACATGGTAAGTGATTTATGTTGTAAATATAAAAACAACCGAGTGTATTTAGATGGTGCTTAATCTACTCATCCAAAACTTAGATAATGGACGCAAAGATCAACAAGTTTACTTTGAAGGAAAATCGGCGACTTTTAATCAAGTGTGGGATTATTATATGCCCAATCGTCGTATCCACCGCGACTTTCACGGAAACATTATGAATTATGCGTACTATCTCACCAATCAGATTCATAGCAATTCATTTAGTTCTCATGTCTCCACATGGGCACCTCACCGTCATGTTTACGAAAGATCACAGTATGGTCTGAATCAAAATGCCATTGATTGGGCAACAGACACGGCAGTAGTGACTTGCCAGTATATCTGGCCAATGTTTGAGTACATGAAAAACCAAGATTTGGGAGAGAGCTATTATTATAGATCGGTTAATATACTAGACATGCAGATTGCAAAAGGAGGATACAGACTTGCAAGCTATATCAACCGTATGGCTGCAATGACAAATGGTGGACAATGCACAGATTTCTATTCAGGGAATTCCAAATCATGCATAACAGGGATTGCTAGCATTGCTGTTCCACTTCTTCTTGCTCTGGCTCTTTAAAACTGATGTTGACCATCATTCTTCAATATGACGTAGCTTTTATCCTGTTTAACTTTATCGGACCCATTTTTTAATTCCACTTCTGTCTATCCTTAACTGTTTCAGTTTTGCTTTGGTCGGGATACTTTTTATCAATAAATTGATTAATCCTTATTCAGCCTTTCAAGCACTGCTTATAGTGATATCCACGTAAAATGAAACATTGAATATGTATGCCAAAGTACATGAAGAAGCCAATCCCATGAAATGATGAGTGTCAGATGACTGGTCTTTATCATGGTATGAGACAACAGTTGCATTCACACAGCCGTTGTTTTTAAGCTAAAACGTATCGAGTTTAAACAAAGACGAGTCTGGTTGACAACGGTTGAACCCAATATCTGGATTTCAATGGGTGAATCTGGTGACGGTACAATGCATGGCTATGCTAAAAAAAGGAAATTCAACTGTGTATCATATGATGAATGTTGTGTTTTAAAATTGAAAATGCTTGTCAATTAGTTACTTTCTAATAGAAAGTGCAAACAGTTTAACCATTATTTATTCCAGAGGCAGTGACTGCAAAATAGAGTTCCATTTTACGTGGGTACAGCTGTAATTAGCCTGTAAATGTGTCCGGAGTTCCAAAATCTGGGATAAATTTAAACAGATCAAAGCAGACCTTGATATCGAATCTTCACACATTGCTATTCGTACAAAGTCTTGAATAAACTAAAGTGGGTTATAAACAAAAGGAATTGTTAGGCAATTGACTATACTATCTAGTCTGCAACTCAACTTACCGATCACCAGCATCACCCAGACCAGGAATAATGTAACCATTAGAATCAATCTCTTCATCTACAGAAGCAACGTAGATCTCAATGTCTGGATGAGCCTTGAGCAGGGCGTTTAGACCAGGATAAGAGGCAACAATGGAGATCAATTTGATGCGTTTCAAACCCCAATCCTTAAGAATATTAACCGCAGCAATAGCAGTGCCTGCGGTCGCAATCATGGGATCGACTAGAAACCCAACATCGATCTTGCAAACAGAGGGAAGCTTATTGTAGTATTCGACTGGTAAAAGTGTAGACTAAGTGACAAGAGTAGTGAGCTATCAAGCAAGTGTATAACATCAAGAATGAGGTTCAGCACATACCTTTTCTCTATAAAGTCCCAAGTGATGCACACGGGCATTAGGGATCAGCTCCAGAAAACCTTGTCACAGTTTAAGTCAGATGGTGGTTCACATTCATATAAATAGATAGGAAATGATGCATCTGATGATTATACATACCATTTACCATGCCCTGACCAGCACGCATGATGGGAAATATAGCCATTTCATCCTTGAGTTGTACACCCATGTAAGGACTAACGGGCGACTGAAGAGTTTTAGTAGTTGACAAGTCCGAGTCACTTGTAGCCAGGGTTCCTAGCAAAAGAGTCAATTCATGGACAAGTTCTCTAAACTGTTTCGGACGAACTCGTTTGTCTCTGAGCAAGGATATTTTATGCAGAACCAGCGGATGGTGCATGACATGAACATTATCGGGAAGTTCCATCTTGTTGGGTCAAGTCAACGTCAAGGTAAACCCGGGTAAACCTGACAAGCAAACTGCGTGACTTTTGATTTTCAAATGTCGAAACGTTCAGACTCCGAATTCACCATCAAGCTTAACTAACAACTGCTATTGTTTGCCGAATCGGACTTGATTGCTATTGAAACAACTTCAGTTATCACTATTATCATGGCTGATTCCTGCTCTGGAAATGAACAGACCAACGTACTCAAGTCTATTTTGGAAACTGTTCAATCTTTAAAACAAGACCAACTGGATCTATCATCCCGACTCAACTCTTTCCAACATGAAACTCAATCTGCCTTGCTATCACTACAGTCACAGGCTTCTCTGCATGCTAGCACTGGGTTTTCCCCGCATTTAAATGCTTCTCATTTATCTAGTCCTACTAGAAAGTCGCTGGACATGTCCTTCAAGGTTTACAGTTCTGGTGAGTTGATTTTAGTCTAACCTTGATTTGAGTGCTACTCTAATACCATGCATGCGAGGTATTAGGAATGTCCGAGTCTGCAGTAGAGAGTGATTCTGATGCGGACACTGCTGCAGCCAATAAAACTTACAAGGCAATGACGACCACTGCCGTGACCAAGATGCCTACTGCAGCGGGTAAACTTCCACAGAATGCTACGTCCCCTGGAACCAGTAGTGTCCAGCCTCTGTATAACCATCGTATTGTGCTGACTACCTATCCAGGCCAGGTGGGAATCAATCCCATTTCCTTGCAATGGGGTGCTACCGAACCCCTTGTTCGTGGCCCGATTGTTGCTTCCAGACACCATGGCTCTTTAACCATGCGTAATGCTATTGGCGCTCATGGTGGAGCTTATTCCATCTATAGAGCACTTGCTGTAGCTATTGGAGATCTGGAACCCAACTACAAGCCTAATCTTGTCCACACTGAACCTGTCGTTAATATTGGCCCATTTCCCTCTTGGTCTGATCCTCATCGTATTGTCTCCATGGATCCTTGGGGTCATGCTGTCCAGGAAGTTTTTAAAGCTCAGATTGAAAAGGGCATCGACGTGCGTCCAACAATTGCCATCACAAAGGCTCATATGCAGCTTGCAGAGATTGAATCGCTTGTCAAGAGTGGTAGTCTCAAGGTGGATGGTAAGGTGGTGTTGGATGATCGTGGTCAATTGATGGTTGTCAAGGCTGCTGTTGAGCCAGTGTGGTTTTTACCTGGCATTGCCGAGAGATTCAAATGCGATGAAACGACCTTGCGTCGTTGTTTATTGTAAGTCGTCCATCTTTTACTGCCTATTATAGAATATCGAATTTTATCATGTGTTGAGATGCATGTCTAACCTTTTTTTATATTGCGACATGTCATGCATATCCACAAAAGTGAGGACACTGGCGGTATGTACCCAGAGCTCATTACTCGCCCAGATCTCAAAGTATTTCTGCCTCCTATTGGCGGTCTTTCCATCTATATATTTGGTAACCCACAATTTATCAGCGATCCAACCAAACATCTCACTTTGCGTGTTCACGATGAGTGCAATGGAAGCGACGTCTTTGGAAGTGATATTTGCACTTGTCGTCCTTATCTCATATACGGCATTGAAGAAGCCATTCGTGCTGCCCAAACTGACAATGGTGTTGGTGTAATCGTATATTTCCGCAAGGAAGGCAGAGCATTGGGTGAAGTCACAAAATATCTCGTGTATAATGCTCGTAAGCGTGCCGAGGGAGGTGATACGGCTGCCAACTATTTCCAGAGAACTGAAGATGTTGCCGGAGTGAAAGACATGCGATTCCAAGCTACTATGCCTGATGTGCTACATTGGCTTGGTATCCAAAAAATTGATCGCATGATCAGTATGAGCAACATGGTGCGTACATGTATGTTTTAATTAATAACTTTAATCAGCTAACACGTTACTTTTATATAGAAATACGATGCAATTGTTGGATCTGGAATTCCCATTGTTGAGCGGGTTGAAATTCCTGCATCTATGCTTCCTCCTGATTCTCAGGTTGAAATTGATGCCAAGATCGCTTCTGGTTACTTTAGTTCTTCCAAAACTACCGCTGCTTTGAATCTTTCACACATCAAAGGCCGTACTTGGGACGACATTAGTCATTAGCAAGTGCGTTTTTAGTTGGTAGTTTGTTTATTTGCTTGCACCAAAGTGAGTTGATGGCGAACCCCACTGGGTCCAATACCTAGTTGACTCCATCCACTGTTCGTCATCTTCTAGTTGTCTACATTCTGATTTTTTTGGTATTCAGATTCCTTTGTTGTTTGTAATTATCTTTTGATTGATATATTCAATAAATGGCAAAAAATATTTGATTTGGTAAAGCTTATGCTAAAAGATACTCATGGTATCGAGTACTTGGCGATTTAAATAAACAGTCAATCAAATCTATTTTGTATTCGGACAAGTATGCATTTTGGTGGACTACAGTGTATAAACAAATCTGACACTCATCACAGCAAACTACGAGCTTTGTAAAACAATTTCAAGAAACTGGCGTAGTACTAATGCGTATATATCATGTATAGGAGATCAAGTCGTGTATGTTTGGAGTTGCAATGTGTTCAAGCAATTTGACTAAACGTATCGTTGATGCCAAGCTAATGAAATACAAAGCTTATTGAAAACCATGCCATCAGTTAAACCCTTTACAAAATCAATTTGTAATGCTCTTGAATACAAGCACTAAAAGCATGCATACTTTTATAGAATAAGCAAAGAGTGAAACTAAATTCATTTTAAACATAATAGATTTGTAACCAGTGATTGGATAAAAATGGCAAGCATTGCTAGCCACCATTCAACCCTACTTTGCGCATACTACTAAAGACTCGAGTTTAAATCACAACTAATTAATTAACGCTCAGCATCACCTGCGGCTTCTTCAGGTGCGTGTTGCTGCTGATTACCGCTTTGTGCATCACGATGCGACACACCCGAAACAATATCATCAACACGAAGAAGAAGACATGCACTTTCAATGGCAGTCTTGAGGGTTTGAGATTTGACAGTCTGGGGCTCCCAGATACCGTATTCATGCATGTCAACAACTTTACCACTCGTGCCGTCAATACCCCATGATGAGTTGCCTGGGATAGCGTGCTTGGCCTAACAACTCAATACGTTAGCAAGAATCAAATTAAACAAGTGCTGCATGAGAAACAATGTAACCTACACGGAGCTGGGTGAGAACCTTGATAGCATTTCCACCACAATTCTGTACCAAGGTGCGAGGAATGACCTGTAGAGCATCAGCAACAGCCTTGTAAGGATATTGCTCAACACCTGAAATACTTTTGGCAGCCTCGGTAAGTTTTACAGCAAGTGCCATTTCAGTCGCACCACCACCAGGACACAATCGAGGCTCAAACATAACATTACGAGCTACGCTCATAGCATCCTGCAAATTGCGATCAATCTCTTGCAACATGTCTTTGGAAGGACCACGAAGCACAATTGTGCATGCCTTTGGGTCTTTGCATTCGACAAGGTAAGTAAAGTACTCATCACCAATCTTGCGAACCTCGAACAAACCGCAGTGAGTGCCAACATCAGATTCGCGAAGTTCCTCGGCACGATTAACAATGGTTGCACCAGTAGCACGAGCAACACGGTTATTGTCAGTCTTTTTGACACGACGGAGCGCAGTGATGCCTGCCTTGAGGAAATAATGCTGAGCAATATCTGCAGTATATACAAAACGTGAGTAAAACGTACTTTTTTAAAGTGCATTATGTACTGGACTAGTTGATAAAAACAATACATTGGCCTTACCACTAACACCCTTTTCGGTCATAACAATGTCAGGCTTGACGCGGATAATATCATCACAAAGAGCCTTGACTTGTTCTTCTTCGATTTCAAGAAGACGAGCCCAGTGCGACTCATCAGTGATCTCAACATTAGTTTGGGATTCACCCTTTTTGTATTCAAGTGGACAGTCGAGAAGAACGATGCGGGGATTGCGAATCATGCGACGCATCTTGGGATGAGTAACATCCTTGTTGAACATAATGCCATCAAGAACACAGCAGTTTTCAATTTCACCTCCGGGAATCTAAATACAAACATAGTGAAAAGTCAGTATATACTAAAAATCATTCAATTGTCTGTCCTACACACAATCATGTCACCTTTTCGACACGAGCGTAGCGTTTAATATCTACTTCACGCTTGCCATTCACTTCAGTGGTGACGGTCTTGACAGCATCGTAAGCAAGGTTGCACATGAGATCACTCCATTGAGAAACGACTTTGGTGCCAATAGTGGCCTGAATGAGTTTGATCATTTCTGTTTTTTCGTTGATATTGATTTCAACTGAGATATCGTTCAAAAATTTAATTGAATCTTCAAGAGCACGCTTGAAGCCCGAAATGATAGTGATGGGATGAATTTGACGCTCAATGAAGGGGAGGGCAGTGGAAAGAACTTCACCAGCAAGAATGATGACACTCGTCGTGCCGTCACCAACCTCCTCGTCCTGAGTACGAGAGAGTTCAATCATTGATTTTGCAGCAGGATGAGCAACTTCGACTTCACGAAGAATGGCATTGCCATCGTTTGTGAGAACAATTCCACCCATGGGGTCCAAGAGCATCTTGAGCATAGCACGAGGACCCAGACATGTCCGAATGATATCTGAAATTGTCTATTTACAGTGTATGACAAGGTTAATGAGTATATAAACATGTAATCAAAACCATAGTTTGATTGTGTGCATCATATGATGAACGGTGTGTTTTGAAGAATCAAGAGTGTTTACTCCAGCCCATCTCTAATAGTAAGAGTATTTAGCCATTGTCTATTCAGAAGCAGAATAAAACCAATGCAAGTTAAAGTGTTTGATTTTACGTGAATGCGACAGTGATATTATTCAGTGCACAACAGAATCGAAACTTCCGCCGTCTGATTCCACAAGATCAGCACAACAGACACCGATAGTAGCGGGATGAATACATTCTGTAAGACTGATCAATAATAGAGTGAAAGTAATATATTTGGTTTTATAGTACAGTAAAGAGCCGTAGAACAGCAAGAACACTGCATGTAATGCCAACAATCTATAGGAATCTACAGGAATCTATCAAACAGGAAAAGTAAAATACCTTTGCAGCCTGAATATTAGACAATTGAGCCTTGCGGCCTTGAGTACGCTCAGTGTTTGTATCTATTGGCAAATAGCAGAAACAACGGTTAAAATGCACTCACTATCTCGACAGTAATTAAGCAGTGTCGGACAGCAACTCAATCCAGCAAACAACCGACTTACTAAGAACAATAACAGGCTGTTGCATCATCTATATGTATTATCAATTGTAATCATGTCAGTATCAATCCCAGCTACAGCAACGTGAGTCGGATTACCTTGTTCAATAGTATTAATAATCACGGCAGATCCAATAGTTTGAGTAGATTCGGTGTTGGCTAAAAGTGAAATCCTGTTGTTAATTGCACGTGACTGGATGGTTCTTTCAGGCTCGATTGGATCTGGTCAACCCATAGCGTGTAGTTTCTTATACAATCGAACTTATGCGATGTCTAGACATTTAGTGTCATGAACAGCCTTTAAACGACTTTACTCTTTCTTTTCATATTGTTTTGTTAGATTGACTTGCACTTGCAGTCCGTATAGTCACGTGTTATTGCATTTGTATCACGTGTTGCATTTGACTTTGCTGTCTGTTGAACGAAGCGTTTCAAGGTAGCGACCACTAGCAACTCTCCTTTTTCATTTTACATTTCACGGACAATCATGGCTGTGAGTGTTGCTTCCATCCATCCATCAGTATATGCATGCATCCTATCCATCCATCAGGACTCGAGAAATTCTGCACTCGGGTTAATCCATCCATCTCATCAGCACTAGGATATTTGAAACAACTTGATCAAGTCAATATGGAATGGTTATACATCTATATTGCTGCACAAGCATTTATTTATGCGCTCGCTTTTTCAAATTATGGGTGCTGCCTACTGGCATGATAGCTGAGCAAACATCAATTTAGCAGAGCTTTGTTCAAGTTCTAGTTGATAACTCGAGTCTGGATAGTGTTGTACTGGTTCTACTTTGTTTAAATCATGGACGACTAACTTATTCCAATCTCTTGTGGATTTTGTAATATGATCATTTGTATATAGGCCGACGCTGTCACAATCAGGACTCGCAAGTTCCTCACAAACCGTCTTCTTCAGCGCAAGCAGATGGTTGTTGATATCATTCATCCAGGATCTCCCAACATTTCCAAGACTGAACTTCGTGAAAAGATCAGCAAGGTCTACAAGTCTGAAACCGAGGTAACCCCATTGTGTGGTTCCAAGACTGCTCAATCAGTTTAATGTGTTTGGGCTGTATGCCAGACTTGAAGGTTTCTGCTGAATAGTGACTAACTTATACCAAAATAGAACGTGTTCGTCTTTGGTGTCAAGACCGCTTTCGGTGGTGGCAAGTCTACTGGCTTTGCTCTGATCTACGACACTCTTGATGCTGCAAAGAAATTTGAGCCCAAATACCGTCTTGTCCGTCACGGTCTTGCTGAGGCCAAGAAGACCAACCGTAAGCAGCGTAAAGAAAAGAAGAACCGTGCCAAGAAGTTCAGAGGAACCAAGAAGGCAAAGGCTTCGGCTGCCAAGAAATAAATCTGTCACAATTTATTGTCTTTTGGACGATTTATATGGAACCTTTTCTGTTTCTTATTTTGGATTTTAATGGCTTTTATTTTGCATAGTAATGAATCGACGTTTCAACCTGTGAATATAGCGTGTATTACATCTGTATTCACATAATATGGAGCACCAAGGATGTCTACAATAAAGTCAATCTCGTGGCATAATCGGTATCAATTCATCAGATTTACTGGTGATATGGAAACACTTGGTTTCCTAAACTACAACGTATTTGTGATTTAGGATACAAGAGTTGTATTGACAACAGCTGAACCTGATATCTGGATTGTAATGAGTCTGGTGATTGCACAATGTATAGTCATGTCAGCAAGTGCAATCTCCAAAACTATAGTTTACGTTATACAATAGCGTGTTTTATCGAGTTGAACATGTCAATCTGTAATAGGAAAACATATTTAATCATTGTTTATTCTAAAAAGAAGAGACAGCCATGGCGCAATAGCTCATTGCCAACCATTCCATGATTGGTGCAAAGCAAATGGTATTGAATACTCTAAAAACTGTCAAGCTCGACGCAATGATTTTGGTTGTTTCTTTAAATGAAGGTGACTAAACCATTCAACACTCGATGGGTTGCATCGAGGCAAAATTCAAGCAAAAAAATTGTGGGATGAGACAAGTTTTGAAAGATTCCTAGTGTGCATCTCACCACAACTCGGCCAAAATTAAAAGGTTTGCATACCATTGAAATAAAATAAATTTGGAATAAACTATTCCAAAATCAATAGCTACAAACGTTACATTTTAGCCAAGCAGGACAAAGTCGTAAACTAGTACAATTAACAAAGGCACTATGGTGATGGTTTTCAAGTCGAGGTAAATGTCGTCAATGCAGGCAATCCATCGGAAAACGGGGACGCACCCCTAATGTACATCAAAAGTCATGACGTGCATTTTCAACAATAAATCGCTTACATTGAACACAATAATTCCTCATAACACCAAAGTACCAATCATACAATAGAATACACTTGGTCTGTATCTAAAAAGCAAATCAAGCACCTATACTCGCACCTTGTAAAAATGACCAACATGCGCTTTTCCATATTACAGCTTTCAATACTAAAGAGTATCGATCCACCATCAAACCCAGCATTCTAAAGTGCCTAGATATTAGTGTTGCATATTATCATGACCCATCAGATATGAAATTACTCATGAAAACAACCCCGATACTTTCACCATTGCGCGCCAGTTAAACAACAGCAACTCGAATCAAACACCCAAGCGCGTTCAGTTAGTTTCTGTAATGGCATCATTATGATCAACAAGCAGAAATGCTTTCAAGACAATGAGAGTGTGCAACTCTACTAGAAAATAGAATGTATAGATTACTCCCTAGTAAAGGAAATGAATATATAAAATGGTAGAATATGCTATCCAAAAGCAAACAAATGAGACTTGTAAACAAAAAGTGACTAGAACACATATACAGCGAGTAAATGTGATAAAGACTGATGGTACAAGCAGAATGATGAACAATAAAACTTTCTATAATAAGATAGCTTTTTAGTCCCAATAGTCACCATTATAAGCTGCTTCTAAACATATTTGTATTAGACTAAACGCACGTATGCATATAGTCCATACTATTTATACAGTACCCATCTAAATCTAGCACAAGTCTTGCAAAGCCAAATTTGTCTGCGTTATGGATACAAGCTATGGTATTCATACACCATACTCGAAATCCCCGAGTTAAAAAGCTCAATCAACCATCAATTTTCTATTTTCTAGCATCATAATTGCAGATAACAACATCATTATCCTGTACAGCAACCTACTATAATATGCAAAAATGTCAGGGTTAAGATCACAGAAACACCTTATTGTATTCTAGTATTGTTCCAAGCAGCCTAGTTTTTTAAACCTAGCCTGCCATTATCATTTGAACAATAAACAGTTTATGAAAACTGCCAAGAAATACAATTAAGCTGCTTCTGAGAGTTTGAGGGGGGATGATGCAACTACAGAAATCCATTAGAACAACGCTTTACAAGTATTAGAGTACAAGTAGCGTAATGCAACTGTTTTCGTCCGAGAATTTACAAGCCTTGATCCGACTCAAATAAAAACTCATGCAACCATTGCAGACGGCAAAAGGAAAGTACCGCCAAACAAGGATATGTTGTGGTATACAAAGTAAAAGGGTTATGATCCGAGTAAAAATGGTTCAAGATCTGGTGAGTAGAATCATGAACGCAACACTAAAGCCAACGACAATATAGATGGCTGCTTTTGAAGCGACATCACTCTGACAAGTAATAAAAGCTGTAAAGCGACATATAGGTTATCCCTTGGTGAAGTACAAAGGTGCTTAGTAGATACATGGTGAGTGCACAAACTAGCCAGCGAGTTGAAGAGAGGGCAAGAGATGTCTGTCCGAAAACATCAAACTCTGCAATAACCGCTCATACAGCAAATGGCTGGAAGCAAAACTAGACCAGACAACCACACTGATTCGACACTAGTAGGATGAGATGCAAGCCCTCATGACCACACCACACTTTGGTCTTGTAGTGCAAGCATGAGAGCACATTCCACTAGTGTCGAGTCAGTTTCAATGGCATATCGCTTGAATCTTGAGTGCAAGGATAAAGAACAGCAGTAGATGACTAGTCCACCTCATCCACTACCACTGTACCAACCAACTAGTAGGGGCCAGTTCCAGGGAAGTGAAACAAGATGAACCAGAAAGCAAGTAAACACAAGCCAACTCACTATCCTATAATCACTTTCAGCCAAGTATTCAATGACATGTCCGTTGGTAAACCTCGGATTTACCTGAAAAACAACATACCGCCGTATTCACATAAAATGGATCATTAAATAAGGGGGTCATTACATAACAAGCAACCAAATCTCATGAAACAATTGGTGATGGTTTACTGGACAACATTGTTTTTGAACTCGTCAGTTTACTGGTCTTTCTTCTGGTGATTGGCATGTAGAGTTGCATTGACAACAGCTGAATCTGATATCTGGACTGTAATGAGTCTGGTGATTGTACAATATATGGTCATGTCAACAAGTGCAATATCCAAAACTATAGATTGTAAGCATCATATAATGGGTGTTGTGTTTATTGAAGTAGTTAATATCCAATAGAAGGAGCATTCAACCATTGTATATTCTGAAGCAAGAGATAATCACTGCAAGATGGTACAGAAAAGTACTCCATTTTACGTGGATACAGCTGTAAATTAAATATGAGTAGTCAAGCGAGAAGCTCCCCAATTCCATCCATTGTCGCCTGTAGATTCTGCAGATGAATGGGACGATGGTGAGACAAATGCTTCTTTGGTTGAAGCTGAGAAGCGCATATACGATGCCATATTAGAGCTGCTGAGTGAGCTTTGGTCTATATCGGTTTCTACAGAACCAACTGATCGTTCCAACGTTTCTGACAATCCCATAGATACGGGTTGCTTTGATGTAGCAGATCTTTCAAATGATGCCGATGTGCCTGATGATCTGTATGATGTGGTGATATAGCCTCTGCCTTGATAATGAGACAGAGTGGGATCAATGGTGGATGCGGATGAACTGTGGTATCTGCGAAATACTGCCATACTGAGAGTAAGAACTGCCACTACACCTGCTCCAACAACAGTAGGAAACAGCCAGGATGGGCCATTGTAACTAGAGCTAGACTGATCGTTTGCACCTGCCGATCCATCGCCTCCTGAAGAATTTGGATCGGATGTGAAAGGCTTGCGTTTTGGAGGTGAGCCAGACGATCCAGTATCGGGATTACTGCCACCACTCGTAGGTCCTTGAACGCCTACACCACTATCGCTGCTATCGTGAGATCCACCATTTCTTTGAATAGATGGCCGTAAAAGCACGCTAGGCATTCGATCTGGTAAATGGGATGGAACTGTCTGTGGCAGTGTGCCGTGGCTTGGCTCTGGACCATTGGAAGTAGGCTGAGAAATCGGTGAAAGAGTTGGCTGGAAAGTAGGCAAAAAAGTAGGTTTAGGGCTGGAGCTATGAGTAAGTGGAGGAATGCCATTAATGTCTGTTGAAGGCACAAGCAATCCATAGCTCGACTCGAGGACGAATAAACGGTTATGATTTTTGTCAACGTTTTTGTCACCTGCGCTTACATAGAACCACCGCGGATGAACCTTGTCGATATGAATAGGAGTTTCATCATCATCCTCTTCAATTCCATGATCATTTTCACTCAGATCTGGATAGTTGTCTTCGGTAGCATGAGTGGGCTGGGGTAAAGAGGATTGAGAAAGTGGCCAAGGTCCTTCGAAAGCATAGATGGCTTCAGGTGATGAATCATTAACTGTGGTACCAAGCAACTGCCACGATATGCCCTCCCATTTTATTCGTAATCTTTGGCGTTTATTAACTCTTAACCAGAGTGTTAATTGAGAGCCATCAGCCACAGTTGGATCAATCTAATGATAATCAACCACATAAATACGTTAATATGCAACCCAATCTTTTAAAGCGATCGCATTCAGAAAGCAGAAAGTTGCTACTAGTATATCAAGACAACTCCAGGCTTACCATTACTTGTCCAAGCACTCGATGGGCTTCAGGGTGATAGTACTGAAGAGTCACAGCATGATTGGCATGGCCATGGTGTACACCTTCAATACTGGGTGATGACAAGTGTTGGGGAGGAAGTTTCTGTAAAGGAAAAGCTCCTATGATTTGAAACAGCCAAGTGTACAAAAGTAGGATATGAATGAACATAACCACTGTATGCTGCGAATAAAACGATGTTTAATAAGAAAGAATAGAATAGAAGCAAGTTTACAATGGGGACCTCAAGCTAGCCTTTTGCTAGTTGCAATGAAAAGGAACCTTTTTGATTCTTGTGGGCGTTTCATATGAACGGGTTGAGCATACTTGAATCTAAAATGGTAATATTGGGGTTTTAGTTGAATTTCTTCAGTAGAGCGCGCAAGACATTATTTTCAACATGATGAGCAGTATGAGCGGCAATTAGCCCAATTACCTGACTCGAATCGATTCTAGCTTCATGTGATAATTGACGCGAAGCAAGCCATTTGGACACATGGCCATAATACTGAGTACCATGTGGAAGAACCCACGTGAGCTTATATTTGGTAATTGATTGCACTTGGTTGACTAGAGTTGCATCAGCCGTGCATCTTGGGCTACGCCAAATCATTGATTCTCCTTTCATGCTCACTTTCTTGGTTTTGGTTCTACCACACTTTCCACCGTCATCGCCATGCAACTAAACTACTGGTTACAACTAGCGACAAAGAGTATGAGGATGAAGAGAAACATCAGAAATTGTCAGCAACCATCGCTATCAATATATCATGTGTTTATAAGTACCCACGTAAAATTAATTCAACCACACTTTTGTGATTGGGTCTGGTTGCTTTCTTGGTGATGTCGTTTCGGAAATATCGGTGATTGTTCATCTGCTGATTTGAATGGCAGGAGCATCTATCGTTCATGTATCCTGTATCACGACAATAATCTGACTTGTTAACACAGCCAGTTTGACAAACGACTTGCTGTTTTTTTCGATTAGATATAAAACGACCCTTATTTGGTCTTGGCTGGCACGATCTTTGGCGTTCCACCCATAGTTGCGTTAATCTGAGCCAACTGTGCAATATTACGAACCAAAGACTCTTGTTCTGAAATGCTGCAACAGCTGCTTGTTTAATGCCATCAGAGCGTTGTGAGAACATGATGAAAGTGGGGCTTTCTATACAACCAAAAAATATTTTTCTTGCTTTCATCCCTTTTGTCTTTAGCTGTGAACTAATATCTGAATGAGTCATGCTTAACTAGTTTGACTAGTATGAGCTGACAATGGTTATCATTCATCTCCGTCTATCCAGCCTAGTGTTTTGGTTTGTAAGTGTTTCAAGTACATGATCGAGACTACTAATGTTCATTTGTTGAATAGGTAGTACAATCATGAATTAGAAGACTGAAATATCAGTCATGGATGTTTTAAACAAAATATCCATGCACATAGATTCTTTGCTTTTACCGCCGTATTCATACAAAATGGATCACTAAATAAGGGGGTCATTACATAACAAGCAACCAAATCTCATGAAACAATTGGTGATGGTTTACTGGACAACATTGTTTTTGAACTCATCAGTTTACTGGTCCTTCTTCTGGTGATTGGCATGTAGAGTTGTATTGACAACAGCTGAATCTGATATCTGGACTGTAATGAGTCTGGTGATTGTACAATATATGGTCATGTCAACAAGTGCAATATCCAAAACTATAGATTGTAAGCATCATATAATGGGTGTTGTGTTTATTGAAGTAGTTAATATCCAATAGAAGGAGCATTCAACCATTGTATATTCTGAAGCAAGAGGTAATCACTGCAAGATGGTACAGAAAAGTACTCCATTTTACGTGGATACAGCTGTAATATTCAAGTACCACAGGCTGTAGCTCATCCAGATGGCTTTTCATATTGATAGGCTCAAGCAAATAGTGGAGTTTGGCCACCTAACAGCCCAAACAAAGCTCCACGATATGTCGAAATTATACCCCTCATTGATTGACCATTTAATACACATTACATTCCAACAATAAGCACAAGCTTTATGCCTCTGGCACAGCCAACCCCTCCCTGGATGAATGGCAAGTCGGGCTGTTGATTGATATTCGTCAATGAGAACAAAGGGACTTGTCAAGCCTTATTTCTGTATTAGAGTATAAATACAATCAGAATTGCATTTCAAGCTTTACTGCATACTCTGACACTTGATTTTCCCCATATCGTCCTGTTTTGCAGATCGGGATTGGTGTGACTCTTCCCTTAATACCATTACATCTTGCTAGTCTATCCGCCTGAGCATTTCTGTAATCATCTTTATTTTAATCTTTAAACTTAATAACACGTCATGCCTAACCAGAGCAACGAGCCCGCCAACACCGCTGTATCTACAAACACCCCAGCAGAAAAACAACAGCAAGTCGATGTGGTATGTTTAACCAAGTTGATTGTCCAATTCCTTTCTATTCATGACATGGCTTAGGCCCTAATTCGTTTTTCGAAATGCATCGCCCTTTCCGTAACACCCTTCATTACTGCCAATTTACAGCTGTATTCATGTAAAATGGAACGCTTGTACTTTATCTTGCAATTTGCCTGTATTTTGCTTTGAAATAGACATGGCTGAGTGCTCTATCAGGGATTGACTACTTGAACTGCCACTAACACATTTTTACCTCGATCGAATTTCAGAATGAGCATCTACTCTCGCTCGAGGAAGTCGAAAAAAAATACTCTGTGTCAGTCGATGCAGTGAAACCCACATTGTCTAAAGGTCTTTCCCCAGCAGAGGCTATCAAGCGTCTGGAGCAATATGGTCCCAATCAGCTATCACCGCCAAAAAAACGACACCCTTTTCTGCGTTTCATGGATCATCTTCTCGGTTTATTCAATCTCATGCTTCTCGTATCGGGCATTGCTGCCTATATTCTGCTTGCCATCAACCCCTCTGCTAATGCACAAAATGTCTATGTCGGTGCTATTTTGATTATTGTTGCATTCATGAATGCAAGTATTGAATTCTATCAGGTTCAAAAATCTCAATCCATTCTTGAATCCTTTTTAAATCTCATTCCTTCTAAATGTTATGCTATTCGCGAGGCAAAGCTCGCACAAATCTCTGCTCTAGAACTAGTATTGGGCGACGTTGTGTTTATCAAATCTGGCGACAAGATTCCTTCTGACTTGCGTATTTTCTGGTCCAATGAACTCAAAGTAGACAATTCGTCTCTAACTGGTGAAGCTGAGCCTCAAGAACGTAACGCCAACAATGTCATGACAAGTCCACTGGAAGCAACTAACTTGGTATTTAACGGCACGCTCGTTGTCAATGGCGATGCTTATGGTGTCGTGATTCGAACTGGTGATAACACTGTGATTGGTCAGATTGCATCCCTCACGGCTAACGAGCAGCGTCGTAGTTCTCCGCTTTCGGATGAGATTGACACGTTTGTCAAGCTCATTACTCTAGTTGCAGGAATTGTTGCCATCATCTTCTTGATTATCGGTATTGTTGCCAAGGGTCAAAATGCTTCCCAAGCCCTCAATTTCGCCATTGGTACGTTTGTTTCGTTTGTACCCGAAGGTCTTCCGGCCACTGTCACCATGTTGCTCACTATTGCAGCAAAGCGTATGGCTGGTCGTAATGTGCTCGTCAAGGATCTGCAGGGTGTTGAAACCCTTGGTGCCATTACCCTTCTTGCTACTGACAAAACTGGCACTCTGACTCGTAACCAAATGACCGTGACTTATGTTTGGACTGGATCTCGTCTGTTTTATGCACAGAGTCAATCGTCTACCGAGGCGCAGCACGCTGTTCCCTTGGACATGGACCATGCTGGTGTCAATGAGCTGATTCATATGTCACTTTTGTGCTCTCGTGCTCGTTTTGAGTCCAACGATGGTCCAATTGCTACTCGTCCTATTCTTGGTGATGCTACTGAAGCTGGTCTTTTGCGCAACGGTGCTGCAAAACTTGTTGATTTCGAGTCTGTCGAAGACCGATTCCCCAAGATATTCGAAATTCCCTTCAACTCGGAAAACAAATGGGCCATGACGATTCATCAGAAAAAACATGCCAATGGCGAAATGATGGCTTACCTCAAAGGTGCACCAGAACGTGTTCTTCGTCTTTGCACTACCTTTTTTGATGGTACCAATGTCGTTCCTCTGACAGAACAACACAAGGCTTCGTTTGAAGACATGTATCAGTTTATGGCTTCCAAAGGACATCGTGTGCTTGCTTTTGCTGCTCTGGCTCTTCCCGGTGATCAGTATCCCGCCAATTTCGTGTTTACCAAAGACCCTGTCAACTATCCCAAAAACAATCTTACCTTTTATGGACTTGTTTCCCTTGAAGATCCTCCCAAGCATGGTGTACGTGAGGCTGTTGGTCACTGCCGTGAAGCTGGCATTCGTGTCATGATGGTTACTGGTGATCACCCTCTCACTGCCGAGGCCATTGGTCGCAAAATCAATCTCATGTTGCAAGACACCAAGGAAACCCTTGCCAAGAAGCGCAACGTACCCATATCACAAATTCCGGAAAGCGATGTGAATGCTATTGTTATTCATGGTGAAAAGATTGATGGTCTGACTGAAGCTGATTGGGACAATATCTTTTCCAAAGAAGAAATTATCTTTGCTCGTACATCTCCCAAACACAAGTTGCAGATTGTCAAGCATGCCCAAGCTCTCGGACACATTGTTGGTGTTACAGGTGATGGTGTTAATGATTCTCCTGCCTTGAAAAAGGCTGATTTGGGTATTGCCATGAACGTGTCTGGATCTGATGTGTCCAAAGAAGCTGCAGCCATGATTCTGATTGACGACAATTTTGCATCCACTGTCAATGGTATTGAAGAGGGTCGATTGATTTTCCAAAATTTGAAAAAATCGATTCAGTATACTGTTACACACACTATGCCTGAAGTGTGGGCCAACTTGCTCTATATCGTTGTTCCATTGCCGCTGCCATTGACTGCTATTCAGATTATTATTGTTGATCTTGGATTTGAACTGTTCCTTGCTCTTTCCTATGCCTGGGATCTGCCTGAATCAAAGACTGGTTTGATGAAACTGCGACCCCGTAAACCTGTTACTCCCGAGTCCATTGCTCGTACCAAGCGTATTGCTGCTCGTAAATCTGAAGGATCTGCTGAAGCACAAGGATTTGCCAAATTTACCAAGGCGATTTCTACTCCATTTACAGCCGTGTTTTGGCATGATTTTATGGAAAAGCGTGATGAAGAAACTCTTGTTGATTCTAACTTGCTTTTATGGTCATACCTTGAGGCTGGCACTATTATGTCGATCGGTTGCTTTGTTTCGTACTTTGTTGCCTTTTACTACTATCGTCGTATTTTACCGATCGATGCAGTCAACTTTGGCAACGTTTGGGGAACTGACAGTGGTCCTATTACACTATCGAGTGGCTTAGTCTTGGACAATGATGCTCAACTGAAAACGCTCTACTATGCACAATCTGGCTACTATCTTGCCATTATGATTCAGCAAAGTTTCAACATGTTTATTTGCAAGGCTCGCTTTGGTATTCCGTTTGGTTGGTTCATGTTCAGCAATATATACAATTTTACTGGTCTCATTGGCGGTGTTATCTTTACCATGGCAATGGTTTATATTCCACCTTTCAATGTTGCTTTTGGCACCAACTGGAGATTCCACCCCATCTTGTGGTTGATACCCATGGCATTTGGTATCTTTTTAGTCTTTTATGCTGTTGTTCGTATTCTCATTCAGCGTGCGCGCAATCCCATCAAGTATTCCAAGGATGTTGACGGTCTTCAAATGCATCCCACAAGATGGTCTACTGGCAGATAAACAACCGTCTTATTTTAATTCAACTTTTTCAAGCAAATTCTAACTAGCATTCTACCTACAAACTCTTGGAGTCATATAATAAAAATGCATAGCTTGAATTTTAAACATTTATTACACCTTTAGTAGGTTGTGGAAGGTTGAAGCGAATGTCAAAAGGTGTATTTTACTCAAATCAACAAGTCTAATTAAAATGAATGAATCTGTTCAAAGCTATAGTCTGATTTGTGCATCATACGATGAATATTGTATTTATTGAGGAATTGAGAATGCTAATTATAATAGAAAATCAACAAATATTTAACTGTTTATTCCAAAGTAAAACAAGGCAGTGAATACAGGTGTTTCATTTTACGCAAATATGGCTGTAAATATAGATTTTGATATCAATTATCAAAGCAATGTGTATATATTGCAACATATTTTAATGACTGGAGTAGGACCAACGATCAGTCATACAAAAACGCTTGCTATCACAGATGGATAGAATGGAATAAACCATATACATGCTTTTTAGAAATCTTTATACAAGAATTAGTGTAACATACCAAAAAGCATTCACATATTAAATCACAATATCAAAACTACCTTGAGTTCAAGCAAACCATGGTTATGCTGAGCGTGAATATCATCCGAGTCGATTCCGCTTGGAAGTGGAATCATTCTGTAAAATTTACCAAATCGTCGTTCATTTACATAATATTCGGCACCTTCAGCATTACAAGATCTTTCTGATAATCCATTGATAACAATCTAATCCATACAATGACACATATTGATGTGTTCAATTGAAAGTGTATCCATGAGAATGCTTAGCAGGTTTTGTCTAGACAAGTTATTGATTTACCTGATTTGGTCCTAGTTCTACTTTTACTTGATTTATAGCGATACCAGGAAGATCCATGCAGATTACAATATCGGATGGCGTTTCATAGATGTCGACGGATGGACACCAGTGCGAGTCCACTATTTCATATTTAGGATACTTTGAAAACCAAGGCATGCACTGATCAAGCCCAATATTTACATTTTATATTGTTATATAGGGGTTTTATCCAAGTTTCAATACATGAACATTACAAATGTATGGTGTGTTGGAAGCTTTACCTCCATATAGGGAGTGCTAAAGTCAACAGGATGTCCAGTTTTTCTGATAGGAAACATTGTTGAATACAGTATACCAGCTGGTTAAACTTGGTTGTACTATTTATTGGGTCAAGGAAAAACTACAATCCAAAAAGTTTAATTTTGACTTTTGAAAACTTGGGAAAAACTGGCCTCTAAATTTGCCAATTATTACGATTTTGTCATTACAAGCATCCAATAGCGGCACCATGAGTCAACCTAATGTTTCTAATACAAAAGAGGGAAGATTCAGTCATGATTCTGAAGATATAGATGCAGATTTGGTACTCCAAGGCGATGACGAAGACGAGAAGGAGAAGCAAATCCAGGTACATTCCCTATACACGCTTTGATATTCCCACTCAAATATATTACTGTGGTAATAAAAGGCAATGCACTATGACAGAATAAACATGTATTTACTGAACTTTGTAGAATTACATCTCGACTTCCAGGATGCTGTTTGAAGCCGACGGAGTGAATACGCTCACTGATACAGAAATCGCCAAATTTCTATATGCAAAAAATGGTCATCGAGGAAAAGCCATGTCTGCTCTATCAGAAACACTAGTGAGTTTTGATTATCAATGAGGCCTCGTATCATGACATGTATACAATAGCTAATAGTATGACTTGATGTATACCCAATACTATTTGCTTATCAACCAAGGCATGGCGAGCCAAGTTTAAACCAGAGACATTGCTAAAGGAAATATCGAGTAGTTTGAGCGAGTCTGGAAAGTTGCAGTTTTGGGGAAAAGCTCTAGATGGGTCACAGATCTTGATATGGACTGGTGCAAGACATGTTCCACCACGTACTGAGCAGGATATAGATTGTGAAATCCAGTTTTTGGTTCGCACGATTGAACATGCAGTACGTAATGGGCAAGTTTAATCTGGATTGAACATTATACTTCATACTGGTCTTTTCAGCAAAAGATGAACCTGTTTTGATTAACCTTGACTGAAATCGACTCTTTAGAACATTGACAAATACAATGACAATTATTTTCGATCGACAAAATATGCGGACAGATAAATCAGATCTAAAGATTGTTGCAAAATTAGTGCCAATATTGCAGAGTCATTATCCAGAACGACTGAGTCGCATGTATATATTTCCAACAAACATGCTTTTCAAGGTGGTATGGAACATGGCAAAAGGATACTTGGATCCAGTAACACTTTCCAAGGTAGAGTCGATATTTTATTGGAATTTCACAAATAGTAGTTTTGTGCATAGGCTAAACTTGTATCTCAACCGCATCAATAATATTTAGATTCATGTTAAAGAATCACCTGCATCATTGGCGGGATGGGTGTCTCGAGAAAACTTATTTGTTCGATATGGTGGATTAGCAAACGATCCATTCGAAACTGATACTGCACAATTATCAGAGGTTGCGTCAGCCATTGCGACACAAGGAAATATGCCAGTGGCAGATTCGAGTCAGCAACAAATGGATTCGGCAAATTCTGGAAATACATCAGTAGATGCCGTTTCTGAATGTATAGCAGACCAAAAAAGTTTACAATCTTCATATATTACAGCATCTTCATCTGAATCACAAAACGCGATTCAATCTATTCCCAAAAAGTTGGTTGCCAATATAGCCAAACCAATGGTTGATATTGAAAATGTATGGGAAGCACCCAGTGAGTTTCAACATATTTAAGATTAGATTGTCGAGGATAGAGATATAAACCTGTTAAACCAATGACTAATAAAGTATATCTAAATAGAAAACAATCAAGAAAATAGACTGTATTAAGCATTTGGTCATGGAGCTAAACGACACATTGTCCAAGATCCATGGGCTGCAGGATCATTGATACGATCCAAGTTAATATCTCGAGAGTACTTGAGACGATCGTGCAATCGAGAGCGTCGTCCCTGCCAGAATTCGACCACATCAGGAACAAGTCGATATCCACCCCAGTGAGGAGGTCTTGGAGGATCAGCATCATCTTGGAATTGTTCAACAAATGACTGATGTAGTGCCTCTAATTCTGACCTTCCTTGGATCGTGGTGCTTTGAGGTGAAGCCCATGCGCCAATGCGACTGCCCAATGGACGGGATGCATAATACTGATCGCTTTCAGCTGGGTCAATGCGGACAATACGACCTTCAAATCGAGCAGATCTCTGACCCCACCAAAAAGTCATTGCTGCCCATGGATTCTTCTCCATTTCCTGGGCTTTGCGAGAATCATAGTTGGTAAATATGGTCAGACCTCGAGCGTCAAGACCTTTAAGTAGAACCATACGACACGAAGGACGACCAGTCTCTGCAGATGCAGTAGCCAGAGCGACTGCATTGGGTTCAGCATCAGCAGGTAATTGAGTTTTTGCTTGGATAAGCCAGGCATTCAATAGCTCAAATGGGTCTTTTGGTGCTGCATCTTCAACTAGAACATCCTGTTCATAGGATATACGCATACTTGCCAACGATCCCGAATCCAGATCCATGTTGATGCTGCTGTAGATTGATACAATATTCAAATATGAATATCAACTGTTATTGCAGTTGTATTCATGTAAAACAAACCACTTGATTCACTGCCTTTTTTGCTCGGGAATAAACAATGGCTAGATATTCGTTGTGCTTTCTATTGGAGATTGACTGCAATCAACATACTGTCCATCATATAATAAACTATAGTTTCGAATTAAAATTATTCTATTTGGATCGTCATTGTACAACTACAGGATTCATTACAATCTAGATATTGGGACTATTGCCAATAAACTCATTTTGTATTTTAAAGACTCGAATACGCACTAGTTTAAAAACAATTCCAGGAATGCAACTCTACATGCCAATCACCAGGAGAAAGATGGATAGATTTGATATGAATTGACCAATCAATTCATGATGCTTTTACTATGCACTAAACTCTTGATGTTTTATTTTACATGAATATGGCAGTATTTCTGGTTGTATTTCAATTGGCTTCAAATCACCAAACTATTAGTCTAATTTCGCCCACGTGACTACTTTCAAACTGCCAAATCCTCACTAGTCGCATTCCTACAACCTTCACTCAATTGCCGCAGTGTTTGATTCAGGATGGCGTCTAAAGGTGCCTACAAGAGACTGACTAAAGAGTTTATGCTGATTCAGGCATCTCCTACTCCGTTTATTGTTGCAAAACCATTGGATAATAATATTCTTGAATGGTATGCTGTCAATTGCCCATGTCATTCCCTTTAGTTTGCTGGACTATCAGACTGCCAGTAGTAATATAAAGGGGCGACTTTATCCACCAATTCGACCCCTCGTCTCTAGTACTATTTGCAGAATCAACAGTGCCATGAACTGCATATTTTATATCCATACTTCAACTTACATGATTACTTTGGAACTATACGTCTACTTTACACTTTAAATTCAGGCACTATATTTTGACTGGACCTCCTAATTCGTTGTATGAAGGTAGGACTTGCTTTACCATGCATCTCTGGTATTGGCATTTATTCAAGAGGATTATCTTGTCTGCTCAATATTTACAAGTACTTATTGGATATGCAACCTGTATGCGTTTCTTGACTCTACCACCTTGATTGAATGCTTTGCTGCTGGATGCAATTCTTAATCATACAGGAGGTACGTTTTGGATTCTTATTTGATTATAGGCTACTTGTTACTGATTTCCTGACACTATTTAATAGGTCAGTATCATGGCAAGCTCAACTTCCCTTCAGACTATCCATACAAGGTTTGATTATAATAGTTTAGGCGAAAACTATTGGAATGGTTTATTTTGGATAAGCTAACTTGTGATGAATACCAGCCTCCAAGTATTAAGATGATGACACCGAATGGTTAGTTTAGACTTGATCATGATGGCCAATAGAGAGATTGAATTGTTTATAGGACGGTATCAAAGCTAAATTACCTTTTCATATCAAACTAGGTCGATTTCAAACGGATTTTAGGCTTTGTTTGACAATGAGTGATTATCACCCAGGAAGTTGGAATCCAGCATGGTCTGTGTCGACCATTCTTACAGGGCTATTAAGCTTTATGGTAAGGGATGCCGTGTATGCGTATGTCATTAGATGCTTTACTACATCATGTCATTAAACTCGTGGATATTGTTGGAAACAATAGCTCGAGGACCATGCAACCACAGGAAGTATCACCACATCATCAGCAGAGAAACGGCAGTTGGCGAGCAAGTCCAAAAAATGGAATCTAAGCAGTCCCAAATTTAAGGAGGTTTTTCCAGAGGTCTGCAGAGAAATGGAGGAAGAAATGAACGCCAAAGCAGCAGGACAAAATCTCGACTCGTCCAAGTCTACCAAGTCCTTATCATCTGCACGAATGAGTTCCTCATCATGCCAGCTGAGTCAACGACACAACTCTACTGGTGCTGTAGTAGGATCAGCAAGAGGGAGTGAGACGGAGCCTGCAAGATTGGTGGCAGCGCCTAGCAAAAAACCATCGACTCCATGGTCGTTTCGATCACACACAATAGGAGCAGTGATTTTATGCCTGGCATTATATCTGATCACAGTCAAGATCTTTAGTCGAACACAATAGCATTCCAGACTGGCTGTATATGCATGACTAAGATATGGACTAGTTTAACTTTGGAAATAGAAGGATGAAGCTGCTCCAAAAAGTTTAAACTCGACATTTCGATCGAGTCTATTGCTATCACCAGTTCATCCCGCTTTTGCTACCCAGTATCATTAACTTCATGCCAAAGTTTACTGTTTTCTGAATGACCATTGCACGACTACTGCCAAATAAAACCACTTTTGATTTACAAATTGAGAAAACCAACCTGTCAGCACAACTATTCAATCTACTGTTGGTTATTTTATTGTTTGCTACCACATGAGTGTCAATACTGCATCTATTCCACACTTGGTTGCTACCAAGGATTATTCTCAACTAGCCTCTGTTTGTGAAATCCTTGAACAGGAGCAGGACCTTTTCCTTGTTACGGGAGCTCAGTCTGTTCCTGACTTGCGTATTCCCACTTGTCTGCTTGCTTCTTACATTATCCTCAACGATTTGGGTGCAGCCAGATACCTTGTTCAGCGCACTACCAATCCTCACCGGTCAAAAGAGTTTATGGCTCTAGCCTTGGTCAGTGTCCACCTTTGGAAGAAGGATTTGGAGGCTGTTTTAATTGCCCTGGACAACTTGGATATTATATCCACCACTGCTACTACGACTGGAACTGATATGGATAGAAACAGTGATGGATCCACAGGGAATAGCCAAGAGCATGCTACACAAGATGATTGGATGTATAGGTTGCTAGCGTTGGTCAAAGATACTGTGAGAACCAGATCGTTGGGACTGATTGCATTAGCTTATTCAAGCATAAGCATACCCCACTTTTCTACTTTGATGGGCGTTACTGCAGATCAAGTTGAATCTGTAGTGGCATCGTTGGGCTGGAGAATACAAGAAGGATTTATTTTCCCATCTCCTTCAAAAACACAGTCTACTAGCAAGAAGCATGCAGCATCACGACCTGGATTGGATCGAATTTCTACACTTGCAGAATACTCTATACAGCTTGGACTGTAATTTGAATCATTATGCTTTAGATTACAGCCATATTCATGTGAAATGAAGCACCATCTTGTAATGATTGTGTCTGGAATAAATAGTGATTAAATATTCGTTGCATTTGTTCAGAGCTGATTGATATTCCTTTGACAAATTGGCTTTTATTCTACTCAATCTTCTGCTGGGTTTAAAATGAATGGTGCTTTATATTTTACGACATTGCTGAGTGTTGAAGGTTTACAGTCCATTTGTTGTTTTGCCAAAAAGTCGAAACAATACTGTCGAGTAAATGGAGTTGTCACTTCATCAAGACGACTGTTTACTATACACCAACCCCTGTTTAGTTTTCATTTTGCATGAATATGGCTATAAGGTATTTCAAATTAACCCAACCATTCGTAGATTATGACAATTTATTATGTATTGCTGAAGCCAAATTGTTGGCAAGTATTGACGTGAATTTGGTCTAAACTAGAAAATACAAAACAACGATTACTAGGCAGTTGGCATTACCACAGGACTGCTGCTGTTCTCATGGGTCTTTCTAATTCCAGCTCATTCTTGCTGATTACCTGCGTCTTGGTGCTATCATTTTTAATACCTGAATTACTTGCTTCCTATGGAGACCAGGACGACCGATTCCAACTATGTGCAGCAAAGTGCATCAACAGAGACTGTAAATCCACCCCATCCACTAAGCACCTATCTCTGATACTAAGGCTTATGCAGTGGGACTGTCCACAAGATTGCAGATATCACTGCATGCACCTACAAACACAGATAAACCAACAAAACAACGAGCCCATCGAGCAGTATTATGGCAAGTGGCCGTTTGTGCGTATCCTGGGCATGCAGGAGCCTGCATCTGTCGTCTTTTCTATATTGAATGGATTACAACACTATAAAGGCTGGCAGAAATTCACTCGAGGTACCAAACACTCCCATTATCCTTATATCACTCTCATGAGGATCAATGGGTTTTTGGCAGTCAACAGTTGGGTCTGGTCAGTGATCTTTCATACTCGAGATTTCCCCTTTACGGAACGCATGGATTACTTTAGTGCCATGGCATCTATTCTGTTTTCATTGCATCTTGCTGTCGTGCGGATATTTGGGCTCCGCTCCACCCGTGGTTTTATTCGCATTATACTCATGATCGTCTGCTACTGCTTCTTCATCTTCCATATCTTTTATCTCACTCTTTTTAATTTTGATTATGGCTACAACATGTTTGCCAGTGTGATCGTCGGTGTTAGTCATACTATGTTGTGGTGGACTTGGGCTTTGGCCAACTGGAGATCTCGTTCTAGCTATGCTTGGAAGATTATTGTAGTTGGACTAGCTGTATCCATGGCCATGCTCCTTGAGCTCATGGATTTCCCTCCACTTTTTGGCTTGTTTGATGCGCATTCGTTGTGGCATGCTGCCACCATTCCAGTCATTCCGTACTTGTGGGATTTTTATTTGGATGATGCATTGTATATCATTCCTATAAAAATTCCTTGACTGCAGAATGAGAACTGGCCAGAAAGCTAAAGCATGACGTTGATTACCCATTTATGTACAGTGGCTATAAAAGCGTTTGATGCTTTTAGCAGCTATCATTATCCTCACATTATTTAAATAGTTCTCGATGAATACTTCTAATTTTATATTTTATGGCTGTATTCACGTAAACAGATCACTATCTTGTAATGATTGTCTTGGAATAAACAATCGTTACATATTCATTGTTGTTGTTGTTGGAAATGGATTATTTGTTTTATTCAAGCTACAAGTTGTTTGGTGTCTGGAATGGCTCAGCACACACAGTCATTCCAAACACCAAAGTAATTGTCAGCAGGGTTCAAGAATGGACAGTATGATGCTGTATAGTGTAGTTCCAAACCTCGCGCTGTTTATTGAATAGTTGGTAAACCATGTCTAATTAGAGTTATTTTGTGGAATGGAATGTTGTCTAGAATAAAGTGACCGTTTGGGAATGTTGCATGTCTTAATATTACAGCATTCACTGCTGTCTTGATCAATCTCTCAACACATTGATCGTCATATGAAACACACACTATTAGACTATAGTTTTGAACTGAAATGTTGTTTCCATGCCAATTATCAGGAGAAATATTAGTCAGTTTTAAAAAACTCGGAGCACAATGCTGCCAGTAATTTGGTTTGAATCATCATTTCAAATTGACTGATGATCTTATTTAGTGTTTCATTTTACCTAAATATGGTACTAAAACTACATCAGAAGCACATATTATAACCAGTGCTGCTCTATTCACTAGTTTATTTATTTCCTAAATTCAGGTTTTTACAAGTATACAACACATGTTATACTGTGCAGCATTATCTATACATGCCAATCAGCTTTTATCCATAATTGATTGAATAACAGTCAGCATGTGTTGCTTTTCTTTATCATCAAGCGTATGCCCCAAGGTTGTTTCTAAATGTTGCTGGATTTGCTCTTTACTAACACTCGTCAAGTTTGCCAAGCTTAAAAATTCATAAATGATAGATTCCATTTGAGATTTCTGTGTAGTTGAAAGAGAATGTAAACTGGTTGAATGTCGATGTGATGTGGATGTAGATACATACGAGAGTTGCGGCAAAGGTGTTAATCTGAATGTCGTGCTAGATTGATGAGAATGTGCTATCTGACCAAGTTTGTGAGGCGGGTAAGTTGAATTGACTGTCGTATTCATAGCAGTTGAAGGCGGATTAAATCCCGTCGATGCTTCATCCTGAGATGATGTATTCCATGAGGCGGGGATCAATGACATCAGCGAGGTTTCATTTACCGTGGGCAGTGCAAAGTCCTTATTATAGAATGAAGAGTGTGTTGGAGTGGAGTACACTTTTGGTGGAGTTGGTGGTGGTTGTGTAATCGTGGGAAAGAATGCTGGTAGAACATGCATTTGCGTAGGTACTTCCTCATTAGTATTCTGGCACAAATCTGTTGATTGTGTATCTAATACCACCTTGTTTTCCTGGGAATTGGCAGCATTGTTACGGCGACTACGATCTTTTTGAGAATACGATTGCCATGTTTCCAAGGGAATCAATGCAGGATCAGGCTCATTTTCGTCCAGTTTTTTCTCGATCATTTGTTTATCTTCCTCAATTGCTACTCTGGTATTACCCCACGAGAAGTTATCCATGGACCAAAACGAGTAGATGGGCAAGTAGAATGTAAACAACGGTACAGCAAGCAAATACGCTATCATCCAACCCAGATTCTGCACTTCGCGCTTTAGCAGAAACAGAATCACCTGAAAGCCATATACAATGGCAATCAATGCAATTGAAACCAGTGGAAATACCGTGCTTTTGTCCAAAGTACTCATCACAACGAGGTAGATGAGATATATAAGCATTGCCGGCTGGATCATTGTAGCTAGCAAATCGATAAACACTACAAAGCGCATTGAAAAACAGCATGTGCCGCACATATTTGGAAGAGATAGCAATTCTATCAAATTATGCACTGTAGAGTTGATCCATCTTCGTCGCTGCGATTGAAAAACTTTCCAAGTTTCCGGCGCAATGGTTTTGCTTACAGCATAAGGAGTAAACTTTGTCTTCATACTCGGAAAATGCTTCATCATCAGCGTTGTCAAATACCGGTCTTCGCCTAAATGAAGCAGGTTTCTCAGGTGTAGGGTATCGACTTTGTTGACACAATAGTCTTTTAATACATGGTTGTGAATGAGATAGGGCTTGTTGGATGCTGAGGAGCGGATACGATACAAGGAAAAACAGCCTGGAAGACATGTGACGGAACCAAAAAGAGACTCGAAAGCTTTTGATAGATGATGAGAAATAAAGTATTCGTAAACTTGGATCATGGTTACCCACGAGTCTCGTTCATTAGAAACCTGAGTTTCGCCACAAATGCCTATAATTCTGCCGTCAGATTTCATGGCAGCTACCAGCTGAGTTAAGGCAGAGGGAGTGACGTTTGTGTCTGCATCCACCATCAAAATAAACTCATAGAGATGCGCATCAACACCAATGATATTTTTCATGTGGTGGTTGATTTCAAGCTCAAGTGGGTTCATTGGTGATTTGTAATGCATTCTTGACAAAAACTGCATTAAAATAAGCTGTGAATCCCGTTTTCCACTAATAGCATTTACAATCATTTAAAAAATTAGCATTTATATCATAGTATACCAGAATTATAAGCATATTCCATCTTTACCGATTTCCTGGTTTTTGGTGCTCAGTGGCGATTCCAACTTTAACCACTACAATAAACGGAATTCGACGATCTTGTGTTTCATAGATACCCGAGTAAACTTGCGCTTGATTGATCTGCTTTCCATCTACTCCCAGCGACTGATACATGACTGATTCCGCCTGTTCATCGGCATTAACACCAAGAATATCGAGTACTATTCTTGGTGTAGGCCGATCGTTGCCGGATCCAATAATCATTCCGTCAGCAATGACAAACAAAAGCTTTTGATAGTCTGGATAATCCAAAACGGTCAAAGAATCAAACGTTCTACGCAACGAGATCTCGTCTTCAGTATAGCAGGGAACTTGACATATTACAAACTTGTCCATGTTGTCTGGAATGGGCTTAGGCGATAGTTGAATCGAGGCAAGGAATTTTACAAAAAGTATTGAAACGATTGCACAAGATGCAGCTAAAAGAACATAGGTTGATACTTTGCATCGAAGGCTGTTGCGATGGTCAACCTTGCCCACATAAAACAACCCATCCATGCATCCCATAAGGTTATTCCAATGCGTTTCGTTGGCGGATCGGATGGCTTCAAATCGATATGTAAGATCGGTCTTGCCATTTGCTTCCACTGATGAAAAAATATCTGCTGCTTCTGATCCCAAAAAATTCTTTTTGGTTGCAAGGTATTCGGCAGTGAAAAACGGTGTGACATCATACACTCGATCGTAAGCAATGATGACATGGTTGAAAACCGGATTGGGTAAAAGTGTATCTTGAATAGTTTTCGTATCCCATACAACAGTTCCTTTGATTGCTGACTTCATATCCATGTTTGTTAGCACATCGCGCGTGGCATTGGGGCGATTGTGAATATACCATAATGGGTTTTTGAGACCAAAAGAGCCGCCGGGAAAAAGTTGAAACTGACTGGATGGTTTGGGGAATGCTGGGCAGTAAGACGACCACACACTGTCCTTTGAAAACTGGCACTTACATCTTGACCCATCACGTTCATCTTCCAATAGTTGCTTTGTGACAAAGGTCGGCCTTTCATCAAATGATCATTGGCTATAGCATATACATTATAATAGTTGCCGTACATATAGACAGTGGCAGAATTGGGATCTAGCTCAGTTAAAGCAGAAATTTCACCAGGTGAAAGCTCGTTGCGACGTGGACACAAAACAGGACCAATACCAATAATGAAAAGCAAAATCATTGCATTCATGGCTGCTATAAGAATAAACATGGCAACTTTTTCTCTCCATGCAACTTTCTGATTACGAAATCGCATACCGCAGCAGCATGATAATATACAGGAAGGAACCCACCATGTCAGTGACCAAGTACAACATAGCCAGTTACGTCGAGTTTTGGAAATGGGTGTATCCTCAGAACAAAGTGGATTTCTTAGTGACAGGCGATTAAATTTACCGAGACGGTTATTTTTGCGCCTTTCACGTTGTTTCGTGTCCGACTGCTTTAGCATTGAGTCATGCTGCCATTTGGATGGAATAATGTGATTCAAAAGTGTGGAAGTGGAGTGCACACGCCCACGTGTGATCATTCCACGCTCAGTTTCGGCTGAATCCTTGCCAACAAACGATCCAGATACACTTTCCTCGAATGTATCCTTGTCATCCCTAGTCTGATTGCTTTTGAATGTATCTGATCTTTCATGTGGTATCTGTTCTAAAACTGCATCGGTTGAAATCCATTCGGCAATCGATGCTCTTGTATGTGGATCCAAAAAACAATTTTCCGTACCAGAAACCCATTCAATTATATCCACCTGATTAGCGCCAGGTTTTGCTAGTTCCAGCAAATCTTGTTCTAAATGTCGCCAAGACTTTTCAGAGAGATATATCCCAGACCTAACGCAGACAGCATCAATCTGCTGCCATTTCATCAACTCTATTAGTTTGGTGCATGCGTCACGATAGCTCTGTTTTTGTGTGGATATATCATGTTTAGTGAGCACAGTCGCATATCGCTTTACAAAAGCCGAGTATGTTAGCATTGACGAATATAAAGATACAGTTGATTGGGAGAGTTCAAGAATGGGAGTCAGTTGCAGCTGTTTCTTGATGTAGTGTTCATTCCAGTCGTCTGATCTCGACTGGTATGTATATGGAGTAATGGTAAATATACTCCATTGCTTTGTAGTGGAAATTACATCCAAAAGTGCAGCGTATTCGTTTATAAACTGATGAGCAACGGTGGACTCCAAGTCGGCTACTTTTGGCTCATTGTGATGCAATCGTGGCATTTTGGGTTGTGTAATGGCTTGTCGTCGCATGGATGGACCTCGTGTCAGACCACGAGGAGTTTGTACTGTTGAGGTATTTTCGTTGGATTGTCGTAGCAAAACATGCTGATCAAACAGTAGTCGAATAAACTCGTTTTTAGTTCCCGAGTGATCCAGCGATCCTCTAAACAGCGAAACAAATCTAGACTGAACCGGGTCTGTGTTTAATAATGTCCATCCTTGAACCATATAGTCACAGGAAGTGTATTCTGAAATGCCGTCACAGTGTCTAATTTTAAAGCTTGCATTTGGCGTAGATGGAATCTGAAACTGCGAAATACCATTATAACGATGTGCACAATTAGCCAAAAATGCACTGTCATTGGTTGACTCGCTTCCACAAGTTGTTTCGGTGTTTAAAAGTGGTATGATACCAAATGGTTCACTCATGAGAATATCTAAAAGGCTTGAATCACTACGTTCATACAAAGAGTTTCTTGTCCTGTTTATATTGATATACTCGAGCTCGGCATGCTTGTAATTTGGTTTCCAAAGGCGCTCGCGCACAAGCTCGTTGGAGAAGTTGTTCATGAATTGGTAGTAGCTTCTTGTTCCAACAGCCTGATTATTGCTCATTTGGTGTGCTTTGAAATCGAATCCAGGTACATCCAAAACAGCAATATAGTTTTCCCATTCTTGCTCTTGTTTACATAGCTGAGAGTTTAGATGCTCCACGATCCAGCTGAACAGTACGGAGTAAAGCGCCTCGGACAAGGCATCACGTTGTTTACCTGCTACATCCAGATTCAAATGGACTTGAATGGATTCACCATTAAACAATCGAGTTTGTAATGTCAATGCATTTTCAAGTGACACAGTATCCACAGCCAGTAATTTTGCAACAATCGCTAGATCTGTAGGGTTTGTGACTGCAGTCGCCTCACGATCCCCCACAGTGTTTTTTTGGAATACAAGGTTTCCCAAATGAAGAATGGCAGCCAGAATTGAAAATATATCACGCTGAATTCGAGAGGAAATACCAACATGTTTGAGATGTGTCCGAAGTTGAGTAAACTTTTCTTCAAGCTGGTCGAGTTTGGCTGGGCCCATATTTGCTGACCCAGCAGTATACTTGAAATTGCGTACAACGGTGGGTTGATGCCGTGAAGTACTGTCGTGTTGATTTTTTGGCTTATCTATGCCCCAGTGTATTCTTTCTTCGTGCATTGCTCCCTCGATCAAACTGTACAGTATAGTGAAGTTGCAGCCAGGTGTGGACCAGATATGCGCCGACTGCAGTAGATAGGGAATGAATTTGATTCCAACAACTTGATGGTTGGTATCAAACTGAAGTTCATTATATTGGATGCATCCTGTAGGTGATGATGTGGGTGGTGTAGTCGAAATTGAATCAAGGGCGTGGGTTTCAAACCCGTGGCCATGCACGTCTGTTATGCCAGTGAATGCTTGAAGAATAGCATGGGATCGATGTATTTGCAATGCAATGTCTTTGCGCTTTTGGCCGCTATTGTTACCAATATCGTCACTACGGCCAAGATCTGCCAGGTGGCGACAGGTGGCTTCTAGTATCGATAGGGCTGGCGATCCTTGACTAGTGCCACTATTTTATCAAAGCACAAGAAACCCAAACGACGCGTCGCGCACATAAAAGCGGGTAAAAGACAATTGAAAGGTGTTAGTGGGCTGATGATTCATACATGATCAATTGCTGAGTATATTGTAGATGGCCAGCAACTACAAAAGCAAATAATGAAACGAATATCACTGGAGATCAAATGAGTAGATCGTCAAGCAATGACCCACGAAATCTTTCAAAAGTAAATCACATGCATTGAAAGAGATTGCTGGCAGTTCAAATATGCAAAACTTACTAAAGGATGATTGTCTGATCAGTAGCTTCTGCCTGCATATGCAAGTAAGCTGAGGAAGCACAATCAAACATATGAGGCTGATGATTTTGCTGTAATGCAGGATGGCTCTTGGTAGCAACTGCCATGTCCTTTGATATTGCTGATGTGTAAATTAAATCAAAGCAACTTTTTGAAGGTTGAACAAATACCCATGCAGAGGAGCCTATACTGGTGCAATATTGACTTTGATTTATCCAACGATGATAGAGTAGTGTGCATATGTCATCAACTGTTTGCAACGAAGACTGGATATTTCCATCACTCAAACAGACTGCAGTATTGGTACGTCGATCTGAAGTCAGATCGTTGTCTACTGTCAATGCAGTGGTATGATGTGACTCGCTAGTGTTGGAAACCGGCAAAACGTCGACATGTGTTTGATGTAGATGGGCTGATGCGCTATTTTGAAAAGGTGTGTCGAACACACATGGCTCATCCTTTAGAAGCATATATTATAAATATTCAAAAATCAATCGTATATTCAAAAAGCGATTTGAATGCCTATATATACTTTAACAAAAGCCAAAAGTCCAATTGAGCTTTTAGATTCATTATGGCTTTGACCGCTTCTTCAGTCGCACCATGATTTCAGTTGATATGGAATCACGTGATATATTGGGACATTTTGATACAGTTGCTTGGACCACCCGCGTTGTAGTTACCGGTACTATTTGATTGGCTGAATTCAAGTCCTTTATTGTCCAGCCACTGATGAGGATGAAATGTCAAACATGTTGGTTTCATAGCCACATATTTACGAAACATAATATCCACTCTAATACCAATCTATACTGAGCCTCAAATGTCTGGCTCAAAGACTATCGTTTGAATAAACAGTTCTTTGTATTTAACTCGAGTGGCACAAACAATGCTGCTAGCTTTCTCAAAAAGCGATATAAATTTGTATTCCCTATTAGTGCCACAAGTTCTTGTCAATGATCTGCAGGTCTGGAAAAACGAACTTGCATGATTCTCAAGCCTTCAATAAGGTCTGCATGCACTTTAAGTGACAGGGGGTTAAATCTAGAAGCATGATCGCCATTTATGTATTTAAAAGCTTTTAGGCTTTATTTACCGCCATATTCACGTAAAATGAACACTTTTGTATTAATCCTGTAATGACTCTATTTTACTCTGGAATAAACAATCATTACATATTCGTTATTATTGGATATGAATTACTTTTTCTATTAAAACTCTGTTGTATTATAATATCAGATAGGTTCGCGATCTAGTCCAATATATCTCAGGAATGCAACCATACATGCTGGTCACCCAGTATTTGTTTTGGAGGAAAGGAAAGTTGGAGATTGAAAAGATGTCAAGGGTGTGGAATGTATTGGAACAGAGATGTGAGCATTTGCTCTGTATTTTTGTACAAGAATGAGCACGGAGATCAGTAAACTAATGAGTTCATAAAACAATATTGCCCACTAAGATTACCACCAATTAAACATGACTGTTTATCATGTATTCCGACTTATTTAGTGTTTCATTTTACGTGGATACGGCTGTAAATAGCAATCATAGATACGTTTTTTTGCCAGATGCAAACTTTGAGTCTAGTTTTTGAGCATCATCGAGTAGCCTTTTACGACCCTTGGCATCTATTCTGCGCGATGCAATATCCTTATCACGGTCAAAAGACCGTTTGGAAGCATCATCCTCTTCAAATTTGCCTGACTTGACATAATCTATTGTGAAATCTTGCATTAGTGTTTTGGGGCGATGCATTGCCTGAATTTCCACGTGTATAATTTAAAAGTTGGCATTAATAATGGATTATCAGATCTAAAACAAAGCTATCAAATCAATATGGGTTGAGTAGCTTACGTTGTGTTGAGTAATGAAATCGGCAGTTTCTTTTTCTTCTCGAGACATGATATGGGGCTTGTCATCCTGATCATCCTGCTTGCGTTTCTTGTCCTTATGATCAAGAATCAATGCAGAAAGTGCCATTTTACGTGAATACAGCGTTAGTAAAAGGTTTGAGCACAAATATATTTGATATTCATCTGTTACTACCTTTCCACTAATGATTCGTTTTTCTCTGTCTTTGGGAGATTCGATCCACAGAGTCTGATCCACTGTTTTCTCTTTTACAGTTGAGCTGAACTGCCGCGAAGTCATTTGCGGTCCTCCTAATAACAGCTCAGTATTCAGTCACTAAATACAAGGTACAGTCTGCCTTTTAGCTTTGCCAATCACCTTACCTTTTAAACGCATCGCTTCAGGTGGAAGCGTCATCCAATCTTCTCGCTTAACACTGCTACTTTTGCAAGTCGGCATATCCGCTGGATCGTCTTGATTAGATGTGGTTGCTGAACCATGTCCAAGTCTTGCCTCGATTTCTTTCAATCGCTCGGTTCGTTCATGCTCTTCCAAGTCCTAGCTCATTTGAATTGTGGTATAGTGAATAAACAAGACAATTGATTTATATCAGTAACCACAATACTTGCATAGCAGGTTGTTGTCAGCAAAGAATAGGCAACTGTACTTTGTCAGACAGGTCAAGTGGCCGAGGTCCAACATCATCATCGCTATCATCCCTTTTATAGACGGACAAAGTCGCTCCTGGTGGTGGCATTGTTGGTCCCATTACTCTCTTTGAAGGTAGTGCTGGACTAGTTTGTGGTTGGGCTCTGGATGATTTGAACTCGGGTGGGAGCACAGGTCCAAATGCATCATTATCAGATTCAGAGTCCGATTGGCTCTTGCTGGATAGTGATGAGGGCTTCTTAAACCCAGGAGGCATCTGAGGACCATACATTGCAGCTATACTGGAGTGCAACGTGGAATAAACCTGGTAAATAATAGTTTACAGTCGTATTTACGCAATGGATTACTTTATCCTGCAGTCTTTATTTCGCTTTGTAATAAATAATGATTAAACACTGTTAAAGACTGACTTGAATAGACATTTTCAATTCTTCAAAACACAAAATGAAACTATAATTTTGATCCGAGATTGTCATCTTTTGGCAGTCATGCATTGTATGATCACCAAGTTTGAAACTGGATATTGAGTTTGACTGTTCTGCTGTTTCCAATCCAATCCAAGTCTTGCAAACTCATTTGTTGTATTCTAAAATATCATATTCGCGCTAGAGTTCAAGAAACTAATCTTGGGAATGCAACCA